CAGTGTGATGCTTCTCAGCCTGCTTCCAGATGGTGTGTCCATGTTTGACGTCATCGGGCTTCCTGACGGAATAGTAGACACCAGCGACGACGACGAGCGCCCACGAGAGCAGGGAGAGAATCTGGTAGGTGATCAAGACGCGTCGGCTGTGCGACTCATGTTTGACAAAGGGGTTGTCTGGGACGCAATGATAGTCAGCTACGCAGTTTGAAGCCATGCGGGGTATATGATGCGTATGGAGAGAACTCTTAGAGAAGGAGCTTACAGAAAGCCATGACTGGCACAGTCTAGTCTCCAGGTCTTCTTCAGAGAGTATGGTCACCGGTTGCCAAGTATGGTAGGTACTTGTTGGAAGATGTTTTTTTGCCAACGTATTCCAGCGATGACGTATGCGAGTGATATATACAGCATACCTTGGACTCAAACGCCCAAAAGAAATCCTGCGTGCCACAGTCCAAAGGGCAGAAGGGGAAGTCCAGAGCAAGATGAATTGTGATTACTCGAGCGAAGACTGCAATTTTATAGGGGGTGAGGTGGGGGATGAAGGCGCTGAGTTGCGAGGAGGGGATTCCTCCGTCCATGTCGTAACTCAACTTCAGCCCTTCCAATCACGCCGCTCGCTCCTTCCACGCCTCCCCGCATTGAATGGTCTGACCCGGCCAGCCTCGGGTGTGTCGATCATGGACTGGAAACTCAAGACGACCAGAGTATGGCAGAGGGGAGCTGCTGAAGTAGAACAGATCTCAACGCCATCTCTACTGGATATCAGAAACAAGTGAATAGCGGATGGAATACTCCCTTATTATTGTCATCTACATACATACAATAAATACATCTTACAAGTCTCAACAGGCTGATTGAAAAATATCCTTGTCAAGAGTTGAAGACGCAAAAGCCAGGAATGTCGAATCGAGATGATGCAAGGATCCACAGCCACGACTCCACTCTGCGAGTGACAGTTGAACCGGTTCGGTAATTAATGCGGGGGAGATTTCCCTCTAGCAGTAGTCTAGCTCAACGGTTAACAGGTTAATACTCCCCGTCCTAGCTTATTAGATGCAGATAACTGGGTGTGGCGGCCACCTAATAAGAATAATTCCCGCACGTGAAACAACCTCACCCAGAGAGTACTGACAGGCTCATAATTCAGCTAATTAATTAATTACGTGTCCAGGCTGAATTCGAAATGAAATTGGAATTATCGTATTGTAGGATACTGTCTTACTGTTAAAAAAAAAATATAATAATTACTGCCTTGGAATTAAAATATAGCTAATTAAATAGTTAAAATGAGACATATAGCTACCCTTTATCATAAATATATACCTATTATTACTATCGCTTTCTTTATAACATCTAGCACATAGATAAATAGGTACCTTTAATATCACAAACTAAGAGCTTATAGCCTCTAAAAGATTAGAGTTAGAAAGCCCCTATGAAAAAAAAAAAAGCTTTTAATTTTATAAGATCCTCATTAATATATATTAGCCTTTAGCCTAAAGGGCTAAAAATAAGTATTTAAAGAAGAGATTAAATAATATAAGTAAGAAAATTAATATTTTAGATATAGGTCTTATTGTTTTCGTGGGTATATGGAGTACATTGGTGGACTATATGTATATATATACACACATGCCAAAATTATATAGCGATCTGCGTATACCCCATATCAACCTGTACAGAATGAGAATAATAACAATTCAACGAAACGGATATCTTATTTCCATCAATACCCCGTGTAATAGCTAATATCTCGCAATGAAACATTTCAGTCATGTCTACACGACTCTCTAAATCCCTTCTCTCGACGCGCGAGTCGATCGTCAACTACAACCCCCCTCTTCATTAATCAACGCCCGCGCAGCGCTCAGCACCCGCGAATGCACCTTCTCAGGCGCAACGACCATCCCATAAGCCCCCGCCAACGTCCTCCCCAACCCGCAATCAATCGGATTCCCGTCCAGATCCGTGATCGTGCACCCTACCTCCTCCGCGATCAGCATCCCGCCCGCGTGGTCCCACAGGCTGGATCGGTAGCTCTTCCTGCGCGGGATCTTTATCAGCGCGTTGCATCCGCCCACGGCGATGGCGACATAGCGCATCTGCGACGACCATAGGTCTGTGTCCGGCGGCCAGGGGGCGCCGAACTGCGCTGCCAGAGCCCCGTGCTTGTCAAAGTCTGTCGATTTGGCGGCCCTGCAGTCGACGAAGCGCAGGTCGCGGAGATCCATGTCCACGTCGCGCAGTCGTGCTGGGATCCGTTGTGCGGGTGCCAGTCCGCCGCGGCCCAGCGGTCGGAGGAATGCTCCCTGTCCCGCGACAGCAGAGAGCATCAGCCCGTATCCCTCCCTGTCCACGACGTCTTCGCGGACTACTTGGCCTGTCGTAGAATCTATCCGGAGATTGGGACAGCCCAGCACGCCCAGTTTCTGCTTCCCATCTTCGATCAGAGCAAGGCACACGGCGTACTGCTGTCCGCGCATAAACGTCGCCGTTCCATCGACCGGGTCGAGCACCCACATTCGTCCCGACGAAGAAGACCGGCCGTCCCCTTTGCCGCCGAGGTCGATGATGTCGAGCATGGCCTCCCTCGTCGGTGGGGAGGTCAGTAGCGCCTCACTGTCGGCGGCGTCGTCGTCGCCGTCTAGCCGCGTCGACGAGACCAGCTCCCAGACGCGTTCCAGCAGCTGGGGATCCTGGCGGAGCGTAGCGGCCGACTCTTCGCCCACGAAGCTGTCGGCAGGGAAGGCATGGTGGATGGCGCTGATGATGAGCGCCTGGGCCGCGAAATCGGCGATTGTCACGGGGGTGTTGTCGCTCTTGTCCATTGCGCCTTTGTCCACGGCCGCGATGATGGTCTTGATGAGGAGCGCTGCTCGTTGCACGGCGAGACAGGCTATCTCCAGTTCCTTGCTGTAGGGGCTTGATGGGTCTGGATCCATTGTGGACGACGATGTTCTTGAAAGGCGCCTTTAACAACAGAAGATGTCTTCAATGCTCGACAGCCGATATGTACTGTACAGACAGGACAGGACAGGACAGCTTGGCCGCAAATAGAAACAACTAACACAACCAAACCAAATCGTTATCACCGTAGAAGCGCTTATTCAACGCCCAAAAAAAAGGTCACTGGTATCAACCGATCATACAAATTCCGCATTCAATGCCTAGATCATCAGGTGGGTTAAAAGGAAAAAAGAATACCAACAAGATCAGATCTCATATGTGAAACAATGAAAGAAACAAAAAAAAATTTACAATTTTTCAATTCTTGTGCAGGATAAACTCAATTGAATCGGTGCTATGAGGGGAACTCGTCAAATACCAACTGCTCCCGTTCCACCATATCATATATGCATCGGTCAGGTTACAGGCATGGAGCGTACTCAGGACTGCATCAGGATATTCTGATCACGGGCCTTGGCACCATGCGCAGTCATCACGTGATTGATGTAAGTAGGCACCCTGCATCCATTATTCTATGGCAAATACCACGGCATTACCTAGTGATATTAACCTATTCTATGGATATCATACTGTTGTGTATTTACACACTCTCCAGAGGCTGAGAGGTGCGCCGTATTGGTCGTCCGCCGTCTGCCATCCCAGTCGTATCCTATCCCAGTCTACCCTCTGTAACGGTGAACAAGAGAAAAGGTACAAGCCATAACAATGAACATGAAACTAAAAACACCAAAAAAACAGAGTACTCGTAAACTGCTGTCGACGTCATCCGTCCGGAATCGTCTCACGTGACCAATGCTTTCTAGTTCAAAACGGGGCGAAAGCAAGCTCATACGCAAAGGCAAGGCTCATTTTGGCGTGCTGCAGCATGTGATCGAAGCTCAGGTATTTGATCAGGTCTTCCGTCGAGTGGATCTTCTTGTCGCTGTTCTGGAACTCGGATTCAATGACAAACGCCGATGGGTAGCCGTATCGGCTTGCGGAGGCGTGGTCGGAGCAGGCATAGCCGCACTTAGTTTCCACATATGGAATATCACAGTACTACCGACAAAGTGTCAGCTGTGAAAAAAGGTAGTAAAGTGATATTAGAAAAAAATCTTACCTCCGTGATGACATCTTTGATAAACTCGGTCAAAGGCTTGTCGACGTAGTCAACAATAACCCCGACCGACTCCTCGTGTCCGGCATCCAGCGAGCCTTGAACGTAACCAGTCATGTCCTGTTGAAGCATGGCTTTGACGTCCCTGTCATGCTTCCTGTGGTTGGAGAAAATGGCCTGCGAGCCGAGCAGACCACCTTCTTCGGCGGAGTACCAATGGAACTCAACCGTGTTAGTCGCGTTTCCACGGGCGATCTCCCCTGACTGCAGCAGGGTACGCAAGACTTCCAGGATCGTCACCGTTCCACTCCCATCGTCATCCGCGCCGGGGGCTGGCAGAATCGACGGGAGGAACAGGTTGATGCTGTCCTGGTGAGCGCCGAGAACGATCGTCTTGTTGGTCTGGCCAGGGATGCGGGCAATGATGCTGAATTGGCCCCACGGGTGGTCAAACTTCTCCACCGTTGCGCCATACTCAGCGGCTCCCGACTCGTTGACGATGTCTTGGACCTGTCCGTACAGCCATGTTGCGGACTGGACACCGTATTCCGACTTGTAGTATCGGGTATGAAAGGAGGTGAAGTGCTCCAGGTTCTTCCTCATGTTGTCCTTGGACAACTGTTTCGCCAGCAGCTTGATGGCCTCAGTCTGGGCCATCTTGGAGGGATACTGAACCGCATTGGCCCTGAAGAACTTGGGGTAGCTTCCGCTCTTGGCTTCATCGGTGATATCAAGGAAGTTGACGCCATCCTAGTCCGCGAAACAGGTTAGCTAACCATTTGACTCATCCAGGAGCAACAATGTGCTGTGAATCTGGACGAAAGGCCCTCACCAACTTCAGATCCCACTTCTCCTCTTCCGTCACCCATCGTGTCTGATAGGGCGCCAACTCGATCAGGTATTTCTCGGAGTTTGAGTGCGTAGCCGGTCCATCGTGCGAGGAATCCTCATGGATCAGGGGCTCCTGCTGAGTAGGAAGCACAGCAGCTAATGTCGTCTGGGCAGCTGCGGCGCCCAGCGCGAGCGCAGTGAGAAACTTCATGATGACCCGGCGATCGCTGCCGCAGACACGTGAGGAGACAGAGGGGCGTACGCGCCGGTAACGATGGGAAGGAAGGGAGAATTTCTGGGAAGGTATATAGTTATATAGGCAGGATAGATGGGCAGCAGAAGTACCAGCGCCTACGGAGTATCGTCGCGATCATCCGAACAGGGCCAGGAGCTCAGGGTGTCGAGGCAGACGACAGGCAGAGCGTTGGGCTGGATGACATCTCGACTGCGGAGACTCATCCGCTGGGCAGGCGGCTTCTCCTCGCCTTGCCGACGACACGTGACGTGATTGGCGCACGGGCAGGTCCACCGGCGAAACGAGGCCAATCAGCTGGTGCGACGCCGGGCAGTTCCACTCGGGCGGCTTGCGAGCGTATCTCTGGAGTCCCTGGCAGGGCACGATAAGGCAGCGCAGCTCTGTAGAGATCATCCATGATGGCCCTTGCTCTGTTTCAAGTCTCAGGTCAACAGTTTCATGATTTTGTTTTCAACCCTGGATGAAATGTTGTTATGATGAAACACTAATGAGACCAGACCCTCTGATAAGAGAGATTCAGAGGCCACTACGGAGAACCGTCGTGCTACATTCCAGAATTGGCGATTTGAACGCCCTTCACATCGACTCCAGAGATTTGCCTGGTTCTTTTTTTTTTCATAGAAGAGCTATTAATTTAATTAATACCTGTTTTATAGCAATGTCAATCCGTTTTTGACGTTCAGGCGCGGATTACTCGACGGCGGTCCAACACCAAAGAGAGGAAACTGATTTACCTGGAGATAAAAGTGGCGATCGCTCTCACGTCCTCATTCCTACAATCTATAATTGCAGACCGGAGTCCCCAGACACAGTCGTCTTGGGAGAGCTGGTCGCCATGATCACTATCATTCAAAACCGCATGAGGCAGGAAAATTTCAGAGACGTAACTGTCTTTCCTGTCCCGGAGTTGCTTTGAGCGACATTGCCAACTGAACGACGATATAGATCCTGATGTTGTCATTCATGGGCCTCAGCATGGTCGTATCATCCACGTTCATTTCGATGGAGCGAACCTTACTCTGCATCTGCAATATTCGCCGCTGTATAGCTTTGAATACAAGGGGACGGCTCTGTTAGCTTTTTCTTTCAGTATCTCCTGAGCAGCCCAGTTGCTTAGGAGTTATGTGACTGCCTGCCTTAACTATACGTAATTGCAGAGACCCCACCAATTGCTCTACTACATGTACCGCTCAGACCGTTGTAGGGCCTGCGGTCCGTCACTCGACAGTCATGGATATGGATGAGTTTGCGTAAAGTTGCCAAAGAAAGCGTAAAGCGGCAGCAACACCATGGACAGGCCACAAAAACCGACGCAGCCATGGCCTTGCACGCCATTTCCGCCGACATCGTGCTGGACGCGTGGATGAGTAAGAGTGGAGCCGGTGCCCGCAAGCCGGGGGTCGGCCGTGCTCGTCCGCCAACCACACGCCCGCCTGAGGCCACGCTATCAGCGCGCTTCCGAAGGGTTATCGCGGCCTCGAAGTCGAGGGGCCATCTGGCCAGGCCGACTTATCGACTAGAGCTCTCCTCTCCCTGTCAGGGCTCCCTGCCTCCAAGGACCTCGACTGCGTCTCACCATTGCAGTGGCATCTGCATCGTCTCACTTTTCTCGTCCAGAACAGTCGAAAAGGGACAGTTAGACCCCGGCCGAAGTTCACCCGCGCGCGTGCGGCAACGAATCTCACCGCGGCTATTGGCGTATCAGCTCATTGCTACGAGCAATTGACCATGGCCATCCACCCGAGTTTGCCCTCGCAGCCCTCTCAATCGGGCCACTTGACGCCGCAGCAAGCACACGCCATCTCCCGCTGGACGGAGGAAGCGACAGCCTCGCTGCAGAATTTGGATATCTCCGCTTCGGGACCCGACGCGAATGCTCCGGAAGAATCTGGAACGCCAATTCGCGGCACCTCTGTGCCTCTGACCATCCCTCTCGATGACCCGATCTACCAGACGGATGACACCTTTAATTCCCGCGTGAAGATTGTCAAAGACCGCCCGGACACGGAGACTCACCGGGTCTCGTCCATCACCTATCGGCGTCGTGAGCCAATCCGTCGAGATAGCTTGAAAAGGCGCGAGGCACTGCTGAAAGGAAAAGAGGGCAGTCGACGGAGACAGCGCTGGGAGAACGGTATGTTGAAGCCGCTGCGTGTTGCACCATGAGCTGCCAGGTTCACCAATCGTGACCCGATGGCGGAACACTGCGACCAGCACACTGCGCAACATCAATCCTGCTCAGTTGGAAGTATCATACTGACCAAAGACACAATGAAGACCGTCTCTTGAACAACCCCTGGGCCCAGCCACCATCGGCCAGTGACTGGCTGATCCAGCCCACTTATCCCCGGCACGATACCGTCCCGTATTACCTAGCGACCCTTTGGGATGCGCATTACGCGCACAAGGAACATGGAAAAGGATCAAGAGCTGCGAGGGCAAACAAGAGCAAGGAGGATGAGAAGCATCAGGTCCCCAAAGATCTCCGCAAGACGCTCAAGCATGCGCGTGCAGCCCGGGGACTGCTCCAGGATCTGGAGGAGGACATCCGGCGTTTTGTCAAGCAATGGAGTGAGAAGCAATTGATTCTCCGGGAAGAAGGTCTGGAGGATGCTCCGACGAGCTCCGACAGCGCTGACTCAGAGGATGAGATTGTCTTCGTGGGTCGCAACGGGCAGATGCATGACTCTCCCGAGCGGCGGAGGCGGCTAAGACGGATGAAAGAGGAGATGAACTCTCGTCACGAGAGGGATGGCGAAAAGATGGTCTTTGAGAGTCTTGCCAACGATCGGGGAGCTGTTTTTGGGTACGTTTGCTGCTTCCCAGCCCGCACTTTTTTTTTTCCAGCTGGATCAACAAGTTGGGCCGTGCTGACACCTTCTATGATCGATAGGCGCTGGCTTGTCCATTCGATCGCTACTTACTATGGTCTGTACACTTGGTCGGTGACAGTCGGTGATCCCCCTCGACGGCAGGCCTATGTCGGATTCAACCCGCCCTCGCTACGCGGGCGAGAGGGACAGATTTCGTTCCCACCGGGCTCAACCATGAACTGCCGTGGCACGACGAAGATTAAGCCCGGCGACCCGCTCCCGAAACCTCTCTGGATGCAGCTCTAAGAGGGAAGAGAGTGACTTATAAACACTTGTCTACCTGAAGATTTCTATCGATGTAGATTCTTCAGTCGTTTCGAGTCCGTCTACAGCATCTGTTTCTGTTTCTGGGCGAGAGGCGAATGAAACAATGTGTGTCGGACACGGGAGCAGTATTGACATCATTGGTTGGACAATGGGTACCTGATTTGGTCTTTCCAGTGCTACATGTAGCGCTAGGATCTTCAATAGCACTCTCAACATTTTCCCAAGTAGGCTAGATTGAACTGTCATTCTGCATTGTGACGCTGTCGGACAGAATGCTTGGAGGCTAGCCAGCTAAGCCGAAACTTCTGGGTCTCGACGGTGTGGAGCCCCAAGCAAGACGAGGAGAGAGGAAGATTCGATCGAAATAGACTTTGCAGTTTGACATCATCTGGCAGAAACTGAACTGGCCAATAAACGTGCATGGAAGCAAAATCTATGGTCGAGGTGTCGGCCACGATGACAGTCAACCATGGTGTCATCAACGCTGGAAGATCGGAGGTTAATTGGATATTCAGGATCTGTGACGCATCAGATAAGCATTCCTCCCATATGAGAGCACGTTGCAGACATGGTGGACTGGGCCTATGGTTGCCCAATACTCCGTTTCTCCCCCACCGAGAGAGCTGCGGGGAGACCCGGGATCGGGGATTCGGTCCGCCCCGAACAGACCCGTTCAGATAATCAACTCTCGCGATAATAGTCTCCTTGTGCTGTGCTATAAACTGCCAGATTAGACGGGAGCAGAACAGATAGCCATGGCTGAGAACTTTGATCTCCCGGGCAGCGAGTTCAACCTCCCACTTGTTTAGACCGTTAGTTAGACCCGTGCTGGATTCCATTTTATTATAGAACACGGCCAGCAGACACCGTGATATGTTGCTATAAAAGTAAGCTGTCAAGAGCAGCTGGCAGAAGCATCTAGAGCGTGCTTCACCTCGCCGGGGACTCCGTAATCTGATATGGCAAATAGATCTGAGCCGCAGTTGGCGAAGTCTGAGTCAGGCACTCCGCGCTGCGGGTCATCCAGGCAGGAGCTCTCTACTCCGTATGCTGCGACGATATTCTCCACAGTTCACTAACCGCACGGCGGGGCGTATCCTTGCCTTTGGAATTTGGGGCAGTTCCATCGTGATGAAGCGTCCGCAGCCTCAGAAGGTGCAGGGTGGCACGTCACTGGACAAGCAGGTTAGGGCGGGCGCTTCGAGAAGGCTGCATCACTGTTGTGACACACTGTTTGCATGATCAACCGTCAGGGAGGTGTGCGATCAACCGGAGACAAGGACTCGGACTCGAGGAATGGCGAGTGGATACGATGTCCTGCGGCATGCCTGGCTGCACATACAGTTGATCAGTAATGTGACACCAGGGCACTCAGCAACACGCGCACGCCGTATACGTAGCCCACCGGTCAGGTGACTCCGTCCAGCAGGCGAGCGCCCCGAGTGTCCATCTCGCCGGCAATTATTGGAGGCCGACTGCAGCGTGCATGCAGCCCTGCATCCGACGACTCGACTTGTTCCAGCGGCTGGGAGTGGTCTGCGCGAGCTGGTGATAGCCGCCCGACCACGGCTGTCCACCACATCAGGCGGCCATGGCAGCGCTGTCGTGGTGCTCTGTTTCCTGCCTGCTGAAGCCCTCTCCGCTCCTTCTGGCTGCCATTTGCCCGGCAGGCGGCCTTGCGGTGCTTGTACTCTGTAGGCCACGCGATCGCAACGCAGCCCCAGCGACCCTTGCCCTGTCCCCTCCATCAGGGCTGTTCCCTGCGCCACGCCTGCTGATACCTTTCATCCCTTTCGTGGGGGGGGGGGGCGCTTCTGGCACATCCCTCTGGTGTCAGATGCTCCCTGGCTCTCCCTCGTGTCCTGCTCGTCCTTGCTTTTTCCATCTCTTCCCCTTGGCTCTGCTTTTATGAAGGGTCGACGCAATGATTGCCCATCGCGAGTGATTTGTTATTGCTTCCGAGGCGTGAAACAACAGCACGCCTCACTCATCTCCAACAAGTTCCGGTTGCTTGGTTACGTGTCTGCGAACATTCTTTGTATTGTTGATTTTCCCCAAAGCTTGACCCACCCTGAATACCTAACAATGGAGGCAGTCATCTAAATGCCTTGCGGCTGCCGGAAAGTTCCTCGTGGCCTTGACTGCCTGCTACCGTGATACCGTCGGTTTAGCCCCTGTTGTGTTTATGCATTCCGAGATTCGAGTCTTTTTAAAGTGCCTGTGCTGAAAACTCCTGGTCCTGCAAAACCCCTTGATTCACACTTCATCGTCTTAGGTACATGGTGATTTGGTTGATACCTTCATCATGCGCACATCTGCAAGGACAAGTCCCATGCGCTCTGCAAAGAGCAGCAGTCCCAGTGCCACGTCCAGCAGTGATGGGTCAGAACACTCAAAGAGCACTGTTCCAACTGTCTATAGTCATCGCCCTGTGGTGAAGCAACAGAGTCCCTTTTATACGGGAGATGCGCGAGATTCCACATCCACTTATGCCTCCACCGTCCCTTCCTTCGAGGATCTCCCCGATGAGCCCCGGTATGAGGTCGTGACGGACCGACATGAGACATTCCCGTCTAATGCCATCCCTTCGAATCCATCCACATTCGCAGAATTGTTTCCGTCAGGGAGACGCCTCTTGATCCGCCATGATGATTCGACCATCGACGGCAATATGAACCTGAGGGTCGATACGTTGGTGCAGCAGGATGGCCGCATCCCGCAAGAGGTGACTCTCTACCACCTTCGAATGCACGATCTGCACACCCGAAAGTTCTCATTTCGCCGCTATTGCCGGGAATCGGGCCGAGAAGTCTGTCATTCGGTAAGGAAGTTCAATCAGTCGGCCGTCGCGAAGCGGCCCCTGCGACGGTCGTTGAGCACCGTCTTGTCCAATCTGCGACCTGGATCGAGTGGGAATTCGTCCGCAGTCGCAAACTTGAAGAGGCAGGATTCGGGCTACAAGTCGGGAACGGACGAGGATGTGTTCTTTGATGATGACTCTATGGCCGGATCTGAACAATCCACGACGCCGACCAACACGATCTTACTCGAATTTTCCAATTATGCGCATGTGGATGTCAAACGACGGGCACTCAACCCGTTCAAACGGTATGAATTTGAATACTGGAGCACCAAATACCAATGGCGACGGGAATCTCGAAAGGAAGGCGATTACAAGGAGATCTCGTACCATCTGGTTAACATGGACACGTCCAAAACCGTGGCACACATCGTTCCAGAGGTATTGACGCCCATGGAGATGGTCGAGGAAGAAAGCAAAGGCGGCTGGGTCCCGCCATGTTCTATGTGGATCAGCGATCCATCGATCTACGAAAAGATGCATGATGTTGCTGAGTAAGTCTTTTTGCCCTATTCAGACTGGTTGATCATCATTGCTAACTTAAGCAGCGTTGTCGTTGCCACTGGTCTGATCGCGCTTGTCGATGACAGCATCAGACGCCGCTGGCATAGCAAGAGGCATGTACTTCTAAGTCTGCCCAAGAACCCTTTCATGAGGAATGTAGACGCGGTGCCCGGGAAAAAATTGATTGACGAGATGTACCACCGCTGCGGGTCGGCATAGGTATTTCTATTTCCATAGGTTTCTTCTTGCTCTCTCTTTTTTCTCTTATCTTCCCTGTTTGTCTGTTTCTCACCCCTAGATCACCAGAGCTCTTGCAAGTGTCGACTCACGTCGGCCTGAGCTGTCAATGACTGTCCACCACTGTAATTTGCTTCCTGTATATGCGCCGTCCCTGGTGACCTTTTTGTGTTGTCCTACGACGGGCGCACTGTATAATGGCTCACGCTTGATCTACATGTGATCTCCATTCTGGGATGTTGGTGGTTATCGTCGCTTGGGAACTGGATGATGCGTCTGCACATTGTACTCTTGTTTTTCCTTTGGATATGTTGGGCGTCTCTCAGTTGAGAAGGGGACTGATGGGACATATGATTTTTACACCATGGCGTTAAAATTGCAATGCTTACGATCTCATGACCTCCGTCGCTTGCTGGCGTTCTACAAATGGACGACTCTGTATCACTGCTCACCTAGCTGGCATCGACAGAATGCTGGGGAAGTTGGAGGGCGAAACCCCGGTCTTGCAGCTGGACGACAGTAAAGCCAACCATTGCCTCTAGCAGTACTCTTTCCGTATCCTCCGGCCATCCATAATAGTTGGAGCATGTGTTGGATCATGTTGCACAGTCGGAATCAGCGTTCCAACTCTCCTGACTGGTAATGCTGTGCCGCAGCAGTCATTGCTGTACGTCTGCTGGTTACCATCCATATATTGGATTTAATTAATCCATAGATTCGTATCCGATTATGGGAAGGAGAAAAGCCAGAGACCGGCTACCCGAAATGGCAGGTCTGATCGGGGACTTTCGCTCGTGGTAGAAAAATTCTCGCAAAACCCATCCGATTCTGCTGCTACATCAGCAATAATAATAACGACTGCTGTGGCGGCGACAATGATGGCGGTGATGATAGTGATGCAGGCATGAGTGCCCAAAATGATGGTGCCAGGAGGAAGCAGCGAATCACGGGGTTCCACAGGATCCGGCTCGTCGACCTTCCCAGCTTCAATCCCCTCGCTGGCGCCGCGTTTCCTGCATGACTGCCCAGGTTCGTCTGAAGAGGTAAGTCGATGCTGTTCTTGAATCATGTCTAGAGAGAAGATCCCTTGGAAGAAGTCATGGGCTCGTCTGAGAAGTAATTGGTGGGGTGTGGCCGCATATTTCATCCTGTGTCACCGTGTCTGCTAACTGGCGCGGACAGTGCTGGACTATTTCTCGTTTGACATTATATCCGCCCCTTGCGCAATGCCTTCTCTCCCGGGCTGATGAGCTGGCAACCCTGATTTTTTTTTATTTTGTTTCCTCTTACTGGGCCCGCTTGCAATAGCGTGGAGCCAACTGGCTAGAATCTAAGTGCGTTTGAGGGTTTGTCAATTCGCCGCTTCTCGACTGGGTCCCTCTCCGCTTCGGGCTTCGAAGGCCCCATTTCGAAATCCTCCACCGCTGGGAGAACAGCCAGAGAGAACCCATGCAGATCCGACCATAACCACGTTTACTGTATTGTATGGGGTGAAAGATGCGAGACTGGCCGTCCGAATGGCTCCCCCATATACCCTGGCGACCACCGGTTCGTTCCATGTCTACAATCACCGCTCTTTCTTCCCCAGCCAGGGTGGCGGCTGGCCCTGTCGACGAGTGGCCGCTGGCCCTCTCCGAGGTTTGACGTTCCTCAGGAGCGATATCCTGGCTCTAATGAGAGTGCGCGGCGGGCCGTCCCTGCTTGCAGCCTCAATGATCCGCATGTTCCTCATATGCACTTTGTTGTCGTTTGAGTGGAGGACAAGACCATGAGGGGCATCTGCCAACGGCAGTTGATGTTTCCACCTTAACATGCATAAGTCTTGTCCTCCGGTTTGCGAGTGAGGGGCAATTGTTGTTGTTGTTGTTGTCTAAGTCGACTGGCCATCACAGATATGCTCCCCCCGGCGCTGCGATGCCAACGGGGTTTAATATGAGCTTCCCCGCCTCACATGTAGGTCCAGAAAAATTTTTTTGGCTGTGAGAGAGCTTCAATCATAGATTCTAGTTCGTCTATATTCTGTTCCATTCCTGTCGCTACTCTTGTATTCTAACCGCCTTGTGTCGTTCGCTGTGCTTCCCATCCCCCTCCGACGGCGGGTTGTCAATTTCTTGAAATTCTTTCGGAGTGATTAACTGCCGTTTTTTCGACTTGCTTCGTTATTAGAATGTCTGCTTCAATGCCTGGCAGTCCTCAGGGGAATGTTGGCAACCGGATCAGCTGGCAGCAGCAGCTGGAAGGTCTGGGAACTTCACCCTGTTTTTCTTTGCTTAATTTGTTTCCAGTTATACATCTCTTTTTCCAAACATGCTGACCAGCAACAGACCATTGCAGAAGAGCCAAGTTGCAACCTCCAATTTTCAATATCGTCTCTGATCGTCGAGGTACTGTAACTTGCCGTTTCTTTCTTTCCATGTTGCTTGCGGAAATCGACCTGGGGGCTGTTGTCGTTCCTGAGAATTGCCGAACCTTTGCCGTCAACTGCCAGCACAATGACTGACTTGATTTCTTATTGTTTAGGAGGTCGTACTGCGTGGTCGAGCACCGTCACTGTCGGGGGACGAAATATCGCCGCACGATACTGGTACGACGGACAGTACCTTCACAACGCCAGAGAAGACGCCGCCGAGGTGGCCCTCATGCAGCTGAATGCCCAGGATCCGAACCAGTACTACGCCCAACACAATGGATATCCCAGGACTACGGGTTATTGATATGACCTGTAGCGCCCTGAATAGCCTGCCAACGTTCTCCCAGTCGTCGACTCTGCGCGATCAAGAATCCGCCTACTGGCGTCTGGGAGAGATGTAACGATAAAAGTTCACCCGCAATACGGATCCTGTTGGACTCGAATGTCACCACGACGAGATCGACTGGTTTCTCTTTTCTAGGTTTTCCGACTTTCTCCGTTCCCTTCCATGCGCTTGGTTGCATTTTTCCGAGTCGCATTTGTACCAAATCAGACTAGCAGTCCACCACGCTACCGCTCGCTATCTCTTCTGCCTTCGTGTCTCGGTCGGTTGTTTTTGGGTATGGGGTCAATGTGATGAGTTTACGACAGAACTTGATGTCTTGTATTTGAGGGCGCACTTTGGGTATATCACTGTACAATGCTGTTTTTGTTTTCTTTTTGTCTGCCCGTTGAGGTGCAAATCTGCGTGACCTCACCGTGGCACCGCGATGTGCAATGACTTTACGAACGTTGATGGAACTAGAATGGTATGGCATTGATGCACGGAAACTGAAGTTGTCCGTTTGGACCTGGTATTGGAGTTCAGAATGGAAATTGGTTATGCCTTGGCGTATCTGGAGTCAATCCACCATTTCGACTCTTCTGCTCGCAGCCACTCGATAGCAGCAATCATTCGGACAATCACAAGTGGTGCGGGCTTATTGCTGACATGAAGTCTTTTTTTTTTTGCTTTTTCTTTTTTTTATTTTGACGATTTTCCAAATGATACTTCTATTTTTCCATAGCTGTATCGATCAGTCCTTCCCATTTCGCCTGGCTATGAGGTCATAGACGCTTCCAGAGATGTTATGTCGTTAAGATCGTCATCGATGTGATTTGGCTGCATGATGCTTCTGCCACATGCCCCCCTCCAATGCCCCTATGCCCGCAATACGTGGCCCAAGTCACAATGTTGCAGTACAGAACTTTGGTACCTAATGCATGCACGTTCTCGGACGGGCCGCCGTGCATTGACATCCAGGCTAAAAAAAAAGGGGCGTCTGACCAACTGTAGTTAGTGAAGCTACTGTAGCCTTTCCCCGCAGAGAAGGCACGAAAATACCTAAATGAATGAGGGTCCTTCTGTAGGTAGCTTTTGCGCATGGGCTTTTTTGGATGTGTCATTTTAAGAACATCCTACTAGGCAAGTAAGAAAGAAAAAAAACTGTTGTAACTTGTACAGTACTACTACTACCTACATACAACTGAAGTTGTATTATTATTGGGCAAAATCATCCATCCATCTACCACCTAGGTACCTAGTCTGACAGACAACCTGGAGACTATCCGGCCGACATTACCAGGTATTGCTGTAGCCTATGTGTACCCTATCACATTCAAGCAAAAGACAAACTCGATAAATGAAAAATGTGATGCAATCTGACAGACATAGCGCAACACAACACAACTAAGCAAGTGAACCACACCATTACGGAGTAGATTAGGTCCTTGATGGTTCCAGGTTCCCGCCGTTCCGCTTCAGAAATGTCATTCTTGCGGGCAATGATAAGGGAATGTCTCACGGAGGCTAAAATGATGTTAGCAGGTAGCTCCTAAGCTACCGAGGTTAGGTAGCTAATAGCTGGAGTGTCTTGTCTGTCTAAAATAACTTTGGAAGGTGCTGTACCTACGGGGTACTATCGATGATTTGGAATGAATTATTTTTTTTAATAAAAAAAATCCCTATCTTTGTTGATTTGTTCAATGAAGGAGATTGATTGCTGGCGATATGCACGACAATGATAATAGACTGGATAAGCATCGATTCGATTCCTTTTCATTATTCATTATTAATTCAGGTAAACAGAGATAACCTAACGGTGTAGGTATCTAAAGCGGGGTAATAGAGGGGGGAAGAAGGGAAAAGAAAGGCGAAGAGCAATCTCCTCCATGCATGCATATAGCATGCTATTCATCCAGCCAATGATATGCAGCTAAGAACAGGCGTCACATGACCGCTGGATTAACTATCGTTATTGTTATTACATAATCAAAATGACTCAGCGCTGCAAACACGACAAAATTTCCCTGTCAGGACGGGCAGATTGCTGTGCTTGATTCAAGGCACTCGATAACGACTCGACGGCCACAGACGCAGTGCATTCCCTCATCCGGTCAATAATAGTCCTGTTTTTTTTTTCTTTGCGAATTCTGCAAAACCTTCTGTGAATAAGTTACAAGCTTTTATTTCCTCTCCTGCTTGCAAATACCCATCTTCCCCGCGATTGCCCCGCGCGGGGCTCACGTCGCAGCCATGTCCGCAGCTGCAGGTGCTTCAGCACGCAAACCGATGCCCTCGGCATTGACCTTTGATCTGGTCGCCAAATGCTCTGTATGTAGCCGGTATATCCTATACGAAGTCTTTTTTCGGGCAAATATATACATAACCACCTTGATGTACATCACGGCCATTGTAATTTCGTGTCTCATTTTCTTCTAATTGTTGCTCATCTCTAGACCACCAAAGCCCGAGCCAGCACGCTCCATCTCCCTCATGGCTCTGTGCCGCTCCCAATCTTCATGCCTGTCGCCACTCAGGCGTCCCTCAAAGGTCTCACCTACGACCAGCTCGCCCAAACCGGATGCAAGCTCTGCTTGAACAATACCTACCACCTCGGTCTCAAGCCGGGACAAGCGGTGCTGGACCAGGTGGGCGGAGCACATAAATTGCAGGGATGGGATAGAAATATCTTGACGGATAGCGGTGGGTGGGTTTCCTTCGCTCGGTTCTCTTATTGTTTTGAGTGTTTTTATCCGGGAGAAGTCATCTCCCTTGAAATTATCTACATTCCAATCTTTCTACGTGAATGCTAATTCTGGTCCTGCGTTTTAGCTTCCAGATGGTCTCCTTGTTGAAGCTCGCAAAAGTCACCGAGGAAGGCGTGCGCTTCCTCAGTCCACACGACGGCACCCCAATGTAGGTTTTAGACACCATGCAGCCAGTCTATCCGAGAGAAGCTGACAACTCCGCAGGCTTCTCACTCCCGAACACTCCATCTCGCTGCAAAATTCTATCGGCTCGGATATCATCATGCAGCTCGACGACGTCATCGTCACCACATCGCCCGACCACGAACGGATGAAAGAGGCCATGGAACGGTCGATCCGGTGGCTAGATCGATGCATTGCCGCCCACAAATACCCGGAACGCCAGAACCTGTTCTGTATCATCCAGGGCGGTCTTGATCTTGACCTGCGGAGAAAGTGCACCGAGGAGATGGTGGCTCGAGATACGCCTGGCATTGCCATTGGCGGCCTGTCTGGGGGTGAGGCCAAAGAGGACTTTTGCAAAGTGTTCGTACTGTGACTATCCACATGTAATTGCCTGCAGTTTGCTGACTCTGCCAGGGTTGACACGTGTACCGGAATGCTTCCTGAGAAGAAACCACGATACGTGATGGGCGTGGTGAGTTTACGCGTTGAGTCAGGTACAGAGGAATATCTGCTCATTTATTTCTCAGGGCTACCCTGAGGACCTCGTCGTCTCAGTCGCCTTGGGCGCAGATATGTTCGACTGCGTCTGGCCTACGCGAACGGGGGTAAGTTCTGCCCTCTGAGCAATGAGATGAAAATGCTTACGCCATCACAGCGCTTCGGAAACGCTATCACGCCATATGGCGTGATTAATATCCGCCACGCGTCCTACGCGGAGGACTTTTCGCCCATTCAGGACGGATGCACCTGCACATGCTGTCGACCCAAAGAGGAAGGCGGCCTCGGGATAACAAGAGCATACGTTCACCACCTTGTGGCGAAAGAGACGGTGGGAGCGCATCTGTATGAGTTCCTTGCCCAGTTTATCAGGGTTCTTGCGACTCGATGCCTGCTAAAATACGTACGTGCTAACGACCTCCCAGACTCACCATGCACAATGTTCACTACCTCCTCTCTCTCATGGGCTCTGTCCGACAAGCAATCATTGAAGACCGATATCCGGCGTTTTTGCGCGAATTTTTCGACAAATTATATGGCCACCGGAGCAAATCGCCCGAGTGGGTGATTAATGCCTTGCGTGGTGTCGGAGTAGATTTGCTGGCGGAGTAATCGGAAGACACATGGAGTATTTCTTTCTTTCTTTCTTTCTTTCTTTCTTTCTTTCTTTCTTTCTTTCTTTCTTTCTTTCTTTCTTTCTTTCTTTCTTTCTTTCTTTCTTTCTTTCTTTCTTTCTTTCTTTCTTTCTTTCTTTCTTTCTTTCTTTCTTTCTTTTTTCTTTTTTCTTTTTCTTTTTTTTTCGAAAATGTACTGTATGTACATATATTGATATAGGTTTGCATTTGGCTTTGGAGGCTTCATTGCACGGGGAGTTGTAGTGCATTGGCGCATATACTTGGATTTAATACTTGAATGCTTGAATAGTGGAACAATTCATCCATGACCTCCGTGATGCAATTCTTGGAATCATTCCAGAGTGAAAATTAAAACTTATTGAAGAAGGGATGAATAAAAAAAGGAAATGTCAATAGCGACGCGAGAACCCTAGTCTGATAGGGCACTTGCGGGGCTTATCTTCACGTGATCAGGCTGCGGCGCGTCGCGTCCGCGCGTTCCTTTTCCAGTTCCGATCAATTTAATCCATCCAGTCCAGCACATACATACTAAACAAAGCACATCTCACTCGAACCGCGGTGGAGGCGTCAGATTTGCATATATCCGTCTCTACCAGTCAAGACTGTACTGTATATACATACAATACAATCATGTCTCCATCAGCAGTGACCCCTCCAGAACCAGCCTCAACGCCGGCTGCAACGGTCCTCGGACCGCCCATGGACGCTGAAGGAAACGCGACCGGGATACCACCAGCAGAGACGACACATTCTTCCTCCCCTTCCCACCACGATAAGAAGGAGCATGAAGAATACCAGTACCTCAATCTCATCCGCACGATCCTGTCGACAGGCGAGTTCCGTCCCGATCGGACGGGCACGGGCACGCGCTCCATCTTTGCGCCGCCGCAGCTGCGCTTCTCGCTGTCGAAACGGAACGAGAAAGGCGAAATCGTCCCCATCCTGCCTCTCCTGACGACCAAGCGGGTGTTCCTCCGCGCCGTCATCGCCGAGCTCCTCTGGTTCATCTCCGGCTGCACGTCGTCCATCCCGCTCAGCGAAAAGGGCATCAAGATCTGGGACGGCAACGGCAGCCGCGAGTTCCTCGACAGCGTGGGCCTCTCGCACCGCGCTGTGGGTGACCTGGGCCCTATCTACGGGTTTCAGTGGCGGCACTTTGGCGCCGAGTATGTCGATGCCAATACGGACTACACAGGCCAGGGCGTCGACCAGCTGGCCGAGGTGGTGCGCAAACTCAAGGAGACACCGTACGACCGCCGCATCATCCTGAGCGCCTGGAACCCGGCCGATCTGAAGAAGATGGCCCTGCCGCCGTGCCACATGTTTGCGCAGTTTTACGTCTCGTATCCTGAGGCTCGTTCGGAGAGTGCTCAAGACCAACAACAGACAGGCAAGAAGCAAAAAGGCTTCCTGTCCTGCCTCCTGTACCAGCGCTCCTGCGACATGGGCCTCGGCGTGCCCTTCAACATCGCGTCGTACGCGCTGCTGACGCACATGATCGCGCACGCCACGGACCTCGAGCCCGGCACGCTCATCCACACCATGGGCGACGCCCACGTGTACCTGGACCACATCGACGCGCTGAACGAGCAGCTGACGCGCGAGCCGACCGAGTTCCCGGAGCTGCGGATTCGACGCGACGATCGCGGCAGCGGCGTCGTCGACGGGTGGAAGGAGGAGGACTTTGAGGTGATTGGGTACAAGCCGCACCCGCCGATCAAGATGAAGATGAGTGTGTAGTCATGACATTCCCTTCGCATTGTTGACGTTGTTGATTTTTTGTTGTTGTTTTTGTCTATGCATGGTCATCGCATAGGGTCATGTCATGTCAGGTCAGGTCGGATTACTAGGTTTAAACGATTATGCGGATACATAGGTCATAGGTATTATTGTTATGATTGCAGATCGCTAGATAGATACATATGTAGGTACATACATAAACGGATATTTCGTTGTCTAGTGTTTATTTTCCTGGAAATTTTCTTGGATTAATAAATGCTCCCGTGCTGTGCATAAAACCACAAATTTTATCCAATTGTCAAGTATACACTCATACATACATACATACATACAGCACAGTTTAATCCATATCCACAGTGCAGTATGCGCTCTGACTCAAAACTCAATCATGAGATGACACGACATGACAATGACACGACTCAGCAGAACAAACAGATCAGAACAGATTATTATTATTATAACCAGGGAATCGTCATTGTCAACAATGACGAATGATAATATAATATGGTATGGATAGATGTATTGTTGGACATAACTATGAAAGGGTATGGGTATATATATACAAGAAAAGTAAAAGAATTGTGCCGTTATATGCACTAATGCATGGATGCATGGATGCATATATGTGTATCTGCGCATGCATGCAAATGCAATAAATGCCCACTCATCATGTCCGCTTTCCAAAAATATTATAATCAAGTGCAAGGTATCATCGCCAGATAATTATCAAATCCAGACGCATATCATATCCAGACTCGGGATTTTTTTTTATTTATTATTCTGTAGTAAAACACCCGCCCCCCTTAACAACACAATCGTATGCCCCGGCTTTACATTCGTCTCGCCGATCACGGCCGAAAACTCAAGGAACTGGCCCGACTCGATGTGAAAGATGCGCAGCCGCGCCTCCTCGTCGTCGCTGCGGTTGTTCACGTTCTCGACCTTCAGGCGTCGTGCCGCGTCGTCCAGCACCCGGCCGACTTTCCACCGTGTGTCGAAGAAGAAGTTCCCCGAGGGCGGTTCGCGCGCGTTGGGGTTGTCGGAGCATCCGACGACGTGCAGGTGTAGTCGTCGCTCTTGGGGGATGGAGGCGTCGCCTTTGGCGGTGCGTTTGAGCTCGTTGAGTTGGCTGATTGCGCTTCCTGTCGTCGTCCGGCTGCTGCTGCTGCTTGTCTGCTTTAAACCCGCGGGTAGGCTTATCGTCGTCTTGTCCTTGCCCCATGTTCGGACCTTGGAGAACATCGATCGGATTGTCTCGTTGGCTGTTGGCCCTTGCCCTCCTCCTGCTGGTCGCGCCCCCAGCGGCGTCAGCTTCGCGCAGTCGTGCTCCTCTCGCAGTCGATGCTGCAGACAGTACTGCCGGTTGCATCTGTCGCAGTGCACGGCAGGGCTCTTGGAGGTGTTGATGAGCGTCTTGCACGTGAGATGCGCGCACTGGTCCGAGTTGTACACAGTGGGTTTCGTCGTCTTCCCTATCCCATCTGAAGCATTGCTGCCGCCAGTATTGTTCTCCCTTCTCCGTCTTGCCCACTCCCCCGCATGGCTGCAGTTGTGCGCCGTCTCGGTCCGATGTTCCAGGCAGAACGTCCCCCGGCACGATTCGCACCGGAACGGGAGAAAGTCGAGCTGGCGGCAGAATTCGTACTGGCAGTTTCGCCCGATCGCGTCGAGGTCGTGCTCGGGCATTTGTGTGTATGACGAGGGGGGTTGTGATGCCGGTGAGGAAGACATGTTGGATGGGTGGAGGGAGAGAGGGGGAGAGGAGGTAGGTAGTCAGGAAGAAATATGAGTATGCGATTTCAAATCGATCTGAAATAATCCGGTTGACAATCAGGCACCGACAGTCGTCGTCAGCCTCAGCTACGGTGGTGGCAACTTCCAGCGGTGACCGTCAGGTGGGGAGATCTTCGAGCGGCGTTGCTGACTTGGCTGGGCGGAACGGAGACAGCGATCAGATCGGATTCGGAGCAACAGTGGCTGATGGATGCAAATTAACTGACCTAGGTAAGAGGATACCAAGTTAGGTAGTTAAGTAGCTGGTCCAGTGCCAGGAACAAATAACCAACCGAACCAGCGATGTCAATTAATATTAAGCTTGGTTGCCCGATCCGCAGGCGTTCCAGACGCGCGGAGAAGCTTCCAGCTCCGGCGGAGCACGTGGCGCTTATCTAATCAGGAGATCAGCTGATCGGCCAATCACATGTTCCATCAGTCATTGCTATTCTTCATTTACTGTATGGAGCACGGGATGAGAAGATTTTAATAAATAAACAAATTATCATTATTCATTAATGTAAAAGAAAACAGTCCTAAAGGCAAAAATAAAGATTACAAACTCAACTGTCAACTCAAAACCAGAAAAAGAAGAGAAAAAAACATTACATCAAAACAGATAATAATCACTCTCACAAGAGAAGACAGCCGCTCTGCTCAGCTGCAAACGATATTATCTTGCAATAGCAGTGGTAAGTGGTAGTTGAAAAAGAAAATAAAAGGGGAAGGAAAAGGAAAACACGAAAACTCCAGATAAATCAACTCCAAACCCAAATTCCGAATTTACTCCGTACAAGCACCGTCAAAGTCCCAAGTCCCAACCTGTACCGATGCCAATTCTGTACTGTACTGTACATGTGCTGTGGGGTATATTGACAGAACAAGCCAACGGCCAGTGAACCAACCAGCAACAAGTACGGATATCAAGAGAAAAAGAAAAGGGAAAGCGAAAAGAAGGAAAGGAAAAGTAAGGGGGGGAATAAAAAGAAAGAGGATTCGATCAGTAGTCAGGAGCATTCTTGAACAATGCCGCCTCCCACTAGCCGAGCAAGAATGCTGGACTTAGGCGGTCTCAGGGAAAGCTATTGCCTGGCCTACTGCTCTTCCGGCTTCTTGAGGTTCAGGCACATGGCATGTTAACCCTGCTGAGAACCTGGCTGGTCACCCGATGCGAATGGAATCTGGCTGGTAGACGTAAAGACTGGCAAATTAGCCGCTGCGACAGACGCTGTTGGAGGCTGAACAGTGATCTGAGGATGCGCCGTCTGAGCAGATTCTGGAGTGAGTGGCGGAGATATGACCGCGCCAGTCTGTTGAACAGCGGCGGGAATCTCATTGGAGTCTGCAGACTTCATTTCACCTCCTGAAGTGACTGAGATGGATGGAGAGACAGGTCCAGCACCGTCAACCTGTGGGCTGGACAGCGGCGAGATTTCTGCTTTGGGGACTGGCACGTCAACTTTGACCCCATTTGGATGATCTGAGGTTGCCGATTGAGACGCTGGTTCGTTTGGACTAGCTGCAGGCCGAGAGTTCTTTGCAGAAGCCTTGGGATCTGCAGCTTTCGTCGGTTTTGTGGCTGCCGGTTTTCTACTGGCAACCTTCTTTGGTTCCTCGCCAGTTTTCTTCCGCGCTTCAGCAGCCTTCTTCTCGCGGATTGCGTTCTCTTCCGGCGATGGAACTTTGAGCTTGATGGTGAGCTTTTTCACACCCGCGGTCAGGCTGTCTATATCCTGATCCTTGTTTCCATTCTCCGTCGCTCCTGTCTGTGTAGACTGGGCAACCTCTCCATTCTGCGATCCTTCACTCGTGGAAGATGCGGGGATAGTGTTCAAATACGAGGATGGCACCTTTGGAACCGGCGGCGCTTTCCTCGGGCTGGCAGCTCGTTTTGACGTCGAACCGCGAGAAGCGCTGGTAGCTCGGGACTTTCTGACAACCACCCCTCCAGAAGGATGCGTGCCTGCTGCTGTGGCAGGCCGAGAACTGGCCCTGGTAGGTGACTTCCTGCCAGCCTGTGTTTGAGCATCACCGGCGTCAGAAATCACACTAGGAGAGGCACTCTGCCTTCGTCTAGAGTCCTTCGCGGAACCCACTCCGAGCGTTGGGTCTGGTAGATCATTCACAGACGCAATGGTCGTTCTGCGACTGCTTCGAGAAGACGGCCGTCGTGGCGTCTCGAGTTTTGCCGTGCTAGACAAAGATGGCTTGGGCTTCCTCTCTCGAAGCTGCATGCGCTTTTCATCAGCGGCCGCACGGGTTCCTGACTGTTCAGCGCTCATAACTCGTTCTCGACGTGCGCGAGACGCTTCCGCGTTCAGGTCTTCCGGCGTGCAACTTGTAGTCTGACGATCCGTGGGAATCAGGGCTTTGAACAATTCATGAGCGGCAGTCGCCCAGTCCACCTCGGGGAGCGGTGGAGGGACATATGCATCCGTGCTTGGCGAACTCATTAACTTTCGCTCCTTTACCGGCGTAACCACCTTAGCGGCAGATGACTGGGTCGGGGCGAAAAATGTCGGACCAGTTTTCTCGCGGGGCTTCTTTGCAGGCGGAGGTGGTGGAGGATTGGCCAAAGTCTCCAGTTCCTCCAACAATTCACGGTTCCACCATTCCGTGTCAAAGACAACGGCTCTGCTGTCCTCCTGAGCCAGGGACATCCTGTCATCCGCATCACTGTTCCATCCCAAGCGCCCGATCATCTCAGAGGCCAGACGACTTTGTTGGTCCGCGTTCTGCGCCTGAATAGTGCTCCGTGTGTCTGCGAGGCCCGAAAGATGGCTGAGAACACCACTGGTCAAGGCTCGATCGCTATAGCCTCCCTCGAGCACACTGATAATTCTCCCATCCGTACCAGTTCCTTCCTCTTCGGCCAGTTGAACGACATCGGCAGTAAAGCGAGCGTAGAAGTCCGTGGGCACGTTCACTTTGTGCCGTTGCATCCCCACTCCTTCCCACTCACTTGCGTCGAAGCCGGCCGAGATAAAGATGGCTGCCTTTGGTGGTGGCGAGCCTTCCGAGTCACGCAAGCGATCTGTGTGGAAGCGCAGGAATTTGCGGGCTTTGTCAAGCAAGACAGTATACTTGCTGTTGTAGAGCTTCCAGAACTCTTCCGGGGTCTTCCAAGGCTCCAGGTGAACGTTCCAGATCGATTGCCCATGGGCGTTATCAATGCAGACGCTGGCATTACGAACTTTATCCTCTTCCCCCATTTCACAAGGGAACGAGTTGATATCATGTAGACTGTAGTATCCGATGGCGGTCTTCTTGTGAGGGGCTGCATTCTTCGCAGCGGAATAGGCGCGCTTATTCTGCTCCCAAGCAATGGCCTGCGACCCGTCACCATGGTGGAGATCGAAGTCAATGATAGCGGCGTGGGTCAGCCCATGCGTCATGGCCGCATGTGCGATGCCGACGTGGACATTATTCAGCCAGCAGAAGCCCGACGGGTGGCTCGAGGAGCAGTGGTGTCCCGGCGGACGGATGCAGACGAACGCCCGCTGGATTGAATTCGGGGCGAAGACCGCATCTACAGCCTCACACACACCGCCCAAGGCGCCCTCAAAGGCATTAAGGGACTCTGAGCAGAGATAAAGATCGCCCTCGTGGAACTTGGGAGCGTTGGCAGCATCATCCTTCCCCGAACTACGCGGACGAACAAGCTCCTTGCCGTTCAATGCCAGACGGGATTCTGCAGCGTCGCACATAGCCTTCAGATCGTCCATCCACTTGGCCCCGTGAACATGGGTCACGGCCGGAGAGTTCAGCGGCACTGAGCGCGATGTCTTGCGGATCTGGAACGGCGGGGGAGGCAGGAGATCAATCTCGAGATCGGGATGCGGGGCGAACGCTGCGCCGGCATGTCTCTTCCCGACACGCACATATGCGGTGGAGAGGCCGAGGATGCTGGCGCGCAGCCGTTCGGGGCGCTCGACAATCGTGCTCAGAGCAGCTTTGGAGGTCCGAGGGCGCGAGAATCGATGTCCATAGCAGGCGTCCTGGATAACGACGAGGGTCTTGGATTGCAAGTCGACCGTTTCGTGCAATCGGATCTCCTTCTTGAAGTGCTCCGCCGCGATGGACGAGGCTGTCGGCGCTGCTGCCTCGACGGGCGTTTCGAGAGGGCTTTTGGGCGACCACATTGACGTTGGGGTGGGAGAAGCCAGATGGTTGTAGGAAGAGCGCCGGGACAAACTGGGGCGGGGACCACCACTGTGGTCATTCATGCTGGTGCTGACCGATCGCAAAGAGCTTGAAGACAGACGTTTCTGCAAGCTGGGCGTCGAGACTCTCCGCTCGTCCCTCAGAGAGACTGAACTAGGCGTCCTCCGGGGCGCTGGAGTTCTCGACGGGACGGGCGTCGCAGACGAAGAGACATGTCGCGCGCGCGAGGGCGCTCGAGAGGGCACCCTCTCGGGAGGAGCACTGGGTGACAGAGTGGGAGACGAGGCTGGAAGTGGGGTGCCATTGGCTGTCGCAAGAGAAAGACGATTGAAATTGTCGGAGAGCTCCGTGGCTACGTTAAGGGGCAGGCGTTCCTCAGGCGAGCGTGGAGCGTAGCCAGACATGCTGGACGCATTGTCTTGCTGACCGGCGTCAGCCATGACTGCTAGGTCAGCCGTCCTGAGGAGCAATCTGCAAGTCTGGTCGCAGTTTTCGATGTTTGGCAGCAGAACAAGGATGCATGCAGCACGGACAATTCGAGTAATATTGCTCCGTACTTTGTTTTATTTATTTGCCTTAGAAGTTTATGGCAGACGCGGTCGCGTTGTGGAGCAGCAACTGCCCCACGCGCTAGTCCCGACATGGCTAGCGTCGTCGCCGCAGTGGAGCTCCGCGCTAGCTTAGCCGGTATGCTTACATAAGCAGGCATAGAATGATAAAACAGCGACTGGCCAGATGATGGATTGTTTCGAGATATAGAACAGTAGATATGCACTTCCCACTGTTTCGTCTGGACGAAAACTAGGAATAAATAGATAGCAATGCAGATATCAGATTCAAATCAGAAAAACAAAGCACCGATCAAGTCCACCCAGGACAACTACGTCAAGAGTATATGGCCCAAGATAAAAAAAACACTCCGAAGACGCCTCACTCCCCGCCCCTCGTTCAAAGATCTATCCATCCATCCATTCATCCAGAAGAACTAGATCGCAGTTGACAGCTATGCTGTCGATGTCACATCCGACTTTTCCGTCTTGGGAAATACTGACCATCTCCGGCGGATGCGATTCGACCCATTGGTGTCCGTCGAATTCTTGTTCTTCTTCTTGTCCAGCTTGCGCTGCTTCCTCCTCGCTTTGGCCTCGGTCTCCCAGCCTGTGGTGGCATGGCGTCGACAGTAGCATTGCATGCGGACCGTCTCACTGGCCACAGTGGTGCAACTCCCACCGGCAACGCCATTGCAGGCGATGTGCACCTCGCTCTCATGACATTGACACCATTCGTACAGCGTGAGAAGACTTCGGCACATGATGACGATTATTCTGAATGATTATTCAGAATTATTGGTGGTTGATTTGTCCCTTAGTTCCCGGTGAATTCCTCCGTGCTGGTCCGAGCTTCCGTTTTCGGAAATTGAGCATCGACAACTCGCAATTTTCGCCCGCAGTCACCAGTGACTGTCAGCGTGGTCAGGAATTTCTCGTCGGAAGATTGTGTTCTTGATTCGCGTGATCAGACGCAAGGGGGAGATCGACAGGAATTGAAGACGAGATTGGTGGTGCCTGCACCACTCGAATATTAATTATGTAAGTTGATTGGTATGTGGTAGCAACAAATGCGTCAAGCTATAGGTATCTCGTTGTTTCATAAGAGAGGAGGTGAGAGAAACAAAAGGCGGAGCGTGATATTAATATTGATATTGAACTCCAACGATTCTCCTACAAAGAAAGCAGACGGGATGAGCCTTTTCCTTTTGTATGTCCCCGCCATGGTCGTCGTCATCCTCACTCGCCCTGCTGCGGTACCAATCTGGTTCACGGTCGATGGGTACCTAGATGTCACCTAAGAAGAACGCATCGCTATGACCTCATCAGATCCGATGTGGGGTGTTGCCTGCGTCGTAAACTTATGGATGAGGGCGTCATGATCGCAAACGGCAGATCGATCGTGGTGGGTCAACTCGCAAACCTCCCCGACCGAAGGAATGGGACAGCGACAATCCCATTCCGGCTCGTTCCCTTCCATCCTGTCGGACGAGAGATAAGTCCATCGAGCCTAGATCGATCAAGCGCTTTGTGATAGTCCAGATACGGGAGTTGGAAGAAAGTCGTGTCGTGCAAGTTTTGGATGCCAAGCCGTAGGCTTCAGCGGTGATCTCGTGATCTCGTCCATATGCAGCACATGCGAGTCTATTCCGTACAGAAAGAAAACCATTTTGCGGATAATATCGTTCTTTCTTCTTTCTCTTTCTCCTTCTTTCTTTCTTCTTGCCAGTAAAGCACTGTCTAGTCTGGCGTGGTTAGCACCGTGGAAATTCTCTTGACTCGTCATCATCGACAATGATGAGTGGGATCCCCTTGCAATGACCTAATAGACTAATATCTATATTTCTTCTGTTGACATACGGAGTAATCTTGCATAATATCATCCCACTCTTTTAGTCGACCATTGTTCAGGATTTTCTTTGTAGTCTTTATAGCTAAATTCCATTAAATTTTCCCATTATGTCAAGCAGAAAGCACCAACACTGTTAGAAATCTAAAATGGGACGTCTCCTCTAAGTTGTTTAATCCGCTATAATATAGCTCATTGATTTAGAAAAAAAAAACCTTGAGTCCGGTGATAATCGAACTATTCTCACCGTGGAAACTCGACTTCCAGGCTATCTATCTATATATGACATTCAGCCACAACTTTATAAGCATTAATTACAATGGTACTGAGCACGCTCAAACTTTTATCTGCTCTAACATATCCGATATGTCTAGGGAATCATTGGGATACACATTCCCGGTCATACATATCTCTAAAATCACTGTATTCAAGTCCTTAACTAAAGAGAGAGACGAACGAAAGAACAGGTCCATGTTCATATATGGAAATGAAACCAGAGGGGTGCTCTGTTACAGAAAATTGAGTCAGCTGCGGGATACGTAAGCCGTCTATCCCAGATATTACTCCCTATGCAGGCCAAGCTTTTCTGCTGTAATAAAATCTGATTGGATTTGGACATGGGCCTTTTAATAAGAGAAGAGTAATCAGCATGCATCTAGAACAGCAGATAGAGTGCTTCCACACTGTTTCACTATTTTATCCTTGAACAGGACTTACATTATGCCCCGTCGAGAACATGGTTCAAAGAAGCAGGGAAACTTGAGGCAAATGGATGTGAAAATTCAAGTTCACCTTACATTGAGGTCATCCAAACCAACTAATAGGCATCATCTTATTATTCATCATATATTAATAGAGGAAGTATGACACTTGCTTCCCGGGTATCTATTTACCATTCTCCAAGATACAGTTAAGATGATAAAGGATATTATTTGGTCAATTTTTTTCTTTGTACCTAGCCTAGTCTCGTTAACTTACATTATTCAAGTCTGATTATTGGTCGGAAAATTAAGGACAAGGATGAAAGTGAATGAATATCCCTAGATCGCCACGGATTGATGTTCGTCAAAGTAAAAAAATAAATTGTGTATGTTTTCGTGATGATCGCTCTAGAGACAATCGATTCGATAGATGTCGTTGGTATGTCCGTACATATGCAGGATTCTAGAGGTATAAAGCAGAGTGGAGGTTTTCTGGAGGTGGTAAAATGATAATAAACGTGCAGAGAAGGATAGGAGATTAAAAAAAAAGAGGACATGAAACATGGTAAATCTCGTCATATATGTATATATTTCCCAGATAGATGCATCAAGCAAGGAAGCAAACAAACAAAGAGACAGACAGACAACACTCTGCCAAAACTCGTCAATCAATTAGGTCAAAGAATAAAGAAAGGCAGATAAATTATAACAATGGATACACATGCATGTAGCTATAGTAGTACAGTAGTAGTACAGTACATACATTGAGGTAAGGTAGGAGTTATCTATTATATAGTATAGTAAAATATATATTTCGAAATTATTCTAAAGCAATTATTTTTATTTTAGTACTGAGTAGGAAACTTCCTGCCCATTGGATTTGCGAGACAAGTTCCCCTACCCCAGCTTAGCTAACGTTAATCTGCTTCCCCGCCTTCTAGGAACTTCTCTCCAATTCCCGGTCACCAACCAAATACTCCGCAACAGTCCTGCACAGCCAGAGTGAGTGGAGCTGAACTGCACAAAATTATTATTCCCCTTTTTTTCTTATAATTTTTAATTGTATTACCCCAGAAGAAGATCCTCGTTGTGCTCGACTGATCGACCCTCCTCCGAGCGATGACCTCGACCGAGGAGTCATCATCACTCAACGATAATCACCCCTCTTCCTCCACCGCCGCTGACCCTGACACAACGAATACCACCTCTGATACCACGCCGACTTCCTCTGCTGAAACAATGACATTAGCATCACCCGCTCGCACCGCTACGCTCCTCGCCAACCTCTCCTCCGTCACATCCCGCATCGCCGCGGCGTCCGCCAAGTCGCCCGTCAGTCGGACCAAACCCGTCCGCCTGGTCGCCGTGTCCAAGCTGAAACCTGCCTCGGACATTCTCGCCTTATACAACGCGCCGTCGTCGCCCGTCGGCGATGGTGATGGTGATAGCAGCAGTGCTGCTGGTGTCGGCCCCCAGCTGCACTTCGGCGAGAACTACCTCCAGGAACTGCTCGAGAAGTCGCGCATCCTGCCCGCGGGCATCCGGTGGCATTTCATCGGCGGGCTGCAGTCGAACAAGTGCGTGTCGTTGGCGCGGGACGTGCGGGGGCTGTGGGCCGTCGAGAGTGTTGATACAGAGAAGAAGGCGAGCTTGCTGGACAGAGGGTGGGGGGAGCGCAAGCAAAGACAGCAGCAAGACGACGACGACGTGGAGGAGAAACTCCGCGTCTTCGTGCAGGTGAATACCTCTGGCGAGGAGAACAAGGCTGGCGTAGAGCCGGCCAATGCGCCCGCGCTGTGTCGCTTTGTGCGCGAGAAATGCCCGCGTCTGCACTTGCAGGGGCTGATGACGATCGGGGCGATTGCGCGGTCTAAAGCCACGACGCCGGAGACGGAAAATGAGGATTTCGTCTGTCTGCGGCAGACGCGCGATGCGGTTATCAAGGAGCTCGGGCTGGAAGGGGATGAGGCGGCGTCGTTCGAGCTGAGCATGGGCATGAGCTCCGATTTCGAGGGCGCGATTATGCTGGGCAGCGACGAAGTGCGCGTGGGCACGACCATCTTTGGCGAACGACCGCCGAAATCCCAGGCAAAGATTGTGTGAAAACAATTCGACGGGCTGGTACCTCCACAGGTAGATACCTATGGAGTATCTCTCTCCATCCTATGCTATGCTATGCCTCTAGTATAATTACAAGCCCGACGCTCCCTGCCCTGACCGTCGTCTGACCGTGTTATCCTTTCGAGCCTTCCTAATTAATAAATACACATACATCCTGCATTGACCTTAGATAGAAGGAAACCAAAGAGAGAAGCGGGAAGAAAAAGAGAAAAAAAGGGGCCGCTTTAATTGACATGCCATGCCATGCCAGCCTGCCTGGGATAACAGGCAGAAGGAAAGAAAACAAAGACGAAGAGACGAGAAGACAACAGAAAGAAAAACGAGGAATATGTATGTATGTTTATGTACATTACATAAATACACTGTACTGCACTGACTGCACACTGCATCTGGCGCAACCCATTATGACGAATGATATAATGAATAATGGAAAAAAAAAGTCAAAATAGAAAAATAAACTAGAATAACAAGAAAATGTTATAAGAATAAAACAGAAAATCCAAAAGCAAGAAGGGGTAAAAAGAGAAGCGAAAAGAATAAGAGAAAAAAAAATCGCTATCGCTATCAATCATCTTCCAAGAACGATAATATAATCAGCAGGAAGAACAAAATGAAGAGTTCTGGGTCTGTCCAGTCCAGTCCAGTCAATTCAATTCAAAAAAGAAGTTGTGATCGACCAACCCATCAATCGATCGTGTCTTTCTTTTTTTTCCAGCCCCTTTCGCTCAAATTATTAAACGGCATTTTTACACCTTTTTGCTTTCTATGCGACCAACTGCGATATGGGTATCGTCTCATCGATCACTGTCCATGGTCGTACCTTGGGACAGTTTCTGCTCCATCTGGCGGACTAGCGCCTGGGGGACGTGCTCCTGCGTCGCCCGGATCGTGATGCGGTACATCTGTAGCGTCATTATCAGTCAGACTGTTCTTAAGAGTCTTCCCTTGTTGACCGGCAACTTACATTCTTCTCATAATTCGGCTCCAGCCGTAGCAAACAGCCGGTCTTGCCTCCCTGCGCCTGGTAGACGGCGCATCCAACGACGTTCTTCGGGTTGGGATCAACCCCATTCAGGATCTTCCACCGGAACCCGTCTACTATCCTCCGCGTAAACGTCTCGTTGATGGTCCGTCCTTTAGCTGTAACGCCAAATGTCTTCTGAGCTTCCAACGGCGGTCCACCGATCTGTCTCCATCGCTTGAAGAAATCCTCCACCGACAGCTCCGACGGGTCCATGTATCGGTGCATCAGAATCGGCAGCTGCAGCGTATATGCCTGCAGGGCGCCGGCAAGATACGATATCCTGATGGTCGGCGCATCCGAAAAAGCGCCGTTAGCTTCAAAAAACAGTGTCTGCTGTGTCTGACCCGCCGGCGGGACCATCGAATCCGGCAGGCTCTTCGTGTCAATCTTCAGGTTCGGATGGGACCGGTTGTCCAGAGTCGTCGTAAACGATCCGATCGAAAATGACGCTTTATTCGTGAAATAGAGTTTGACAACACCCAGGTGCGCGCGGTACTCGGACCGCAGGCCCACCTGGATCTGGGCATCTTCGAAGAGGACGCCTTCGTCAGCAAAGTACAGCCGGTTGTATCCAATCTCCCAGTCGGGGCTCAGGTGGGCGGCGCTGGCGAGGTTGGGCGCCGCCGGTTCGCTGCTCCCGGTCAGATCAAGTCCTGCAAGATCTTCCGAGGCAGAGCCCTTGACTGCGCCATTCGTGCCGTTAGTGCCCCCATTGACAATAGTCGTGAATGACCGCTTCAGGCCGGTATTCTGTGCCATCATGATCTCTTTCTGGTCCTTGTTGGCATCCTTGCCTCCCACGACCCATGTCTTCTTGTCACTTGTGCCAGCGGTCTTCTGGTGCAGGCGGGACAGCAAGGCCGACGCCCTCTCCGAGAACGGCGGCATCTCATCGCAAACCGTTCGAAGGAGATCGTCCGTCGGTAGCGTCGCCAGCTTGAGGTACTCAAACGCTCTTTGCTGCAACTCGGGATCCGGGGAGTGGCTGTAGAGACGGAACATCTGCAGAAGCTGGGGCTTTATCTCAGGGAAGAGGTTCACGAACTTGATGAACGCGGAAAGAATCATGGCTCGCGTATTGTCAGAACACGAAAACATCTTGGACTGCAGAGCCAGGAATTGCTCAATCGGACTGCAGCCCTTGTTATCTGCGATCAGATGGCCAAATTCGCCCAATATATAACTGCCGATCTTGATCAGGCTGTCATGGCAGTCGCCCTTGAGATATTGGAGGAGGTGGTCTGCAGCATAGGCCTGGAGTTCTTCGTTGTTGGTGACGATCTGAATCACCCGTTGCCACACCTCGTCGCTAACATGGTCGCCCCCCAAGGCAAGGAGTCTCAAAGACGTATCGATGTACCATCGAGCATCGGTGGCATATTTCTCCGCCAGGATGGCAATCTTCAAGACCATCTCCTCCCGGATGGCATAGTCTGCTGACTGTAGATACGAAAGCAGTTCAGCCACGATCGGCCGCGCATTGGTCGTGTCACACATGCTATAGATTAGATCAAGACCCTTGCGCCGGACACTGATGTCACGATCTCTCAGCGAGCCGAGAATGAAGGACTGGTGTTTCTTGATGGGATCCAGGGTCTCAGCCCTGGCGGCGAAGTGTGTCATAGCCTCGAGTCCGAGGTACCGAACGTTGGTCTCACGCGACTGAATAAATTTCCCAAGTCGGGCAGAGATTTGCATCATGAGATCGTGTTCCGTATCAAGGTGAATCAGAAGATTGATGGCTTCAAAAAGAACGGCGTTTTGGGCATTGTTCTGTTGGACATTCTTGGGCGTGTCCATCGCATTATGCATGATCTGCTGAAGCGATTCCCGGATGAGTTGTCGAACATGCGTATCCTCTTTGACAGTGTTAGCTCATAGTCAGAATCGGTGGAACATGCTTTGGATGTGCATACCAGAGGGCGGGTAATACTGCAGAAGCCGAAGCAGTTTCACTTGAAGCCACGGGCACGGAACGCGATAGTAGAAATAGTCAGCAGGCACCTCATTGTCCACCACGATCTTCTTTAGCCGCTGGGCGGCTTTGACATAGCTGCCCTTGTATTGCTCTGGGTTGGCCTGGACCAATGCCATAACAAGCGAGGTGACAGATAATGTGACTCCCAGGTCAGGATCGTCCATGAGGGAGATAATTCGCTCTGCCCACTCCTGCTGCACGATGCTGGGGTGTTTGCGATAGAGACGGAGAAGAGTCAACGCGGCCTTTTTCTTGACGAATGACTTGGAAGTCCTACGCGAGGTGATATTGTCAGGGGCAGTTTGTAACCAACAGGTCGGAATGGGACTTACGGAGCGATCAAAAGTCGATGCACGTCCGCACCTAGGGCTTCACCCATCTCGCGGCCTCCGACATTGGCCACCGCATGCAGCGCCAGGCAGTTATTCAGCTCATTCATATCGAGCAAGTCCTTCCGGATACTGTTGACAACCAGGTGGAGGAGCTCATGTTGCTCGTGGAGGAACAGGGTGACGGCCAGGTATCCAATCTGCTTTTCGGAATAGTTCTTGGCCGAGATCAGGTTGACGGCCTCGAGGTGACCGAAATCCACATCGTAACCCTGGATGTAGACGTACAGCAGCTTGCAGACGTATTTTTTTTTCTGGTAGCCGTTCAGATTCCCGTCCTTGAACTTCTGCCGGATATTGGCCAGTTCCTTGTTGATCCTCTTCTCCTCGAGTTCCCTCGCCCTGGCATTGCGCAGGTCCGCAATGAATTGGACCAAGCCTCGCATCGACGACATCTTGTTGGTTTCCCAAAAACAAGCCCCCCTCGACCTTCGACGTGGTGGTGTTCAGGAAACAACCGCTCTTCCTATGGGGAAAGCAGCAGGGCATCCAGCAAAACCATAGCTCTCAACCAAAATGCGCGTATCGTGTGCCCAGCATCGCGTGGGCGTGGCGGCAAAGGGAAAATCTCGACGATGCTGGACCGGAGATGACGTGAAAGGGGCTTGATTGATTATACTATCCGGGACGATCAGGCAGGGTGGAGACGGGGCAATTCCATTGGAAACTCCGATCGAGACGGCGCCTAATCTGGTCTGGTCTGAGTCAAAAAAGAAGAATATCGCGCAGAACAGGGCACGACGGTGAGGCACACGTCCACGATGCCAACCCAACTCGTGATGATGCCGGGCAGGACTGTGCTCCGCCCAGGTAAACCGCGGCGAGTGCTCACAGCTCGTTGGCTGGCGGCTTTGCTGACGACGATCAGCTTAGGCCGAACTCGGTTAGCGCCGCGGACTTAACGGCGGCCCGGGAAGAACATTGATGCGGCCCGCATGAGACACGTGACGCAAGAAGTATTTCGAGCTTATTTCACTAGGACCTACATGGTATGCATCTTCTGTTCATGACGTTGTACATGTGCTTATACAGTATAGAAGACATATGTATTTACTACAGTACAGGTAACAAAATGCAAAAACGAACCGAATACCCGCACCTCCAAAACTCCAAAAATCCCAGCCCATTCAAAACATACTTTCATGAATCATGAAGGTAGAGAAAGAAAGAAATGAAGAAAAGCAATTGTCGAAATCTGACAGACTCCCAGCTCACGCCTTGCCAGTGAAATCCGTCTCAAAGGCATCATAAACGGCATTGGCAGCAGAGTCCACGGCATCGGCCTTTTCGCATGTGCAGGATCCTGTGCAGGAGACAAGATTAACATTGATAATAATCGAGATAAGCAGGGATAGAACTTACCAGCAGGTCTGCTTCCACACGGGCAAGCCTCGCCCGTCACAGGCCGGTTTTCAGTCACTGCCCGCTCGCATGTGCACTGTCCAGCGGGACGCATTCCTAGAGTGAAGATATCCAGTCAGCAGCCATCATGAAAGCTGAGAGAAGAAATTAAAGGAGAGAAACGTACTGCACGAGCACTTCGGCCCCGTGATAGGAGTAGTATTCTTTCCGCAATTGCATGCGTCGGCCGCTTCCTTGCCGCATGCGCACCTGGCCTGAGCGGCGCAGACGCAGCCACCGTCCTGAGAAATACGGCAGCAGGTCGAAGGACGGACCATTGTGACGGGTGTATATCTCAATTGGGGAGAATATCAAGTGGTTGATAAAAGCTCAATGGCCAACTATACTCCGAGTTTCGTGGAAACGGAGGAGTTCAATTCCAAAGCGCTCCCTGATCTAGCAAATTTGAAAGACTGGCACTGACTGGCACTGACACTGATGAAGAAGAAGAGAATTGATCAAGACCACACTACATCCTTATATACCTCTATACCTGAAGCCCCCAGTCAAAAGAACAGTTGAACACCTACCCAAATCGGCAAATATGGAAGATCTGCTTCCAAGGGCCAAGGCCGCAGACTTGCATCCGTTGTCGTCGGATTACCAACATCTGCGTCGTGATTGGTTAGCGGAAACGCCACCCGCATCAAAACATTTTGCTGATTGGTGGAAGGCTGTCTGTATTGGATATAGGAACGCTGTGAGTGGTCAGCGCGAGTGAATGAGTGAGTAATACATTATCGCTTTCGGTCGAATCGATAGATCGATCGATCCAATCTCGATGTAGAGAATTCGGATGACACCTGCCTATGGCTGTGTGCTTATTATTCCTGTTTCTTGTGTGGTTCGTTCGCGGACTTGAGGAATTTAGCCAAGGTTCAGTGGAGAATAAATAAGACTCCGTATGGCTTCAAAGGATACATTATTCCATAGTCATAGCCGTACAACCCAGCTGTTGGTCATGAGGAGGAGGATGATTTCATTCAAACCAAAAAAAATTCCACAAAGCGATCCGAAATACATGTATGTACATTTCTGGGAGTAATCTAAATAATGTACAGTACATACGTTTCATGCTGAATACACCGTACAGAGACTGTAACAGTATGTACAGCATGTCTGACCTGATAGGTAACAGTTTGAACATCCAATCTATTTTCTATATGATTAACTAACATCATCTTGCAATCCCCAACAAGCAAAAAAAGGCAATTCATTCAAACACAATTCGCGATGACGAGATTGGATAGATGAGATTGGATATATAATGGTTATCTGTCAGCAGGCTCAACAAACTCTAGTCAGTTTCATGAACTATATAATCAATATAATAATACAACTGTTCGAAACAGCGAAGCGAAACGAAATAAACTCCCCAAGACATGCGGCATGCTGATGAAAACCGAAGACCGAAGACTTAGTGAAAAGAAAAGAATTTATCTTAAGCGATTTGAGAGGAAGAAGGGTGTTAAATAAAAAAAAGAAAAGAAAAGAACACAAAAAAGGTGACCTCAATTCTCCAGCACTAACGCAGGCTTGAGAAGAGAACCATCCGAATAATTCGATATGGTAGAGAAAATGGTTGCACCCTGTCTTTTATTTTTATTCAGCTTTATGTGTTTTTTAAAAAAAAAGTCCATAACACAACATCACATCCCACGATGACCGCTGAATCACGCATGAACCAGACGAAGCTGTGCTACGTCGCCCCCTGTGGATGCGGAATTGAGGGTTTTCCCAATTCACCGTTGGCCGGATATTGCAAACCATTGCTCGGTGATTCGTACTCTCCATCCGAGCGCAGGTATGACGTCGGCAGACTCATGGCAGACGAGTTATCTTGCGTGTATGGATAGAATGAATCGAGATTAAATGGCGGGGTGTATGGAGAAACTTGATAGTCTTGCGACAGGGGAAGTTGTGCGGTCTGCAGGGCAGGGATCTGCCGGTAACTCGGTCCTACAGGAAATCCACTGCGCGAGTCCTCCGATGTCTGCTGGATTCGTGGAAATGGAGGTGCCTGGCTGTTCGGTAACTGCTCATCTACACGTTCATCAGTATACAAGGGATCACCTGATAATTAGGACAATCAGGGGAAGGAAATCAAGGCCTACTCTGATAGATAGGTCGCATAGACCCAGTATCCGTCCCGGTCTGTGAGACCGGGCTCTGAAGAGGTTGAGCGATGCCCGGTACTGAACTACCAACATTTTCGTGTAGCGTGCCTCCAGCGTATGGAAGGTCAGCTCGCAGTGGGAAACTCAGCGAGTCTGCTCTTGAACGCGAATCCGGTGTCTGCAACTGTAACCTCTGCATTGGATGCCAGGTATGATGATAGGCCGCGGAGAAACTGTGAGATCGAGGCAACGTGCCGGGAGTCCGATGATCTGCCCCAGCGAGGCTGGCGCTTGGGGCAGAGATAGCTGTTCTGTTACTTGTCGTAGAGGTTGGGGAAAGATTCTCGGATGGTGCACCGGAAGTCGGCGAAACGATATAACTCCCGTACGCAGATGTCGCGCTCGATGGTGAGATCGGGTAGTCATCGCCACTTCCTCTCTTGACGGTATTAACAACCAAAGGCTTTGGCTCACCGTTCCCTGCGAATGACGATCGATGCGTCCGTGGAGAGGTAAGAGGAGTCCCAGACGTCCGGCCACCGTAAGGTTGATGCAGCACCTGGGTCATGTCGAAGTTATCGGGAAGTGCTCTGGACTTGAGCATTCTCTCTCGGTCTTGACTCGTAAGACGCTTTAACTTTGCTCGCCTGAATTGACACGTTAGGCTCTGCTTTTATGGATGGAAAATTCACCTCGTCACCTGTTTTGAAACCACACCTGGACTTGACGAGGGCTCAATCCAGGTATTTCCTTCGACAGTCTCTCCCGTTGTGCGGCATCTGGATGTGCTTGCTTGGTGAACTCGCTCATCAGAAAGCGAGTCTGGCTGTGAGTGAGACTGTGTCTATCAGCTTTGATTCACAGTGATCTCGCTTTATGTAGTCGACAACCTACCGAAATCGCTTCGTTTTCTTCTTCTCTGAGCTCTGTTCAGAGGCGGACTTCGTCTGTCCACCCTCCGCAGAGGTATCTGCTTCATCTACCGGGCTGACGACCTCAGCGGCATCTTCGATGTGCTCTTCGCCAAAAGCATCCGGATCGTTTCCTCCAATTGAATTGAATCTCTTCTGCAGCCCCGGGCTCGGTGAGTCCGACTTGGAAGTACTGGCGATGTTGGGATCGCTGCGATTCCACTCCTGAAGTCTCCTTTTGTTGCAAGTTTCACCCGTTGTACGCTGGTTGACCTCTTTGTCCCCTGGGAAGGATTTTGGGGACTGAAGATACTCCTGATGGCCTAGATTAGATGTAAAGGGGATGTTCTCTTGGGACTTGAAAGCTGATGATAAGTCTGTTTCGGGTCGACTCGCTTCGCCATTCGTTCCGGGATCTACTGTCGAGAAAGGCGCAGCAGCAGGTACAAACGTCATATTATCTTTTCCGTCTTGTCCGCTTCGCCAATATGGAGCGGCTGTGTAGTTCGAGGTCGAGGGCGTGAGGGGTGAGACTGGAGGCGACGAATCTGAAATCAAACGGTAGATATCGGCCATCGATCTTTCAAGAAGCTGCCGTCCACTTGCTGTACATTTCGTATGGGGACAGAATTCTTCTGCGATATCGGAAACGGCTTAGGATGAAGATTGACTGGGTGCCAAAGACAAGCCTAAGGCGAAGCAGCAGCGGATCTCTCAGAGCCAGAGAAACTGGGTACGGTTTCCCAAGGCGTGATCGCGGCCAAGCAGCCACTGATAGGTGGAGGACGGTGTTGGTGCAAGTCGACCAGGGCAGCGCTGGCAGAAAGATGGACTTGCAGGGTGACGATCGGCCTTGGGCGTGCAGCTCCTTGGTTACCTTCCAGCCAGGATCAGCACAGAGATGCTACCGGTGAAATGCTACCACGAACTACCCTTGGAAAACAACTTCCCGTAAGAAAGGACTGATGTCATCGGAAACAAAGTGGCTGTCCGTCAGCATACAGGGACACAGCTCCTTGGGGGAACAGAATAAGATGGGCAAGAAAGGGAAGGGTGCCGCCGCCATACACCGTCACCGGCGACTTAGAGGGGTCTAACGCATGGGTATGACGAAATCAGGACAGGTGCGGACTAGGCTGGAGGCAAAGGAACATGGTGGACATGACGATCAACCGCTGCCTACCTTATTTTCTCGAACTTAGCTTCACGTGGCTGGAAGAATACGGTTGTGGTGGATAAGATGAGCTAACATCGGGGCCCAGCGGAGTGATATCGATTGGAGCTCTGCTACGGCGAGATACCGGACGTGTTCTCTTAAAGTAGATAGGCTGACAACAACACTAGAAGGCGCCGGGGGCCTCAGAAGTTGTAGCTTGGACTTAGGGTGACAGAAGATAATATCACTAGCAGAGGGATACGGCTTGATCCATCACTGGTATTTACCAGCTTTAGGCAAGTAGAAGTGCACTGCAATTGAAGAATAGAAGAGGACCAGCCAACAATCAAGGAACGAAAGAAGGAGAAGGAAAAAAATAGATAGAAGACGATGCCACTGGGTGCTTTAGAGGCGCGTTCTCAGAAAAGGACAAAGGAAGTCTGTGCTCCTGATTCTCTAATCAGTCGTGCTGGCGAATATCTAGATGTGCCAAAAGCAACAGACAATATCGAGGGCGACTTAGGAGCATTTGCATCCTTCGAAACCCCCCGATCCTGGTGGAGCGGAACGCCCTAGAAGCTGGCTGGATGGCTAGCTACAGCCTGCTTGGGCCCCAGGTTTGAACGATTGCCACAGACGGAATGGATGTCTCGCCCCAGTGTGTCGCTTTCATGCTTATTTTAGTCCACCCACCGGGTCCCATAACGGGTTCCATCCTGCGTGGTACGAAGCGGTGCGACTACCAACTGTGAACAGTCCACGATTTGAGAAACATGCACGGAAAGGACTAGAGACATGAACTGCCATGCATTCGAGAGTAACTCTAGGTCAGCTTCTGACCAGGGCACGGCGCCAACTGCCCCTCAGCGTAAAACCCTTGGTCAAGACACAGATCCCGTACTATGCGATATCTGACTAGCCCGCCTACCCTTGTCATGAGCACAGACGACAGAGGCTCGGAGCTGGAGAAGAGCACCATGTGGTTGAAGCACCCGCATGGTCAGTAGTGCGTTGGCTCCATAAGCCTTGAAACGTCTGGGCTGTCGATCAACTTTAGAGACGGGAACGACCATTCACGGTCTTGCCCACCATTCCGATGGCCCCAAACCATGGCTGCGATGGTGGTGGACAAGCAACCACTCGGAAAAGGCCGATCGCGAGGCGAGGAACAGGCTAACCTCTCAACGGCGGCAGATCACATCTCTCCAGGGCCGACCAGGGTTCAGTTGTACGCCCACCCATGTGGATGCTCCTGTCATTCATCGATCCGATCCGGTATTTCCAATTCAGAACCACCAGCCGCAGGAATCCCCCGGAGACAAGATCATTCGTGATATGAGTCAGACACGACAACCGGGGACCGACAGTCAGACACAGTCATTTGCAGTGGGGCACATAGTAAGTGACTCCAAGCGTTGCCGGTGACCAACTTCTAGGGTCGCCAGAGAACACGGGAAGAGAATGGGAAATTTAGTGGGGTAGGAAAGGATTTGGGTCTGCCTGCTTCACCTTGCCTTGGAACCTAAAGGCTGAGAGAGTGGCAGTGACATCGCCGCAGAAGAAAAAGAGAGACAGGCCAGACTGCAGTGGCGCTGGTGCATACACCCTCATCCGACACCAACGTTGAACCACCCCTCACCCCCAATAAATCTCGTCAGGTGGGCCTTGGAAAAGACCAGAAGGAAGCTCACTATCTGCCAACCGACCATAGGCTTGTGTCGCATTAGAACAGGCCGGCGCATACGATTTTATACGCAGGAATCCCGGGAACGTGATATGAGGCCCGATCGGTCAGTTAGTGATGTATGCTAGTGGCTACTTGTCAGCTTTAGAGATGTCATCATCAAGGAATACTCCGTAGTCAAGACTCAGAACACTCGGGACCCGCTGAAGCACGGACGGGATAGCTTCCAGCGACGGCACCGTTGCTCTGCCACTAGAGTGTTGGTCCGAACGTCCAAAGTAAAGGCGGCCCAAACCATGGGCAAATTCGGGCAGTGACAAGGGGCGGTGGATACCTGCCGCTAGATCGATTTGACTTCTGCTGGGAATTGTCACGATGCGGATCTGATAATAGTGATAACCGGGAAATCACCGGCGGCTGAGTTGTGACTAGTGTCCCTCCCTGGAATAAATGGTCGCGGTAGTAAACAAGACGAGGGCATGGGCGAGGGATCTGCTATTCAATGATTGGTGAGAAGAAGGCAATTGTTCAGCTTCGTCACATTTGGTCACAAAGGCAACCATCATAGGAGTTAAGGTTTAACCTGCTGATGGACTGTTGGTCTGTTGCCGTGTCCTCTGTACAGTACTCCATACAGTCTGCAACTGCAAGCCTCTTAGTCTTAGCAAGGGACAGATCTTTGCAAGCCGGTTCCGATCCCGCTGCAGGGGTTACTGTTCCCGCGAGTCGCGAAGCTGCGATGACATTTAGAACGGGGACGCCGAGTGACGGGATGCAGATTAAGCGTCTAGTAGTAGTCTCTATCAAAGAAGATATCCACCAGCTTGAAACTTGAGCGGCTGCTTAACTGCTGAGGTTCAGAGTTCAGACAGTCCCTGCGCGGCACTGGGACCCCCCTGCGGATACCGTCTCAGCGCCAGGTCATTGGCGAGCCGGTGACTGGCCTGGTCAAATCGTGCCGAGTCCTGGGGGAATCAGGTCAAGGCATTAAACATAACAGGCTGGATGCATGACGCGTTACCGGGGTGGGCGGGGAATATCGGGAGTCGGGCCTCGGTACAGAGTAGCAGCGACAGTGTAGATCCAACTCCAAGAACAGCGCCAGTGTGATGTGTGAGAAACCACGGATCATGGTTGACAAGAAACGGTTCTCGCGAGTCTGGAAGAGAGTGTGCGCGAGCGTTCAGGACGCGCCGATTGGCACCATGGAGCTCGGCTCCGACGGACAGGCCATCTGTCGCCCCGCGTGCAGCGCTGTCACAGCCGTGCCCCTTCATTTTACTGCTGCCATCTAAACTCTGCTCCTCCACGTGTGATTTGCGGAGGTGTGACGCCAACGACGGCCCCCCAGTGGGCGTGTTTGCGGGCGGAGGGCGTTCCGGACGCTTTCGCCGGACGTTCGATCGCTCTAACTCGCGCCATTTGGGGTCCACCGCGCCGGTCGAAGCCTGGATGGCGCCTGGCCAAGCACCTAGAAGCGGCCGTCGTCGACGCCAGCAACGCTATCTTTGCTGCTGAAATTGCTCCGATGATCGATCGCATGTGGTGGACGCGATTATAACCCTGGGCATGGTTTCGGTCATTTTAGTCCAGCAATAGCAGTAGGCACCAGCAAATGTCAGCAGCAATGTCAGCGTCGCAAATGAAACAGGCCTGGCAGGACAAATCTCTGATCTCAACAGCAATCCATCCTTGTTCAGACGCACGTGTAGTTCGCTTCTCTTCTGTGAGCTTACTCCGTACTGTACAGCCCGTCGACGGATGCATAGGCGCCGTCCCAGATCACGGCCTGTTTACTTCTCGAAAGTTTGGGTCGGTTTCCGGGAACTAGCCGGCATTATCGGGATGTTAGCCATGGTTCAGTCTGGACTTGGACGAGGAGGAAACGTACCCATTCCTGACGAAGTACACGACCGGTGCCTGAATGAACGTCCCTAATGACCATTGTTCTCGCCCCTATCTCTGTCGTTGTCCCGCTCGATGCTCTCGCACTTCGTGTATTATACTCCGGATATGCCGACTGTTAGACTGCTGGATGGAGCTTCCCGAGAGGTTGATCTGTCTGCCAAGGCTGTCGGGCCATAGTGGATCGCGACAGGGGTCTGACTCGAAGGTTCTGGCCGAGTCTGATACGTATGGCGAACTGGAGAGGGGATAAATAATCCGAGCCCATGAAACGGGCCGGAGGTTGGCGTCTCCAGCGTCGCTGCAAGGGTGGAGGCGTCTCGAGGCAGCATGGGACGTGTCTGATTGGAGCGCCTGCAGAGGCCTTGAGAACTGGACTGCCTGCCTGGTCGACTGCAGCCCGCACAGACGTGCATCGTCCTGTGCAGTTGTTCCTCCAGTGCTGTGCCATACGGAGAATTCTTCCTGCGCCGGCCGGCCGTCACGTCGTCTGCGGGATAAGCCGAACGACAGTCGTGGATTTATGGTAACTCCGAATGGATAACGCGTTGGCGGAGAGTTGAAGCCTGAGAATCGAGAACAGCTCTAATTGCAGCTAAGCACGACTCGCAGTCCCTTGAAACAAGAGTCGAATAAGAATGCCTGCCCAGCCAGGTAATCATCGACCCTGCCGGCAACGCGCGTCCCCTGCAATTTCCCGGCTTAAAGTTACAGCTGTGCGGCTGCCCGGCGGACCGACTGAGTGCCCGCTGCGGGTGTTTCGCTGCCTTGACAGATGGCATGCAGTACAGGGTCTTGGCTTCCATTACCGTATCGTCTTTGCACACTGCGTGCATTCTATGATACACTACTGTACAGTACATGACTTCATAAACGATCAAGAATGACAATCATTGCCGTAGCCTGCTGTCCTCCGTAATAGGTCCTGCTCATTTCCTCATCTCTGCCCCTCGATGGACCGGTAGACCTGGTGTCGGCCTCAGGGCAACAAATCTGATGTCATTGGCGCGTGTATCTTGTTATCCCGTGTCTTCAAATAATACAGACAGCCACTGCGAAAGTGGCAATGGTGGTTCCAAAACTATCCAGTGACTCCTCATTCCGAAAAAGCGCCTGTATGCACCCGTGAGCTCCCGACATGCTCTTCTGATTTGGAATCATAATGTAGGTTGTTCGCATGCGCCAAGTGTTATCCGTCCCCAGCTGCACCAGGCAGCATTGGACTCAGATCTTCGACAAAGAGACGTTTCTGCAAGACAATGGGGATGCCACTATGAGGCAGTGGCTTCGGTAGGTGGCTGTTCTGCCTCCCGTGGAGTTGCATCATTGGTCTCTTTCTGAGAGTCCGCCGGACGATCTTTCTCGTCGGGGTTTTCCGTATTCTGGGGGGTTTTGTCCGCATCCGTTGATGCTTTCTTAGCCTCTTCGGGTGGCTGGGGGCTCTCAAACAGCACCTTGAGATTATTGCCATCCTCAATCTTATCGAAGAGACCGAGCTTGCTTTTAGCTGTAAGCCGTAATGTTCGCCACACCTTACTAGCCTTCGCCCTCATCGCATCGTCCTTTTCTTCCTTCGTCTTGGCCATGTCGATATCGAAATCATCATCAACAATACCCATCATGTATGAGTCAGGAGCAGGCGTTCTAAATCTGGTCGACAATCAGTCAATGCTCCTCATGCAGAACACACATGTCCTTACCGATCCGGATCCTTCAAGCGTTCGAGACTGGCACCATTTTCCGCGTCAGAGAGGAATTTCAGATCGAGAGAACCCATTGGGGAAGGCCGGAGACGTTTGCTGGAAAAGACTTTAGTGGCGTTTTCCCGTGCATCGAGATAGTCTTCCAACGAAACCGCTGGCCGTTCGATGGGTGGACAATTCTCGACCTTCCAGCGAACCCAGTTTTTGTCTCTCGAGAGAACGGTATCAACCATGCGGTAGTAAAACTTGCCCTCGAGGCCTTGTTGAAGGTATTCTGCAATTGCATCCCTGGTTTGTGCTGCCCATTTGGCCTACACAGCATGAGAAATTGTCCCAATCAAAATGGAAGGCAGAAGGGGAGATCTCTTACATCCTCCTCGCTCGCAACGTAATTGTAAACTACAGCTCTGTTTATTGTCTTCGGTAACCTCGACCTGGCCTTGGGTGTAAGAGAGAGGATAAAGTCCAAGAGTATCAACGCCTGTACTAGAACATGGCGTCTGAAGGCAATATCGTTAACCTGCATTAATGTAGGGTCAGTGTAGTTCAAAAGAATTGTGGCAAGTGGGCATTACCTCTAGATCAAACAGCTCCCGGCTAGTCAAGTACTTAGGGTTGAAGGTGCTTGAAATTTCGGCACCATCGCCAGTTCGCTTGCGTTTCACCCCTCTGCGAACCTCATCTGGAGTCTTCGCAGCGCTTCGAGTGTCAAGATCAGTATTGATGAGCTTAAAAGTCGACAGGGTCGCTTCGAGACCGCTCTTGAATGACGCAAAATGCTGAGAGTCGAAGAGCTTCGTTGGTGAGGAGAAATATGCTTGCAACCCCCAGAATATCGGATACAGAGCGTCCAGATCAATACTTTTCTCCTTCTCTGCGTCCTTATTGTCTGACACGACAACTTCCGGAGGCTTCGGTGCCTCTTCCGTCGACTGATCCCCATCAAGCTTTTGGTCGTCGACAGGTTTCTCAGCCTCCGATTCTGCAGGTGCTTCATTTGCACCAGTCGTATCAGTTTCCATTTCATCATGTTTTTGTTTCTTCGGGATTTCGTCAAAGGTGGTGACGTTCTCCGTGTGAAATTCTCCTCGGAGGTTGACGGAGCTCTTGTCGCCAAGTGGGAAGCTCTGGAACATGTAAATGAAGACTCTTCCACAGAAAACCGTGTCCTCGGCCCTGGAAAGTCGTCGAAGCAGTTCATTGCAAGAACGGAGAATGATCAAGCTCTTCTGCTTGAAGTGTTTCTATGGTGATGTCAGTCGACCTGTCGAGAGACGAAAGCGCACAGCGTAGACGTACCGCTGTATTTATTTCTCTTCGCGACTCAAGGTAGTCAAACACCTTTCGGCAGCCCTCGATTGTCTGACTGTCAAGAAGCTCCTCAATAAGCCAGAAAATAAGGCCAGGTTCGCATTGTTCTAAGAGGCAAATCACGTCAGATTCTGCACATAAACAGATGCAGGTGACACCAACCGTTGTCAGAGAAGATCGAGACGATGTCCAAGAGATTCCATATGTTCGTAAACGCAGGGTCGTCGATCGAGGTTGTGGCCTTCACACCATTAGCGACAAGGTTGAGGGCCGATGGACAAGATGCGCAAGGCGGTGTAACTCACAAGTAGCTCGTAAAATTTCTCCCTGAAAGCCGTTTCCACAGCAGCATAGTTTGCTTGCTGATTCTGCTCCGTCTCTGTATCTCCCTCCGGTCGGGGTATGTGCCATATCGCCCCTCCGAGGTCTGCCTCTGTCAAAGGCGGCTCGATCTGCTTCTCCGGCTTGACCTCAGCAGCTTTCGCTAGGAGATCGTTGACGAGCTGCCTGTAGGCTTTCACCGACTCGACGTCTGCGTCCGACATTGCTGCGACACAGTGGTTGCGACAGTTCAGGATGACATGGCGGTTGCAGGGAGATGGAATCGCGAGAAAGAGGCGACAAAGCAGCTGGTCAATAGAGCATGTTCACTGGTTCGCTCTGCACCAATCGGCGCCATGGATGCGGCTCTGCTGGACCTAAGCGGGATAGGCGCTAGCGCTAAGCGCGTCGGGACGTTTTCGCGATCTTCGGGCAGACTCTCGCTCGGACATCGATCGCATGTAAGTCTCCCACCCCAAGGAATGGGACTAGAGATACCTCCTGCCATGGCGCAGAGTCTCGAAACCAGGCCCACCGTGTCCGATCTCCAGGGGGACAATCGCTGGGTAAACCTTGCCAGGACTCATTGGCTCAAGGAAACCCAGGTCCGCAAGGTTAAACAGGATGTCATCAAGAAGGAGATCTGGGATCCGCTGGAGGCAGAGGGGTTCTCTCTTCGCTCTCTTTTGACGCTGGAGAATCTGAATATCCTGGAGAAGTTGGTCCCCTCTTGGTGCGACATCGCTCTGCCTGCAAGCTGACTGGATTCAGGTTTCTGTGGCCGACATACACGGAGGACTCGTCGAACTACCATGTCTTGCTGATTACCGTGATTGTTGGCGTCAAGCAACGCGAGCATCTACCAATATGGGGTTAGTATCGAAGGGCGTCTCTGTTTGTGGCCGGAAATTGCTGACTGAGATGCCAGAGCACTTCAGCGACCGTCCAGACGATTTTTCCACTCTTTTCCATCGTATCCTCTCTATGAGCCTAGACCAGTCGCTTTCGACATTCTCGCGATTGTCGCTTTTGTCGTTTATCATCAGTGGCTTTCAGTCACTAGAGAATAACCTGATCAGGAAAGAATGCGCGCCTCTGGTTTCAATTTCAATATGGCATAATCTGTCCAGCGACGAGGCCAGAGAACGAATTCTTGAAAGAGCAGCGATATTGAAGAAAGCGTGGAGGGCGGCTGCGAAGCGGTACGAGGCAGCTGATGAGTCGACTAAGGCAAAGATCCGTTTCGAGCGGTCGTGGCTTTATACCATGTTGCTTGATTTCATACAGAGATTGAACGGTCCGGAGAAGAATCAGGCGGAGAACGTGCGATATTGCGAAAGGTTCCTGGAATTGCTGGTTGACCTAGATAGCCAACTTCCAACGAGGCGCTATGTCAATACTCTTCTCAAGGATCTGAACATTCTTCCCATACTCCGGCTTTCGCGACTCTACAATCTCCCGAACAATGTCCTGATACGTGATTTTTACTCGTTGCTGCGACATTTTGTCAACTTTGCCATTGACGACTATACAGGCGAGCCTCTCTCTTCCCAGGCTGCTTATGACATTCATTGCCAGCAACTAGGTCAGCTGCAGAGGATTGCCATCAAACACTTCAAGGACAAGTTGACTATTCTAGCACTTTCGAATTACGGTGCCATTGAACAGCGCGCGGACCTGGAAGCTAATCTATCGGCTTTGGATGACTCTGAACTCCAGGACCTCTGTACCCGCCTTGGCTTCAGGACCAGTTACCCGAAACAAGCGCAGGTGGTACCCGACAGGAATCTATACCTCGAAATTCTTGTTTCGCACTTTGAACGGAAGCCGTCATTCCAGGAGTCTGCTGCCAGCTTGAGTATCGTACCGACGGAAGAAAATCTCTATGAGCCTGCTCTGTTGCGAAACGAGACATATGATGGATCGAGGCCGCTCGCCATACCCAAGCTCAATCTTCAGTATTTGAGTCTGGGTGACTTCCTTTGGCGTTCGTTTCTGCTGTATCGCTCTGAGGCGTTCTTCGAAATCCGCAAGGATCTCGAGGCGGTTGTGAAACGGATGCAGCCACGCTCAGGCAAGGGGGGCAAGGACATAATCTTTGAAGGGTTCTCTCGGATGGGTATTCCCATCTCCAAGCCGGCAATCATTGAAGTTGCTCCACCCAAGGTCGGATCAACGAAACCGGCATTTGTTCGGGCTGAGATCATCCTGGAAGTGGGACGTCTGACCGAGAATGTACTAAGAGAGTGGGAGGAGTTACGACCAGACGATGTTGTCTTTCTGCTTGCTGTCACCTCGGGAGACTCGTCAACATCACTCAGCACGAGTGCAGGGAATAATGCAGCTAATGTGCCAGTCATAAGCCATATTCGAACTGCTGAAATTGTGCAAGTTCTCGATGAAAACGGCCGCGTTCTTCGTGAACCACAGCCCGGCCAGGAGAATAGTTACGCTCGCAAACCGCGCATCAGGAGGTTACTCGTGAACCTGGATGCTGCAGCCTTCAAAGCCGACACCGACAGAGTGTCGAAAGGGAAGCAGGATATCTACCCCTTGATCAATGTGATCGTGAGGAGGAAGGGGAGGGAGAACAACTTTAAACCGGTACTCGAGACGATGCAGAAGCTAATCACCACCGATATTGCACTTCCGTCCTGGCTTCAGGAGATCTTCCTCGGATATGGAGATCCTGCCAGTGCGCGATATACAGAATTGCCGAATCGGGTCAAATCCATCGATTTCCGAGACACTTTCTTGGACTGGCAACATTTGGTGGAGAGTTTCCCTGGAAAGACGATAGAGCCCTCGGGCAATGCGAGCTCCAGCTTTGGGCCCCCATACGTGTTGGAAACTGTAGACGAGGTTCCTAAGACGAGTACAGCAAACCAGTCGAAAAAGCGACGTCGTGGCCAGGTGGATGCACAAAGCGAACCTGGGTCGATCCACGTATCGACTTACAAACCCCCTAATCCTGGGCCTTATCCGGTTGATGCTCCTAAGGTCAATACCATCCGTTTCACGCCTGCCCAAGTGGAAGCAATCACATCAGGTACCCAGCCTGGGCTTACCGTGATTGTTGGGCCCCCTGGAACTGGGAAGACAGACGTGGCCACGCAGATTATAAACAATATTTACCATAACTTCCCGAACGAGCGAACACTGCTTGTGGCACACAGCAATCAGGCTCTCAACCAGCTGTTCCAGAAAATTGTCGCCCTTGACATTGACGAGCGCCATCTTCTACGACTTGGTCACGGTGAAGAGGAATTAGAGACGGAATCCAGCTATAGCAAATATGGACGGGTCGAGTCGTTCCTTGAAAATCGCACCCATTTACTGGCCGAAGTAAATCGGCTAGCCGCTTCGATTGGGGCACAAGGAGCACACGGGAATTCCTGTGAGACTGCAGGATACTTCAATTCTGTCTATATCCAGCCGGCCTGGACGAAATTCTGGGACAAGGCACGTTCGCCCGACGCTTCCAACGACGACATCATCAAAGCCTTCCCATTCCATGCCTACTTTTCCAACGCACCGCGCCATGTTTTTGAGCCCGACGCCTCCAAGGAGGAGCTGCTGGATGCTGCAGCCGGTTGCCAACGACACCTTGATAGGATATTCTCTGAGCTGGAGGACATTCGACCTTTCGAGATTCTACGGCAGCCGCGGGACCGGGCAAACTACCTCCTCATCAAGGAGGCTCGGATAATCGCCATGACATCTACGCATGCGGCGATGCGGCGGCAGGAGATTGCCGATCTTGGCTTCCATTACGATAACGTGGTGATGGAGGAGGCCGCCCAGATCACGGAGATCGAAACGTTCATACCTTGCGCTCTGCAAAACATGCAGAACGGGGAGCTACCGTTGAAGCGGGTCGTTCTGTGCGGAGATCATTTCCAAAATTCTCCCATCATACAGAACCTCGCGTTCCGGCAGTATGCCAATTTTGAACAGAGTCTGTTCCTCCGGTTAGTGAGGCTGGGTGTGCCAACAATCACTCTCGACCTGCAAGGGCGAGCGCGGCCCAGCATTGCGGAACTGTTCCAGTGGCGGTATCCCCAGCTTGGGCACCTCCCTATTGTTGAGGAGGACCCGCAATTCAAGATCGCCAACGCGGGTTTCCAGTTCGACTACCAGTTCATCAATGTTCCTGATTACCAGGGGGTGGGTGAAAGAGAACCGTCACCTCATTTCATCCAGAACCTTGGTGAAGCGGAATATGCGGTGGCGATCTACCAGTACATGCGGCTGCTCGGCTATCCGGCATCAAAGATATCGATCCTTACGACGTACGCAGGACAGAAGGCCTTGATAAAAGATGTTCTGAACCACCGCTGCGCCAAGAACGCGTTGTTCGGGCTGCCTAAGATCGTGACGACCGTGGACAAATACCAGGGCGAACAGAATGACTGTAAGCACGCCGACGTCTTCAGCAGTGGTTTTTTTTACTAACAGGGACTTTGTAGATGTCATTCTCTCGCTCGTGCGAACACGGACAGTCGGGTATCTCCGGGACGTCCGTCGTCTGACGGTAGCACTGTCGCGTGCACGACTCGGGCTGTACATCCTCGGACGGCGCGAGGTCTTCGAGTCATGTTTCGAGCTCAAGCCCGCCTTTGATCTCCTCGGCCAGCGGCCCGACAAGCTCATGCTCGTTCCGGGGGAGATGTTCCCCACATCGCGGTCCCTGACGGAGGAGGTCGAGGGCACGCCGATGGAAGGCGTCGAGCACCTGGGGCAGTACGTCTACGAGATGACGGAAGCGAAGATCAAATCACTAGGCGAGGAGATGACGACCATTACAGAGGTCGACGCCACTACGAATGGTGAAGAACCGGTCGTCGATGAGGACGAAGTGATGCTAGGAGCGGGCGAAGAAGATGACGAAGAGGTGCTGGACCGTTAACACGGTCAAACTAAATATATTATCTATGTATCATTTTGTGAATGAATTCAGCGGGGCAAAAACAAAAAAATTTTTTTCCTTTTCCCTCTTGAGCAACTGGCATTTTTCTTTTTCTTTTCTTTTCTTTTCCTTTTTTTTTATTTCCCATACGGCGCAACTTGGTTGGAGAGGGGGGTAGGACTGCACAGCAGAGAGTGTTACAGCTTTCTGATTCAGATTCCGATTCTGGTGTTCGTTTTTGAAAATAAGATAAGACGAGAAAAAAAAAAGTCTAGCAGTGGTAACTAACTGGTTATTATCATTATCATTGTCATTGTCATTATTCTTGTGATTGTGTGGGTGGTTGCTAGAAAGATTAGTTGTTGTTGTTGTCGTTGTATCATACCCTCTATGTATGTATGTACTGTACTGTACGCATGTACGAATGAATGAATGGATGGATGGATGGATGGATGAATAAAGGCATTTGTACTTATTTGGTGGGAACGTGGTCTGTTTTTTTTTCTTGTCTTTTCATTTCTATGTCTAATCTAACTTCTTAAGAGGACCCGCTCGAAGTCCCGTTCGATTCTGATGCCGGCTTCAGCTCCTCGACGATGTTCTGTGGGTCTCGAAAGGCGAGGGCAATGTACCTGGACTCCGTCAGAAATACGCAAAAGGGGACAAGGGTTTCTGTTATTGCTCACTTCGTGTGACTGCCTCGGGCGACGATCTCGTTCTTGTCGTTGTAGAATTTGATAGACGTGTAGGCGAGGTTTTTGCCGACTGCGAAGCAAAAGAGGATTGTCAGAGATCATGTATGTACGACTCCAGTTATCTTGCCCGTGCTTGTTGGGCACTTGATGGGACAGTCTGGGAATTGAAATGATGGAAAATTCGTCGTATTTTGTCTGAACTTACACTTGTCGCATACAACCTCCTATGACGGGATATCAGCATGCTTGCTGCATTATGGCAGAAGGTAGGCGGAAAACATACCGCAAAGATCTTATCGCCGATCTTTCCCCCAGAACTCAGATAGGTCACTACTCATGCAATTAGGGCTGCCAGCCAATGATCTCTCTGCTGGGGCATACCGTTAAGATCCGTCGAGACGCCTGTGGCAAAAAGACCACGGGATGCGACGGCAAGAGAGCCTCCAAGGTCAACTGGACAGCTGTTAGGAACGTTTCTATACGCTGATATTTATGAGATATGACATCACATGACATACCCATGCTGGCAATGGTGCCTCCGTGCAGGATGCCCAGTCTGTTCTGTAGGAGGTCAGTATGGGAGTTCTTATGCGAAATAAATAAATTGTGCAATGTAATTGAATAAAATAGTAAATCATAAATAAATCTGGGAATTAACAAGACGTCTCATTATTGAGGTAGGACAGGTAATAGTTATAATAGATGAATTGAAATTGAACGAAAAGACAAGTAAAAATAAAGATGAAAAAGAAGAGCTGCAATCAACGATATAATGGCTACTCACCGTATGCTCCTTCTTGATATCCAGCTCAAAGTTGACGACTCCAGGCCTCGCAGCCGTCACGCGGAGCTTAGTATATGTCAGCATACATTACGTTCAATATACACATATATAAATAAAAAATAACGAGGAATATTCACTAACATTGTCAAGGAGCCTATTTCGTCGCACGAAATTCAGTCAACACATCTAATACTCCAAATGATTCCCATGAAAGACCCGACATACCGTGGCTCCAGCCCGGACGTAGTCCGGAAGGACTCCCATACCTGGATAGCAGTCAATTGCATGCTTCGTGGAGTGTATTTTCGCATTTATTTATAAGAATATTTACTTACGGATTTCACGAATCTCAACGCAGTCATTCTGGAAGATTGCAAGGGCAGTTCTTGACTGATGAGATGCTCTCACTGCTCGATATCCTCGGCAGATGATATCGGCGAAATGTTGTTGCGCTTGTGGCCGCGTCGCCCGCCGGAGCCTCCGCCGTGATCAGCGAAGCTAATCTCGCGCGCTAACAAAGTAAGACTTCAGCTTACTCCGATAGGAACTGCTCAGGTTGCTGCTCCAGGCTGCCGCTGCGCTCCCAGCCTCTGCAGTGACGACATGATAGAGCACTGATCCGACTGCGCGCGGACAGCCTGAGCCCAGGCACAATGTCCGCGTCCACTCGTCCGTTCGACTACCTGGAACAGCTGCCGGGCACGACCTTCAACAAGCTGTACCGGCAGCCGTCCGCTGCTCTCGCCATCTTCAGGCGCATGCTGCCTGATCTGGGTGAGTGGTACCTCCGTTCTATTTTGAGGCAGTGCTGACCGGCACAGCAAAATGCTTCGTCATGGCCCTGCTCTACATGAAAGATCCCGTTCCCGCGGCGGACCTGGAGGCGTGGATCAAACCTGAAAGCAAGAAGTGAGCACGATAGAAGTCGTATCTACGGCAGAGTCTGACTATTCGCAGAGAACGAGACTATGCGCTTTCGATCCTGGGACGGCTACATATCCTTTCCAATACAATGACCTCCGATCAGGTCCGCGCGTACATGGTGACCAATCCGTTCGCCTCGTCGCTGCGTCAGGCTCTCACCGGAGGCGAGGACAACTACTCGTTTGGAGAGCCCTGTCTGACGCCAGACCCAAATCCCGTCTCGGTCGCCGATCTCGATGAGTACGCAAGACGACAGTGGGAGGGTGTGCTGGGGTATATGGTTGGGACCAGCAGCATTGGCGTCCAACAGCCCGTCAGCCTCAGCAAGGGCGTCAAACAGCTGCTGCAGGCCGGCCATCTGGTTGAAATCCACGACCGCCAAGTCAACATCACCCAAGACGGGTTCGCTTTCGTGCTGCAGGACGTCAACACCCAGGTCTGGCAGATTCTCATCCTGTATGTCGAAAGCGCCGAAGCGATCGGCATGGACAGTGTGGAAGTGCTGTCGTTCATCTTTCTGCTGAGCAGTCTCGAACTGGGCCAGTCGTATGAGAAGCGACACCTGACGCCGACCCAGCTGCGCACGCTGACCGATCTGACCGACTTTGGGATTGTCTACCAGCACTCTCCCATTTCCGAAGCGACACGCTTCTATCCGACTCGACTGGCAACGACGCTCACGTCTGATTCGAGCGCACTCAGCAATACTTTGACCAGCACGCTCTCTGCCCAATCGAGTGCATCCACCGAGCCGGGGTCGGGGTTCATCATCGTGGAGACCAACTACCGCTTGTACGCGTACACGTCGTCGCCCCTGCAGATTTCTCTCATCGCACTGTTCACCACGCTGAAATACCGCTTCCCGAACTTGATCACGGGGAAAATCACGCGGCAGTCGATCCGCCGCGCCATCGAGATGGGCATCACGGCCGACCAGATCATCTCGTACCTGTCGACGCACGCCCATCCGCAGATGCGCAAGTACAACGCGAGCAAGTCGACCTCGAACATGACGGGCATGCCGCCCTCGGTCCTCCCACCGACGGTGGTCGACCAGATCCGGCTGTGGCAGCTGGAGCGGGACCGGATCAAGGCGACGCCGGGATTCCTGTTCAAGGATTTCGTCAGCCTGGCCGAGTACGAGGCGCCGTGCCGGTATGCAGAGGAGATTGGCGTGCTGGTCTGGAAGTCGGACCGCAAGAGGATGTTTTTCGTCACGAGGCATGAGCAGATCGCGGCGTTTTTAAAGAGCAGGAAGTGAAGACTCATCCTCGTTCGATGGATAGATACCCTGTAAAATATTTATTTTAAAATAAGTTGATTTGGGTGGCAGGCTATTACTACAATGGAATTTTCATTTTTCAGATAGATGTATCTGTAAGGTAGAACGAACAAGATACAAGTATGTACTTATCAGGTGTTTTATTTCCTTTCTAGACTGTTTCTGTACTGTCTCTGAGTAAAGTACTTCGGCTTTCATTCTCTCCTCCTCTCTCTCTCCTTTTATTTTTCTTCTACTTCACCGCACTCCCCCTCAGCTCCACACTCTCATCCGCTTCCTGTCCTCTGCAAGGACAGCCTCCACATCGATATCGCTCCTCCTCCCCATCTTCACTCCCTGGACGATGTCATACTCATGCCTCCCCTTTGCGAGATCTGCCTTATTATTTGGAGCAGTGATGTAGGCAGGGTCTCTTATATTGGATCATATATTGTAATGTATGTTGGATAATCTCTGTTATTACCCTACTGGCTTCTTCTCTTTGTTCCTTTTGTGATTTATGATTACTTGATTTGATTATTCCTTATTCTTCATTATTATTCTTCTTCTATCACTCGCTCCGCTCGTTTATTATCAGCTAACTCCATGCCTCGACCACCTCACACAGCGTGCTCTCTCCACCCACATTCCCTGGAAACACGACATACGGCACCCCAACATGTCGACTCGTCGACTCGTCGCAGCGCCAGAGAGGAATGCCCGGCGCGGCCTGCCCGACGACCAGGGCGCGTTTGATGTTGAGTCCTTTGGTGGCTGCGTCGGAGGAGGTGATTCCGCCCTGTGAATTCGTCAATTAGCAATTGCTGAATTCTGCGTCAACTGATGGGTGGTTGAACGAATATGAAAGCAAGGAGTTTGAAAGGGGATACCTTCGTGATGATATATCTCGGCCGTTCTTGAATTCCCCTGTAGCACGCTGACTAGCGCCTCAGCCACCTTCGTCCCAATGGCCAGCGACGACAGCTCGTCGTCTCCCGTAATGAGTTTCCGGCTTGTCATCACGAGCGTATCTTTCCCTGACCGCAGCTGGCGTTCTGCCTCCTGGACAATTCTTGCCACTGCCGCAGCGGCGTTTTCTTTGGACGAGATCAGTTCTTCGACATTGAGCTCGAGAACGGCCAGATGCGGACCACGCCGGTCTATCAGGACTTTGAGCTGGGCAGTCGTCTTAGGAACGTGGGATCCAGCAATGATCAGCCCGCCGGTCTGTCTGGGCGCAGGCAGGTTCAGCTCCGACGCTGTCACCAGGGCCTTGGACCGGACGCCCAGGCGTGTCGAGACGAAGGCGGCACCTGTTCGGTAGAGAAATCGCTTGCCTTGGGATTGAGCTGCAAAAAGAAATTAGCACATGTATGTACTCACGATAGCAGGTAATATCTAGATACATACCCTGCAGCAATCCTGCTACAAAAACGTGCATATCCGACTCAGCAGCCGCATTGACAATGACGATGCTTCTCCGAGGAAGATCTACCAGTTTGGCAGCGACCTTGTCCGGTCCACCCCTTCGAATGTCCTCGATGGTAACTGAAAATATCTGCTCGGGACGAAACCTCCCCGGCGCCTTTTCCATGATATAGTCCCTCAGATTGGAACTCTTATATCCAAACGTCGCATCCTTGGCGAACGGTGTATTCGCAACAGGCACCAGCTGCTCTCCCTCTGCGACGTAGTGCACGTCATTGATGGTGAATCTCCCACCCTGGAAGAAAAACGGCGCCAGGACCCAGGCATCGACGTCGCCAAACACCGACTGCGCAACGTCTGTTTCTAGCGGGAAATGTCCCCGCAAGGTGCTGTCGCCTCGCAGCACGATCTCCACGCCCTGGCCAGTCGTCCTGGCTGCCTGGGCGACATTCTCGCACACAGCGCGGATCAGCTTCTCTGCTTCGATAGGAGGCAGAGCACGAGAATTGGTCAGGATAAAGAGTCCCCGTGAACCAGGTCGTTGGAACTCCTCGACCAGCGTCGGCACATCCCAGACGGTCAGCACGATGATGTCATGGCAGGTCTGCGTGCCGGTGGGGTCATCATCCAGCGCTATCAGGAGACTCTTCTTAGGCTTGGTGCCGTCTTCTAGATGTCGAGCGATCAGGTCCTGCGCGTCTGTGGGATATTCGGAGGGCAGTTGAGCCAGTGTGCTGGCGCGGGGAAGGACGTCATACTCTCGCGGGGACATGGCGATGCGACTTCACCTGGTCCGAGAGAAGACAGCCGCATCGCAATCCGACGGTTGCAATCCTTGACTACTGTCTGTCAAGTACGATTCGAGACTGCGACAGGTCTTCAGTATTAATACCAAATACATGCACGGAGTATTCACGCCATGCAGGTGCTCTTGCAGGACGTCGTCTGTTTACTCGAGTTGGTAGGTACCCAAAATGGGATAGCATTCCTGTTTGGGAAAAGTGCCCCAGGGTTAACTGCGGTGATGACGAACAGCTGCTGGCGCCTTCCTTTTCTTCCAAACATCAACTTGTTGTTCCCATAGTGTCGATCACGACTTTGCTGCGCTGTACGTGAATAGTTCCATGCAAATTACCTAGTATTTGACAAGATATTGACTCAACATGACAGATTCGAAAAACGACAGGCGGTTAATGCCGCCTCCCCCCCACACCACCACGACGCAAGAAGAGACTGAAGTCATCAGGCTCGACATCCTCGCACAGTATCAAGTCTTTGCCTATGGACTCATCAAGTGCTCACTCGTCAGACCAAGAATCCATCAAGTCGGATGCTTTCTCTGCTGGCACAAAACTACAAGTCAGGAAAATTGCTGGAGACCATTGCTGGGCATGTGGTAGCGAGCCGGCTCAAATTTGCCATGTTGTTGCAAAGGAAGACCCACAGGTAAGCATTTATTTTCTCGGCTTGCTATTGGAATGATCATAACAGTTTGCTATTATATGCAGGCTCGCCTCTGGGCTGAGTTAGGCCTGATAAACTTCTCGCTCGTCTCGGCAATGAACGCAATCCCTCTGTGTCCCACTTGCCATTCTCAGTTCGACCTAGCTATCGACCCAGGGTTCTTTTTTGTCCCAACAGATCTACGGTATTTCATACAATTCGAGCTCAAGGATAGAGAACGCAGGAAAAGGGCAGCCGAAGAAGGGACCATTCTAGATCGAGAGACCCCTGCCGCTGAGGAGTACAAGGCACATCAAGTAGCAAAGGGAATAATTCCGCCTGATGCTATTGGTGGTCAATATCTTCGAGTTTTTCTCAAGTCCTATCTCCATCACGATGAACTCCCATTCGATGTTATGGCATATTTGTCAAAGCCTAAAGAGTGGCACGGAGCTCCTTTGGCCAGTCTCCGCAGGGCCATTCCAATTCTAGGAAGTGGCCGTTTAAAGGCTTTGAAAAGCCAGATGCGTCTGGAATTACAGAAGCTGCGCGACTTATACTTCCTTGATGAGGAATCTTCTCCAGGAAACATGTCCGTTGATTTAGGGACACGGCAAACTCAACCCAATGATCAGGTGAAGAAGCGACAGCTTGATGACATCACGGATGATAAATCAGGCTCGCCAAAGAAGCAACGACAAGGGAATGAGGAAAGGAGCAGTCGGGATCCAGGCACAACGAGATATTGTCCGATCCTCCTTAAAGAGGTTCTCTCTTACTGGACCTTAGGGCCAGACGTTACTGCAGAGGAGGCGGTTCGCCGATACGCCCCTGTGTTTGCTCGATCGTTGAGGAATGAAGGCCAAGTTTGAGGCTTATTATTAATTGTATCTATAAATTGATCAGGTATTGCTAGCAGGTTTTAAATTACAGTGAAAGGAATTGATTAAATGAACCTTTTCCCTCTGTGTGGTGCACATGATCTGCCTAATGTCTTATAGCCGAAGGAAGCTAAGGGTATTTTATTATGTAAAGGCACCATTAAGGTTATTTTAAGTCTTAAGAATAGATAGAAAAGATGTTCTAGGAGGAACTAGGTATATATATCGGTCAGACCAGGACTCTTTCTTAACCAGAGAAGTAATATAAGTGTGCTGTTCAATTAGTAGGAAGAGAATTTCTCTGGAGATACTGCCACAATCCAACGCATATAAAGTGAGATAGATTTGCCAACTTCTGCACAGAGTAATATGGGGTCGTATTCACCTGAAGAACATGAGAGAGCAAGGCTTATGTCTATTCTCAGCGCCATATATTTGGTTTAGGTTCCTACCTAGTGTAAGAATAGAAAAGGAATAATGCTCCTCCTTTCAGAAATTCAGTACATGAGAGACAAGTATGTGCAGAGCTTCATTCTATTTCAAAGACAGATCTTTACTTGTCACATCCCATCAAGCTGCTATTATCTACGTATAGGTTGCTATACGGCTGTAGATTTATGTGAATAGTCAGAAAGGGTTTCATTAGGAGAAAGGAAGAAGAGTGAAGATTATGCTTAGTTGTTATAAGCCCATTACTATATGGTGAATCAGAATGCATGGTGGTGCCTAACACCATATATCATCTTCACATCGTTGTCTAAGATACCTATCTAGATAGGCAGCTTCTAACCAGGGACTCATCGTGCGACTAGACAGTCACTTTAATCTCCCAGTGATGAAACTCCCGGACCACTGAGCGAATTAGTCGTGCCCGCTCATCTGATATGTTTATCCACTCGTCCTGTCTTTCTCAACTGCCTCTTCGTTTCTCCTTTTCATTCTTCCGTCACTGCCAGTTGACTCCAAAAGAAACCAGAGCGAAGACCTTCAACAAGTGAAAGAAGCCTTGCTGTGCCCTTCTGTGGACACAGACTCGACTACCGGCCAGCATGCGCGAAATTAAGCGTATGTGTATATCTCATCTTCATTGTATATTTTCTTGCTGACGACTGTAGGCGACGAATCGCTCGACAGTCTCTCCACCCGCGTTCAAGTCCGTTTCATGGAGTCGATGACCGAAGAAGATGAAGTTCTGGTTCGATCGGTGCACCCAGCCCTCCAAGCTCGCGAAACGGTCTATGTCCATGAACATGACGGCCGACTGGTCTGGGTGGTGCCGACCAGCAACGCTTACGACGTCCTTGATACACACGCAGCCGGTCGAGAAATCCTTCGTTCGCCACTCTTCGAAATGCAGCCTAGGCAGACAGGGGCGCCAATCCGCGAGGATCCATTTCCCCAGCCCATCAACTGCCGTAGTGTCCTCGCCCCAGAGGTCGTCTATCGGATTCTGGCGTTCTTCCCGGGTTCTGTGGGCATGTATGTACTGGTCTTTGGCTTTATGATCATCCACTTTCGTGATCGGAAAGCTATGGAAGAATGCTGGGGCCTTGGCAATGTGAATGAGGTTGGTGGCCTGAGTGTTGGATATGGAATTCTCAGCACTTAGTCGGGATCAGGTGGAAATTGCCCGAGGGCTGTGTTCTACTGCAAGGGAGAAGGCACTGGAAAGAGCTAGCTGTCTATGCAGCAAGTATGGAGGGTGCAACCTGGATTAAGCATTAGTTGATGATCTAGACATTCTACGTACGCCGGGCTTGCTACCCATAATTCTGACCTATTCTGTGCAATATTCCTCTTGTAGTTTTCTTATCGACATACTTCCAGATGGCTCCTAAGCTGTACCTCTATTCATAGTCTCCATACACCTCTACTGTCGATATATCATGCTTGCCAATTCCCATTTGTACACCTCTTGCTAATACTGGTCAGCAGATGTCATGATTTCGATTGCTGGCGGCAGGAATACACTGATTTGTAGCTATCAAGTTGACAAACTAAAACTAGAATAGGTTCCATGAACGTACCTTATCGCATGATTGATATAAAATTATATACTTGTTAAGTACTGAAACTATAAATTAGTCGCCTTGGCAGGAGTATAAAACAAATTGATCAGGAATAGCTGGTCTTATTTACGGAAAAAGTAATTGAATTAAAATGAACCTTTCTAGAACCCCCGCTCCTCTCGGCCGCCCCGCCATATTAACTGGCCAAGACCAATTCAGGCTGAATTGATGGCTTCAAGCTTCACATCCGGACTTCGGGCTTTGGCGGGGTATTTCTTGCCCTTCGATTGAAACTGCAAGGATGAGGTGTATTTATGGAGCAGAGGTGCCCGAATCTAAGGACCAGCAAGCACACGGCATTCTCAGCTTGTCGACCTAGCTGAACAACATGGCAACCGGCTTCCTTCGCGTCAGCGGCACCAAGATTGTCGATGCCAATGGCACGCCAGTCCTCTTGAGGGGTACTGCCCTGGGAGGCTGGATGAAGTGAGTGAGCAAAATATCTTGCAGTTGTAATAACTATGGTATAGCATGTCTAACCTCAACTGCCAGCATGGAGAATTTCATCACTGGCTTTCCCGGCCACGAATCGACCCATCGCGCGGCCATGCTCGCCGTCTTGGGCAAGGAGAAATATGACTATTTCTTCGACAAGTTTCTCGAGTACTTCTTCACGGAAAAAGATGCTCAATTCTGCAAGAGCCTTGGTATCAACTGCCTGCGGCTGCCGTTCAACTATCGTCACTTTGAGGACGACATGAACCCTCGCGTGCTGAAAGAGGAAGGCTTCAAGCATCTGGACAGAGTCGTTGACCTGGTACATAACATATGTTTGCAAGCCCGTTCTCTGTGCAGCTGTCTGATTATTTATTTTCGTGTCTAGTGTGCAAAATACCAGATCTACACCATCCTCGATATGCATACCTTGCCTGGCGGTCAGTCTCCGGGCTGGCATGCGGACAACCTCACCTCCCACGCGTCCTTCTGGGATCATCGCGACCATCAAGACCGCACTGTCTGGCTGTGGCAGCAAATCGCGGCACGGTACAAATCCAACACTTGGATTGCCGGCTACAACCTGATCAACGAGCCGTGCGACCCTCAGCACGTCCGCCTGCCGGCGTTCTACGTGCGCCTGGAAAAGGCGATCCGCGAGATCGACCCGGACCATATCTTGTTTCTGGACGGGAACACCTTCGCCGCGGAATGGAAGGGCTTCGACCAGTACCCCATCTTGCCCAACGCGGTGTACTCTCTCCACGACTACAGTCGGCTCGGATTTCCAGGCCCGGAGCAATTCACGGGATCTCAAGAGCAGCTGGAGCGTCTGGAGAGGCAGTTCCTGCGCAAAGCCGAGTTCCACCTCTCTCGCAACGCGCCCATCTGGAACGGAGAGTTTGGACCGGTCTATGCCAACCCGCAATACGAGGAGGATGCAGACGCCATCAATCGGCAGCGGTATGAGCTGCTCAACGCGCAGTTGCGTCTGTATGACAAGTACGAGATTCCGTGGAGTATCTGGCTCTACAAGGACATCGGGCTGCAGGGGATGCTGCATACCTCGCCGTCATCGCCGTGGAACAAGCTGCTCGCGCCGTTTCTCGAGAAGAAAAAGGCTCTTCAGCTCGACGCGTGGGGGCAATACCCCTCGCAGGAGATCGACGCCCTTATTGGGCCACTGGTAGAGTGGATTGACCGGGTCAGCCCAACGGCCAAGAACACGTACCCCAGTACGTGGGACACCAGACGCCACATCGAACGGGCAGTGCTGCAGACGTTCCTGGCGGAGAGCTTTCAGAAGGAATTCGCCGAGTTGTTCCGGGACAAGAGCATGGAAGAATTGGACGAACTGGCGAGAAGCTTTGCGTTTGAGCAGTGCGTGCAGCGCACGGAACTGAATGAGATTCTGTCCAAGCATGCCGAGGCTAGTCGATTGGCATAGATAGCAGATAGATAGACGGATAGATTCCGGCTAAATTCAAAGCATCTGGCAGACGTAAGGCTGCAGGACGACCCAGTCCCTTGGAAACGCTGTTCCCAGTTGACATATACGACTAATTATGTTAGTTAATTAGCTAGTAAGACAGCTGCCACATGGCAGAACAGCCAAATCAGACGTCGCTCCCTGCAACATCTGTTCATCTGCCACCCACGAGTAAAGGCACACGGCCATTGCGACTCTTTTAACCATGCTTCGACACTGCTCCACTGCACCCGGCACGTGCCTGCATCGAACTGCCGAATTTGGAAGATTCTGGGGCCCCGGCTTTTCTCCACACGTCCGTGCATCCCCGCAGAGAACCAGACAGTGAGGACATAGCAGGGACGATACTGTCGTCTGTCATTATTATTTTACGGAGAAGATTTCTCTTGGCTTCGGCCTCGTCTATTCAGCCTAAATACACGCTTGCCAATCTCAACAATGGGACGATACGAGGACATATCGCAGTCAATGCGCGATTCTTGGCGCAGACAGCGCTCTATCGATAATAGCCTGGCCAGGTATAAAATCCACTTCCGGGCTCCCAAGTTTGTACCACGGCCCTCTTCAACGATCTGGAAGAGTAATAGATAACATCGAACAATGCTGTCAAATAAGATCGCGGCCAAGGAGCTCGCGCAGGTCTCCGAGGTCAGCCAGCTCCAGCAGCTCGACACAACGCCTTGGTACCGCAAGAAGAACCTGCGAAAGCTGTACTTCGCCTTGGTGCCTGCCGCCCTGGGCGTGGAGATGACCTCTGGATACGACGGGAGTGTCCTGAACGGGCTGCAGGCTGTTCAACCATGGGTAGACTGTTCGTTCGTCGTCGGCCCAACATGTTCAGTGACGCCAGCTAACGGTCGAACAGACTTCAACAATCCGAATGGAGCGCTGTTGGGCATTATCACTGCTGCATTCTCCATCGGCGCGGTTTTTGCCATTCCCATTGTTCCATGTATGCGGCCAATCTACCTCTCGATCGTCCCATGCTGACGCGCCCAGGGGTCAATGACCGATTCGGCCGAAAGGCATGCGTCGTCGTGGGAAGCTTGATCATCACAATTGGTGTCATCCTGCAGACTGCGTCTGTCACGAGTATGTCCTGCATGCCCTGCATTTTCAATAACTTATAGCTAATCGATGCAGTCGGCATGTTCGTGGTATCCCGCATCATGCTCGGCTTGGGCATTCCCTTTGCCATCAACGGAGCCTCGCAGCTGATTGCGGAATTGACGTATCCACGCGAGCGCGGCGTCATTACGGGACTGTTCAACGAGTCCTGGTACGCTGGCGCCATTATCGCTGCGGGCGTCACGCTCGGCACGTTCTCGATGAAATCGAACTGGAGCTGGCGCCTGCCCTCGCTCCTGCAGATTCTGCCCTCGTCGCTACAGCTGATCTTCATCTGGTGCGCATTGTCTAGAAGAGAATATCTGTCTGTCTGTATACACGTATGTACTGAAGGTAAACAGGTTCATCCCCGAATCCCCCAGATGGCTCGTCTCCAAGGACCGCAACGAAGAAGCGTTTGAGATCCTGGTTAAATACCACGCTGAAGGAAACCGCGATGACCCCTTCGTTCGCGCCGAGTTCAACCAGATCCGCGACACGATCCGCCTGGAGATGGAGAGTTCCAAGACCAACTGGGCGGAGTTGCTAAGGGGGAGTGCCAACAGACGTCGAGCCCTCATCGCGGCATGTGTCGGGCTGTTCTCGCAGTGGAGTGGCAATGGTCTTGTCTCGTAGGGAACTTTCCTTCCTATCGACGGCACATGCGTACTCACACAGATTACATCTATGTAGGTACTACCTGGCCAAGGTGCTGAGCACAATCGGCATCACGGACCGCCGGACCCAGAACGAGGTCAACCTGGGCCTCTCGTGCTGGAACCTCGTCACAGGCGTCCTGGGTGCGTTCATCACCCGCGTTGCAACGCGCAGACGCCAGTACTTGATCTCCTATGTGGGCATGACGCTGCTTTTTGCATGCTGGACCGGCGCTTCTGCCGACTACGTCAAGACGACCAACCACTCGGCTGCGTCGGCGGTGGTTGCGCTGATATTCATCTACTACGGGTTCTACAATTTGATGATGCCGTTGTAAGATCAGATCCCTTACCCTTTTTTACTCAATATAACGACTACTGTCTCTGTTGTCATGTTGATGCTAACTTTGCTAACTCTGACAGAACATACGTGTTCATCACCGAAGTCTTCCCCTTCATCCACCGCAGCAAAGGCGTCGCATTGACCCAGGGTTTCTCCCGCGGCGGCTCCGCATTCAACCAATTCGTGAATCCAATTGGCATGGAGCGTCTGGGATGGAAATACTACATTGTCTACGTGGTCTGGCTGGCCGTCGAGACCACCGTCATCTTCTTCCTGTACCCTGAGACCAAGGGACCCAGTCTGGAGGAGGTGGCTGCGGTGATGGAAGGGTCCGAAGCAAAGATTGCTGGCTTGACGCTGGGTGATGGGCAGGGCAAGAGGGCAGATGTTGAGGTGCAGGAGATTGAGAAGGTGTAATAACTCCAAGCTAGGGTAAAATAGTTCGCGGACAAAAAGTAGTTTAAAGGCCAGTTTAAACAGGTGTCCTTGAAAGCAGATATTATGAGAAGGTGGGCAATAAAATAACCTCTTTGAGAGGCAATTAAGCCCATATAACCTTTTTTAACATCAAACTTACCCTTCTCATCATTCTTCTTTGGATAGCAGCTCCAAGGAAGCACATACCCGCGTTGATTGCTCACAACCTTTATATTACCTTCCTTAAACTCAGCAGTATGGTGGGCATGTCCAAAGACCCAGATCTTCGCTCCACTCCAGTGGTCCTGCGACAGGATATCAGTTGCAAATGCAGAATTCCACGGATTCATTCTGCGCATGCTGAGGGCTGGATGTTTTTCGAGAAGGAGCGTGATTAGCAACTACCAGGATCGACCGTCTTGCGTTCTCCTGGCGTATCAGTTGGACTTGCTGTCTCAACCAGGAGAGATTGGATTCATGAGCTGCATTGTGGTCCTCGACGGTCCAGTTCTCTATCTTCTGGAAGTCCCTAACCTTCGACTTCACGATATCGGTTGCTTCCCTGGGAACTTTGGAGCAAAGCGCGCAGCCCAGAATTGTGAGATGCGAGTTTGGAATATCGTATCGTGTTTGGTGAGGAACGACGAGCCTCCTATTCAAGCAAGGCTCTTTCTCCAGCTGTCGAGCTTTCTCAAGCCCTGCTGCGAACGATGTATTTAGAATTCATAGTTTCCAAGAACGAGGAACACCCTTTCAAACCGATCCGTTTGCCTCTGCAATGTCGCCAGCAAGAATCAATTGCGAAGAGGAAACGGGGATTTCAAGGAGGAATACTGCCTGTTAACTTGGAGGTGGAGTTGAATTCTGGAAGGAGAGAAAGTTGCACAGGTGGCACGTGCCGGCACCCGAAGTTGTTTTGTTACGGGGTCAATTCCTCTTCTCCGCCTTGTTGCTTCAAAAGACGGCCATGGGCGGCAGCGTCTCATTGGAGAAATAGCGCTGAACTACTACAATGCACCACGTCTGGTCCATGTGAGCACTGCACCGGCATATCAAGAATCGCCTTTTCTCACTGCTTGTAGGATATCTAGACCTGTACACCTGCAGCTTGCTTATCGAACGCTGTATCTGCTCTCTGCGCGGCATCGCTGTTCAGGTCTGAGGAAATACAGGATTGCAATCTCTTCACAGACCACAAGAAGGGAGTTCTCAGACTGCGGGCAACATGGAATATCGCAGGGAGCACAAAAACATAAACACTGGGAGATTTCTGCTCCCATCCCGGCCTGTGAGCACGAGTACGGTATTCCCTCCTCACAAAATACCGGGATCGTAAGTTCAAGAACGCCTTAACGATGCTGCCATTGCACTCCACCGAATTTTGAGCCAAGCCAATGTCAGATTTGGCATCTTTGGTGGATACGCCATTGCTGTCCTCGGCGGTAGCGGTGAAAGCAAGGACATTGATTGCATTGCCTTCTATATCCAAGCAGCAGATCATTGATCTACTCGATGGGAAAGAGGGTTTTGCCGCCATTACTCAACGTCGGCCGAGCTATGTCACGCAAAGTCGGCAGGATTATGTCGCGTTCCAATGGTCTGACAAGCCAGATCGAAGCGATCCGGTGCTAGTGGAGATTTTTTGTGAACAGTTTGCTGGTGAGTCCCGTCGATCCGATCAAGGAATTCTTTCTGAACATGTCTTTCAAGGTTCTCAATATACCATGAGAGATGTACAACCCACTGTCCACGCGGTAAATGGCCAGAAACTCGGTAGTGGCCTCTCAAGTTTCCTTGATCCTTTCTAGTTATTCAAGGGCAAACTTCGTGCGACAGCAACTCGATCCAAAGCCCATGATACACTCGATTTGAGATGGCTGGCAGATCGATTCGGGGAGTCTATCGGGGCACGGAAGGATGAACTGAATCTGCAGTTCATCGGCCTTGCTATCAAAAGATACCCAGAACTAGAATCGTTGTTTGGACAACTAGAGATTGATCTTGCCAAAGCAAAGGATGCTTCTTCTGGTTTGGATCCGAGCAGGCTACCTGCACCAGTCCCTGGGGATGTACAAAGAGGATTATTGGGATAAGCATGATGTAAAGGCTGTATTTGAGAAGCAGAAAATGACGGAAATTATAATTAATAAATACTGGGGTTGATCAGCATGTTCGATTTATTCATGATATCATTACATTTAATATGGCAGACAGGTGAGATAGTCTGCTATAGATGGACTATGACCTATATAGGCAGTTTAGATGAAAAGTTGCGATTTGTGAGCATTAATATCGAGATAAGTATCATTCGGATCTGGCCCTATGGAACCGGCACATCACCGGGTACGCCATCTTCGTATTCATCTCAATCTTGATCCGTTGCTCGCGTCCATCTGCGGACTCCAGGGCGTCGAAATGTTGGAAGATGCGCACCAGCGTATACTCCATCTGGAACTGACCGAACACTCTCCCCAGGCAGATTCTTGGCCCGTGGTTGAATGGGAGAAATTCCCACGTCTGCGGCGTCCATGTGTTGTATCGATCCGGCCGCCATTGATCAGCGTCCTCGCCTACGATATCCGGTCGTCGTTGGAGGCCGATGACGGAGTATACTGTTGATTGAAGATTAAGTACGTAAACTTATACTCATGGACAGACAAACTTACTGACTTGCTCTCCCGCTAAGATGGGTACTGGCATCTGGCCGTCTGGCCCTCCTCCCTTGGGGAGAGTTGTGTCCCTTTTCGCCTCGCGGATGTTGAATCCCACTAGAAGGTCAGTCTCTGACAGGGCGACGGATAGACTGTCTTACAAGGATGATAGAGCCTCAGAGTTTCTCGAACGATATGCTTCAGCAGGGTCATCTCCTTGAGTTGTTCGGCTGTTGGTGGCGACTCGAATCCACACCTGTACAATGTCGTCAGTGCTTGCGTTTTGGAACCCTGCGAGAGACCTGCCGCTCTTGTATTTCTTGCCGCAGACGGCAAACAATATCCGGTCTCCGCGCGAGCTCATACAGTGCCCATATGATGGTGATTGTGGCCGGGTCCTGATCGTATTAGCTCACGTCACCATATCCCAGACGATTCCAACCTTTCCCGCCATCAGCACGGCAATAAGTTGATTTTTGATGTACTAGTTGGTTAGCTACTTCCATATATAGGAAACAATACGAGCATACCTTCGGTTCTGGTCTCTGCAAAGCAAGAGCTTCCATCAATGTAAGCGAGTTCTGTCGCTTCTTTAGTTCATCCGCAGGCAGTGACAGAGTCCTGGCAACTTGTGAGTCCAGATAACTGTTGAAGTCTTGCGTCGCCTTCCGGGCGATCAAGCTGTCTGGGAGTAGCGAAGAGATGGGCCTGCAAGCGTCAGCAAGCGAGTAAGACATGAAAAGGGGTACTTACCCCATCCAGATTCGCGCTGTACTGATGGCCAACAGCTTGTTCATCGCGTCCCGGAAAGGCAGATGTTCTCCGCGCAGTGAATTCGTTGGATGGCCGAAGAAGATGTCCGTTACGATGTCGAGTTGGAGCCGGTCAACGAGGTCGTAAACTTCGATTGCTTTGCCTCCATTGTCAAGGTGTTCGAGGAAGATCTTGATATATTTCTCAGCGACCTCGAAGTCAATCGGCCTGCTTTTGGCAAGCTTCCGGATGTCAACTGCTGCAGTGTTTGTCTCAATGGATCTTTAAGCCTCACGTAAGGACGAAGTTGATTCTTGTTCGCCATCCACAGCTCTCCATCAGCTAGACTGGTCAGAATTTCTCAAGCGATCTAGAATATCCAACACGAGGCCTACTGGTAAACACCGAGTCGCCCAGGACACTCTCAAAAAGGTCGTGGACAAATCTGCCCTTCACATAATCCGAGAACTGTGATATCCTTAGTTGAGCAATGCCTCCAGCTCAAGCAATTGAGAAGTACCTGGCTGGACATAATCGCCTTCATGTTGTCGCAATCGTCTGTCAGCACCAGTCGAGTGCCTAGCACGTAGATATCGATTGTTCTTCCCGGGTGGTCCAGCAGGGTCTGGGTCCATTCAAAGAAGTCGAGGCGAAGCATATGGGAAACAAACATATATGCCGCATCAATCCCTGGTCGAAAAAGGTCAGCATCTTGCTTCTTAGGGTTCTGACCACAGAAAGCGCACCGAAGGGCAGTTTATAAGGCAGCATGGGCGGCTTTTGTCCTAGGCTCTGCATGCGAGCCTTTTTCGACTGCCATGATTTGATCCAGAGCAAGATAACTACTGAGACAAGCACTAACAAAACTGGAACTATTGGCTGCATCATGCTGAACAGTGTTAGCTGGATGAGACAGCATCTCACAGTCCACTCATTATCGGGATTTTCCTGAATGGATGACTGAGACAATCCGATTAGCGTGCAACACAGTCGATGCCTTTAAATGAACTTTTTTTTTAAAAAAAAGGAAAGAAAGATAGAAAGAACAATAAAGGATTACTAAATATAAATATATTGATGATAGAAGAGAGAAAATGGTTGCACAGTCAGCCGAGTCACTCCGCGGACCCGACTGAATCGGCCCCGCGACCCCCAACGTCCTGCTTCGAAATCTCCGGTTCATTCAAACAGTCATTCGGAGACAAAGCAACTGAATATTAAACCATCTGTACACCATGGCCCAGCTAGATAGCAGGACTGAGCCAAAAATCACCGCGTTGGATGACGCTGAAGCCCGAGTCCTCTCAAGCGATGGTATGAACTGGATCACCATGGCATTGTGTCAACGCTAATATGAACACTTCAGCTTCAGCTACTGCCAGTGACGACACGTGGAAGGCCGGTCGAGCCGAGATTCTCACCGTAATCTGCCTGTCAATTGTCTCGCTGATCGTCGCTTTGGATTCTACGATACTGGTGCCAGTCTTACCGGTAAGTCGCTGTCTACCTAGGTCCATGCGTCTGCTGATCTTCCTTCAGACTCTTGCAGTGGCGTTGAATGGCTCTGCCATCGAGACGTTCTGGGCAGGAACATCGTTCCTCCTGGCAAGCTCAACCTTCCAGCCCTTTATCGGGGCTCTTTCCGACGTGTTCGGGAGGCGGGAATTGCTTCTGCTCTCCATCTTTCTGTTTGCCCTTGGAACGCTTGTCGCCTGTCTTTCGCACGGCTTCGCTCAGTTCCTGGCTGGCCGGACTATCCAAGGGGTTGGAGGCGGAGGCATCACTACCCTGGTGCTCGTTATCTGCACAGACATCATCCCCCTGCGCCAGCGGCCCAAATTCACCAGTTTCATGCAGATCTCCTGGGCTCTTGGAACCGTCAGCGAACCGCTAATCGGAGCTGCGTTTGCAGAATATGTCTCGTGGCGTTGGATGTATGGATTCATCTACTTCGTTCATACTGCAGAGTTACATGCTGACCCTCTAGCTTTTACATTAATTTCCCCCTCTGCGGCATCGGCGGTCTCATGGCCTTCCTGGTCATTCGCTTCCAGGAACGTCATCGATCCTGGGCGACCAAGTTTTCCGAAGTCGACTGGACCGGTGGGATTCTGTTCATCAGCAGCACGACGGCATTCCTCCTGGGCATCACCTGGGGAGGCGTTCAATACGCATGGAGCAGCTATCAAACGTTGCTTCCCCTTTTACTCGGCATTGTTGGCGTCGTGGCGACTCTGTTCTGGGAAGTTCGATACGCAAAAAATCCCTTTATTCGCAAAACTCTTTTCAATAATCTTTCCAATCTGTCGTCATACATATGTGCCCTTCTTCTAGGCCTTCTGGTAAGACTGCTAGTTCAATAAACAAAAGATGAGTATTCGAATAGCTGACAGAAGCAGCTGTACGCGGAGTTGTTCTACATTGCGTTCTATTTGCTCTCCGTGAAGGGCCTTTCACCCATGATGGCCGGCGTCTATTTCACCCCCATCACGGCGGGATTGATTCCGGCCAGCATGGCTGTCGGTATTGCCATCTCGCGCCTCGGGCGATTCCGCTGGGCGATCTGGTCCGCGTGGGCAGTCAATCTTCTCGGGGCAGGGCTGTTGATTATTCTTGATGTGGAGACCAAGCGCTATGCGATGATCCTAATTTTCTTGGTTGTAGGCATTGGAACGGGACCCCTCGTCACTTCTCTCAATTTTGGAATTCAAGCCAACACAAAGGTAGAAGATGTCGCCTACGCTTCGGCCCTCTTTGCCTTTCTACGCAGTGTGGGCATGTGCCTGGGAGTTGCCATCGGGGGCACCATTTTTCAAAACGAGCTGTCTCGCGAGCTGAGAAAAGCAGGATTGCCCTCGCAGATATCGCAGGATGCCGAAGGCTACGTGGCTACGTTGAACCGTCTGCCGTCGAATTCACCGTTTCGACTGCAGGTCCTCCAGGCGTATGCATCGTCGTTCAGGACCTTATTCATCGTCTTGACGGCGATATGTGCTGCGAGTGGGATCATCAGCATTTTCATTTCTCATAACTCGCTCGACAAAGCGCTTGGCTCGGAGCATGTTCTTCAGCGGAAGAGATCGGCGGCTGAAAGTTAGGGTTAGATAATACGACTGATAATGAAGCTGAATCAAGATTATATTCCCACGGTCTTGAGCGCAGACTATCCACAGCTATCGACATAGAATTTGGTCCTAATCTTTACCCTTAACACGCCCTCATCAGATTTCAATATCCATCCAGACGAACGCAGCTGAAGAAAGCATTGGCTCAGTCTACGTGAATCGTGGTTCGAATTTTAGATTGCAGCAAGTGGTTGATAATTTCATTTTGAGCGTTCACATCCACGTCCTCGAGGATAATCGTGACCTTGCGACTGACACTGTCGGAATTCGGTTCTGTCAGTCTTTGCGATTCTGATGCTGCAGTGGCTGCAGCGGCACTTTCTTCGTATCCTCCTGTCATATCCGGGTCGATATTGAAACTGGCTGTGATTTCTGGCGTCCATGGGCTATGGTTTCCCTCGGACGTTGAACATCCCTGAGCACCGACGAGATCGTTGCTAGATTGGAATTCATCTTCTATGTCACTGCAGAACGCATTCGAGTCAAGACCACGCAATGGATTCCAGGCATCAAAAGAGCCTTCCTGCCACAACCCACTTACTGCTCCGCCTTGTGGATGAAGGAGTGGATCATCTCCCCTTTCCACTTTCTCGTCAGCCTGGACGGAATGCTTGGAATCGACTGCAATGAGTGGTTCACCCATCCTCCGGAGAATCAAGGCCAGACTATATAACCAAGTCAGATGCTTGACATGTTTTGCTCGAGGGAATAAACTGACCGATTGCTAAGATCCAGCTTGGATCGTCCCGGGAAAGCTTGCTGCTGGATCTTGCTCCAGTGATGGCCATGAAGAGAAACAGCCTCTAGCAATCGCATATCCTGCAACAGGCATTTTTTTTTCAGTCAGGATCTGCTCAGCAAAACTACGACGCACCACAGAAAATCTTTACTTCAGACTCTTCCCAATCTCTCCTTGTCAAGCTCGGATCCAGCGCGTTCTGCCAATGTTTCGCACACTCTACAAGCAATATTATATTTAGCTACTATACTTTCACAGGTCATTGTACAGATAATAATAAAACTCACGATCTGGACTTCTGGTGCCAACGGCCGCAGAAACAGACACCCATGCTCTGCCAATCTCCGATACGGCGTCTTTCAGTCGTCGTTCTTCGTCCGGCTGCCACGGGCCTCTCTTCCAACGATCGTCGATCTTGCACCATCTCTTGCGACAGTCCTTGTTGGACCTGCCTGGCAGCAACTGGGCGATTTTTCTCCACGGGATGGACTGGTCGGGAGCATCTTGTCATTTGTCATGAGCAGTCAGACACAAGATCTGCAGCAAAAAAAAAGGAATATGTAGTGCTTTTTTTACTCCCACTACTAGCACGGTACTTCAGGACTTGCTGGCGCAGCTTTTTGTCTTCTTCCTTTGTCCAGCGGTTCATTGCACGGGGAGTGGTTGCAGCCATGGAGCCAAGCTAGCTGGTCAACAAAACTGAGAATGAGAGAGCTGAACTCGAATCGGTGAAAAGTTTCCTAAGGAGGGCGAGGGAGCCTTCATATAAGTTGTACCGTGCTGCCTCCAAAGTTCGCTGTATGCCTAGAACGCTACCTGTACTCTGTATGTGCATACATACATTAGAACGCCTAATCTACGTATTTGGATGAACCCGTCGAAGAAAACTTGACTTAGATAATTTTTCTTCAGAAGGAATTCACCCAGGTAATTAGTCCTGCAGAACTAATTACTCGTCATTATATTATGATTCGAGATAGAATCGGATCCAATAATCCACTCTATGCATAAATGCCAGAACAGCATCTTCTCAAGAAGGAATCTACCGTGCTCCTCCGGTCAAACACTCGGAGTGTATCTATTATCCTATGTGCCTAAATTGTACACTAAGTGCGTAAAAACCAGCTGAACCTAGGTAATGGTTTGTATTTCCTTGTCTCTCTCCAATGATGATTGCTGATGATTGCAAGCTAGCGACCTAGTCAGAGCCTTATTATGTCGCTAAAAAGATCCCGAAAATTCCGGGACCAGTAGGACTAGTTACAATGCATGTGCTGCACTGCGGCCTGTTTTTTGTATTTTTGCGGCGCAGTCATGTACATATGTACGTACATGCTCACGTCAGCTGAATGCAATGCAATGCAACACAATCGATCAGCTGCTGCTGCAAGCGCTGGTCTGACGAATTATTAATAGGTTTCTGCCAATCAAAGACACTTGATGATTAGTCCAAGTTGTCGTCGAACGGTTCCTATAGTTCCCTGCCCGAGGCCGAAACGGGTCAAGGCAAATGGCCTAGGGCAACTATTCAGCCCGATCAGATGGTTTAGATCTACATGTGTAACCGTCTGTTATCAATTATGGAGGAGGGGGTTTGACGGTATATTTGTCAACTGCTTCTGCGTCGTCCTACCTACCTTTCATATCCATATTCATGCAGACTACACATGTCCGTGTGACTCGATGTAATGTCACGAGCTGGTTGTCAACCTACTTTGATTTACGTAATTGAATTCCAAGCAGAAGGCGCAAAAGATCTGCGGAGGCGTTCAGCTACCGGTTTTTGTTCGTCCAGATCATTTATCCAAGCTAGTGACGCAGACGCAGATGCAGACTGGCGCGACGGTTCAGGCAGTCCAACACCGGAACTGTATTGGAACTCCTCCAGTTCGTAGATTCTCTTTACTTACTGCACTTAGGCTATCAACCCGAGAGACTATGTAGCTCTGAATGGCTGGGCAGGAGTATCCTCTTCTGTCACTATGTAGCGAGCGAACGCACAGGATTTGGAGCCCTTGATTCGATGACCTTGCAGTTCGGCTTTCTATCACCAGGAGAGTTAGGATCGCTATTCAGTCGGGTCCGGTTGAGTTTCATACCTTAATGAACCTTCGTTATCATTGTGCAGGGTATTTAGGTTGTATATAGATGCGAACAAGCGTAGGCGTGTCGATTTCCAGCTCCACGCTCTAAGTCGTAACTGTCCAGTAAATCAGATATCATTCAAGTAGGTAAATCGTTAGTTGGAGTCATGGGTGACTGCGGATTGAACGGTGTCTACACGAATGCCACGGTCAACGGCATCAGTCCTCTCTCGTCCTCGTCCACGTCCCACGGCACTCGGGATCGAGAAATGACCGTGGAGCCCATTGCCATCACCGGCATCGGCCTTCGACTCCCCGGAAGGATTCACGATGCGTCGAGCTTTTGGAAGTTTCTGACCAGCAAAGGCAGCGGGCGCTGTCGGGTGCCGCCAGACCGCTACAATGTCGACGCCTTCTACCGTCCTGGGAAAGCAGGGCATACCTGTACCGATTTCGGGTACTTCCTCGACGACGTCGACCTTGCTACCATGGATACGTCCTTCTGGTCCATGTCCCGCCGAGAAGTCGAAGTCATGGACCCCCAGCAGCGGCTGATGCTGGAGGTCGTCTACGAATGTCTCGAGAGCCCTGGAACGACCGACTACAAGGGCAAGGCCATCGGCTGCTACGTGGGCGTCTTCGGCGAGGACTGGGCCGACCTGCAGGCCAAAGACACGCTGAACTCTGGCCCGTACCGCGTCCCGGGATATGGGGACTTTGCCATCTCCAACCGTGTGTCCTACGAGTTTGGCTTCGTTGGGCCCAGCATGACCATCCGCACCGCGTGTTCCTCCTCCCTAACTGCTCTGTACGAAGCGTGTCAGGCTTTGTACGCAGGCGAGTGCTCCTCCGCTGTTGTCGGTGGCTCGAATATCATCCTGTCACCTCACATGACGGTAGCCATGACCGAGCAAGGCGTTCTCTCTCCAACAGGATTGTGCAAGTCGTTTGATGCGTCTGCCGATGGCTACGCGAGAGGGGAAGCCGTCAATGCCATCTATATCAAGAAACTGTCGGATGCAATCAGGGACAAAGACCCCATTCGAGCCGTCATTCGATCAGCCTGTATCAACTCGGATGGCAAGACTGCCGGCTGGTCACTCCCAAACCCGCGCTGCCATGAAGCTCTGATCCGACGGAGCCATCAGATTGCGGGCATTACGGACCTCTCCCAGACTGCAATGATCGAGTGTCATGGCACCGGGACACCAGTGGGCGATCCCCTTGAGGCAGGAGCCGTGGCCAACGTCTTTGGCGACTGGGGGATTCTGATCGGATCAGTAAGTTAACCCACAAAAAAAAGCCAACAACTGTCTTTGCTAACGCATGGACAGGTCAAATCCAATCTGGGCCATAGCGAAGGTGCTGCCGGACTGACGGGCGTGATCAAAATGATCCTGGCTCTTGAAAATAAGGCAATTCCACCCAACATCAATTTCAAGACCCCGAATCCGAAGAGTGAGTCATTAGCCCAGTCTGCATGAGATAAAGTTACCAACCAGTCAGTTCCCTTCGAAAGGGCCCGGATGCGGGTTCCTGTCGAGTGCGAGGCATGGCCTGAAGGCAAGGCCGAAAGAGTTGGCGTCAGTTCGTATGGCATCGGGGGAGCAAACGCACACGTATGTCGTCGCATCCGCAAGGCAAGGCGCTGAAGCTGAATTTGGCAGGTTCTCCTCGACTCCGCTGCTTCATTCGGAATCGAAACGACCAAGAACGGACTGCAACACGATCGACTGCCACACTTGCTTGTATTCTCCGCAACTCATGTAGAGTCGTTGCGCCGAAATATCCAAAACATCGAGCAGTATGTCCAGTCCCATCCGAGTTCAATTCGAGACCTGAGCTATACCCTCTGCTGTCGTCGCGAGAGATTCCGCCACAGAGCATTCGCCATCTCAAATGCCACCGAAGATGCCAGTCTAGACATTTCCGGCCTCAAAAAGGCAAGCCAGTCACCGACGATAGTGTTCGTGTTCACCGGTCAAGGAGCTCAGTATGCGCAAATGGGCAAGGATCTTTTCCTCCACAACGCCGTCTTTGTCGAGACAATCAAGAAGCTCGATGCAGCACTCAAATCCATCGATGCTTCGATATCATGGAGTTTGGAAGGTTGGTATATTGTTGTCCGTTCAATATTCACTTTCATCTGACTTGCCTGCAGAAGAGCTGTTGAGAGCAGAGGACGAGTCGAGGCTTTCGGAAGCCCTGTTTTCGCAGCCCTGTTGCACCGCCATTCAAATCGCTCTGGTCGATGTGCTGCGATCCATAAACGTGCACCCCACGGCTGTGGTCGGCCACTCGTCTGGAGAAATCGCCGCTGCATACGCCTGTGGAAGTCTCTCTGCCGCTGATGCGATTGCTGTTGCTTACCATCGAGGGCAAGTCAGCGCAAAGATGGAAAAGGAAGGTAAAGGAGGCATGCTTGCCGTGGGACTGAGCCGGGATGCCGTGTTGAAGTATCTGACCAAGGGGATTGCGGTTGGATGCGAGAATAGTCCTGATAATGTCACTCTCACGGGTGAATCAGACGTCCTGGACTCCGTCGCGCAGTCAATCCAGAACGAGCACCCTGATGTCTTGATACGCCGACTTCGCGTTAAGTGCGCCTATCATTCCTGTATGTCGCTTCGCCACCGTTTCTCGAGTGGTGGCTAATATTTAACAGCGCGGATGAAGGGTGTGGAGGACGAATATCTGTCAAGAATGAATGTTAAGACAAGGAATCTTACGGCCACATTTTTCTCCTCTGTCACAGGGGAGAAGGTCATGAGCGGAGACCTCCTAGGGCCATCGTACTGGTGTAGCAACCTGACCTCTCCAGTACTCTTTAGCCGTGCAGTCTCCCGACTCCTCGAGGACGTGTCTCCGAATTCGGTCTTCGTCGAAGTCGGACCGCATTCAGCGCTGTCAGGACCTTTGCGGCAGATATCACAGCATGTAGTCAGACCAATACAGTGCATCTCGACTTTGGTTCGAAAAACCAATTCCCACGAGGCTATTCTTCGAACCGCAGGACAGCTCTTCCAGGTAGGCGCCCCGATCGATTTGTCGCCTCTCAACCCTGAAGGAGGACGGGTGCTGCACGACTTGCCCACTTATGCATGGAACCATGAGGGCCGCTACTGGTCCGAATCTCGTCTCATGAGAGGCTGGCGAATGCGAGAGTTTCCTCGTCACGATCTCCTCGGCATAAGAATCACGGATGGGAGCGATCTGGAACCAACATGGCGAAATGTCCTTCGTCTCAACGATACCCCCTGGTTGCGAGATCATGATATCATGGGCGAAACTGTGTTCCCTGCAGCGGGTTATGTTTCGATCGCCGGCGAGGCCATCCGTCAACTCACGGGCTCTTCTGATTTCAGCGTTCGGAATGTGAATATCCTCACGGCGATGGTCCTGCAAAAAGATGCCTCGGCCGAGATTGTCACTCAATTCCGCCCGGTAAGGCTCACGACGACACTGAATTCATCATCATGGTATGACTTCACCATCGCGTCTCTTCTGGACGGCAAATGGACCAGGAACTGCACCGGTCAAGCTCGTCCAGGGCGCGACTTCGCCATCCCAGCGGCCCATCCAGAGCCAGGCGTTCGTCTAGTCGAACCAGACGTGTGGTACCGAGTGATGAAGAAGTTCGGTTTCAATTATGGCCCCCGTTTCCACGGTCTCAGGGATATCACTTCCAGTATCACCGAGAGGAAAGCCACGGCCAGGGTCGACGATTTTGTCGATGTCGACAATCTCGAGAGTCCATACACAATGCATCCCTGCACGATCGACTGCATTTTCCAGCTGTTCAGCGTCGCGCAATGTCAGGCCATCCCGAGATTGTTTGATCATTTGGCTGTGCCGACCTCCATTGAAGAATTATATGTCTGCTCTCCCAGCTCCACTATATCAGTTCAAGCATCCGCCAACCCAATGCCGAAAGGCGGTTTCTTCGGTGACGCAGTTGGCTTCTGTGGGGATCAAGTGGTCTTTCACCTCCGAAACATGCGCCTCTCCCGATTGACGGACGGCGAGGAGAGAAGAGGCGTTGATCTCCATGCAGGGGCCCAGTTGGTGTGGAAGCCGGATGTCGACTTTATGGACGTCACTTCGTTGATACGTCCGCTTCAAGACAGCGCCGCTGACAACACGCACCTTCTCATCGAAGAGCTTGCTTTAACATGTATGATCGAGACAGAATACCGTGTGCAGAACAAGGTCGCCTCTCAGCCGCACTATGCCAAGTTCCAGGGATGGCTGCGATTGCAAAGATCGAACGCCGAGCAGGGTCTCTACGAGCATGTACCTGGATGCGCTGGAATTGTCACCATGTCTTCTGAAAAGCGAGTCCAGCATGTTCACAAGTTGCTCGAAAAAGCTCTGCTCACCGAAGGCAAAAAGGCCGCGACGGCGATTTCCAGTGTTTTTGAAGAAGTGGTGAATATCTTTGACGACAAAGTCAACCCATTGGAACTGCTGCTCAAAGACGATCTTCTTGCGGACATCTACCACTTCAGACCTCTCTGCGACTATGCGGACTTCTTCCGATTGTTGGCACACTCCAAGCCCAACATGAAGATCCTGGAGATCGGTGCTGGGACCGGAGGCATGACGGCCACGATCCTCCCAGTTCTCAAAAACTCAAGCCCGCGTGGAGAGCGCATGTACGGTTCCTATACCTATACCGACCTCTCAGCGGGGTTCTTCGTTGCAGCAAAAGAGCGGTTCAAGGATTATGACGCCATAACATATCGCGTCCTGGACATTTCCGCCGACCCAATTGTGCAGGGATTCGACAGTGAATCGTACGACTTAATCGTGGCATCGAATGTCCTCCATGCAACCCCCGGCTTCAGGACTCCCTTCTGAACATAAAAAAACTGCTGAAACCGACCGGAAAACTGTTCCTTCAGGAGTTAAGCCCGACTACGAAATGGGTCAACTATGTCATGGGTCTTCTTCCTGGATGGTGGTTGGGCGAGGCTGACAATCGCCCTACAGAACCCTATGTCAGCCCAGCGCGGTGGGATATCGAATTGCGAAATTCGGGATTTTCTGGCGCCGAGGCTGTCGTGTACGATGGATATCTCAATGCGCACATCATCTCCAGCCCCCGGAAGGAATCGCAGAACGCTCTTGAGAAGCGGGTCACAATTCTTCGGCAGTCGAAGCCCAGCAGCGTTGCAGACTCTTTGCATGTTTACTTGGAAAACAACGGCTTCCAAATCAATATTCGATTCCTTGGCGGCGAAAAAGTGCCCTTTGGTCAGCCTGTCGTCTCTGTACTGGACCTCGAAGAAGAGCCTTTTATCCATTCTCTCACGTCAGATCGGTTTGACCAGTTCAAAGCCCTTCTTCTTTCGGAGTTGGAAGGGTGTCCTGCCACCCTGTGGGTAACCAGGCCTTGCCAGGTAGCATGTACAGACCCGCGATACGCGATGATCCTAGGACTGGCCAGGACGATTCGCACGGAATTGGCAATGAACTTTGCGACGCTTGAGCTGGATTCGTTCGACGAAGCAGCCTGGTCGGCCTGTACGAAGGTGATCGATAAACTGATGGAAAGATCACCAGACGAGGTCCTTAATCCCGTCATGGAGTTTGTATACTCGTCTGGCACCGTTCTGACGGGCAGATTCTATCCAGTCGTTGTGGGCGATGAGCTTCTTGACAAAGCGCCATCTACCAAATCTGTTATCAAGAAACTCGACATTGGAAAGCGAGGGTTCTTGCAAACCCTAGCCTGGAAACAGAGCACAATAGAGCCACCACAACACGACGATTGGGTTGAAGTTGAAACGCGGGCAGTTGGACTGAACTTTAGGGTTTGCATGACTCGGCTTCAATTGTAGTAGACAGAGGACTGACCTTTACTAATAGGACGTTCTCACCGCAATGGGCGTCGTCGAAGCCAAAGACCTTGGCGTCGAGTGTTCCGGCATCGTCACGCGCATCGGACCTGAAGTAAAGGCTCTGGCTCCAGGCGACCATGTCGTAGTCTTTTCTGGAGGCACTTTTTCTTCGGCCCTGATGACAACAGAACGGCTGTGTGCCAAAATAGCTGCAAATCTGAGCTTTGTCGAAGCGGCCGCCCTGCCTTGCGTTTTTGCAACAGTGATCCATTCCCTGATGGATGTTGCTCGGCTGAAAAAAGGCCATGTTGGTTTCCTTCCCATACATACCTAATGCCCCTGGTCTGATGATCGTTCGTTGACCCGTCTTTCTGCAGACTGTTCTTATCCATTCGGCGTGTGGAGGGATTGGCTTGGCTGCCATACAGATTTGCCGCATGGTGGGAGCTGAGGTATGGCAATAACCTCCATACAAACACTCCCTGGCTGAACAAGATTCTAGATATACTGTACCGTCGGCAGCGCAGCCAAGGTGGAATACCTCCAAAACACATTAGGTATACCGCGCGAGCGCATATTCAACTCCAGAGACAATACGTTCTTGCGCGATGTGCTGGCCGCAACGGACGGTCGAGGTGTTGACGTTGTTCTGAACTCGCTATCGGGAGAACTCCTCCATGCATCGTGGAAGTGCGTCGCCGAGTTCGGCACGATGGTCGAGATTGGAAAGAGGGATTTCATCGGCAAAGCGAGCCTTGCCATGGACGCGTTCGAGTCGAATCGGTCGTTTGTGGGAGTGGATTTCACCAGGATCTGTGCACAGAGGCCGGAAATCACTCAAGAGTAAGTTTGAGTCAGTCGTTGCTGGTGTTTGCGCTGCTCTCTATTGATCATGTATCTATCAGGCTTCTCAAACGGTGCATGGAGTACTTCCAGCAAGGATCCATCACTCCACTTCCTACGAAAGAGTTCGAAGCCGCCCATGTCGAGCAGGCATTCCGATACATGCAGAAAGGGACCCATATCGGGAAGGTCGTGGTGACCATGCCCGAATCCAGTGCAGAGCTCCCCTCGACTCCGGCCGTCAAGCAGCTGAGCTTCCGATCCGAAGGATGTCACATCATCGTCGGGGGATTGGGTGGTCTGGGCCGACCGGTGAGTGCGTGGATGGTCATGCATGGAGCAAGGCATCTGGTCTTCTTCTCCAGATCCTCAGGAAAGAATCCGCATCACGAAGCATTTGTCTCCGAGCTGCGGTCACAGAACTGCCGAGTGGATTTGGTCGCGGGCGATGTATCGAGCGCGGATGATGTGGACTCGCTCGTCAGGGATCTTGACGTGAACGTCGCTGGAGTTATGCAGGCTTCGATGGTTCTCAAGGTGTGTTCCAATCTATTTCAAAGTAAATAACGGCATGACAGGCATTGACTGGACGACAGGATGTCTCGCTCTCGAAGATGACATTCAACGACTGGCAGACGGTTGTTTCACCCAAGGTGCAAGGGACCTGGAATCTGCACAACGCCCTCGAGAAATGTCAAAAGAAACCGGACTACTTTGTACTCTTCAGCTCGACCTCCGGTCTCGTAGGGCAGTGGGGGCAGGCCAACTACGCGGCAGGAAATACTTTCTGGACGCATTCGTCCAGTTTCGACATTCGTTGGGGCTGCCTTGTTCAGCAATCAATATAGGGGTCATGGAAGATGTAGGATATGTCAGTCGCAACGACTACCTTCTCGAGCACTTCCGCTCGACGGCCACGCATACCCTGCAGGAACAGGATCTGTTGGAGTCGCTTCACTTGATGATCGATCGTTCTCTACCGTCAGCTCCCGAAGAATTTGATTCCAGCGCGTACACCAGCAAGAGCCAGCTCTGCATCGGTCTCCGCACGACTCTCCCACTCAGCTTGCCCAACAATCGGACTGTTTGGAAACGAGATCCACGCATGGCTATCTACCATAACCTCAGCTCGCAAGATCGTGCCAAGTCCGACACCCACAGGGACGATGACGAGGCGCTCAAACAATTCCTGGTAGAAGCAAACAGGAGACCGGCCATGCTTCAGACGCCGGGTTCAGCCGAGTTTCTCGCCCAGCACATCGGACGGATGTTGTTCGGCTTCATGCTGCGCGATCTCTCAGACATCGACTACGATGTCTCTCTCCCCGCGCTGGGAGTAGACTCGCTCGTCGCCATCGAGCTGCGGAACTGGTTCAAGCTGAAACTGGGCCTGGACGTCACCGTACTGGAGATCCTCGGTGGAGCGAGCCTCACGCAGTTGGGCCAGATGTCCGCCAACAATCTGGCGAAGAGAGCAGCAGCCACTTCCTCTACGGATCCGTCAGAGTCTGTGGGTGTGATGTAAATGTCTGAAGAAGAGGAAAAGAACTTTGTTCAGTAAATCTGGGCGCATGGAAGAGGAGTAGTGTCAAGTCAACTATCTGCTTGTTTTGTCTTTTGTTGTGGTGTAGAAGTTGCTGAGGTCAAGGAGCGCCAGCCCTGCCCTACGCCCTAAGCCCTAGGCCGCGGGCAAGCAGGTGACCTACTCTAAGAAGAAACCTCCAAACCAAACCGAATGGATCCATTTCTATACAACTGCAAGTGTATATATTAATCGGTACTGACAACAAGCCCTTTGAACATGGTATAACCCTTGTCATTTCTCATTAGGAGTATTAAACCACCACAACCAGACCACTCAGAACGCCGTGCCAAACAATGAGATATTAAGCCCGCGATAACAATCATCCCGTTCATAGAAAATGAAATCTACTCCGAATCACTGTCAAGCACAAATCCCGCTCTCATACGCCTTCGAGATGGCGCAGCAACAGGAACATCCGCATCGTCTTCGTTGTCACTTCCAGCTCCTGATCCAGCAGGAGCGGTCTTCTCGATTCCTACGCTTTCCTGGTACCGGTGCTTATTGAAGGCAAGATTGTCATCAAAATCGAGATCGTCCTCAGCAGACGTCGGGGGAGTATCTTCTTCCGCATCTCCCTGGCTGGTCGAAGCCGGTCTCGGGGAAGGCGACCGCATGAGACTTGTCATCATCTGGATATCATCATCGCTGTCATTCGTCCCCGTCCACGTCCAGCGTGGTGGAGCGTCGACGCTTCCTACTCCCCGAGTCGGAATTGTTTTCTTCATCCCCATCTAAACTGCTTCGCTTGCGTCCTTGCGTCTTCTGTTCCTCTGCCTCCTTCGACGCAGCAGCGAGCAACGCTTTCCTGATACGTTGGGCCTGCGCCTTCCTAGTCTCCTCCTCACGTCTGAAAAATTCGCTGTCGGCCTCCTCGTCGGTTTCTTCGTCGCTAGCATGAATGAACAGATCGCTCTTTATCTTGGCCTCCCGCGCCCGAGCTTTCTCCTCCCGCTTGCGACGGCGTTCTTCCAGCACAGCTTCATCTAGCGGCTCCTTCTCCTCATCATCAGCTTGACGGCGCTTTCGACGCGTCTTTTTCAATCCCTCCAAAGCATTCGACCTGGTGCGAATATTAGGTGGGAACAGCGGTCCATCAGGAACATTATCCTCGCCCTCCGAGTCGGATCCAAAGTTGACATCTAGCGTTGTCTGCCGGTGGGCTTCTCTGGACTCTCCGGTGTGCTTCCGTCGAAGTTGCTGACGTGGATCCTCTCCATTGACCTCACTAACTGGATTCTCGATATTCTTGTCAATGACTGCCTTGATATCCCGGAGCTCGCTCGATCTAAGCGCCGACGGAACTACCCATGAAGCGCCCAGAACGTCTTCAGCCCCAAGCCGTTCGAATCCAGCTAACGTCATGAGAAGGCGGAGTCGAGCGTTCCTAAACATGGCTGTACGAATTGTGTCATCTGGAGGCTTCACCTCTACTCCAACTGTTAGCATATATCAATTAAAAGAAAGATGTCATTAACATACCAATCATCGGATTGGGAGCCACGAACGCGTCCGGCGACTCCGCTCGTCGAGCTTCATCTCCAGCTTCCCATGAACTCCGTTCATTTGCAGCGGAATCCAAGACATCGCTGATCCATTTTGCCAGATCTGCCCGACCATCCATGACTAAAGCTGCAACAACTATGGCCAGCTTTTCATCCCATGTCGTCGCTGCCCTTGGATGGACCTCCAACTCAGCTGGCGGCCTCGTTCCGGTAGATATTGTCTGTTTCTCATGCCCATACTCAAGGTAATATAAGGTGGAATTGATTTTGCTGAACAACATTTCCGTAATCAATTCAGGACGTTGCTCAATCTTCTTGATCAACTTCCTGATGAGCCGTCGAACGAATTCTTCCCATTCTCGGAATATAGGCTTGCTAGAATCGAGTGCTCCCGGCCCCTTGATCATCCGGTAGAAGAGGTTCATGATGTCGACGCGGAAAAGGAGGACGCTCATCTCTTGCTTGAACGCAATGCGGTAGAAAAATCGATGTGCCCGCTTTAGCTGCTCGTCATTTAGATCGCGGTAAAAGTGAGTGAACGCCACGAATGTATCGACAGCCTTTTGATTGCAGAATTTGGCCGCAAATCGGCTGAAATCGAATTTGCGCTCCTTCGACACTCGAGCTGCATCAACAAGGTCTTCCGCCGCTGAATCCTGCTCCTCATCGTTCTCCTCGTCATTGTCGTCCGTAGATTTTTCCGGCTGCTTCTTTCTTCTGGCCCGTCGACGGGACCGGACCTGCATGTCGACATTCTGCTTGGAATAGTTTTCTAGCATTCTCAAGAAGACGTGCGCAAGCTCGGTGCACGCATCCAGATAGCCAAACCCTTGGTCTTTGTATCCCCGCACGATAGAAACAACTCGATCATGAGTAGTCTCTTCGTAGAAAATTCGATTTTGAATGTTTTCGGCGATTTCCTGGTCCTCTTCCAGCGGCGACCAGGACATCTCTTGAACTGTCAATAATATCTGCGTGAAACACCGCATGGTCGCGTTGAGGTCCTGCCAGTCTTTGTTGTCAAAGCTGTGTTGCATCGCGCGATTTAAAAACACGAAGGTCTCCTGATTCAGAACGCCGGCAACCAGAGAAAAGCTATCCGGGTCAATTTCTTTGGATGTTCCTTTATTCTTTTCATGCTGCTCTCGTTGTCGTCGGCGGCGGACGCGTTCAGCTTCGAGGAACCACGCAACCAGATAGAAGAACTGTCTGGTATTGATATCGAGGACCCGATCGGCTTCACGCTCAATCGCCTTCCTAACGTGGGTGAAGAGAGGATTGAATCCTGAATCCAAGAATTCCTCAACAAAGGTCCGGAGGTTCTTCGTCGCAGCGGATGTGAGGTGCGTTGGCGTGTTGAAGTCGTTACTGGAGGCTTCCACCTCTACTCTCCGACGTGGCTTGGGCCGGTTCCATTTTTTAGTCTGATCCATCTTATGCAGTGTAGCCTGGCTATCTTTGAGAATCTCCTGACCCGAAACGGTCGAGACCTTTGCGTCATCCCGTTTCACCCAGATCATCGTGCCAAAGCGACCATGTCGCGTTGGTGCGTTCTTTGCATATTCTCTTTTCAGACTAGCTTCTTTTTTCAAAAGATCTCCGAGTTCGTCCTTTCGTTTGACGCTGCGTTGAGCGTCGTCCATGAAAAGCTTTTCCACATCCACACCCTTCACGAGATGGAAGAGTATCTCCAGGATGATCACATCTTGAAAACTAAAGTCCTCTCCCACATTGGAGCACATTGTGAGCAGAAGCGCAAAGACATCTTGTTCTTGGAAGGCGTTGATAGTCGCGGATCTCGACGTTTCCTCCTCGTCACCCTCCGCAGCCAGGCGTGCGGACGGGGTAATTATTGCCACATTGCGAAACAGGTACAGCACCAGCTTGAGGATACCTTCGTCCCGTGCAGTCCGTTCGGATCTGGGGATAGCCATGCTGGGCAGACCGATTCGGATTACAGCCCGAAGTATGCCCACGCCATTGTGGTTGCTGAGGATCCCACGCTTATAGAGAACTTGCGCTTGTTGGAGATATGGGGTATGACGATGGTGGTTCACTGTCATCTGGCCGTGCACCTCGACCGGCCATGTCAAAGGAACGAGCAATTCCACTGATATACACACCTGACGTTAGTCTCCCCCACAATCTAGAGTTTTAGATGTCGCTGCTTACAGCATGCCAATGCAATCCGAGACAGGTGCTTGTTGTTCTGACCGGATTCCCACCATAAGGAGAGAATTGGCAGGAGATCTCCGTTCACGAGGTTCGCTTCTCCCAGACATCTCGCTACGTCCATGCGGTTGGTCTTTTCGTCGTACAGTTTGAGCCATTTCTTGATATCGCGTAGACAAGCCAGCGCATCGTCTCCCAGGCAATATTTTGAGGCATCCTCACCATTGAAACCACCGAGCTATGCACTGTTAGCTGGACCACCGTAACTGAAGAGTAGAGATCACTGACCGCAGTAACGAGACTGTAGACGTATGCGCGGACTTCAGGGTCGACCACCTGGACGATCTGCCCCACGGGCGCAGCGTCAACATCCATGGTGACGGTTCTGGCCTTGATCCTAACTGACTTCCCCATCACAATCTCGATAAGAATGGTTATTGCTCGGCAATGAGCAGTCTTCGAGTGCCGTGTGCTCTGTACGGAGCACTGCGTACAGAGTGCTGACCTGGATGCGGACGTCACGCGGAACCAATCAGAACGCGACCTGGAACGCGTCGACGCGTTGCTTTGGACCTGCCCGAAACGGAACGGAATCCGGAGTTACTTTTAGGCGAGGGCCGAGGGTAGCCGATGACGTCGGCAAGCACGTGAAGCGCTCCGCGGTCCGTCGGGATGAGATGAGGGACGATTTATGCTGGACTCATCTTCTTCCCTTCGCAGTCAAGGATTTTTCTGTTGAGTCACTGCGGAAAGCGCTGCAGCATGTTTTCCACGCTTGTACGAGGAGGCCTCCGCCGCCACAGCCCGGCAATTGCACGCTGCTTGTTCAGCAGCAGCGCCAGCTTGGCTGCTGCCGAGGTTAAGAAGCTGGGTGTGGTTGGAGCAGGGCAGATGGTGAGTGTGATATACAGAGAATATTTATATGACAAACATTGTCTGACCTTTACAGGGCTTGGGAATTGCTCTGGTTGCTGCCCAGAAAGCCGAAATCCCGGTGACGTTAATCGATAACTCCCAAGAAAGCCTGGACAAGGGTCTCAAGTTTGCTGGTACGAGAGCTGCTGGTTAAATCGTCTGTGCCTTCCAATTACTTACAGGTTGCGTTCAGAGAAGCTGCTCGACAAAGATGTCGCCAAAGAGCGTCTCACCCGCGAAGCTGCCACCGCCGTGCGCGATCGGCTGAAGCCCAGCCTGAAGCTAGAGGATCTCTCCGACGTGGACTTTGTCATTGAAGCAGTCCCCGAGATCCCAGACCTCAAGACCTCCATCTTCTCCCAAATCGCCCAGATCGCGCCCAAGCACGCGATCCTCGCTACCAACACGTCCTCCATCTCCATCACCAAGATCGCTGCCGCGACGACCAACGACCCGAAGGATCTCCAGGCGCCTTCCCGCGTCATTTCGACGCACTTCATGAACCCCGTTCCCGTCCAAAAGGGCGTCGAGATCATCACCGGTCTGCAAACGTCCCAGGAGACGATCGACACGGCCATCGCATTTGTCCAGCGCATGGGCAAGATCCCCGCGCGGTCAGCCGACTCACCAGGATTCCTGGCCAACCGCATCTTGATGCCGTACATCAATGAGGCCATCATCTGCCTGGAGACGGGCGTGGGTAGTCGCGAAGATATCGACAGCATCATGAAGCACGGCACCAACGTGCCCATGGGACCACTGACGCTGGCAGACTTCATCGGGCTCGACACGTGTCTGGCCATCATGAATGTGCTGCACCAGGAGACGGGCGACAGCAAGTACCGGCCGGCAGGGCTGCTGAAGAAGATGGTCGATGCAGGCTGGTTGGGGAAGAAGAGCGGGAAAGGTTTCTACGAGTACTAAGCATGCACCTACGCTTCAAAGAGCGAAGCCATCGTGTTCAATACAAATACGAATACCCTGTGAGATTACTCCGGCGGACTGTATGTAAGTATACCAACTTCTACGAGACTGCATGATACGATGATCAACGTTTTGGATGAGCATCCGAGTGGAATCATTTGAGATTGAGGTATGAAATGTCTGCGCTGCTGCTTCTCTCCACGTATATACTATATAGTATAGACGACAATGAAAAGGACAGTTCAAACCAACCCGGTTCCCGCGTTCTACAGACATGCAGCTGGTAGATGCAGAAGACAGGGATGTATATTTCCCTTAAAGGAAAAAGAACGGTTTCAGACGATATTCTCCTTGTTGATGCGCAAAATTCTGGCCAAACCCTCCCTCGACCGGGCATGGTCGTCGGCCCGGTTTCGCCGCGTCGCTTCCTCCACCCTCGCGCGACTCTTTAGCAGCTGTGCGGCAATATCGCGCCATTCGACGCGATTCTTGCCGATTTCCGCTGCTGCAGTTGGCTCGTCAATGTCTACAGGGACAAGCTTCCCCCCTCGCTTGCGGATGCGTCCGTCGACAATGACGGTGTCGATATCACGGAGAAATGAGTGGAGGACGATGGCAGCCACGGCGTCGTGTTCGGCCGCGCAGATCATCCCAGGGCTCAGGGCGTCGAAGATCACTATCTCCGCTAGTTTGCCTTCTTCCAGCGACCCGATCTGATCCTGCATGTTGATGGCGCGCCCCCTGGATGGTGCCGAGCCGGAACACGTCTTGCACAGAGAGGTCCAGCCTCCTGGGTGACTTGCCCTTCTCGATCAGCGTCTCGTTGCGACGGGCTCACTCTGCCTGCAGGCCCAGGCGCATCTGGGTGATGATATCCCCCGAGTTGTTGCTGTGGCAGTCGATGCCAAGCGAGCTGATGTCTTTCATGTCCTCCCGGAAGCAAACGGGATATCCCAGCGCCATCTGCAGTTCTGTATCGGGGGTCGAGGAGACGAAGGCGCGCGCTTTCGTCATCTTCTCCACGTCCGATTGTGTGAGGTTCGAGGCGTGGGAGATGAGAATGTCCGGGCCCAGAAGACCATGAGCGTCGATCAAGTCTACGATGGAATGCGAGCCTTGTCATTGTCGGCTGGGGAGTAATCGGAACTTTCTACTTCTTCTACATACCGAATACGGCGCCTCGCACATAATGCGAGGTGATCACTTTCACTCCACCTCGGCGGCATCGTTCAAAGAGATCCACCACGATCTCTTTCGGGAGGTATACTGCGTCAAATGCCAATCCAAGCTGGACACGACCGTCTCCGAAGGGAGCCTTTTTCATGAGGTCATCCAGCTGCGTCATCACCCAGTCTGGGAGCAGCGAGTCTTCGAATGTCAGCTCCGGCAGCCACGTCTTCACTCGGCGAGTCGGTGCGTAGCAGAAGATGGAGCGAATGCCGGACGCGACGGTTGCGGAGATGGCATTGGAACCTGCATTAGCTATAGACTGGACATGACTGACAAGAGCGAAATCACTCACTGTGCTCCGGTTAGTAGTTCATATGGGCGTGGTCGACAACCGTGGTTGTTCCAGCGTCAAGTGCCTCGAGGCAGCCACCCAGCTCGCCCCAGAAGATATCTTGCGGCGTGTAGTTACAGCATTGCATGTTCCCTGTGTGTATTAGTCGAAGGCAAAGGCAACAACAGAGTAGACGTGTCGAGACAACATACCTGAAGTCATATACTCCAGCAACACCTCGTCGGCATGCCGTCCCTTCAACTGCGTCTGCCAGAGGTGATGATGCGTATCGACGAAACCGGGCGACAGGATCTTCCCCGTGCAGTCAATCACCTCGGTCGAGGGCGACGGAGGATCGATCTTGGGGGCAATCCGAGCGATTCTGTTGCCCTCGATAAGCAGGGAATGTTCACGGAGAGGGACGACACGGTCAGTTCCATGTCGTGACGGAACCAGGATTGTAGCGTTCTGGAGGAGGATGGAAGTCGAAGTCATCATATGATGCTTTAAGGCCTATATATGCACAGTACAGTACAATGGATAAATATTGACGGAGTAGTTCAATCTACCTATTTACTTCAGCTCGAAGAATGAGGGAGAACGAGGGCAGGGAGAAGGTCACCTTAATATAAACCAGCCATGCCCATAAACTACAGGCTGCTTCACAGCATACCTACGAATGAATATTGCAAGATTGTAAGAGTAGAGGTCTAGGACCAGCAGTGGACGCAAAGAAGCTTCCCCCGCAGTTAGTTCGATGCGTTTTTACCCCGAGAGGAATTCAAGGCAATAACAGCCTCACGAATGATAAATCAATCGCGGTAAGTGATAGTATTCCAATTAATAATAATACGGAGTCAATTCCGCTTTTTACGTTCAGTACTACAGTACAGAAGACCCGTCCATTATTCGTATTATTATTAATTATAGAAACGGATGATACGATCAGGCTCCTTTGGCTGATCTTTTTGCCTATGATTTTATTGAGATTTTAGGACTTTATTCACCGGGTGTTCTTGCGAATCATTCCGAATGGTCGTCCTTATTTAGCAATTATCATCCTAGCGAACATCATTAACTTCAGGTAGAACTGTCAAAAAATTTTTCACAGTAAGTCCGGTTTATTTCTATTTGACATTATATATAGAATACATAGCATTATATAGGGTTTCCAGGAAGGTAAAACAAAAGATTATCTACCTAGGTAGTTTGCCTACCCCTAGCTTTATGTATATATATAGCTCCTGCGTCTTCTATTCACCGAATTGGGAACTATTTTGCCCTAATAGAGAATTATAATAACTACTGCCCAGTGGTCATAACACCATAAGTCCTAGGTTATATTCTTGGCACAGGACAATCAGGAAAAATCAGAAAAAAAATATTAAATCAATATTCTTCTGGAGCTTACTAATATTCTCTAAAGATGTCTGCGCAACTATGTCTAAGCTATTCTTATGACACAGAAATACTGTGATATCCCGCTGCAAAATATCGTCAGATTTCATTTCAACTCTATATTCATAGATATCAGCATTTCTATCGCAAGGACATTCATAAAATCATCAAACATAACAGCTACGATACTTCGCTACACATGCACCTGCTCAGGACCGGTCACAATGACCAGCTCCCCGACTGCCTGCCCGCTGCTGACCAACTCCGAGCGATACGCCTCGAGCAGCTCTTCTCTCCTGGCGACAGCGCGGTCGAACCAGATGCGCTCGATGACTGCCGCCTGGACGAGCTGCCGGACGGCTTCACTCTCCTGCTTCTGCTGCTCTTCGTGTCGGGCTGACAAGCTTGCCTGCAGGCTCTTCAGCTCTAGGGAACCCTTGCGCTTCAAGTCGGAGATCTCAGCTTGATGTCTCGCACGCATCTCGTCGTGGTCCTTCTTCTGCGTGTTCCGCAGGCGCTTCAGGATCGACATCTCGCGCTCCTCGACGTTGGCGCATCCCTTCAGCAGACGCGTCATCTTCACGATCAGCTCGTTCTCTTCCTCCTCGTTCGCTGCCTGCAGTCTTTTCAGCTCTGCCGCATGAGCTGCCAGGAGAGAGTCCATGCGGGATTGTCGATTGGCTTCCAGGTGTCCGATCAGGTCGTGGCCATCCTTTTCAAGGCTGCTTTTCCTGGCAGCATTCTGGGCCTGCAGCTGCTGCGTCTGTCGCTCCTGTCGGTTCAGCAGATCGTTCTGCTGCATTTGATTGATCGTCCGGAGCGACTCCTTCAACAGCTGCATCCTCTCAGCGATCTCGAGCACCCGCTGGGACTTTCTCTCCCGGGCTTCCTCCTCTTCGCGCCGGCGTCTTTGCTCTTCTCTCCGGATCCGTTCTTCTTCCTCGCGCCGCTCCATCGCCTCGACAGCAGCGATCGCCGCTGCAATTTCGGCTTCTTGTTCGGCTTCTCTCTCGCGGACAGTCCGGCGTTGAGCAAGTTCTGCTCGTCGAGTGGCCATGTCGTCTTCGGTACAGGCACAGGTTGCCCAGCGCGCTCCACAGACATAACTAGGATAGTCAATCTCCACAGTATTTTGGCTTCATTTTATGTTCTTACCAGAACTCAGCCTTGCACTTGCAGGTGATATGCCGGCACCCAGACGTCAACTCGACCATAGCATGACACCTGTAGCAGCGCTGCCACCCCTGGCGCTCCGCCTCCTCGAGCGTCTCGTAGAGCCCCGACTCCTGAGGACAGTCACCACGATTGTGAGCTCGTCCACGACAAACCGAGCAGATGGATATGTGGCAGCGCGGACATTTCTGCACCGCAAGATGGCGTTTGATCTTGCTGGGCGGAATCCAAACACCACAGAACGCATCAGGGCAATACCATCGATTCGAGACTGAGACCGCATATTCCTGCGCCTTCGCCTTGTATCGCTCCTTCATCTCCAGCGTGAGCGGGGCCAGGACGGCCTTCAGCGGAATCACCGTCAAACAGCACTTGGGGGGAAACAAACTCTCCACACGCATGGCCGTTTCGACGAGTTGGAGGAAGCACGTCGTGCAGTATTTGTGCTGGCACGAGAGAGAGACCATCTGCTTGGTGGGGGTGTTTTCGAAGCAGCTGCAGCATTCACTAGAGGATTATCAGAAATACTGGATTTGTTGATGACAAGGAATTCTAACCTGATTTCTGGTGCTGAAGCTGCGCGCTCTCGGAGGAGTTTTCTGACTCCTCTTTCGCCTGTTCCTGCTCCAGCCTTGCCCTTCGCGGTCAGCCAGGCTTTCGCGCCGCTAAAAGACTTTCTGTGGCGCGAGACTTCCGATCTGATTGATACAGCACAAGAGTTCCGAGACAGATGAGAAGATGCGTCACCGTCCTTGCTGCACTTCTTCTCTTTCGACTGGGGGCCAGCTGCATCTGCGTCTTCCACCACCAGTGAGCCAACGACCAGAATGTACTGCTCTTTTTGCAGCGATTGCCTCACAATCCGGGGCACATCTTCCGGACAGTCGATGGCGATCTTTCTGAGTTCAGACGGAGGGTAGTGATCAAGCCATTGTCCCTCGCAGCTATTCAGAGGGACATCAATCTTTGGCAATGCCGGCCATTCCAGTAATCCCGTCTTTTGATTTCTCTGGGGAGGATTAAAATTCGAAATGTTCTCGTTCCTATTTGTGTCTGTACCTGCGTTAGGGTTCGCCATGGCCATCTGTATCTTCTCGTCAAGCCAACGACAGCAACACTGGCGATAGCAAAAAGAAAATGTCCTAGAGATATTATCTTCACTTCTAACAATTTCCATATGCTATATACGCCCAGTGCCATGACCAGGGAGCTGACCAGCCGAACCTTTATATCGCCCACTAGAACATTCCGACTGAAAATTCCAGAGCCTGCCTACCTAGATACCTCCATGAGGTAGTTTATTAATCATGACCTGGGCCGATTCCGCCTTGGGTACGAGAACAACCGTGTGGTGCCCTAACTCTGGATGGGTGTATGTTGCCTAGCGAAGATGCATACATAATCGTGGTTCGAGAACCCGCTGGTCCATGCAGCTAGCCAGCTACATGGTGGATGTACGAGGTCATCGTGAATCATACACTATCTCTACAACTACATTCGTTAGCCACGTCAGATAATATGATTTTGTTGAAATCATCGGAAGCAAGTCAACACTTTGTCATCGAGTGGTTTGTCTACGCAAGGCTGACCGTTGCACTGCGCCTACTGTATATGTAGTGGGCTGTGCATACAGGAGTAATACGAAAGGAACCAGTCGCCTTATTAGTAGCATGCTAATTGAGGCTCAGCCTGAACAGCCCGTGGTAGCACCTAGGTAGCCTTAAGTGAATTTCATGCTTTTGGCATTAATCGTTTAGCCATTTATTTTGGGACTTCTCGGCAGATCATCGGGTGATTCGTGCTAAGCAGTCAGCCTACAGGTAAGAAATAAAAACCTTTAAGAAAGCGTTCATTAAAAATAACAGCTCCACAGAAATAAACAGTCCCTAAGCAAGAATCACTCGTGAAAAAGATTAACTCCATGTAAAAGTCTCAGTAGAAGGAATTGCTCCATGACAACAATGTGCCCGTGTAAGGCGGTGCGATATAACAAGGGCTTGGATATAGTGGTCTCAGGCATCTTGCGACGAGCTCAGCTATGGCGGCCTTTCTAGTAAGGCATAGTCTGAGGTAGCAGCACGGCAGCCTGCAAAGGTACATCTATTTGTTGGTAAAACGACATTTGTAAGCAGTTACATGTTGCGAAACAGCAAAAGAAAGAAAAGTGAGAAACAGGGAGAAATAGTCTAAGATCTTGACTAACAGAGCAGAATGCTAGCTTATATAGATAGGTCTGGTAGTAAGCCCATGACAATCAGAAATAGACTTATATTGACTATAAACAATATGGTTTAAGATTGGTATGAGTTGATCGCAAGAAGGGATGGACTAATCATTTCTTTTTTTTGTATGGCACATATATGTAGTAGCGCAGGAAGGTCTAATAGAATAAAATATAATGCAAAATAAACCTTTCACAAGGAGCTTCTGAATCTCTTCAAATACTAGTCTCAATTCGGGTAATATGAACTGATCCAGGGATGACTACCGAAACTTTTTTTCGAAGATTAACAATGACATCAACCTAATCTGACGTGCTGAACCGACTAATTTTTTTTGAGGAAGAAAAAAAATAACGAGCCGATATATGGAAGGTCGATTCCCGGATATATGATGTGTGTTGCGATTTTTGGATACTACTCTTTGACCCTTGATACCTGCCAACGATGTCGACTTTTCCATTTAACATCTTTGAACTTTCAATCGTCTACTGCTACGCTTGCGGGTCACAAGTTATGGCTACGCGTGACAAGCGTGTTTTCTCGGAGAAGGAAGAATGGAAGAAGGCAAACAAGAAGGTGATCTATTGCCGGGCTGTAGAGCTTGACGAGATGTCTTTCAAGAAGAATTGTGCAGATTGGGCGTACTTCTTTCGTCTCAGTGAGTCTGGGTATATATATATAAATGAAACTAGTGAACTGAACTGATCTGAGATTTAGTTATATGGAATCCGCTGAACGGTCAATGTCAGCTTTCTGGAATTGCTGAATTCACCAAGGCAATGAAACCCTTCTTGCTTGTACCCTGGGATAGAGACGTAGGTGTTATTGGACGCGTGAATAAACATACAAGAGCATTGCCCGAGTCAGTTTGGCTCCAGATTTGGAAGGCATGGAGGAAAGGCCTGGCCTTATCGGTTACCCTTTGCACTCACGTTGCTGGAACTTGATTCAGCGAGTCATCGGTTCCGATCCAGAGCAGCATCTGGGACTCTTTGTGAGGGTTCTACGGCAGAGATTTCGGGACTTATCTTTCGGAACGCTGGAAACTCATAAAGAAAGAAGACTCACAGAAGGTTCTAAATTTATATCCATGCTTGTGTAGTACTACTACTAGAGGCTGAACTATGCTGATAAGTTGCCTCCTTCCAGACCCCGTGAAAATACCCGCTGTCAGAACGCTGATCAAAAAGAGTATATGGAGACGAAAGCACCAAATACGGCCAAGATACTCCTGTCCGCTCATCCAATGTTTTCTGTCACGTCTACCTTTGGATATACAGTACATCATTCTAGATCTACTGGACTATAACGATATTTTCAACATGCAGCAAGCTCTCGAGTGACCTGTTGGAGATTCATACTGGCGGTCTCGAGTTCCTAAAATATTATTTTTTGAGCTTGAAGATGTTGAGGAGGAAGGGCTTGACTGGGAATATCTCTGTCCGAGGCTCGAGCAATTATTAGCATCATTTGATCCATTGAAGAATCGGCAACGCATAATGCGAGTTCTGCAGGGTACAAAGAACATTTTCCTTCGAAATTTGAGAGAAGAGGGGATGATCAATGCTGGCTGAGAGGCAAGAAAGTTCTCATTCACCGTGTCTTACGTGAAAGACCATAGCTGCCCTCGTCGCAATGATGCCTGAGACCACTATATACCAAGCCCTTGTCATATCCGGGTGCCTTACACAAGCACATCATTCTCATAACAAACAAAATAAGCAGGCTTAAATTGTTAGGTCGATGCGTGCTTTCGACCATTGAGCATCTGAAACTAGGTAAGTATCCTGGTTTTTCTTAGAAACGGCATCTCGTGACTCTTATAGTATGTATGTATGCATTCATTCTTTAACATGGTGAACCCAATACAATCAAGCAGATTTCGACAAATTAAGAGTGGCTACTCTGTTAAGTTACTGGATAGCATCATCTTGCAGATTGAACTTAGCAGGAAGAATCAATATCTCTAGAATATTATCAAGCATTTATTCTGTGATATAAAAAAGTCTATTAATATTAATTAACCACAACAAACTTCCTCTTTGACCCTCGAAGCTTGTAATCCCATTCCAACAATTTCCTCGACCCGGCCAGCTTCTCATATAATTACATAGCTGCAGTAATGGATTGTTATATCAAAGGTGGACTAAGGGCCTTTTGCATGTCTAGCCCCTTCTCAGCCACAGCGGATTCTGCCTTTTGAAGCAGGTTGCATTAGTGCTACTCGAGGAAAGAGAGCCAAAAAAAAAAGGAAGAGAAAACTGAAAATTGTATATGACCTTTCCACAGAATGCTACCATGCAACAGCACATTCAAATCGGGTATCGTGACTTCCCAAAATACCACCTGTACACGTATGTACAACCTTAACGCCGTCTATCGCCTTCGGATATACCATTTTGTTAGGAAAAAAGAAAAAAAACAAACGCTAGACTAGGCAGCCCCCGAAAACTTCTTCCCCACCCAGGCTGACCCATATTCAAAGTATTGCTGTCGCGTAATCGCGGCTTCTTTGAGCTCGTCTCTATTCGTTGCGAAGCGTGACGCCCCTAGCCAGGTAGAGCGGATCGGGCTGGACACCAAGTTAGCCCCATATCTATCTGGCAAGAAACATGTCAAGCTCAAGCAGAACTTACTCCTTGGGCCGTCGAACTCGGACGACGCACTCTGCAGATGCTATCTGGCGTAGCTCAGTCTCCCTAAAGAAATGCGGATTAACATGTGAACAACGGTGAGGACTGGGCATCTTACAATCTTTCCATAAATCCCGGGATCAGCGAATTTCCTCCCACAACATAAACGTTCGCCAGGAAGGCCGGATGCAGCCCCGTCGGCAAAACAGACAGGCTCTGCAGGATGATTTCTGGAATCCCCGCCTGCTTCATCCCAATATCTCCCGGGTTGAACAGGATTTCCGGCACGGTGAACCGTTCGTTCCCCAGAACTAAGAAGTCTTCGGAGAATGCCTCCGCACCAGCCCCGGAGAGCAAACTCTGGCGTTTCTTAGCGTTCAGCAGCGGATCATGCGGTCGCACGTATCCCTTCTTGTTCGCAGCCGGATCTGGCAAGACATAGTCGACAACAATCCCTTCGCCCGGATCAGGCTGTCCTCGCTTCCTGTTCCCCTTCCATGTCCGCTCCATGTCGGTCTTAAAATCGCTGCTCACGTAGCACACCGCCTCCTTGACATCGTTCATGATCTGCGTCTCATCCACCATGTTATACTGCCGCATCGACACCATTTCCTTGATGTAGTTGGTGAGATGCTTCCCACCGATGTCCAGCCTTCGAATCCCGCGCTGAAGCGGCCGGCCTTTGTAGACAGGTGTAATGGTGGTGTGGGAGTATCCGGAGTCGACAACCATCAGACATTCGATCGGGTTGATTCCTGTATCCGACAGCTGTGTCGCAGGATCACCAAATAAGGGGTGGACATCGTTCCAGGCATTTAGCGTGGGCCCTGGTAGAATGTCAGGACAGTTCAAAATAGTCGACAGAGACGTAGCAACTCACCAACACATCTTAAATAACCACCAAACCCCCACTCCTCCATGATAATCTCGTCGGCATTCTTCTGCAGCGCCGGCAACGCGTTCGGCGCCTCCGTTAGCAGCAGCGTCGTCTCCTCCGGGTTCAGAACCCGCGCCTCCTTGTACCGCGCGGTCTTCTCGTCGAAGAACGAATGGTCCCAGATCTCCTTCTGCGCCTCCCAGTTGACGATGTACCCCTTCTCCACCGGCCGGCGGAATGTCACTTCGTTCCAGTCGGAGATGTGCGTAGAGAGCTGCGAGGCGATGAAGATGCGGTTGTCGCGCGTTTTGGCGAGCGCGTTGGGGATGGTGACGCATGCGGCGAGCGCTTTGTCTGGATCCTCTGGCGGCGGGAAGGAGGGCGCGTAGCCCGCCTTCATCGTATAGGCGCCATTATCGATTATAAACGTCTTTTCCGGGAGGGGCTGGGCAAACTGGGCTGCCTGGGCGGGCTGGGCTTTGGAGGTGGGCTGCTGTTTCGCAGCTGCGCGGGCCTTAGTCGTGCCCATGTTTCGGTGGAAATTTCAGATATTAATGTAGGACAAAAGTCATCGCATGCATCTGAGTTAGATCAAAGTTCTGACAGAGAACGTAAGATCTGGTGTTGTCGGGACATCGACTGAATTCGCGACTTCGCCGCAATCAAGTTATCGGCAGAGCTTGGGTTCCCGGGCTTGGCTGGATACGGGAATTAGGGCATGCCATTAGGGCTTGCCAAGCACGCGGTCCTTCGCATCCAGGAATATAGAACCAGAAATAAGGACTTACTGAGAGATATATACTGGGGCTTATAGATGAGCCCTCAGAGAAAAAAAAATGGCAATTTACTGTTTATTCATTTTCTTGTTATTCTCCCCTTATAAAAATTTACTACCTCTTTAATAATACAGGATCTACTTTTTCAATTTTATTCAGTAATCGCTGTTACTTACTGTATAGAGCTAAATGGATCCGCCAGTGACCCCTCGCTAAACCTTTTCGGGAACTGTAGCCAAAATTTCCAGTCCGCCAGCAACGAGGAAAGAAGATAATAATTCAACTCCGCCAGGATCACAGTCCTGAAAAAGGGCGAAAAAAATAATAGAATCAGAATTAACCTGAGACACATCAAAAATGGCCGAGAAGCTATCCCGTCTGCTCGAGACGACCCTGGCGCTTTCGGGGCAATTCGAAGCAGCCCTCTCCGCCTCTCCCGCAAAAGCAGCAGAAAATGATACGAACAAGTCCTCCTCCGACTCCAACTCCCAGCCGCCGGAACCCCTGCAGCTGCTGTCGAAGAGCTCGACGCTTCTGAGATCGCAGGTCACGAAACTGTCCTTACTGGCCATCAACACGCCCTTCACTCCTTCGGCGCTCTCGACCGTCCTCATGGCCGTCAATGACTCCGTCTTGCCGTCCCTCGTCACAGCGGCGCTTCTCGTCACGCCAGATGAACACACCAAGGCCTTTACGGCCGAGGTGCGCGTGCTGACGAAGACCGTGCTGAAGGAATTTTCTTCCCTGGTGGAAGAGGTCCGGAAGATTGCGAAGAAGAATGACGAACAGCAGCAAGATAAGAAGAAAAAAGATGAGGAGCTTCCACAGTCAGAGAAGGACAGCGTGACGACCGCAACGGGAAGAGTATGGGATGCGTGCGACACGCTGACCCAGCTGGTGGGAAAAGGCGTGGTGGGCTTCGTGGTGCGCCGCGTCGAGCAGTGGCGGGACCTGGTCAAGGATGCGATCGACGAGCTGGCCGAGTGGGATCCTGACGAGGATGACGAAGACGATGATCTCCTGCTAGATGACGATGAAGAGAATGAGCCTGTCAAGGGCGCGGCTGAGGATGAGGATCAGGATCAGGATAGAGACGACAATGAAACCACGACAGCCGCCCTGCACGCCCACAAGAAGACCGCCCTGCGCGCCTTCAAGCCCATCGGACAAATCTACCCGGCCATCATCTCGAATCGGCTCAAGAAAGGCGGTCTCACTGCATCTGACACCACTCTGCCGCCGCGCGCGCACATCGCGAAATTAGAGTCCCTAGTATCAGATCTACAAGCCATACCGGGCTACGTCGACGAAGCCGCGGGCTCCCTGTACGAAAGTAACATCGCCAACTCGGTTCTGTACTTGAAGAAGGCGAGGGACTGCGCCGAACATGCCATACGATTAGTAACTTTCCCCTGGGCGGTCGAGGGAAAGCAGCCAGAAGAAGCGGAAGCAGTTGAACAAGAAGATAAGTTCACTGCCTGGTCAAGGACGTGGTTGAAGGTCATGGATGAAGTGATGAGTGAAGTCGATAGAAAATAAAGAGATCATGAATTATAAAAATTTATGAATGCAGAATGACTTTCCTCTCCCGGCAACACGTTGGCCCGCGGAGAGACACAGTACCTAAATTACAATATTACCATTAGGATCCTACCTTTCAACTACTACTAGTCTATTATACAATATCCTATTAGTATCGTTTAATCAAACCCGTTCGAGTCATCCTCATCTCCCGCCCCCCACTCTCTCAGCTCCTCGGCCGGAATCCGGCCCTTCAGCCATTCCAGGATCGCCTCTGTGCCCTTGGAGACAACCTGCCATCGAGGCACTCGGAAGCTGTTGCCAGCCACCTCGAATCGTCTCAGACCAGGCCCGGCCACCCCCTTCGGGCCAGACCCGTCCGCTGCCAGCAATCCGAGCTTGGGCGGCAGGTAGTCAATATTGTTGTTGCTGACGTCGAGCACCTGGAGGCCCTGGACGGTCTCGAATTCAAGGCTGGAGATCTGGTTATCGGCCGCGAGGAACGTGACGAGGTTGGGGTAAGTCTGGCGAACAAAGGGAAGAGGTCCCCTGAGGCGGTTGTTCGACACATCCAGGAACTTCAGAGACGGCGCGGACAAGTTTGCTTGCAGAGAGTCCAGACTCGTCAAGCCGGTGGCGCTCAGATTCAGGTTTTGCAGATGAGGAAGAGACACGGACGCAGAGAAGAGGGCATCGCTGTTCAAGGGGTTCCTCGATAGATCGAGGTCGGTCAGAGTGCTGGCAAGGAGGCCCAGTGCAGGGACGGGGAAACTCTGTAGTTTGTTCTGCTGGATGTAGAGGCATTTGATGTCATGGGAAGAGACCAACGGCCTCAACTCTTCGACGCTCAACTCCGTCATCTCAGTAGAGGAGCGGTCGAGAACCCCTCCCTGCTTGACCTTCCAGCGATTCAAATGGCTAGGACTCTCGGGAGCGAGGGTGAACTCTGTCGCTACAGAGCCTTCCTCGTCCTCCTCGTCCTCCTCCCCATGTGCTTCAACCTGCTCTGCGCCATCGGATTCACTATATCCCCTGTCTTCTTCTTGAGGCACGGGAGCGCACCGATTCCGCAGGTCGCGTTTCAGATCCTCTGTGTCCATGTTCAAGAATTTGCGCTCCCTGAGTGGATTGTTTGAGATACGGAACATGGCCAGATTATCCATCAGGCCGATCCGTTCATCCAACTTGGACAGGTCGTTGGCCGTCAGATCGACATATTTGAGGTTGTCTAGTTCCACGAATCCGTCTGGGAGGGCAGCGATACTGTTATCTTCGGCTGACAATCTCAGGAGGGATCGCCAGGACGACATGCACGGCAGTGTTCGGATACGATTTGCGTCAATGGCGAGAGTTTGTAAGTTGGGAAAGTCAAAGGTATCATTTTCTGATAACCGCTCCAGAGCGTTACGTGCCACGTTCAAGGTCTGCAGCGTCTCGAAACGGTCAACAGATGCCGATATCAAGCTCCCCTGGAGCTTGTTGCCGGCAGCGTTCAACTCGATCATGGGAAGCCTGCTCAATATTTCAAATGGCAATGACTTCAACTGATTCTCTGAGACATTCAAAACCTTCAGACTGGTCAAATCGGAGAAAGAATCTGGCAGAGAGCTGAGACGATTCCCACGGAGATCCAAGACTTCGAGGTTGCTAAGATGGCCCAGCGTCGGCAGGAGCGCACCCTCGAGGTTGTTGTTTGCCAGCTTCAAATCCGAGAGGCTTTGGATCTCTGCGACAACCTCGATATCATCCATGCTCAGTTGGTTGTTCGACAGGTTCAGCGAAGACAGTCTCTGTAACCTTCTCAGCCCGATTGGCAGCGACCGGAGCAGATTGCCATGAAGGTCCAAGACCTCCAGTCCACCAAATTGATTGCCTTTGCTGTCCTCGTCTGCATCAAAATCGTGAGGATCGATGTCTGGAAACGCCGCGTCCGGCAACGATTCTATTTCATTATCCGCGGCGATAAATTTCACGAGGTCGACACTCTCGTACCAGTCAGCATTGCTATCTGGATCAAAGTCATACATCGTCATGACTTCGTTGGGAATCTCTTTCAGGCCCATGGCCGCAATGTTCAAAGAACCCGATGTTCGGGCCGCCTCCACACGCTTTCGGAGCAGGCCGCGGTTTGGTTCTTTGGGGAGTTGATTAAATGGATCTTTCACATCGATGTTGCCCCAGGGGTCGAAAGCCTCAGGCTCCAGGTTATTTTGTTTTGCTGCTTTCCTGGCCGCCTTGGCTTTCGCAATACTCTCTCGCAAGGCACTCGAAGATTTGGATACCTTCCGAACTTCAGGTTCGGCAGCGGCATGTAGGTCCTGACTGTGCACCTCCGAGGTCGTCGATGCGGCTGAAGAGGTCTTGGACACCGTGGAAGAAGGTGAGGTCATGTTGGAAGAAACGTTGGATGAGGGCTTCCTTGTTTTGTTGACGGTGACTGGTTGGGGAGACTGGATGCCCTCATCAGGGGATGGCTTCCCAAAAGCACTGGCCAAGGAAGGCCGCGCTTTGGGTGCTTTCGTCGACAAGCCTTTGCTTTCACTGAAGCCCCCCGATCTCACAGGGAGGGTTTCTGCGCGTTTGGAAGGTATGGCTGCGATCATCGACTGGCGCTTCACGGCTCCAAGACTCTGCCTTCCACCGGAGTTTGTTGACTTGGTCAGAGTATCGGTAGTCTGAGGAGCCGTCCTCTCTGACACTGAACTTAGATTTGACGAAAGCGAGGCAATTGAGACCCGAGATGGGGTGCGCCTTACCGACGAAGGAGGTACGACCCCTTCGTCCACGCCATTCTGGGAATGCGATGATCTCGATGGAGATCGTGAGTAGCTGTTCAACGCGGAGCTGGGCCGAGGCGGAGGACCCATTGAGGAGTCTGGGGGGAAGAAAGACGTCTTCCTGCCACGCGAAGAAGGTGATGGGGGGATCTTCGACAGTGTCTCGATGGTCCGATCCGAGAGTGACGGGCGAGCGTCTGCCGGGGGCGCGGATGTGTGGTCACCATTGTGATCATCTACCAATTCCCAAGCCTCGCCATCGGCATCTTCCGGCACTTCCAGGTTTTCATCGCGGTCCTGCGGCGTCTGCGACAGGTCTCGACGTTGGTAGACATGGCCAGCGGTGTGGGACGAAAAGGACTGGGTAGAATATTTTCTTGATAGAGTTTCTTGCGAGGGTCGCCGTAATCGCGCAATGTCAACACCCGGATCGGCCTGCAGGCGCTCTCTCGACGGGGATGGCTTTAGAGATCTTTGTCCGGTGTGGGTGGGCAAGGGGATCCTGGAAGCCAAGCGTGGAATCCCACTTGGGGGACGGAGGGGCGACTTCTGTCGATCCATTGGTGCTGTACGACCTTGTCGGCTGCAGCTATCGGTGATCCCTGATCGATCCACTCATAAAAGACGAGACAATGGTGTGCTGGGATCAATGTGAGCAGAGGACCATGTCGAAACGGCACGGACAGTTCATCAAGCGAAGATAAGATCAACAGCAGGGGAGACAAGAAAACAGTGAGGCGGAGAGCAGCCGTCCGCAGAGGGGAGGAACAGACGATCCGCAAGTAAGGTTAGACGATGGGCGTGAGAGCACAGTAAGCGAATGGAACAGCTGGCCCGTCCGGAGGATGAGATTATTTTCATAGGCCCGGCAAGCTATTAAGGAACCGCCCGGCCGGGTCGGACGCGATGCTCCAGGAGTTCCCCCGAGCCCGCCTGGCAGCGCCGTCTCATTGGCCACCCCGAACCGGTATGGCGGCCCGCTCTGCGCTACCAGCATCAGTATCGTCGCCTCTACTCCGTACATGGACAGCTACCTAGTTGAGAGAGGCCATCGATATGGAAGACCTTCAGTTGCCACATTGCTAAGAAAGACTATCCCACGCACACAGAGATTCTACCAGGTCAGGTTAGTCTTTATGCAGAGAAGACAGCTTCCAATGACCCAGCTCTGAGTAGTCGCTCTGCGATTACCGTCTTCTTTCCGCCTCTTTCACCTCATGATACAGCCTGACTGCGTGCCTCCATATATTATAAACCTTATAATGCAATACTAGCCGGGCGTATCGACTTCCAGCCACTGGATACCATCCAAATCCGAGTTATTCTTAATCGTCGACATCAGCGCTACCAAACTCCCTCCGTAGGCACGACTGCTGACGAAGATATCCGCGAAAGCCCTGGCCGACCACCACCCGTAGCAAAAGCATCGCCTGGCAGCATCCCAATCGCAGCATCGAACAGGCCATCCAAATTGAGCTGGCGCGAAAAGTCCATCGATAGGACACCCTTCTAGGCTTTTCAACCCGACATACCGTAGCAGCCTCCGCGAGGTTGCCTGCTTCTCTCTACCTCGACATAGTCGTCTTCCAGGTGAAATGGGACGTCGACAGCAGCAGGTGAACCGGTAAACCATGGTACCAGGCTATGAGATAACCTAGAATGCCTTGAATGTGCGGTGTCGAGATCATTTCACCGTGACTCCCCTCTTGTGTAACTCAGCATGTGACGCTGTAGTGTCCGCCGTCTGGCGAAACATCCGTAACTATCCTCCCCAAAGAATCTTACTCGTCACCAATTCCAGTGTGGCTGGTCATCCTGAAGAGATGTACTCTGTATAGATACTCGGTATAGACTTGACGGAATCGTTCTAGGCCCCTGGCGGTTGCCGGTCCAACTCCCTGCCTCCCCCGGTAATGTGACGGGGCCTCGCGATTGGCTGGAGACATGCTGTAGCAACCGCGTGTTTACCTCACGTGACGCGGGCTGTCCCCTGACCTGGAGCAGCTCCCAGGCGTTCCCCGCGCTAAGCTCAACCGGGCGAAAGCGGCCATTCGCCGGGTTCGGGCAAGTCACATTCTCCCGCGAGGCAGGGCTCACGTGCCTGGCGGTGGTTGGGTTCGGGCTGCTGATTGGCCCACAGACACCACTCCCCAGCCTCCTCGTCACCTGCCAGGCACGAGCCAACACTCGACCACTTAACGAGCCATCGCCTCCGCTCGCAGCCCATGTCACGTCTCTATCTCTATCGCTTCCATCTTCCATTCCTTCTCTCCCTTGTTCCTCCTTCCATACCAACACGCCTCCACGTCTTTGTCTCAACCTCCCTGCTGACGTGGTGGTGCGGTCACTTCTCGAATCCTAACGCCTGCTGGCTGGGGCCTATCGGGCGATAAGCGGGAAGCCCTCCCGTCTCCGTCGTCGGACAGCTGGCAACGTTGCGCGCCCCGTCCGGTGCTCTGACTACAGACAATTATCAAATCTTCATACCAGACTGCAGATTGCGATAGCTGATCTGTGGTCTATTCCGAACCCTCACGGCTTGTCCGTGCATTCTTTCGAGACAGGGCGGGAATTGGCCGCGTCTACGCATTCACCGCCAAATCTCGTAACTTTGGTAAGCACGACTCTAGGATTCTTCGAAAAATCCATGTGATGCAGCTTCAGTGATGCAGCTTCATGAACGCTAACTCGCCGTCCAGTCCAATCATTTCGGCTTTCTTGAATTCTGATCGAAGCATACTACATCTCCAAACATCGTTATGTCTCAAGATACAGAGAGGTTGTCGCAGGCCTCCTTGGCCCCTCCTGTGGAGATCACCATACCCAGCACCCCGCCGCGGCGCTCCATTCTTTCCGCCTCCCCAGATCTACGGCACGCGAGGGACGGCAATGCGGCGCCGTCTGACAGGAATAGCAGCAACCTTTGTTCGCCTCCACCCGTCTCTTCATCAGAGATGACCCCTCCTCCATCGTCCCAGCCGCATGCTCCTCTGCGCCGACGATCTAGGTCCCGATCCGGGTCCCGCGTGGTAGTTCCCGCTTCGCCACCATCAGAGTCATTGGAGAAGACCCTCTGCGCTGCGTACGGCGCGTCCGAGAACCTGCCTACTGCCGAGGACATCGAGGCCGCCAATGAACAGCAACTCCGCGCAATGGCCAAGGATCTGCTGAGTGTGGCGCAGGAGGCCCGCATGTCTGCCTTGCATTTCAAATTACAAAATAGTCTGCTGTCTTTTGCTAGCAATGAAGCAATCAAGCGTGCCGAGGTGGAGCAGCAGCTGGCCCGAAGGGAGGTCGAAATTCTGCAGAGCTCAGAGTATCGGAATCGCCATTACGCCTCAGATCTGAGGACGCCGCTGCTGTCTCCGAACCCGCAACTGGACGCCTCCTTGAAGCGGATTGAGGAACTGGAGCAGCTCAATGCGAAGCTCAAAAAGAGACTCGAAGATGCCGAGAAGCTTCTCGAAGAAGTAATCGAGGAAGAGAATGGGAAACATGAATCGTTGCAAGAGGAGAACCGACTTCTCAAGAAACGTATCAGAGAAAATCGGGAGCATTTCACTCTCATGTTGGATCAGGGCTCGCTGTCGTCCAGTCCTCGCACCGAGTTCCAGACCCCTCAGAGGAAATCGCAGCCTAGATATCCCGACAGTGCTCGCTCCCACGGCAACCACGATGCATTTGCAACCTTGCTAGCGGCCGATCGCGTCTTGAACGGAGAGTCTGCCAACGTTTCTCCCCCATCTGCTCGTGACCGTCTGCCCAGGCAAAGCCACGGTGGTGGTCATGTCCGGGGATCCCACTCTATGTCCTCCCTTCCTGCCACCCCTCAGCGCTCTAGGGACGTTCCTGAGGTCCAGTACGTCACTCCAGGCAGCCGATCCCAGGAGAAGATCGTCCCCTCCACCCCTGAGCGTGAGCAGCCCTACTCAGAACGGGACCGCCATGACCGAGACAGTACGATTTCTGCGTCTGATGGAGAGGAAGCGGTTACCGACGAAGACGTGCCGGCCTCTCAAGCTAGTTCTCTAGCCACCAACATGCTTCTTCGCTTCCCTGGAAGCAGCCAGGAGGCGTCGTCACCTGCTCGCAACGTTGGAAAATCCAACAACCTTGTTCAGACGAAGTTGTTTGGTCAGGTCAAGAAGGCGGGTGTCGAGCGGCCCAGTTCGATGAAACGCAAAGGAGTCTTTGAAGACGATGAGGGTTCCGTGGCGAAGAAGTCCAAGGAATCTGACCGCGTCGGCCTGGGCATCAACGCCTGGAAGGTATCTTCTGGATAGAAGATGCGAGTCTGCTTAGACTACCTGGCTTCTACCCGGATTCTGTGTATCCTATTTCTCTTTTTTTTTCGACCTGCACCTTTCTTTGGTACAAATTGTTATGTTATGAGTGACGACGAACATATGCGCTTTTATGGGATTTCAAGGGGTCTTATTTGGGATTCTTCATTGATGTCTTCTGGAAGATTTTTCTATTCGCTTTTCAAGGCGTTGGCTGGGTTTGGTGTGGCCTTTATGGGTGCTGCATGAGCTACTTCTGATCCTGTCTCCTCGTTTGAGGTTGTCTTGCACAGAGAGGCTTCTGGGTTTGCTACGTCTGTTGCCTGCGTGAGGATGGCTGTTGCCCGCAGGTTGTTGTTCGAGTGTTAGATAGCTTAGTCTGCAGAATGAAACTGCGATTGCACAGAGAAGTCCTTCTTTTCTCTTTTAACGTTCGTATGTGAGAATTGTGGTACGTAGAAAAGTGCTGATACAATGTAATTTCTGATCTCCAATTAAGTCGAATGATACGATCACCTACCTACCAAAAGTACTGTACTGACATGGCGGGATGACGACGTAGCATCGCTCCAAGAGCCACCACCGTAATCTTTCCATTTCTTAACACAGAACAAAAGAATGAGCAATTCAATTATTAACAATTTAATTAACAACTTAATCGTACGTGCAATTGCAGCGATGAAACTGATGAAGTTGAGAGATCCGCGGCTAGGTGACTCGGAAAGCGCTTCCGCCGCCGAATCGGGCTTAGCTCCCTTAGGGCTCGCTAAGCGAGAGGGCGCGGGCGGCTCTGCGCGGTTGGCACATTGGGCTCGCCCACGAAAAGGAAAAAGTTCCACCCAATATTGAAAGAGTCTTTTGAGACTCGACCAGCAACCTCCGACGACCACGACCTTGAAAGCAGCCCGAGACTTGATCTCCATCCGGCACAATGGTGCGTTTTTCTCCCACCCCTTTCTGCCGTCGACTTTGATCGTCGGCCGTCAGACGAAATGGCTGTTCCATTTCTGGCTGCAATTCCTCCGGATGGCAGACTGACTAGTGTGATAACTATAGGCGATCAAGCACAACAACGCGATCCCTAACAACCGTGAGTGAACCCGATTCGCTTTTTGCAGGTGTTGATGATATGGTGGAATGCGACCAAATGTGAAGAAAGAGGAAGGATATGACATGAAACGCTTTTTCTGGGGAGACATGTGTGTTTGGAGCATTTCTGACGAGATCGGTTTTCTTCAGACTTCCACAAGCACTGGCAGCGTCGTGTGCGCGTGCACTTCGACCAGGTACGCTACGAATTCCTCTGGGAAACATCAGGATTTGGGCGAAGGCGAATTTTCGTGGAATGGCCTTGGTCCAAATCCATACTGTCGAAAATGTGAGCATATGGACTGATCTCGGCATTGGTTGTCTTTATTTAGCCCGGTCGCAAGCACCGCCGTCGTCAGGCTCGTCTCGAGAAGGCTGCCGCTGTCGCTCCTCGTCCAGTCGACAAGCTCCGCCCCATTGTGCGGTGTCCCACCATCAAGTACAACCGCAAAGTTAGGGCTGGTCGTGGCTTCACTCTTCAGGAGCTGAAGGTATTTTTCAACTCCCCTCGACGATTCCCACTCGCCAGAACTATATACTGCGCACATTTCTCCGCTGGAAATTTCGGGTTCTGGACAAAAAGGAGGAAAGCTTTGCATGGATGGAGAGCTTACATTACGAAAACTGTTTAGGAAGCTGGTATCCCCCGCAAGCTCGCTCCGACCATTGGCATTGCGGTCGACCACCGCCGCAAGAATCGTTTCCCAGGAGTCCCTTGCCGCCAATGTCGCCCGTCTGAAGGAGTACAAGGCCCGCCTGATCCTGTTCCCCCGCAAGAGCGGCCAGTTCAAGAAGCTGGATTCGTCCCCTGAGGAGGTCAAGGCTGCCAAGGAGGCTTTCGCTGCCGAGGGCAAGGTTGAGGGATACGCCACCCGGGTACAGGCCACGCTGCCTATCAAGAACATCACTCGTGAGGAGGCCATCACTGAGATCAAGCGTGACGAGATGCCCGAGGGCGAGAAGGCCGCCTACCGGCGGTTGCGCGAGGCCCGAAGCGAGGCTCGTCTGGTCGGTGTCCGGGAGAAGAGAGCCAAGGCCAAGGCTGAGGAGGAATCTGCCAAGAAATAGATATCATCCACAACAATATGATAATGTTATGATATCTTCTCTTCTGTTTCAGTTCATGAAGAAAATTTTTCTCTACCTGTCACTCGGCCACCACGTTACTAACGAGACGAGGTTGTGGTTGTATTAAAAAAGAGTACCTAGCTAGGGTCTTGGTCCGTGGTGTCACTGGTATGTGGTGTACGGTGCGGCTGTGAAATGACGCACTTCTCTTTTCCTTTACTACTTCTCTTATGTCATGTCTCTTAAAAAGCGCAATATCAAATGGAAAGAAAAAATGGTCTGGTCTGGTCTGGTCCCTCATCTCGAAACGTCTTCAGTCCATAGAGAGGAGATATCAGGTATGGTATGCTATGGTATGTATACCCTATGAGGTATTCAACAAAATCTAGAATACGAGAGATTTCTGTCCAATGGATATGGCACTCAAGGTAACTCACTCATTTTTCTCTTTCATACGCGTTACGTACTTCCTATCACTAAAAACGAAGGGATAATGTTGAGAAGATGCTCGATATTGGCTGACCAGCCAAGAAGTCATTTTATTCATCTAGCCCATCCAATTCGCTACTATTATTGCTTGCCTGTACCATTACTCTTCGCCGTAAGGACATCAATCCCAAACAAGACACCCATAACACCTTCGGTCGCTTTCACGATGGCCTCTGCTTCTGGGCCATCCCCATTGCTTGTATCATCCCCTTTTCTTCTCCTTCCCTCCTTGAGCAGGTTGCGAAACAGCTTCTTCACATCCCGCTCTACCTTGAGCCTTTTGGTGTCCGCAAGGTCAGGGATCGAGATGCTGATCTCAGGCTTCAATTGCGGCTCGCCGGTCCATTCGTCCAGGATCAACGGACAGGAGAGAAGGAGTTTTGATTCTCGCTTTTTGGCGCCGTAAGAAAAGACCATCGTTGTCCGCTCGAGGTGTGGGACTATCGCCCGGAGATCGGATTTCCTCAGCGGTTTTCTCATCTCCTCGTCGACGCTGCTGCCCATGTCATCAACTCTGGCCCCCGCGATGCCACCTGCGACCAAGGCGTCATGCTTCCTTTTCAATTTCGCCCAGATCCTTGCACGGCAGACAGAAGCCTCCCAGTATCGGCAAATTCCCCAGCAGAGACCAGAGATATCCAGCTGTAGTAGTGGGTTTGCCAAGCGAGACTTGATCCAACCATGCAGGGCTGATGGGATCTTCGAAGACTGAGCAGAATGGTCATTCGATATCGATATCGACGTCACACATTGCGACTCCAAATTCGTCTTAAAGGTCAGAGGTATCTTGTATAGATGCCGAGGAAAAGGAGAAGGCGCTGAGAGAGTTATATCATGCGTTTCTGCCAAGGTTGGTTCGGCGTCCGATGACGCGGAGATCTTTGTAGAGTATGTTAGATTTAATGGAGCAAAAACGGTGAGATAAGGTGTTGGGTCCGCAAGTTCCTTAAGAGCAAACGGATTCGTCGGATCAGGAGATGTCGGACGCGGTTTCTCAGGCACGGCCTTTGCTGCGAAAGGGAGAAGTGAAGAAATGACAGACGATAGTGGTGGAGGATCTGGAGGCGCCAGCGCAGAGGGCGGCGCGCACGACGGGTTCGACGTCGTCAACAGAGAACTATTTTCTTGGGTTAGTAAGAGTATCCTCATAAAAGTGACTTCATAGAGTCGTGCAAAAATAATACTAACATGAGATTCCTAACAGCATCTGCGTCGGGCTCTGGACCGTCAAATGGTCGTTCAGTCCGCTGTGCCCAACTTTCCAATTGCACGACTTCGGCCTTGAGGCGTTCAAGTTGTGCTGCGAGCTCGTCTCTTTGTTTTTGCTTCTGCCGCACCTCCTCTGGTGTATCATCTTGGCTTTTGTTGTCTTCTGGTGACAGCTCCACATGGCCTAGTCTGAGCGTGCTTGGTCGCAATCCCTCTCTTCGATTTTTGCGCTTCTCATAATGAGCGCTTGGACTGCTCAGCAGCCCCCTTGGTCGTTCAGGCCGTTTTTCCAGGCCTAGTTCTGTCGGTGTTGGAGGCAGATCCGGCTCGCCATCTTCTTGCAGCAACGAAGACGCTGACGGATTGCGAGTTTCGGTCTCACGCGTCGCGCTGTCCAATTCAGCCGCCAATTGCTCATCAGGACTATTCCTACGAACAGGAGTTGACACATTCTGCTCTTGCGTCCTCCGGGCGGCATCAGTCTCTGCATCTGGGACTTCGATCCTCCGAGAGACTCTGCGCGGTGGTGCAGCAAAGGCTTGGATCGTGCCTGACCTTCTCCGTGGAGAGAGAATGGAAAAGCCAGGGCTCCCAGCGGCAGTAAGGGAAGGTCTCAGGGCCTTCCTGTCCCGCAGTCCAAATACTCTCTCCTCCGTCTGGTTCGAGGGTCGCTGGGGGCTCCTCGACGGCGACCGGTTGAGGGCATGCGCTAAGACCTCCGGATGTGATCGAGCCATGCTTGCCCTTGTCGGCGACTGAAATGACGTGCGATGAGTGACTGCTGGTCGCGCATCCTGGGTGCTGCTGTCATCTTGCGTTGTTTCCGGCGTGTCAATCGGAACAGCAGTGGTCGGACTCGTCTTGCGCCGTTTGGCAGGTGATGCTGACATTGGACAGGAATCGCATACAGGAGTATAATCCAAACATGAAAATATAGAAACCTAAGCCAAATCGGCACCAACTGGCTCCGTACTGGTGGATGCGCTACCTTCATCGAGCGCGTGTTGTCTGGCGGAGAGTAGTAAATACAGACAAAAGGCGGTGTTTGCAGTGTTTGCAGCATGACATAACTCGACTTCCGCGGCACTCCATTCGGCGATTCCCTCTATCATGATAATCTCCTCGTTTCCGATTTCATCTCTGGAGGATGGAGCCTTCCGCCGTGAGAGCAACGCCACGCTCTCTTCCACGGTCGCTGTGTGCATTCTGTTGGAATCGCTATGTCTTCAGATCGAAGTTTCGGCCTCTGCGGGGGTCGCCACACCCCTCCTCCGGATCATCCAGCTTCTTCACAACGAGTTCCCGTCGTGTTGCGACGACGACCACGCCTCTCGGCAAGGATGAGGACCCCGCAATAGGATTAGATCCTCCGCAGGCCTATCCATTGTCTGGCTATTATTCGGACCTTCTGTCCGCGCGTTTTCCAGGCGCCGGTCGTGCTCGTGCTACCAGGAAGGTCGCCCCTCAAGAGCAAGACCAGCCACATCCGACTCCAGCCTCAACGACCGAACCGCAGTCTCCGGAGGATAAGATGTCAATCGTCTTCGGCTCTCGTCTTGCTGGTCCGGGCTACCATAACCCGTCGACGATGCCTCCAGAATCGACCTGGAAGACGATCAATGGCGTCGCCATTCCTCCCCGACCCGTCGAACCGGATAATTGCTGCATGAGCGGCTGCGCCCACTGTGTCTGGGATGATTACCGGGACGAGATGGAAGCCTGGGCTGCGCGGGTTCAGGAAGCGCAGGCCAAAGCGGCGGAGTCCCGCCCCAGTCCGGACATGCGTCAAAGCCCTCGGCCTGAAGTACACAGTGCCAGTATGAGCATGGATGATGACGGAGGGGGCAGTGAAACGAACTGGTCAATGCCTTCTCCGGCGGGCGACATTGACGACGACCTCTTCGCCGGTATCCCTGTGGGCATTAGAGAATTCATGAAGACGGAGAAGAAATTGCGCGAGAAGCACCGCAAAGAAAGAGAAAAGAGCCAGGCGTGACTTGTTGTCTGTTTCCTCTCATAGAGCTCTCGCCTTTATTGCACAGACTCATTATTCATAGATATTCCTGTATTTATACCCCTGGCTGGTTATTTTCCCTGTTTCTGGGCGCAGCGTCTACAATGGTTAGACGGGAAATAAAAAGAAAAGGAGACGCACTGTATATATGGCATGTACTGACGGTTCATGACTGCTCATAGATATCTAGAATTGGAATGTATGTACATATGATTGACATGCATGATAGGTTGAGAAATTCAACGATCGCATGGAACAAGAACAGCATGAAAATGCTCTGCTCATTCCATTCCATTCTATATTATCTTATCGTCGTCACGTAGATATAAGACTAACACATAAATGTAAATCTCAAGGACTGACTAGACAGTGTCAGTCGTTTCGATGAATTGTCTCACTTGTTTGCATTGAGGCGGAAGCAGCCTTCTTCATCAGCTCCTGCAGCCTGGCTTTGCGGGTTTCGGAAAGAGTTTCGGGCTGTTGCGAATTGAAAGTCAGCTTCAGAACCAAAAAAATAGGTGATGGGTATACACACATCGTTGCTTAACAGTTCCTTGACAAGGACGATCACGTTGTCCCGATCCTTGCTCTTCTGCAGCTTTTCAGCCTCTGGCGCCGAAGCAGGAATCTCGACCGTGAGACTGTCCTCTAACAGCTGATACACCTCCATGTTTTGCAGACAGTCAACAACAGCCAACGATCCCTTTGGACTGGACGCCATCAGAGCCAACGCGAACCATCCCTCGCTTCGGACGACGGGCCACTCTGTCTGCGTGATCATGGCACCAAGTGGACGGGCAATACCCTCATGCAGACTGAACAGGCGCTCGAGCAGGGCTTGTGCTTCATCATCTCCCTCCCGCGCGCGAGAGGTGACGGTGCGACAGATCGATGCAATAGTGCGTCCGATTTCAGTTTTAATCGGGGCTGCGTCCGTCTTGCTAAAGAGCGAGAGCAAGAGCGACAGATAGGTCCGTGCATTAGCTGGAGAGTCTGGGTCAGACGAAAGAGAGATAAGAAGTCGCGAGATGTTTTCGAAAGAAGACGTTATGACCTGGCGGGTGAGGCTGGCAGCGGCGAATTGCACTTGGGGGACAGTATCAAATGTCCAGAGACGAGACACAGCCGGTATGATTCCAGCATCGCCTAGATGCTGTCGATTCTCTCCAGCAATGGCCAGATTCTTCAGGAATCCTAGCGCAGAATGGAGGACGCTGCCCCGGGCATCGGTCTTCAGCAAGGCTATCAACTGTTTGTGGATCTCTAAGCGCTCGACCATGAACTTGCACACCTCATCCGACCTTGCCAAGTTCCCCAGCATGACGCAGGCACATATCTGTAATTGGTCTTCAGCACCCTCGAGCCACGCTCTTAGAGTATTCGACAGCGGAGAGTCAAGCGGGTAAGTATCGGCAAACTGCGGTAGTGCAGATAGGTCTGATAATGCTTGGTTCAGCTTCAACCGCAATTGAGACAATAATTGCACGTCTTCGCTCGACGATTGGTCCGCGTCAGTTGCATACGAGTGACGGAGAACAGAAAGCAACTGTTCCACCAGTCTATGTCGTATACATGCATTTTGAAACCGTTCATTTCGCAGGTATGCGACAAGGCAGTTAACGAGACAAGCAAACTGCGCAAAAGTGGTGGTTTTGTCGACAGCCAGATTCATCAGCAGGACGATGGTTCCATCAGGGGACGCTTCGATTCCTTCCTCTGTTCACGTCAGAAAAAAAAACGGACTACAAAATGATTAATAGGTCCTACCATGTTCCGATGCCATCTCGACCAATTCATAGGCATAATTGAGCAAGGAGTTTCCCTCAATTGCTCCCTCGCTGATGAGCTTGAGCAATATATACCCAATTCGGTTTCCTGAGACCTGAGATTGAGCTGGCTCTACTATCGGTCAGCCGGGGTTCATCGAGACGACTACAAGAAATCATTACCAAAATCCGCACATATATTATAAAGAACGGGAATTGCAACATGAACGAGTGCAGGGTTGAGAAGGAGACGTATAATAGGAAGAGTGTAATTGTTGGTTATAACGATCTGTCGGTTTTCGTCTATATCCCGGTTAATACCGCCGCAGTCGCGAATGGAGAGCAAAAACACAGGGGCACACACCTGTATCTGCGCAAGAATTTCCAATCAACCTTAATGAATGAAACAAGATATCGTCATCAATCTTCTCCTTCGACGCAACAACCCGGAGGAAGAAGTCCAATATACCCGCCTGGCCAAAGGGAGCCCGCCACGATGCTAATGAGACTGTCAGCGTTCAATTCAATTCGTGGTACAGCGAAGATATATCTCACGATCTCGACTGCCGTTTGCGAGAGCCTCCGCCGCTTGGGCCATGTAATGAGATCTACTTTGCCAAAGCTTGTCCAGGGTGGAAGAGACCCCTTCCAAAGCCTTCAGCTTGCGCTGCCCTCGCCGAGAATCGGCATCTGCCTGCTCGAGAGAGGATACAAGCTCCTGGACATCAAAGTTTCCTTCGTTCTCTTCAGTCTTGAGGAGAACATCCTGTAAGGCGCGAAACATCTTGTCTTGCTCTTCGGGTTGCAAACTGAGCTGACCTCTCTCAGGGGCAGACGGGGCTGAGTCTGTGAGCTCAGACAAGATCGTCTTCACTGCAGGAAACTCAAGTTCTTTGCTTGGTTGGATATGCGTCTCTGCAGTCTCTGTGATAGAACTGCAACCGCTGGATATCGGTGCGGGCTCTGAGGCCCCAGATTTATCATTTTCATCATGCTGAGAAGCCATTTTGAACAGATATCAGATTATCGAAAATAGAAAGCTGATGCCTAAGCTAGATGCTCCTGCCTGCTCAAAGCACTGAACGTTTCTTGACACAGTAATCCTCTCCACCAGAAGAGGCCTTCTAGATCGCCTGGATAGGCAGGAAAGATGTCTTTGGCGCGATAAGGACCAACTGGAGCCTGGTGGTCCCACCTCTCAGAAGAGTACTTATTTCAGAAATAGGCAATGTTCTCTCTTCTTCCTCCTCACTTGGCCGGCGCCACCAGACCAGGCAGATGAGAGCCTAGATGGTGAAATAGACCCTCTTGGTCAAGAAACGAATACTTGGCGGATGCTGATGCCCGATGGGTGTATAGTAATTTAGAACCATTTATCCGTGTCTTTGGTTTCTTGGCTTGAATGCCGGGAAACGGACCTGTAAAATAAAGAGCTTCCAAGCAAGCAACAAAAATAAATAAGCCGTATATTTCGAAATAGCCAGCTAGCAATAATGCTGTCTGTCTGAAGAGTGTACTGCAGAAATCCGTTTTAGTCGCCGTGTTGCACTTTTTAGTATGAAGTCCGCAAGCTGGACAGAATGCCCAACTGCCATAGGCCAGCAGCCAGTCTTAGTCCCCGAACTAGACGCCGCCTGCCTAAACGGTCTTGAAGCCTAGAACCAGGGCTCGGGCACGTGGACGCGCTCGATCGAAATGAATAAAAAACAACAATAGCAGTAACAATTATAATTTAGGCAGACACAGGAGTAAGCAATGGTACGGAGTATAGAATTTCCATTTAGAATGAATAGGGACCGGCATGATGGGTGATTGACATTCCTGGAAGCTAACAACTCCACTACTGTAAACTTCGATAGCTCTACGGCAGCCACTGCGGCCAGGAGATGCAGTATTGCTGCACCGCAAACGCAGCTGTCTGTCCTTTTGGTCGATGCTAACCTGCTCCACCGCCGCATTGTCCTGCGCTTTTCTTTCTTAAGAATTGCTCTGTGCTGCCTGGCAACTGCATGATACATCCTATCTGTACTATTTGAATCCCGTGCTATTGTTCTGTGGGCGCCGCAACGACCCCTTGGAGAAATTGCCGCCATCATGACGCGCGCACAGCAGACCGTGTCGGTTCTCCTGCTAGTCTCCTCAGTATGTCAAGACGCATGCATCCACAATCTGTGCCTTGTTTGCATGCTAGCAAATGGATGGCTAACATGATCCTGCGCTTTTGACAGCTCTATTTGGCTCTCTACCTCGGCCTTGTACCCTTGAATGAGACCATCCAGACCGAGATCGTCCCTGTTGTACGTCTATACCATTCTCTGCCCCGTTCACCCGTTCACATGCTTTCTTGATACCATCCATTCGCTCTTCTTTTTTTTTATTCTCTGAAATAATAGGAGGACATTTTACCGCCTTTATTTAAGTAGAGTGTTAACAAAACTTCTTATGCGACTACTTCACAGCTCCCCTTCTACGCTCTCATCTCCTTCGCCTGCTTCCTCCTCGCCCGGTTAGGTTACATGATCTTGACCTTCAACGATGTCCCCGAGGCTCACGAGTCTCTGCAACGAGAGATCGAGACGGCGAAAGCGGAGCTACGCCGCGCCAATATCGATGTGGACTAAACGGTAGTAGATGTATTCCTTTGTGATGGGAGGACGCGTTTTCTTGGTCATGGAATTTTTCTTACTTGCTTGCTTGCTTTCGCCTGTGGCTCAACCGGTGGTGAGCTGGTTCAAGTGGGATACAAATAAGGACATCCGGAATTTTAGGGATAGAGGACTGTCCCGTGTATAGATAATCATCCAGCGAGCTTTTTTTTTTGTTTCTATCGTTATGTCCTTTTTGTGAGTGATGAGATTTTTTTTTTTCAGTGCTAAGTTGCTATACAAATAAAACCTGTCTAGATACCTGGTAATAAGAATCATATACTATCTCCACCTTTTGATCAAAATATAGAGATCAGACCATACCAAGACAAACTTCTTGTCTTCCTGTGCAAGCACAAGCAGTCCCACATGGTCTGGTCCAGACAATATGAACCATGAAAGGGTTATGTATGTACTTCTTTCTTCTTTAGCTTCACGCCACGCTTCCACGCCTCCGAGGCCAGTAATCTAAAAATCGAGACACCAACAACACCAAAAATGTCCATTAGAGGATGGGAATGCATAACAAAACCAAGAAAATATGAACTTTTTTATGTTCTCACACGAACGCCGAGCGTAAAACGTGCAAAATTGTTGACATAATGCATGATGAGAATTTCAGAGACAATAATTGGAGAAAAAAAATAGCATGTGCAGCGAATTATGTAGGTACGTATGTCTGCGAGGAGCAAATCAGATCAGAGGGTGCTCCTTGGCCAGGCGATCATGTTCATCAATGTCCCTATCCGATGACATCAGTTAGTCGATCCAGCCAGAGGGTATTCAGGACTGAAACGTACGTTGCTTCCCAAGGATAGCAGATCCAGACGTCTCCCGTCGTGACGGCCGCGTGATACCGGCCTGCTTGCAGCATCTCCTCGGGCAATTTGCCCTTCTTCGACTTGTCCTTGTTCTTCATAGATGCAGTTAGCATCGAGACTAGATGCCGTAGCTGGCGCAGGTACTCACATGCAGCACGAAAATGTAGAATGTAGTCTTCTCTCCCTCCCGGCCCAGGTTCTTCTGGGCAAGCTGAACGTCCTTCTCCAGTTCACGAACGGCATATTCCAGCGTGGTTCGCGTGTCATCCACTTCGTCGACAATCAGGACATTCTTGCCAATCAGGTTGGCCATTTCAAGAGAGCTCAGATCGAGCCATTGTGTCCGGGTAACCTTAGTGCCGGGCTTCTCCTCGGGGCCGTCCGTCCCCAGGCTCTCGTACAGGGAGAGCCCAATGGCCTGGATGGGGATGTTGGGTTCACCGGGGAGTTTCAGGAAGGATCTGGACAACCCAAACATTAGCCTCCCCAGTGTGTTCGCGCCGGAAATATCGACCGATGCTGAGAAGGTATCTGATCCTACCGAAGAATGCGAGCCGGAACATAACCGCCACCACCGATTGCGATCATGAGATTGGGGCGGAATTCATTCAGGATCTTCTGGGCAGAGGCCTGGCACAGCTTGTGCACCTGTACAATTCAAGTTGTCAGACAAGGATCCCCAGAAGATTCTATCGCGACTGCGCGAAGTAAAAGACCACGGTCAGAGTAATCTGCGCAACAAACGCACCTGGTTGTAGGTGACATAGACCTTCTCGGGCATCTTGTCCAGCTATGCGAGTATCTGGATCTTAAGGTTCGCAGACACTAGGGAGGCGACGGCGAAGTAAACACGAATGCGACTGTACTCCACAGACTTATCTGTGGTTTTATATCTGCCTTTCCAGTTGGAAAATCGCGCGGAGAAGGCAGAGAAAGAAGCACGACTGGGCTTCACTTGGCCAGGGTATAAAAGAGGGTCGATAACGATGGATCAGATCAAGACACTATTGAAAGACTGTTGGCAAACAAAAAAATTAAAACACTCCCTGTGTTTGTTAAATTTTGGGGCTAGGCATATTTTCACACGACCCATCGCAGCGTACCAGGCACCGCACTAATAATAATACAGTGCTTTTTTTTTTCTTTGCGACGCCGTTGCGCCCCGCGAGCCTCTGCCATAACCCCGCTCTAGGCCTGATCCGGCCCTGCTTAGGGCTCTGGTCGCCCGCGGATCCTTGGCTTCTCGGCGTTCAGAGAAGAGTCCTATTCGCTAGTCCTTGCCGCCCGCCTGTATGGCCACTCACGTCCCACACTGTCCTGGTGCGCTTTACATCGGCCTTGCAACTTGCAGAATAATGTGATCAGAGAGGTGCAGCATTGTCTCAGTCTCAGGCATGTGTAGGAATAATGTAACAAAGAGTCAGTAGTCTGTTTAGATCTGTTATGCTTGGATATTGTTGCTTTGGGAGTGTTGCCCTGATTACCATGCGACAGTCCAGTCTTGGCTGGCTTCTTTCTGGGGCAAAAGACAGGAGGAGCCAGTAAGTTGGTTCTAGTGTATTAAGTAATTATTTATTCGTCCTGGGTCAATCAAGTTGAGATTTTTCAGTATGGGGGATTATGTATTGATTAGATCAGTGGCTACTGTGTCATCGTGGCTGATTGTATTGCACTATGATGTTGTTGCCATTGTTGCATTATTCTATGGACGTCTCGATTGTCGCTGTTAGTAATAGTAAAGGGTCAGTCAATCTGGATATGGGCAGCTGCATGCTTTGTGCTTTATTAGTTGTGATACATTGGGGTTGAATAATTGAGAGTAATGATACAATGACGGTTGTGGCAATATATATATATATAATATAATCCCACAGAACCCCAGTTCAATCATACAGCGAGACATTCTTACATCCAGGATAAAAAGAGCATAAAAAGGAAAACAAAAAAAATACAGACAGACGTTTGCAACTGGAGTTAAATCAAGATGAAAAAAAAATTTCCCTTTTTTTCTGACTCAGCCAAGGCTTTTTGACCTGAGAGCATCCAAGCACGATGTCATAATAAACCTTTGTTCTTACTACAGCCTAAAAACGAATATATATAATAGTGATACCTTCACCCTTTCTTCCTCTGTAGATAGAATTTCGAAATGCTTCCGACTAGATCCCCCTCATCTATCTAGCTATCTGTTCCTCCAATTCTAACAAGACTGCTTTCTTTACGATGGACAAGGTGAACAAGGTCGTCTAATCCTGCATTGCAACTCCAATCAAGACACGAGGGAGATGAAATGGAGTTAATTTCTTAGTGTTGATTTGTGCGCTGAGGACGAGGATGCAGATGCTACGAGAAGACCCCAGGTATACAGAGCTAGTGCTTGATGAAGAAATTTGGGATATTTTTTTTCTCACCCTCAGATTACTTTCATATGTTATACCATGTTCAAGATGCTAAACATGCAAATGCGCTGGACTCCTTAATCCATCCCAAAACGCCCCAATATGCCCGCTTGAATGCAAATGGAAATGAACATCACACAAGGCGAGACCCCTCCTGAGGGGCATCAGGTTTGATTTCCTTGATTCGAAATCCACCCTCATCCTTGTCTTCACCCTTCTGAGGCCACAGTATATGCCGTAATCTAATGGCGCGAATCATCATGTAAACGACAAAGAAATACATCAATATCAACAGGATCGTCATGACTAGTCCTATAATCTCGATAGGTTTGCAGGAATACGCTTTACCAATCGCGAACGTCGCCGTAATCAGCGCAGTGTTAGGGAACACAAACGAGAACCAAGCCATGGAGAAAATCATACGGCCTTGGCCAATAGCGAAGAGGTGTGCGAACGTGGCAATGAAAAAGAAGAATATTGCTAGCCTGTTTGAAACCCGATTAGCAATGACGAGGTTGTGCACATATTGGAGTTCCCTGCAACGTACCCCCATAACCAGAGACAAGCAAAATTCGCAATGACTCGCACAATCATCGCTGCCTGCGCTCCATTCCCCATGAAATCTGGCGGAAAAGCCCTTTCCGCGTTAATGGCCATGTTTACGACCGCAGCAACGGTGAAGGCGCTTGGTCCAACAGACACGAACATGCCAGGTCGAATGTTCTCCTTCGGGAGTTTCTGGGTCATCAATCGGTAGATGAAGGCAGAATAGACCATCAAGGACACCAGAAATCCAACTCCCTGAATGGTGAAGCCTCCAATAATTATAGTAAGAGACTCGGAAGGGTTCAGGTGAGCACTCAAGACTCCCGCGTGGGGCCCGATGATCAGCATCGGGTAGGCCGGAAAGATCCAAATCGGCGTCATCTGGGCGATTGTGAAGGTTTGCGTCGACCACCTGAATCTGTCAGATCACGCCAACGTTTTCTCGTCTGATGGGTTAACTTACAGTAGAAGGTATATACTGGCAGAAAGGACAACAGCAAGCGTGGCATCAAACCAGAATAGCACATGCACGGCCTGGACAAGCCAAGGCCCTGTCTTGCCCGGTCCATACTGGGAGATGTTGATCAGAATGGTCCCAAATGAGACCACTGTAGCAGGGACGAAAAGTGACTCCGTGGGATGAAGAAACGAAGCCTTGAACGTGTAAGGAAAGAAATAGAATCTCATAATCAAACAGGCCCAGATACAGAGATACAAAACGATGTTGAGTAAAAATACGACGACACCGATGGTCTCGAGACCGCGGAATCGGTAAGGGCTAGGAACTGTGGAAGAGTCGTTAAAGCGAATCCGACAATATCCAAGGAAAGAAGATTTGCGTACTGTTATAGAGCACATTGGCAATTCCTCCCGTTGCCATGGTCAGCGTGAAGTAAGCCCAAGTGAAGTGACGGATGCGCTGCTTCCAGCTGAGGTTTTCAGGTTCCTCTTCCTCCGGTTTAGGAGGAATTCCATGATGAGAGTTGCCATCATCAGTGCTTGCGTTTTCTATAACCCTCGACCGGATTGACCGGAAGGTCGGGTCATTGATCGTATTCAACGCAGTCGCATGTGCCTCCCCGATGCTCCGGACGCGAGTGGCATGCAGTTCATCACAGAGTGATAGGAAGCGTTCTGTATCTTCAATAGTAGGGGTGCGGTATCCATCTTCTCCAGGTCTTCTTAGATGCCTGGGAACTTCCTCTGCATCGGCCATGTCGCTCTCTTGAATTCCAGCGGATGACCATTGCGCTGCTCTGCGATCAGAGGCGTGAGAGCATCTGCCAGCAGATTTTCAGCTGAATTCAAAATCATATAAAATCATATACGAAAAGAAGACAAGAAGAAAAAAAAAGGACTCCAAGTAGTAGAGGACGACACACGTCTGGAGCTTTGAACCCCACTCATCTTTTCTTTTTTTAATTTAGTAGCACTTGCGTGTCGAATAAATTCGGCAGCACCGGCGCTGATCTACGGAAACCATGCCGGGCTGCGGAGAAGACAGAAATTTGCCATTGATCATTGGCGAACTTGCTTTCTATATGGTCGCTGATAAGCTCTCGGACCGAGACCAGTATTTCCTCATGCTGAATTGATTTAAACAGCAGAAGTAGTAGGGAAGAAGAGGGAAATACAATTACTTGTCTACCGTTCTACGCCGGGCCACCACAAAATTTCGGACCATTCTACGACTCAAATTGGTACCTTCAATGCCAAATCTCACAATTATCATATGATAGCATGTGTATACTTGTTTTATAGTTCAATAGAAAACTTGCGGAGTATTAGCTTGTAGTATTGCGATTCTAAGCTAGGAGTAATTTTGTCTCCTAGAATTACAATTGTCTTCACTCTATATGGTCTCAACCACAAATTGGGAAACTAGATAGCCTCTGTATTAGGTCCATTGGGTTTCATTTATCTGGATCGGTATTTTTGGAATTATAGTTCTCTAATAAACTTGAGTTGATGGTGTTTATGATGTCAAGGGCCTGTAGGCAACTTGAATAGGAATACCTAAAAGATCGAAGTATATTATCGATATTAATGCCTCCAACAGTGATATTGACGGTAAACCATGGTTAATCAACATCACACGTTTTGGTGAGAAGTTTGAAAGTGGTGCCTGGACTACGTCATTTTACGTTCGCGTGTGCCGAGGAAAGAAGGATCGGCAGGGAGCTTTCACGGGATCGTCGGCAGCAACGTTTGATCCGCGGACATTTTAGAACTGTCACAATCGCAATTGCCTAGGTACAACTAGGTAATATTGGCTGTTGTTATTTCTTTAAAAAATACTAATACAAACAGAATAATGGTTGCAGCAGTGGACAATCGCAAATCCGTTCTCATCACCGGGTAAGTTTCGCTGCTACTTCGATTTCACGGTTGAACTTGATGAATTACCATCTCTGTATTAAATACTTGACTTATTATTACATCGCAAATACCCCAGCGCTTGCTGACTCTTAACTATAGCTGCTCCCCCGGCGGAATTGGGAACGCGCTCGCGCGAGAATTCCACCGAAATGGGTTGCGGGTATTTGCGACTGCCAGGAGCAGTAAGCATATCGAAGATCTGGAAGCGCTGGGAATCGAAACGCTCAGTCTGGTCGTGGACGATGAGGAGAGCATCAAGGAATGTTACGCCGAGGTGGAGAGAAGGATAGGGGACAAAGGCTTGGACTATTTGGTTAACAATGCGTAAGTATGGTCTTGTTTTGATGCCAATTAATATATTTATAGAGAGTTAATGAGAGCCATAAGAACTTGAGATTTGTTCCCAGCTGATGCATTGTTTTTAGTGGTCGAAGTACGGTCCTCTCCCTAAGCACATAGAATGACAAGCATGTTAAAGCAATGGAGAATAGACCACACTGTGCCTGCGATGGACGTCGACATTGCCGAGGCCCGTCAAACATTCGAGACGAACTTCTTCGGTGTCATCCTCATGTGCCAAACCTTTCTTCCATTGCTTATCAAGGCGCAAGGTACTATCGTCCAGATCGGATCAGTAGCTGGGGTGAGAACCAGAATCAAATCGCTGTTCTACCGTCAATGCGTATTTCCAACCTGGTTATATACTAACATGAATACTATGGAATCCAGATCATTCCCTACGTGTTCGGCTCGGTCTACAACGCCTCCAAGGCGGCATTACACTCTTTCAGTGATACTTTGCGTGTTGAACTTGCCCCATTCGGGTATGTCGTTCTTGTCCATAATCTATCATTCTTCCTGTCCTGACTTTGATCATCACAGAGTCAAAGTTACCACTGTTATCACCGGCGGCGTCCAGTCTCGCATTGCACGGGTGAAGCGGGTGCTGCCCCCGACTTCTCTCTATCGTCCTATTGAAGCTGAGTATAATCGTCGCGTCTCCCACAGCCAGGAGGGAGCAATGCCACATGATGCGTATGCGCGCAGCGTTGTTACACAAGTTTTGTACGGCTCTGCGCCATGGCGGTGGTTGTGGCCCTGGGCTCAGGGCTCGAAGAAGTGGATTTGGGAGGGCAATCGCAGTTGGATCATTAGATTCGTGACTGGAGGATGGCTGTGGTTCGGACTGTTCGATCGCGTGTTCACGAACATGTTCAATTTATGGAAGTTGAGAGGAACATGGGGTGGATGGAAACGGTGAATCCAAGTTGCGCTTTGCTTTTCTTTTTTTTTGTTCGTCTATTTGACTGAGGGCTCAATTAGTCTGTTGTGTCTCTGTATGACTACGATAATCAACTGTTGCAAACTATAGAGTGGTTCGATCCTAGAGTTCTCGCAAAGTACCGAAATGCTACCCGTCGCAGGTTGTGTCCCTTAGATTGAAGCTCGCGTAGTCGCGTTTGGATATTTCGCTTGATGGACCAGTACCTACAATAATGTTTAGTAACTGTAAAAAATGACGATGGCAGTCTTGAGACTCAATTACCTCTATACCGTGGTTGAGCCTTGCGGAAAAACGTTTAAAGAGCGCGGGCTAAAATTAAAAAAGCCACGATGCAGCTGCCGCCCCGTCAGGTGACGCCCAGGCACTTGACCAAGACGGATTATCCCGACAGCTTGTCCCAGATCCGAGGTTGTCTTGACGTCTGTCGAGAAAAGAAATCTCTCATCCCTCATCTCTCCGCTCATTCTGCCTAGTACGATACTCTGTTTGGGGTAGTCCTCATATCTGATTCCACCTTCGAGCATTCAAGATGTTCAAGCTTGCTCGCAGCACGCCGATTGCGACGGCTCTCAGAGCGGCAACAGTGAGTTTTTTTTCCGCAGCTGAGATGCGCGCTTTTTTTTCAATAGCATAGCTGTCGCAGAAAAGCGACAGAAATTTGGCTGACTGAGTTGTTGTGGTTTTTCTCCTTGTAGGAGTCGTCGGTGCAGAGCAGATTAGCTCAGCAGCAGAGGAGGAATCTCTCTGTCCATGAATATCTCTCTGCGAGACTGCTCAAGTCGGTAAGTCAGTTGTCTAGAAGTTGGCGAAGAAGAAAACAACTGTTCATGGACTGACGATGGGAATCGATAGTACGGCGTCGGTGTGCCCAAGGGCGAGGTCGCCCGCACAGCGGACGAAGCAGAGGCTGTTGCGAAGCAGATTGGTATGTCGCATAGACGAGACAACATATCCTTTATAGAATGCTGAAGCCCGTATACAGGTGGAGATGATATGGTGATCAAGGCCCAAGTCCTCGCCGGTGGTCGAGGCAAGGGTACTTTCGACAATGGGCTGAAGGGAGGAGTGCGCGTGATTTACTCGTAAGGACCGCCTTCGCTGAACGGCCGTTATTCTTGTATGGTTATTGACGACCGCTATGCAGGCCAACTGAGGCCAAGATGTTCGCATCCCAGATGATCGGACACAAGTTGATCACGAAGCAAACTGGTGCTAAGGGCCGTCTCTGCAACGCTGTTTACATCTGCGAGCGCAAGTTCGCGCGTCGGGAATTCTACCTTGCCATCCTCATGGACCGCCAGACCCAGACGCCTGTGATTGTGTCCTCTTCCCAGGGTGGTATGGACATTGAGACTGTCGCGAAGGAGACTCCTGAGGCGATTCGGACCACCCCGATCGACATCAAGGTCGGAGTCACGGATGAAATCGCGCGCAACATTGCTACGGAGCTTGGTTTCTCGGAACAGTGCATCGAAGATGCCAAGACGACCATCCAGAACCTGTACAAGGTTTTCATGGAGAAGGACGCTACCCAGATTGAGATCAACCCTCTGGCTGAGACCTCTGACCACCAGGTCCTTGCCATGGATGCCAAGCTGGGATTCGACGACAACGCCGAGTTCAGACAGCAGGAGGTCTTCTCGTGGAGGGATACGACGCAGGAGGACCCGGACGAGGTCAAGGCTGCTGAGTATGTTGCCAAAGCTCGTCTCATGCAGTCTGAAGTGCTGACTCTTCCTTAGGCACGGGCTGAACTTTATCAAGCTTGACGGTGATATTGGATGCTTGGGTAAGAGCGTCTTTTTTTTTCATGAATTTGTTGTCAACTATCTTTACTAACTGGGATAAAGTCAATGGTGCTGGTCTCGCCATGGCCACCATGGATATCATCAAGCTCAACGGAGGCAACCCTGCGAACTTCCTTGACGTCGGCGGTGGTGCCACCCCTACCGCCATCAAGAGGGCCTTTGAGCTGATCACCAGCGACCCGAAGGTCACTGCGATCTTCGTCAACATCTTCGGAGGTATTGTCCGATGCGATGCTATCGCCCAGGGTCTCATCAACGTTGTGCGCGACATGGGATTGCGCACTCCTGTCATTGCCCGTTTGCAGGGAACCAACATGGAGCAGGCTCGTAAGCTGGTATGATCAACCAATTCTCGAAATCTTTGAATTTTTGATTCTTGGAGCAGGTCATTTACTAACGACTCCACCAGATCGACGAGTCCGGTCTGAAGATCTTCTGTATCGAGGACCTGCAAAGCGCAGCCGAGAAGGCTGTCCAATTCTCGAAGGTGGTTAAGATGGCCCGCGATATCGACGTGGGCGTCGAGTTCACCCTCGGCATCTAAAAATTCTACCTTATCACTGGGACTTAATAATTACGCCGCAGCTTTTATCTGTCTTTACTTTCATCCTTCCCACTTTTTTTTTTCTTTTCCTAGATTCGTCAATGGGGATAAGACTGTCAGGGGAAGAGAGATATGAAGACAGATAGAGGGAGATGCATGCACGTGTGTATGTGTATGAGTGGAAAGAGATGTAGAGAGAGATGCAGACTTGGGGAGGGAGCGTTTCTTTTCTTTCTTATCTCAGGAAAAGAAAAAGAGGAGGATACACTGACAGGGCAAGGCAGACAAGGCAAGCGAGCCGTCTTTGTCTTTTGTCTTCTTTTTACAATACATCTTATAGATAGACTCTGGTGGTGATTTTTCCCTCTCTTTGTATCTCCTTGTGTGAGTTCTTTTTTCTTTCCCTTTTCTTTGGTTTTCTCGATGTACGCTTAATTTTCGAAATGGTTTTTTTTTTCTCTGATTAATGCTATTTGGTTCTCTGATGTCATTTACTCATTATTTATTATTTACTTCTTTTATCTTAAATTGTTCTAGAAAGTAGTCCCCAGTTCTGATTCAACTTTCACTTCTTATCCAATCCCATCATCCATTTACTGCAATCAATGATATGATATGATATGATATGGATAGGAATATGATGCCTGTGAAGTCTTCTCAGTGGACAAATGAAGAAGAGTTACTGATGAGGTTTATTGATGTCTAATCTAATTTGATTTAATCGAATATGCATGAAACTGATGTTGGCGGCTGGCTACCTACCTACCTAGGTAGGTATGTACAGTACAGTACTTAACTAGGCGATTTGCATCATTTCCATTACTAAATAATAGAGGGATTCGCTCCATTCAACTAGATCGTAATCACCGTTGTATACCATTCACTCCTTGCTCCTGCCCCGAGAAGGACTCCAAAGTCTTTGTCCGTCATGCATGTCGAGATCTGGGTCGCAAGACCATACCTCAATGCCGAAACAGTCTAGGATCGCGAAAATGTCGCCATCACTATAAAAGACACAGTAGTTTGGACTAAAACCTTTCCATAATTGTGACTGTAATTTTAATGTCCGGCATGGAGTAGGACTGTCGGGGTCGCAGATCCAAATCTGTAATCCACGGCCTGATTTGTTGACCACGCACATCACGCCGTCAGATGTCATTAACATGCTGTACCTTGTCGCAATACGTGGATACTGACTGGACAAACGTAAAGACATTTCGTCGGTTTCTGGATAATAAAAAAGGAGATCAGGGGGAGGATTGTCGTAGTCCGAGGGAAGTAGGAGAACTGCCGCGGTTTCAGTGATCCCCGGACGAGATTTCCAAAATCCGTATATACGCGATTCCTGATAGCGGCGAGGAAGAGCCAGAGAGGTCGGTGGCTCTTCCAGAGGCGAGATGGTTTTTCCGGCCAGCGAATATCGTACCCGGACTATTTTAGGCGGAAAGGACATATCATCGCTGACCTCGAGGAACAATATGCTGAGGCGATCCTCGCCGGGATGGAACCCCACGATCAGCGGACGCTCCTTGATGCGGACGGATCGGGTAACCCTTGTCTTCAGATCCCATAGTAAAAGATATGGGGTCTCTCCCCTGGTAATGATGGCAACCCTGTCTCTGTCGACGTCGACGAACTGGATAAGGGCAGAAGGCAAGCGGAATGAGACTCTGTTTTCAGTGGATAGTTCCCATATCGTACAAAATCTGTTTTTACAGAAACATGTCAGAGCCTAGATCCACGACATCTTGGAACATTTCGTACGACGTACCCTTCAACGGTGACAACAACAAGGAGGCTCTCTGACAAGCGCACATGAGAAATGGCCCCCCTGCTCTGGGGAACAAATCGACGGATGGATCCTGATTGCAAACAAAGTACTGCTACTCCTAGTGGCTGATCGTCTTCATCCACTTCTGCCCATGCGAGCTGTCCATGACAATGTGCAATTGAGTATATGTCACGATCAGGTGCGCGAAATGGGACTCCATCCAATGAATACACCGATTTTCTATACGGACGACCGAATTCCAGAGCGAATCTGCGTTCAGCATATTCGACAAAGTCGGATTCGCGTACAACTAACCCCGGGCATATGCGATATTTTTGCAGAGCAGCGGTATAAATGGCGTTCGAGGACAGCAGTTCTTTCCAGCGTTTGGAGACCTGCATCAGTTCGTCAGGAGGATGTTGTATATACATGCAATGGAGTGCGGAGGGAGAAGATAGGTACCCTCTGGAAACGCAAGATGTCCCATGGATCCATGTACGTGGCTATTTGAGCCACGAGCTCCAGAGGTAGGGAACCGAGAATATCGCGTTGGAAAGAGAATATCTCTTGGGCGTGAGTCGACATATCGCGCCATTCATTCGGTTGAAGCTGATCCAGAATCCCGCGGTATCTGACAAGAAATTAGCAAGAGCGTCCGGCATTAGTGCAGCAAATCATACACGGTACGTCGAGCTTGAACCGTTTTGAGAGCTTTGAAGGCTTGCACGATGCTTGCAGCGACCTGATCCTCAGGGCCGTCCATTTCGTAGCGAACGAGTTGAACAAGGCTGGCTTTTGCTTTGGCAGCTTTCACAAGCAACCTGCCTTGTATATCCGTCACATTGTGTCGTGGATATCCAGTGCCAGAGCATGAAGTCCGTTCACTCGTTGTTTGTGAGGATATATTTATATTGGGACGGAGTTCTTGTCCGCAAACACCTGACCCAAAGTTTCCGCACCGCTTCTTTGCAGCGTCATTCCGCAGAATTTCCCAGTAGCATTTTATGGGATTATACGACGCATTTATGAATTCTCTGAAATTCCGTCTTTGGAGTTTTCGTTACGAAATTGGTAGTGCTATCTACACAGCTTAATCTGAATACCTGCATAAGAATAGATCTGAAGTCCGTCTAAACAAATCCACCAGCAGTATCATTATATACTATCGACGATATACAACTATCGCGCCTATCGGCTTGTCCAGCAACAGTTACAGGCTCTCCGAACTGCCGCTCCGCCGTGTCGTTCGCCACCTGGTTTGCAGCCTTCTGGAAGCTCTCTCGATCTTCCCTCCCATTGGCAGGTCCGCGTTGCACTGCACCAGCAGCCCCGCGTATGTCTGCCAGAGCAGAGGAGATGAAGCGAACCATGCAGCGAATTGCGCCGAAATCGTGCCCCGGAGCGTTGTGGCAGACAGGGCCCCTGATCCTTCGAGCCAGCCATCGGTAGTTCTGCCCGCCCCGTGTCTCCGAGCGGAGGCCGCAAATGGCAGCAGATCTCGTTCCTGTCGCGCGCTGTTCGTTCCTCAGTCACCACGCAGCGAGCTAACGGAGGATCCACGGCCAGCCTGCCTGCTCCGCTCCACCGCTCCCATCGGATCTCGACTCCATTCGACTCGTCCTGCTCTTGCTTTTCCCCTCTCCAGCCCCGTTTTCTCCCTCCCCCCCGGGACATGCAGCCGCACCTCGCCCTCGTGCAATTTTCTTCGGCTCCCTCTTCGCGTCGTCTAGTCGTCTCCTCGCAGCCCCTGCTTGCGTTCTTGTCGTGCGTGACGCGCATTGAATCGAATTGCGTTGCCCTCTCCGCCGTGTTTCGTCGAGCCAGCGATTGGAGCCGCCATCCGGTCCGAGCGTCGCGTCGGCTCGCTGAAGAAGGCAGAACGCACCTGGCGTCCTATTATTAACATCTCAGCTCCCTGGCCCGTTGTAGCCGCAGCAGGAACAACGACAGCCAGACCAAGCATCCCGCGCGACAGAGATTCTCTTCCTCCCCTCCGCGACCACGCTTGCTGTCCGTCTCACGAGGTCCAACGGCCTTATCGGCAACCCTTCGATTTCCCCGTGCCTGCAGCTCTGATACCCGCGCCACCGCGGCGCCGCAATCGCTCCCCGCAGCTCCCTCGCTCCAACAAGGCCACCTGCAATCAATCTGGTTCGTGCGACGGCGGTTCTTGCATCTCGGTTCTCCTTTTTATAATATATATAGATTTCTCTCTCCAGGGCGATACTGTTGTCGGGACCATTTCATGATGCTGAGAGCTATGGGCCTCGTCCGGTGTTGATCAGCTGCTTGCGGCCCGAGAATCACGTTCGCCGAATCTCCATTGAGGTGAACAGACAAGCTGCAGATCCTTCGTCCATTTTGATTCATACTTCCTTTCGAACGAGGCAGGACCGTTGGCGCTCACCGTCTCGTTCTGCCGAGTCGATATCGTTTCTCGTCCCTTAACGCTTCCAGGTCAGCGATTCGCTGACCTTCTCACTTTCTTCTCCCCAATCGCGCAATGAGCAAAGTGGCAGAGCTCCCATCCAGGAGTCCTTTCTCCGCCACCAGGGACACGTCTGGAAAACATCGACACCTGCCTGTTCTGACCACCATGTCGCCATCCGATCCTTCCCACAGCGACCCAATGGACATCACTCCGACCACGACCGCGGCGACGGCGCCGCCAGCTCAAACCAGTGCCGGCAGCGACTCAAGCAGTGCACAGAACAATAGCACAAACACAAACACGAATGCAAATGCGAATGCGAATGCAAGTGCAAATACAAGTGCAAATTCAAATACAAATGCAAACACAAACGCAAACGCAAACGCAAGCACAAACTCGAATGGTTCTTCAGAAACTCCGAGCGCAAATACCTCGAGTAGTACCTCCGGCCCCAACCAGACAATTGGAGCGGCCGCCGCAGCTCAGCAACCAAAGGTCGTCCAGACAGCCTTTATCCATAAGCTTTACAAGTACGGCTCTCCTTTGGCGCCCATGCTAGGGGTCTATTGCTGACTGATGATCACTGTGATATACAGCATGCTGGAGGACCAGAGCATTCAGCATCTCATATCCTGGTCCAGTTCCAATGAAAGTTTTGTCATGTCTCCAACCTCCGAGTTCTCCAAGGTTCTGGCGTACGTTGGCTTCCTTCACGCTGTGATTCCCGCTCGTCATTCCCCGCTAATGAATGGTGCAGCCAATACTTCAAACACACCAATATTTCCTCCTTTGTGAGGCAATTGAACATGTATGGTTTCCACAAAGGTATGATAGCTCCATTTCACGGCGCAAGAGGATACCTTCTCACGGAGGACCAGTGAGCGATGTTTTCCACACAGGCTCTCCAGACTCGGCGCTATGGGAGTTCAAACACGGAAACGGGAACTTCAAAAGAGGCGACCTCGTAGGTCTCCGAGAGATCAAGAGACGAGCGTCGCGGCATGCTCTGATCCATCGAGACTCCTTCTCGAACCACAAGTCTGGAGCTTCTCAGCCTGGGACGCCGGCGGAGCAAGCCCATGATAACAACTCCGATGTGCGGCTTATGAATCTAGAACACTCCTTGTTTGACATGCACAACCGTTTGGCACGCGTCGAAGAGAACTATTCTATGATGAGCTCGAGGTGTCAGGCGCTGACGGAAAGTCTGATGAAATGCCAGCAGGTGAGCACTGCGTTTGTCTGTTTAGGAGAATGACTTGGCTGACGGAGTTTGCAGTGGATGTACTCGATATCCCACTTCCTCATGGCAATGAATCCGGACCGGGACAGCCCGTTGTATCGAGATGGTGAGATCATTTCCCCTGCATCCGCGACAATGGCCGCTACTAACGGGGTGATCAGTTTGCAACATGCAAAGGGAAATCGAGAGGCAATTGGAGTCCGTCCGCGGTTTCGAGCATCCTCATGAGAGTGTTCGGCAACCGTACTATGCGAACGTGCCCCCTGACCCAGGTCCACCTCTCTCTCCGCGCCAAGTCCCTCAAGACGACAGTCGTCGGCCTTCGATGGTTGATGCTCCCAAAACGAACACGATTCGGCCTCCTGTTCCTCAACCTCAACATCTCTCGGCTTCCCCGAGTCGCTACGGCTCCATCAATGCAGGCAATTCTTCTCCGAATTATAACCGGCTACAGATCCCACCTCAACAGCCTCCAATGCCTCATCCACTTTCGTCTGCTCCGTCTCCTCAGGGTCCTAACCTCGCTCGTCGGCATACGTCAGCCGACATCCGCCAGCATGGATGGGCTCCAACGGGTAGCTCTCCCTTTGCATCTGGAAATACGTCTAGCAACTCGTCAGCCCAATGGCCACCTTCGCCTCATCGAGTGCCCACTTCCAGCGATCAGCACGTTCGAGATGTGCTGGCTCAGTACGAAATCACTGGGTCGAAGCGTCCAAATGATATGTCCCGTCACGCAACTCCGCCGCTGTCATCCGAAGCGCCTCCTTCGTCGACGCTGAATGCAGACAGCGGCTGGTCGGTTGGCGGGCCGAAATTTCCACGGCACGAATCCTCCTTGCCAGCTACGCGACGTTCAAGCATGGCTAGCAATGTCCACTCTCTGCTCAACCCGACTGACACCGCTGAGCGACCGGAGGAGGATGATCCGTTAATACCGGAAGACCGAAAGAGAAAGAGACTGCAATAAAGTTTTTTTTTTTAACAAGGACGTATGGAACAGGCCGGCCTAGATCCGAATATCGCATTGTTTTTTTTTTCCCACTTCACATTGCATTATTACCTGTTATCTCAGTTTTTCTTGGGGGGTACTCTACTCCGGCGTTTGGCAATTTGCGCTTCTTTTTGCGATTCAGGTGTCTAGACATAAGACACCTAGTTTGAGAGGATATCCGTGAGACTTCTTTTTTTTTTTCCCCCTTGATTCTTTTATCAATGGGGGAATCAACCTGTATATTATTCTTACTACTACTGATGGACGGTGGCTGCGCTGCACATGTCACATATCTTTCTTTCCCCCCACTCTTTCCCCCCCCCCCACATTGGACACTACTAATTATTCTATACCATGGTATATGCATATTAATTATCCTTTTGCAGTTGACTACAGGGTTTGGATAGGGACTGCGTAAGCACATGCCGGCTACGCAGGGAGATCTACTCATTCTGCATTCTACAGAATTGGATAAATTTGCCATTACTATGCATCTTACAAGTCTTTGCGAGAATGCATTCGCGACTATTCGTTTGTAGTCCAGTCGTTACTTGAAGAAACAAAGGATTCTTTGGAAGTTATTTTTTTTTTTGAGAATTTTCTTTTGAAAAGAGCAGAACTATTATTTCTGTCCTTTTCGTTTCTTCCTGGACCTATCGGATAGTAATTCGTCGAGGAAAGTTCCAGCCCTCTTCCCCTTGGAAGAAGATGCGGCCAATCCTCGCTTGGATGCTGACTTGCCAGCATCGTCATCATCATTACCATCATCATTCTCATCTTTAGTGGCATTGTTATCCTTGTTCTTCTCGTCAGCAGAGACGGCCTCCGTTGCTGGTTTTCTCTCGTCTGTGCTCGTTTTCTTGCTTCTTCCCAATGCGGATCGTCCCTGCTCCTCCTCCTCATCGTCACTAGCAGCAGCAGCAGTAGTCGTAGTACCGGCGGCTTTGGATGTTGCACCGACGACGTCTGGGCGGCGCTTGTTGATATTGTTGCTATTGTCCTTGGTAGTAGTGGCAGAATCCGATTGCATCTTCTTGCGATAGTTCTTCCCCAGCAGCTGCTGGCGAAGTTTGTCGTTGGAGCTGAGCTCTGTGCGGTTCCAGCTTCCGTCCGCAGCGCCTTGCTGCGGTAGAGGCGCACCTAGACCGAGCCTAGATAGAAAGAACGTGCATTAGCAAAGAGCCGACACAACAAGTCTGCTTGGGAACGAAGGTATCCATTGGAGGGAGGAGAGCATGCGCATACTTCTCCGGGACCGGCGTGAACAGTTCATCTTCCTCCCTCTGCAGCTCCTCTTCCGTCTTGTTGGAATTGGCCAATTCCTCGTCCGTCTTCGGGGGCAGCCATGACGCGACCAGTCGCTGGCTCCGGGCCAGAGCGACGTTGGCGCGGTTGAAGATTATGTCCGCTTCGTTGGTATTATTAGCATTGATGTTATTGTTCTTTGATGTCGACATGGACGTCCATTTATTTGTTTATTTCTTTTTTCGTTCGTTCATTTATCTATTCATTTCATTCGAATCTGGCCTGGGGAAAGAAAGCATTGATTGAGGTTGTGAGGTAAGGTCAAGGCAAAGAAAATAAGAAAGCTTTATGGCAGAACTTGTTGAAGGCGTTGAGAAAACTTCAGACGTGCCTCGGCCGTCCCGCGTCCATGGTTCAGTTCCCGCCGCCAACGAGCTGGCTTCGTGGCTCGTTCTAGACTCCGCATCCATTCTACGCTTGGCGCACATGGATACACTATTATCATTTTATCTTTGTATATCAACTATATACATACATACAATTACAGAACTATAAGTACCTGTCCTATCAACCCATCGGACAGACCATTTCTTCAGCATACGCACGATACCTCTGGAGGACGTCCGTTGCGTCGAGCCCCTCCGAACCGGCCTTACCGTCATAATGCGAGACCAATTTTGCCATCGATGATTATGTCCATCTTCTGCGAGCCTTCGATCATGTCCATATCGGCACCCCACATGCAAACAAAGTCATGGCTAACTTTCCCTGAGGGATTCACCCACAACGGAAACTTGTATCGGTGGAGGTCGCCCCGTTCCAGATGGTGCAGAAATGAATAGTGTTGTTGAGCGTGAACCGTCCAGCTGTCCCATCCAGGGCCGTTTGCGGTGTTAATCGTGGTCGCGACGTACGTTCGATTGTCAGCCCCTTCATCGTCGCTTGCCAGTAGCCACCGGTGGCCCTGAAATGGAGGGCGAAAGCCCTTTTGCACGCTGAAATCCGGTGGACCATCCCAGCGCGGAAGATCTGATGCGCGCCAATCGTGACTCAACCAGGGGATATTTCGCGAGGGCTGTTTGACTGGATACAGCTCGGGCAGGTAAGGGAGAGCAATCCCTCGGCGGTTGTGGAAATCTGCAAGGACAGGTTGATGGATCACGTTGGCCGAGACCATGAGCGAATCTGGGTGGTCGAGTTTCGTTTTGACAACCGTGGGGATCACGCTGTCTTCCATAAATAGCACGTCTCCGTCGATCCTGATATACAGGGTGTCTTTGGATAGGGTATCCCAAAGATCGGCATGTTCCCAGAGACAACCTGGGAATATTCTGTGGTCTGGTTGACAATAGAGTCGAACCACTCGAGATGCTCTTCGTCATGGGTCTCTGGTATGAAAACCACTTCGTCGAGAAGACCGCCATTTCGGACGAGCTTTTTCTGCGGCATTAAATCAGCCCATCATTCGTTGAAGCTGTAGAACGGCAAAGCCAACCTGCAGGTAGCAGTTTAGAATGGATGTCCGCTCCGGTTGCCTATAATTCACCAAGGCTATGATCTTGATGCCCTGGGGTTTCTGAAACTCGCCATCGCCAGTCGAGAATGCATAGAATGGCTCAGGCTTGCTTCCCCAAACAAAGGGGCCAAATGTGAGCGCCGGGAAAGGAATCTCCGTATAGTTGATCAGGAGCGCAACTATGAGAAGGTATCCGACAGCACTGCACACCAAGATTGCACACCAGTCGCGAGATGCTTCTCGGGCCTCTTGGTCAAGCGACTCAAGATCCCTGGGAGAATCTACCCGGCCCATTATAGGACAATCTAAGTCTCAAAGCGACAAAGAAAACGTGCCATTTCGAGGGGCAAGAATTAATAGACACACAGCCAATCGGTCTAATATACATATGTATGCAATTATATCAACAACTGGAGTTTTCCAACGTTTCCGGAAGTCTTTACAAGATTAACATAACTGTCCGGTGTAGAAATGTTCCAGTGGGTTCGAACTCATTAGAATGGATAGCCAGCACGAGAATCCATGACCGGAAAAGGCGGAGCTCAACATTTCCATTGGCAAATCTCACCATTAATCAGCTCCAAGTCTGGACGATCGAGGGTCTTCCCAGCCGCATGCCAGTCGAGGTCTGCATGTCCGAAAACGGCAGCATCGGCACCACCATCATCCACAGACAATGTTTGTCAACAGCCCCTCTTCAGCACGAGACTATGGCAAATATGGCAGCCAATTGGCACTGCTGCTGCGTTAGAAGCCCCAAATGAAGTATGTTCTGCAACACACGGGTAGATGCTTGGTTCGCTGCATCTGAGCAGTTCCGCATTGTTAGCGGGCAGACCAAACTATGACGTACGGCAAGCGACGGCCGACACGTGCTTCTGCCGCCAACCATCCCGCCTTGGATTTCTAGGCTGTCTCTTCGCTTTTTTGCCCTCACAGCTGGATGCGCAGTCGCTATGTCTCGCCTCTGCTGCTCTATGGCCGCGACAGCTTCATCGAGTACATGAGATCATGAGAGCGGCCGTCCTTTTCGGCCGTTTTTGTCTCCGCCGCAGCGGAACCCGACTACATCCGCCTCCGCCGCGACGTTTCTCCTTTCCTCGTTTACGACAATGGAGTCGCCAATACCAAGGTTGGACAGGGGCCGGGAGAAAGGCCCCGGTGGTGGGAACGGTGCTCTTCGCAGCGCTGAGCCCCGCGGCTTTTCTGGAAATCGCGGAGAAGGGTGGCGGAGGGGAGCGGACCGGGGAGCTCCAGATGCTGGAGGCTTCGCGCAACGAGATGCGAACGACCGTGCCGGAAAATGAGCGGGGCCTCTCTCGGCTGGGCAAAGAGATCTATGTGTTTCTTTACTGCTACGTTTACGAGCCCATTGCGACTGGGATCCGGTTACTCCATCTGGTGTTCATTTTCCTGCCGGTGATCGTGACCCTTCCGGTGATATGGTGTGGACGGCGGAATCACAGCCGGGGCGGGCAACGGTCGGGCACGCTGTGGTGGTTTGATTTCCTTGTCAGCTCAATGGAACGTGCTGGCCCTGCCTTTATAAAGGTGGCGGAGGTTTCCCCGTTGCTCTGTTCGATTGTTGCTTACTGATCCGTGGATCATAGCTTGGACAATGGGCTGCTTCAAGAACCGACATTTTCCCACCCGAATTATGCATGCGCATGTCATCTCTTCACTCTAATGCACCGGCCCATTCGTTGGAGGACACGAAAAAGATAATCGTAAAAGCGTTCGATGGCCTCCCCTTTGAAGACATTTTTGAAGAATTCCAGGAAGAACCATTGGGGGTAGGGGCTATTGCGCAGGTCTACAAGGCGAAATTGAAACCGAATCTGGCGGCACGGAGAGAAGAGGATTTGACCGAGGAGCCCCAAGATCTACGGGCTAAAGTCCGGAAGAATGTCGATGTCCTAGTCAAGAGCTCCCCCCAGCGAGTTCCGTCGTCGTACGTGGCCATCAAGGTTCTCCATCCCCACGTGGACCGTATTGTTCACAGGGACTTGTCCATCATGGCCTTCTTCGCGGCCCTTATCAACATGATTCCCACGATGGAATGGTTGTCATTGCCGGACGAGGTGCGACAATTCGGAGAGATGATGAAGCTTCAGCTCGACCTGCGGATCGAATCCACGAATCTGGCCATCTTCCGGGAGCATTTCAAAGCACGCACTACGGCATGGTTTCCGTACCCTTACAAGGAATACACGACGCGAGAGGTCCTTGTCGAAGAGTTCGCGCAAGGGATTCCTCTGGAGACTTTCCTGGACAAGGGGGGTGGGGTCTACCAGCGAGAAATCGCACAAGAGGGACTTGACGCTTTCCTTCATATGCTTCTGATTGACAATTTCACCCATGCGGATTTGCATCCAGGGAATATCATGGTGCGATTCTACAAACCGAGTCAGCTGGACTTGTCTCTGCGCGTACCCACCCGTGCAGTCGAGGCGACGTCGAGGGCAGAGGCAGATGTGATGGAGGACGTTCTGGGACGTCTTCGACCTCACACCCATGATCCTGAGGCATGGAAGGCTGCTTTGGCCAAGTTAGAATCGGAAGGCTATCGGCCGCAACTGCTTTTCATCGACACCGGCCTCGTCACTCAGCTTAACGACAGGAATCGCCGAAACTTCCTGGATCTGTTCCGTGCCATCGCGGAATTTGATGGATACCGGGCAGGTCATCTCATGGTGGAGCGCTGCCGGCAACCGGACGCGGTCATCGATGCCGAAGTGTTCGCGTTGAAGATGCAGCACCTTGTTCTGGGTGTCAAATCACGAACGTTTGCGCTGGGAAATATCAAGATCGGCGATGTCCTCAGCCAAGTCTTGCAGATGGTCCGGGAGCACCACGTCCGCTTGGAAGGGGATTTTGTCAATGTCGTCATTTCGATTCTGCTGCTAGAGGGAATTGGCCGGAATTTGGATCCGGATCTGGATCTCTTCAAGAGGTATGCATATCTATTATCTCTTTCTATTTATTTATTATTAACGCTAACGTTCGCTGTTCTAGTGCCCTTCCTATATTGCGACAACTCGGTTCCGGGACGACCTTACTCAAGTCCGTCCGTCACGGCGACACTTCCATGTTACGCGTCTGGGTCGGCCTCGAAGCCCGCACGTTCCTGCAGGCCAGCGTAGAGAGCGTTGAGATGTGTGTCAAGTATGACATGCTGTCGCCGAACATCTGATCAATCAAAAAAAAAGGAGGGGGGAAAGACAAAACCTTGTCACTTGTAACTATATTATGTCTTTTTCTTTTCTCCCTGTTTGTGTAATACTATATATACTATACTATATATACGAGGACGTACGGATGTTTTGGTGTATGGAAGGCATTGGATGTATGTACTGTACATAAATAAATAGCATAGAATCAATTGCATAGTCATTATTCACATCTACACGTCCTTTTGTTTTTATTCTCTACCTTGTACCTACAAACCCAGACAGTGACCACGAAAAAAAAGGAAAAGGGGGGGGGGGGGGGGGAAGAGGAGGTCGCGAGCAGATAAGACATGAAAAGCCAAGTCATTCAAGAAGTGGAGATTAATAATAATATAACATATCATTAGATAACACAATCACAGAGAGGAAGGAACATCAAATAGGGGGAAACAAATGTATGCATATCATGCCCCAAAGCGCGCCTGTTAAACCAACCGGTTATCCAATCCAATAGTCCGTCTTTTAGTAAAACAGAATCATGAGTAGAAAGGAAGGGAAAAGAAATCTGTCTTTTTTAAAACAGTCTCACGAAGAATAAGAAGAGGATGATGATAAAATCAAAATAAACGGCAAGTGCATGACATGTCCGATTCATGCAGGGCTGTTATTTCCTCTCTCTGGCTTCACCCCCGCTAGCTTTCCACCAGATATCTCCTCCCCACCTCATGAGTCGTTCAATAGCCGCCGTGGGCGTGTCCAGGGCAGGTCGAATATCCAAATAAAACACGGGTTCCCCTGTGGGCTCCGGTGGTCCCGAGTAGTAGTCAATCACGTAGCGGACTTCCTTCGGACCAGAAGGCGTTTGACGAGCGACGTACCAGTCGTGTCGGTCAAAAGGCGGATCCGTACTATATAGATGATGGGTTAGTTCCGACTAGTGGAGCGATGAAAGCAAGTAATGAACTCACCCAAATTTGGCCGGATACAGCCATCCCAGAGCCTGAAATATCCTGGCCTTCGGGGTGAGGTCCTGGGGCCGGCCCTGGAACCTAATCAGACGCGGCTTGTCCTTGTCCTGATCGCCCTTCATCATCCGCTCTCTCGCCAGTTCCTTGGCCAAATTCTCGGATCCGCGCCGACATTTCTCCCATCCGTTCCTGAGACCCTTGGAGAAGATCTGCTCCCATTCCACAATCTCCGCCCAAGCGCCCTCGTTGAGGAAGTTATGCACTGCCACCATCGACTCCACGGCATCCTGCGGGGTGTCGGTATATCCCTTGCGCAGCATGGCGTTGTACATCTGCTGCGGGGACGGATACTCCCAGTTTCCATCCGAATCGCCTCGGGGAATCGAGGAGATTTCTCGCTCCACCGAGAGCTCGACTGTCTGGTTTGGCGCCCGTTCCTGGGAAAGGTGCGCGAACATGTAGTTCAACGGATTCAGCTTGGAGAGGGTCGACGAGGAGTTTTCGGCAGACGACGAGGAGGCAGATGCTTGTTCAGAAGACGGAGACGACTTCTTGGACGGTGGAACATAGAATGGCGAATTGGGAGACATCCGAGCCGGACAGGAACTCTGGTGCACGGGGGTGTCATCGTGGGTAGGCTGAGGCAAAGAGGTCGAGTTTGATTTATGCATTGGACAGCCGGGCTATCGTCAAGAGTCAGTAAATGTGACTTCATTGGGAGCACTGTCATGAGCTGACCGGAGGAGAGGCGTTAGATGAAGGCTTCGGCGTAGCAGCGGCCGGCCGCTGTTGCGCATCTGCCCAGAACCAACCCATTTTCGCTTTCTCTGAATTAGACGTTATATGAATCCAAAATCAAATCCTTCATACAAACAATGCAAATTCGGGGTGGAGGGCCGATGTGGAAAGAAAGAGCCAAGTCTGTTTTTTTATCCTTTTTATCGGGAAGCTTGCGTAACTAATAATCTGCCCGCCGCCTGCTGCACATCGGCCCGCCCACGCGCCTCTGCCGGGTTCCCGCTCCGGCCCACTCCGAGACGACGAATCGAGGAATCTACCTACTAATCAATCCGTTCTGTTTATTAATGGGACATTTTCCGTCCCAGAGCTCCTCAGATATTCGTCACTTGTTCATTGTTTTCGTCATGTATGTGTGTATATATAGTGTATATAGGAGACATCTGCCGTATTTTGTCTATGAGACGTTATATGATCATCCAGAAAGCCTGATTTCGTTACGCCGCCCGCATGTACAGTACGAATCGAGAAAGACATGCCCCCCCGGCCCCAAAAAAAAAGGAAATAAAAGATAAAGGAGTCGGAAAATCGTTGAGCTCCTCGTATCACCCAGTGAACACTTCTGCAACTGCAAAATGGGCCATAGCCTCATTCCAGATGGGCCGCCAAACCGGGTCGTGGAGATATGGGAGGTAAAAATATCGGGTCATGATTTCAGCCACCTCTTCCCAGTCTTTCCATCCCCGTAGAGCGATAACGTCAGCCAGACGATCAACAAACCAAGGCTGTTCAATCTGCCCGAGGGACCCCTGCGCAGCAATGAAGAGCGCCCACGCTAGCAAGTCCAAATCAGGAGAGGGCATCTGCGTCAGTCCACTGGTGCTGATGAAGCTGCTGATAGCTTGCTTCAAATGCTTTGTCAGAGCCCGACCCAATCCAGTGGATGATGGAGACACGATAATGACAGAATTCAAAGAGCAGATGGCGGCAACTCGAGCAAGCGGTTCAGTTACGTGGACATTCGACCCGCCGGATCCCGGATTGCTTCCGGTGGACGGACGATACGGATAACTCAGCAACTCGTGCTCGACCTCGCTGGTCATTTTCAAGAGGAGTTGGTAGTCCGAAATGTCAAGCCCGTTGGGACTTTGATTGCCAAGATGCTGAAGAAGTACAGCATCCCGCATTCCATATAGAGCTCTAACCAGAGGCAGACTGAAGTTCGGATTTCCCAAGAGTGAGATGCCAAGATTGTTCAACTTTGACGACGGAGGTGGACATATCCGCTGTCGAACTTCAGGCGCAAGCGGTTCGGGTTCCCAGGGCAAAGGGAACACGGGCTTGGTCATAAGCCCCGTGGCAGTCTTCAGGTCGCTCCTATCTTGCTTGTTAGAATCTTTTCCTCAATAGAGAAAAAGAAGAGGCTTATTACGCTAGTATTGCTGGCATGAAGATAGAATTCCGAATATTGTCACTTGTGATGCCTCCTCGCAATTCCACCATTTTCTTCAGCCCTCGGAGGTGTATTCTCGCTTCATCAAAGAGGCCAACTATTAGCTGTTGACGGTTAGAACATGGAAACTAAAAGCAATATGCAGGAGGGGTAAATCTAGAACATCAGGGATTTGCTTCATTTGCTAGCTACGCAGATAGGAGTCTCTTACCGCGCTTGTAAGTAGGTTAATGATCGTATCAAAGGCTTCATGGCTAAGAGCTTTGGAAGGATCTCGCAATTTCTCATTCATCTCCCGTATGCATCTCGCTTTCATCAAGTAGTAATCGGGATCATAGAGAACCCGGGTGTCTGAATCGGAAGCATGGAGGAGATCGGAGTGCCGTCCAGTAAGAGCGGCTCGATGAGCAGCACTGATGGTCATCAAACCAAAGAAGCTGCCCGCATCGGTGAGTGACGTTTTGACCATCACATTTAGCTTATCTCCCTCGTCCATAAATGATTTTGTTCGCGCAGGAAAAGTCATGGGAATGAAGACCGTGATGCCTTTTTTGAACAGATACGTAAGCGTCGTTTAGATTAAAGGGATGTCATGAACGAATAACTTTCATGTCTAGGGGTCTAGGGAGAAGGTAGAGAGGCACAAGTGAGGATTATTGACCCGGCGTGTTATTGGTAGACGCAAGCTCCAAAAAAAAATCAGAGAGTTTTTGGACAGAGAAGGAAGATTTCAGGACATTGTCAGTGTCATTGTGTCCAAAGAACAAGGCTACCAGGACTCTCAACGGATACAGCAATATTGCAAAAAAAAAAGGTTTCTCTTTTTGTACCGCTGTTTTTGAACTTGCAACAGTGGTATCTCTAATCTTTAATGCTTGCATAGGACGGATAGTCATCAAGACTGTGGGGAGAGCCGGGGAAAGTTTGGACCGGAATCAAACTGGATGGGTCTAGGCTGAAGCAAAAGTTGGGCACTTACAATAGTGTACTAGATTTTGTGTCATCGATGGTAACTCGTTCGCGCCAGGTAAGGTACAGAACGGATCCACGAACCAAGCGTTGGGGACCATCGGCGTGGGAGTGGGAGTGACTTGGCTCGTACTATGTCGTGGCTTGGGTCTGATAAGATCTGAAGTCGGTTCTGACGACGATGATTGTGAAGTCGAACTTCTCAATGGCAGCTTACGGTCATTCGAAGACTTCGAAGCCGGTTTCTCAGCGGCGCTGGCTCGACTTCGATCTTCACGCTTTGAGACTCTCTTCAGTCCGGCCAGTCGCTCGCGGCGCCGGACATCGCGCATGACATGGGAGCGGATGGCCCTGCGCGCGTTAGCATCTTTGATGCGTTTAGACGCCAAGTCATCGTCATGATCGATGAACGTAAAAGACGGACGATCCGATGGCTTTGGCTTTGGCTTGGACGACGCTCCTAAAGCCGTCGAATAAGCTCAAGGAGAACGTGGTTAGCTTCGCAGATCCGTCCAAACTTCTGGGGTCTCCCGAATAGGCATTCGCTGTTCACAGAGCAGTCATTCCTTGATAGGGAAGCATGTATTGCATGCTAAGTACATGGACAATCGTGTGGAGAGAAGACATGGAGCCCATTTCTCATATATAGGTTATTTTTTTTCTTTTGTCTCCGTGTATTCGGACGGGAGTGGGGGTGCTGGCTTCTGGAGAGAGGGCCAGGCCGACTCTGCCCCATTTCATTCTCCGGCGGGAGCAGGCCGGAATCGAACTTGAGAAGCATGGAGGACAAACCTTGGTTGGAACGACGAGCAGGAGCGCTCGACGGAGCATTCTCTGAAGACTGAAGTTGATTCTCCATCACCGGCACCTAGTCACTGCCACGACCCGGGGGCCGCAGGCGGCTGGGTGTGAGGTGACACTCGGGCAGGGCAATGCCGTGGACGCCGGGACAAAGGCGCTCCCACTCAGGGCGGCGACACGGCGAGACGGGGCCAGCGCGGGGAGAGCTGGGTCACAGGAGGCAGGCGTGACGAATGGAGGCCGTACCAAGGCGTTCTGGGTGCTGGAGTCGGTGTCATGCACGGAAAGGGCAGTTAGTCTGCTCAAAGGGATGATTGTTATTGACGGAGCACAGTCGCAGCGGTCAGGAGAGCGGGGAGACGGCGTGCGGCCAGCACAAGCCCAATCGAGTTATCGGAGGATTCCAGCGCCACAGCCAGCCAAACCATGCCTGCGCTTGGCGTCGCCAGGCTGGAATCGCCTGCAGATTGCCAGATGCGGGTTGCACGGCACGCGTGCTGGCGACACATGGGCCATGCTATCCATCCCAAGCACGAGATAACCAATCCACTGTCGCTGCTCTGCACCTCCATCTATGACGGCTATGCTGATGTGGACAGTATGAGATCGAGTAGTCACCTGAGATAGGCGTCCTTTTTTCTTTCTCTGCAGTTACAAAGCAGGTATGAGCTGACAAGGTGGGGACCAAGTGTATGTCATACAGTACTTTCTCCTAGGTCCCTACCATCTGGTCCTCTTGATTGAAACAATGCCACGAGGATCGTACAAGGCCTGCATTGACCCATCTTGGGACACAACTGGTGATGATGCATATGTTTCATGAAGAACTATCTTCAACATTATGCCTGTTACTCAAACATGACGAAAAAAAAAATAATAATAAAAAGCACTACCTCTGGAAAACGCCAATCCCCTCAGACGCCATGTCCCCTTTCACCAGTGTAAGAAAGAAGCAGTTAATGTACTGTATGTCGCTTGGCCCTGACAATGGTCCTGACCTGTGAGCCAACAGAGATGGTCTGCTATCCACCATAAGCCGCATTGCTTTCTCTTCCTCACCAACATCACCCCTGGATATCCCGAAACAGTCTGGCCAGGATCGCATATCCAAAGACCACCGCGAGCCCTACCCAGAACTTGTGTCGTCGAATCCAGCTCTGGCCGGCTTCCCGCGCCACCTGCCCTCCTTCCATGACCGCTCCCAGACGTGGACCGCTTCCATTTGGTCGCCTACGAAGTGCGGACGTTTCGGGTGAGCAGTTGGTCGTCGTCGTGGCATTAGGATCGGGCATGACCTGCCCAGTGGCCACATCAATCCGGTTTTCCTTCATCCACTTCCAATTTTCTTGATCCAGCTCCGGCCACTCCGTACGGAACTTCAACCCCCCGTCGCCGGCTTTGATATTGTTGATTCCTTTGCTGGTGGCATTGACTCCGGGAGCTACGTTGGCGTATGATCCACCCCCAGTCGAATTCCACCATCTCGATCGCGCCGCATAGAGTCTGCGTTCACTGTCCGATGCGCTGACACTTCCCGTAGTCATCTCCTCGCTCGTCATGAAGGACAAAAGACCGATCAAAATGGTCGATACCTCCCATGCCGGGTTAAAGGATTTGGGGTGGAAATCGCTGATACTAAGGCACAGTCGTGCAGAGGGCTGAAAGCGACCGCTAGGAGTGTGCATGCGTATTGCCGGAGGCGCAAAAGGGTATTCGGGAGGGAAGATCAACGTGCCCCAGTATTGACCATTTTCATATGGAGTCTTCGGCGGGCCTGTAATGATGTAATGCCATCTGACCAGGATCAGCACATCTGAATCAACGATAGAACAATTTCAAGCAGCACCTACTCCAAGATGTTTGACTCGGAAGGATGTGCGACAATGTAAGGTGGAGGGTTTTTTTGTATATTTTGGTATTCGCGTGTAAGCTACAATTCCAGTCAGCATCTTCCAGACCTAGAAATCATATCGAGCTACTCACGCGTTTGTAAGCCGCCTTGGTCGCCATGTTGCCGTTGGAGTAGCGTCGTCAGCTTTAAGCTGGAGGCGTGAGTGAGACCGCTGTGATGCAATGACGAATGTAGCAGAGAGGAAACGATTATGCACTATGCCAGTAGGATTCTAGAAAAAAGAAAAGATAGGCTCAAGGATATTGTGGCGGCAAGTTCAAAAAATGTCCCAGGAGTCGACTGACGGGGCCAAGCCTATCGGGAAGTGACAACAGCCCAAGACTGCAGACGTTGATTCACACCTAGGAGCACACTTGGCTGGCCATGGAGAACTGCCCCGATTGGGCAAGGCCGATGCATCGGAGATTCGGCGGCATGCCGGCAACAAACTCAGATCACGTGCGTCCGGCTTCTCTTTGCCGCGCATCGCAAAGGTAGTCGACAGCGACGTGCTCAGCCTTGGTTGTGCCATTGTAGCCGCCACAATGGCTTCTTCGCTTGCAAGTGATGATGATGATGTATAGTTGCCTGCCTCCTTGCTTCTGTGCTGGTTTTGCAGTATCTAAATAGAACCCTACTAATGCAGTGCGCGCTATGTCTAGATCTTCAGCCGGCTGCAACAGCCCACCGACCCCAAGGTGTTGGAGGAGCGACAGCAAGCCGTCAATGAGAGGATACATGCGATATACCAGAAGGCACAGGCGCGTCTTGCAGAGCTGGTAAAGCTTCCTCCTTTCTTGTGGAAAAGACAGAAGTCTATGCTTGAAGGAACCCCATTCTCTGACTATTCCGGCAAATGTTCATCAGATCGACCAAAACTCAACGCTGCCATGCACTATCTCCCGGATCCAGATCCTGAATGCTCCTCATACACGGAAGGGCTTTTTAGAGCGCATCTTCAACCCACTGCTCAGTGCTAATCGGGACAAGCCCTACACACTCTCAGAAGCGTTACGGGAAGTGTCTATCAGGGCAGACAAACTCAACCGGTTTGGTAGGACCTCTCTGTACCTCAAATTTACCAGCTTTTTCTAGCTTCGATGTCTCCGACTGACCATAGAAGACATTTTCCATCAGCCGATCTCGATCTCTTTGGACAAGCCTTCAGATCCGAATGCCCTGCCAACTGATCTCGATGTCTATCTGTCAGTCCGTGAAAAGTCGCGGATCCTGCTGAAGACTGGAACCGACCTTGGTAATGCCGAGGGCTCAGCTTACGGCAATCTCCTCTGGCGTAACATCTTCGGTGGCGCGGAGACGTTGAATGTAAACGCGTCCTTAGGCACGCGAACAAAATCGGCCTACCAAGCGGCATTTGAGACACCGATTCTGAGTGACCCGGATTTTCGCTGGGAGATTGGTGCAATAGGAAGTGCAACAGAGAAGCCATGGGCCAGTCACGAGGAAGTTCTCAAGGGAGGATGGACCAAGCTCCGGTGGCAGAGTACGTCGGGCCATCGACACGAGATCGGCTATAATGGTTTCTGGAGACAGATTACTGGATTGGCGGAAAATGCTGCCTTGACCGTTCGCGGTGATGCGGGCGACAGTGTGAAGAGCAGTATATTCCACACCTGGGTCCGTGATGGGAGGAACCACCCCCTTCTTCCCTCAAGTGGTCTTTACGTCAAAACTCTCAACGAGATCGCTGGCTGGGGACCCCTGAAAGGAGATGTATCATTCTGGAAGTCGGAGATCGAAGCTCAAGGAGCAGTGCCTATTCCCATTCCAGGAATCAAGGGGGACAGCGGAGTCAGCTTTACGACCGGGTTCAGAGCCGGGTTGCTTTACCCTCTCAACCTCGACTCAAACCCCAGACCTCAGCCTTCTCGCATTAATGACCGTTTCCTGCTGGGAGGTCCTACCGATGTCCGTGGCTTCCGTCAGAGTGGCCTTGGACCTCATGATGGAACTGATGCTGTCGGTGGCGACGTTTACGCCGCAGGGAGCGCCAATCTGTTCGTTCCTCTGCCCCGCGTGGGTGCCGACAAGCCATTGCGACTACAAGCCTTTGTGAATGGAGGCCGACTGTTAGCTTTGCGCACTTCCCAGAAGGGCACGCCTACGACAAACGAGGAGGTGAAGGATGCCATGGTCTCTACAATCAGAGAGCTAAGCCACGGTCTTCCCAGCGTCGCGGCGGGCATCGGACTGGTGTACGCGCATCCTGTTGCCCGGTTCGAGCTGAACTTTTCTCTGCCTCTGATCCTGCGCAAGGGTGAAGAAGGAAGAAAGGGATTGCAGCTGGGAATTGGTATAAACTTTTTGTAAGATACGTGTCAGCATAGTAGCATGGATCATTGAATAGAGGTTCTTTTCTCTTCCTTTTTTTTTGTTCTTCTCTCTTGTACTTTTAATTGCTGCATTTAGTATGCCCGATAAGAAACTTTGCCTTGAGCAACAGTGGTGGCTGGCAGGGGGCTGTAGTACTGTATCTATGTTCAGCAGTACACTACGGAACATAACCATGGCTTTCCGCAGCGGTGGCTTGATCCACCAACTGGACGTCTGATTGCGGACAGGCCAAGCTGTCTGCTCCACAACCACCAACTCAACTCACTTCATTGCTTTCCTCCTAAGCGGACACCTCGTCAAATAAACAAACCAGACATCACTGTACTTTCAACAAGTGTTTTATTGCTTCTGCCGACTGTTGAGAATTGTCTTTATTCTTGAAATTTTTTTTGCCCGCCTTTCCCAGACCCTCTCATTCGCGTTGCTTTAACGTCTAACACTCCCAAGGCCGCGATGGCCCAATACTATCAACAACAACCTTACGGGGGCCAGACCTCCGCTCAGAACCTTCAGTTTTACCCTTCCTCATATTCTGTCTCCGGCCATACGACGCCGTCGCAAGCTTCATACGGCGGTTATTCTAACCAGGCACAAGCATACCCCGCCGGAGGGGGAGGCGCAGGCTATGGCGGGTTTGGAAGTTCTGGTCCGGGCGTGACTGGGAGGATGGGAGAGCAGGGCGGTTTGAAGACAGGATGGTTGGCTGCTTTTGGAACGGAAGGATATGAAGGGGAGCCGCCGTTGCTAGAAGAATTGGGGGTGAATTTCGAGCATATCAGAACCAAGGTTTGTTTGTTCGAACGCATACCCCGTATCCCTCAAGTCAATGCTGTGTGTATGGATATGTCGAGGAAGACAAAGGCTGATTTTATTCGTGGGCGACCTTTTCCAGACTTTGACGGTTTTGAACCCTTTCGCGCAGATCGATCAGCATCTTATGGATGACAGTGACCTCTACGGCGCCATCCTCTATATTCTCCTGTACGGCACCTTCCTCCTGCTCTCAGGCAAGGTCTTCTATGGGTACATCTACGGCGTTGCCGTCTTCGGCACGCTGGCGCTTCATGTCATCCTCAGTCTCATGTCTCCAACTCTGGAGCCGGGAGCAGCGTCACCCATTCCCAACGCCGCCGATCCGAACAATTACGACCCTCACAACAAACCGCCCACTTCTTCATCCGGAGGCGGCTCGGCCGGCCACTTCTCCTCAACCTTGACTTTTCCTCGGTCCGCCAGCGTCCTGGGATATTGCTTCCTTCCGCTCGTTTTGACCAGTTTGGTCGGGATCTTGATCCCCATGGACACCATGTTTGGCTATCTTCTGACGACGGCAGCCGTCGGATGGTGCACGTACAGCAGCTCGGGCATGTTCTGTGCGGTCGGAAGGATGCGCGGGATGAGGGGGCTTGTCGCGTACCCGTTGGCGTTGTTTTATGTCGTGTTTGGCATCATGGGCATTTTTTCGTCTAGGGGCAGTGGCACGTTGGCCGCGAAGACGGGTTCTACATAAAAAAGGACATAGACTTTTTTTTTAATAACTGGCATCAAATCTATCATGTCAAACGGAAACGGATATCAAAAACCCATGCGACATATTCATTCATTCATTCATTCAAATTCATGATCACACCGTCACAGTCACGGGTATTATGCAGGATCACTAGATATCTATGTTTTATTTATAAAAATAATATGTCTATTTTGAAACAAATGACCACTTATTTTCCTTTTTTTCAAGATTCTTTTTTCCTAAGTTGTTCGTATTTCACCCTTTCTAGGCGCCCACCCCTTTAGCCAATCTCTTGCCTTGTCCAAGTCACCCGCTCCAGCCTCGACAGCTGCGACGCACCATTCAATATCATAGACACCCTCAGCAGCGAGCATTTCAGCAAGAATGCGTCGTTGCTGGCTCGTTTCGTCTGTGCAGAAATAAAATGGTGCGGCGTTGGCGACTCCCGGCTTCACACTAATGGCGTCAACCAAGGGTTTGGCGATATCCAAAATCTCTTTGGACCCGGATGGTAACGGTGTTGGTGATGTCGTCTGCTTCTGTCCCGTTTTGCAATACCGGTTGTGACACCAAGGTTTCCCACACCCAGTCAACATCTGCGACAGATACCGCCGCTCAATGCGTCGACGAAGAGCTTTCCCTTCCGGATCATGAATGTCCACATAGAGAGGACCGAAGCAAATGCCGCACAGGCCAAGAGAGTCGTTGGTTGCTTTGCTGGCGGAGCCTAGTAATGTACGACCGCAATTCTCATTTTTACAAATTGCAGGTGGCGGTCGAGACAAGCGCTCTAAATCGTGATGGCGAAGATGTGTCTTCATATCGCGAAGCCTGATAATCTTATTGCACAGATGGCACTCCGTGGTACGACTCCCATCGATGAGCTCGTGAGGCGTCAGGCCGGACAATAATACTTCGGGGTCAGTGACGTCCGGATCTGAATCTCCCTGCTGTGGGACAAGGAGGTGACAGAATTGGCAGAGAATGAGTTTTCCCGGGCAAGTCGCCGTCCGGTGGTGAGCGAGACCTGGTAAATTCGGAGCCACGAACGAGCAGTTAGGACATGAATAAGAGCTGTGGCTGACAGTGTCATGTTTCATCTTGCTTGAAGCATCATTTCCATAGGCGTCGTCATCCGGACAATGCCAGTGATTCTGCCATTCTGCAGAGGATTTCTGGAAGACGTTCTTGCATTTCGGGCAGAAGACATTGTTTCGAAAGCAGAAGTTCTCGTGCAAAAACAAGGTCCTTTTCGGGACCCATTGGTGACAATTCTTGCATTGAACATCTTCGGGGTCGTGAGCTTCTTCATTCTCCTTTTCATCAGCCAAGGATGTCTGTGTAACCCGCAGGTTGTACTGCAGTGGCCCCTTCCGGTCATCCCTGTCACCGTCCTTCGAGTCCTGCGTCACAGGAAATGCATGCACTGAGATGTATAAAGCCTCGGCGTCCACCAACTCGATATTCGTCGGCTGTAGTTTAAGCCGCTTGGGGGACCTCGTCGACAGATCCCCAAACACATGCTCATCGTCCCTTGGACGGGCCCTTTGCCGCGACGAAAAAGGGCTGACCAAGAGATCGATATCTGCACCATCAGCGGCCTCAAGCTCAACATTAAGACCCGCTTCGCGATCCCACTCGCGCAGTTCATAATCCACATATTCTCCTCTCCGAACCTGACCAAAGACCTCTTGCCCTAGCGAAATAGGCCCGCCTAGTGAACTTCCTTCTTTCGTTCCAGGCGCACGAGAGGCCTTTTCCAACCGTCTCTGTAGAGTTTCCCTGGCTTGTTCCTCATTCAAAGGTTCAATGTCAACTTCCAGATCGGTGTCCACAATGCAAATTCCATCCCCTTCTGGCAACACCTTGTCCACCAGGAATCGAAAGTCTCCGTGGCGACCTCCGGCAACTGTGAGGATCTCTCCGGTCGTCAAAGTCGTAAAGTTATCCCGCAGATGGCGTTCTAGGAGCGCCTTCCAGTCCTCGGGATCGTAGCCCGCTTCCAGCGGACGCAGGCGGACGTATGTTCCCTTTGGTAATTGCTTCGCATGGACTGTTACCGTTGGAAGCAAATCTTTCTGAGACCCAGCAACATCAGTTGTATCGGCCACGTCCAGCGCCTCGCCTGTCCCGCCCTCGGCAACCCGCAGGAAATAACCATCTTCCAAACCCAGAGACTGTCGCAGAAAACTGCTGAGACTGACCTCACCATCCCTCGCTGAAAATTCACGGATACCAGCATAGATGACCCGGCCGTTCTGTGGATTGACGATGCGAAAAGTGAGCGGGTGGGGAAGTTGTGGTTGGCGGGTCGAAGCCACGGCTGCTCGAGCTCGGGCTTCGGCGGCAAAGGTGTATGGATTGAAAGGATCAAACCCTGGAGTATGATTTATACGGGAGGAGCTGGGCTCCTCCACTACTGGTGCAGCAGCGAGAAGTTGTTCGAGAGCCGACTGAGGCAGGAGAATCTTGTCTCCTGGCAGCTTCGGCGTTCGTACGGGTGGGGTGACGGTTAGCTGCGCGGACCATTTCAATGAGTTGGAATTCGCATCGGTAGCCATTATTACGTCCCCAGCTAGGTCGGGATGTGTTCTTCACGAAGGAAAGAATAGTGACCGAAGGATGCGTAACGTTCGCATCTTCGATATCAAGTTCGAGAGGGGAGTGGGTCTGAATCAGTACGGAGAAAGGATGCGCGTGGTGTCTTCTGGAAGGTGCTCCGCATCAGTAACGTAATCAACCACCGAGCGACGAATACCACCGAGCGACGAATTTTCGCCGCACCCACTATAATTTTGAAGCTTTTCAACCACCAATACAATTAAATTAGACTATCTAGTAGTTGAATATATAGCTATTTATTAGGACAATTCCTTATGGTATGTCCAATAGTCCCACAGCCACTGCAGCGTTGTGGAGCTCGCCGTTGAGGCATAGGTGTAGGCTCATCAAGCTTCTCATTAAGCTGCGTATCAAGCTGCTGAATGCGATTTTGGCCTTCTTGTACAGATAAAAGGGTATCATTACCTAGAATAGCACGCCTTCTTGCCTTCTTTCTAGTTTTCCGCTCAGTCTCAGCTCGTAGAGTCTAATTCATCTCGAGAGAAGGTCATATCATGCCATCTGCGCGGCTTTTCAAGATGATGAATATGAGACATTGGCTGCTAGAAAGCTTTGCTTTCTTGCACTAAGGCTTTTTGCAAGCTGCGAACCTTGTGATCCAGCTGGTGAGGATTCTGAGGAGTTTGAAAAGCAGAGGAGACTGAACTTTCAACTGAAGCTGGTGGTGTTGGCGTACGAAGCTGAAAGGTAATCTTTGCAAGAACCCGCTCTTTATCAAGTGGCTTAAGTCCAGCTCCTGCAAAGCCTTTGCATATATTGTCTGGAGTAAACACTTCTGCACGAGCAGATGGATATAGGGATAGAAAGTCTTCCTTGTCAATATGGTTGTTGCCAGCAATCATTCTCTTTTCAAGCAGTTTTCCGTACGCGCGCTTAAGCGGGCCAAAAACACCAACATCAAGTGGTTGCAGGAGATGAGAGGCATGTGCAGGCATGCAAAGACAGACAATTGCATTCTCCTTGCAGAAAGTATCAAACTCTGCAGTTAAATGGCTACTATGGCCATCAAGAATAAGCAACCGCTTTGCACCAGTTGTATAGCGTCTGGAATATGGTTCAAACACCTCTTTCAACCAGCGAAGGCCTATTTCATCTGTTGTCCAGCCATTCTCGCTAGTTGCAATCCACCAGTCTTTGGAAAGTGTAGGTTCTTGATACCAAGCAGCCTGTTGAGATGCTGCTTTCAAGATAATCACTGGTGGTATATGAATCCCCTTTGAGCTCACAGTCTCAATGATTGTAACCCATTCACGGTTTCCCTGGATGACTGTACGAGGCCTTTCACTGCGTTCTGCTGCAGTAATAACCTTGGAGGTTGAGCAGAGCCCCATTGCAAAGCCAGTTTCATCAAAATCCAGATGTCATCTTCATGTATGCCATGTTCCTGAATAGCTGCATGTACAGCTTGAAACCATGGTATTATAACTCTTGGATCCTCCTGCTTTGCACGCTGGTATGTAATCCTTCGATTATATCTTGTACGCAGCTCAGGATGGCGCTTGACAAATTTATAAGCCCAGTTGATGCCAAGGACTGCAGTAGGATCCTGTAGACGCTCACGGAGTAATATTTGTGCCATTGAACGCAGAAACTCTGGCCGAATTGGAAAACCTCGTTTATCTGCCTCTAGTAATCGCTGAATAAGTGTTTCCTCTTCAATAGCCTTTAATCTATGGCCATTAGCACGTGTTTCTGCGCGTGGTTGTCTTCCTTTAAGGCGAGCGCGAAGGGTAGCCTCAGGCACCCCAAAAATCTCTGCAGCCTTCAGTATTGATTTGACTTTTTGATTTTTATAAGCTGCAATAGCCATTTGAATTCGGTTTTCTTGAGATAAAGGCATTTTTGATAGTGGTGGTGATAAAATGACGCGTTGAAAAAAGGAAGTGGTAGGGTGGAGGAAAATTCGTCGCTCGGTGGTATTCGTCGCTCGGTGGTTGATTACGTTAATCCATTCTTATCTTATCTAATTGGAACTTAGTGAACTACGTGCATACTTGCCACGGGCCGTACCCAATTTTCAATGGATGTTTGCTTACTTCCAGCGGCAAAACCTTCCCATAGCGTTCTACCGCCACATCGCACAGAAGAGAGGGAAGAGTGGATTAAAACACATTTCATTAAGTGGTGTATGATCCTTCCTTCCAAATCCAAATCTGTATGCTAAGTTAACGTGTATACCAACCGAAGTATATATCATAGCCAAAAACCAGCAGCGCTGAGACAAAACAGATAAACGCCACGTCCCATCAGCCCACAGTCCCAAGGAGTACCATATTAGCGCCATATAAACACAGTCACGAATCTGAATTTTGGGAATGCAATTGGCTACTCTCTTCATTCCAAGAGAGGCTCCTCGCTCTCCCTTAGTCAGGGGCAGTTTGCCAAGATCATATATTATATGGGTATCGATAATATTTTTGGAAGGACCTTCAATATAAGTCTCTTCCCAAGCGGCGTGAACTGGTATTGCACCAATCACACTGGACAATACATCATTAGTGAATTGACTTCGTGTCTACAAAAAAAAAAGGAATCCAATGACGCCTTACCTTCGTTGAAGAACAGCCATCATTGTGCTCGATACAATATTCACCAGGGCAGCTCTCGCAGTAGCGCTGGCATTCCAATTTGCAGCTTGCGCACTAAAATACCTCGTTAATCATTACCTCGCGCATTCAGAAGTGAGAGCTTACTGTTGGTCCGCATTCCCAGCAATCCCTGCTGACACCGGGGCCCAGCTTCTATTGAATCTAGTTAGTGACATGGAGCTCAAGGGGCGGAATGATACCACCCGAAAGACATTGCCCTTCAGATAAATGCACATACCTTGCGTTCCGGTGATTGGCCTGGACTTCGACTCCTGACGGCCGTCTGGTGGGGGCTGAGATGAACCATGACTTCCTCCGGATGGGGAAGACAATTGCAGCAAAACCACTTGTTGCACCGGTGACACCATCGGTTCTTCAAACAATCCTCGCATCGAGCAATCAAAACCGCCTTCTCACCTTCCGGTACCGGGCGCTTGGCATCAACGACCTTGGACGAATGTAGAGGGGGAGGACAGAGGAGGGGAAAGTGCTCGTCTGGCGACTCGCCCCAGATTGCTGGTCCTTCTGGCGAGGTATGACAACCATCACAGCCACAAGGTCCAAGAGCAACTGTGGCGATGGCGGGTCGGAGTAGTCCACCATCTGGTCGAGGTTGGCTATTGTTACTCGACGAATATAAATCGACGTTATGCCGAGGACCGCGGCATAGAACTGCGTCGAACGCGATAATACCTTCGCACTTCTGAATAGTTTGTGCCCAGCCATCTTCGATGGTGCCTCGCAAAATCCTGCCAGAGGGTTTGTACCACTCGTTCAGATGGTCCGTGTCCCTTTTTGAAGAGGCAGAGACCGAGTCGGAATCCTGGTTGGTGCTAGCCTGGGAACGGGACATGCTGGCAAGCTGGGACTTCCACCATTCCCTGCGAGAGGCCATATAGCGGCTGCGCGATGAGTTCTTGTTTGATTTTCTGGGAGTGAAGTGGTAAATACCCTTCACCTTCGGTGTGCCCTTGGGACGGTCCGGACGAACGGCGTACTGAAGGACTTGCATGAGTTTGCGCTCATTCATATGCAGGCATTCACGGATTGACAGAATGTTGACATTGAAACGATCAGTGAGGATGATGTCGGCAACCAAGTCGGCTGGGACTGACAAGCCGTCCAGAACCAAGGTCCGAACAGATCCAAGAATGGATCTCCGCTCTAGGTTGGTAAAAATTCCTCGCAGAGGGCCGGCGTAGAAATCGTCTTCAGTCAGCGACTCATCCATCCGTTCACCCCTCCAAGTCTCGCCGCCAACGTCGATTGGCGCGATCTTGGGTACCATGGCACCACGACACGTGGTCAAGTCGAGGTGCCGGAATACGTAAGGGGTCTCCATGATAATGGAGCGCATCGTGCGCGATGTTGCCGCCAGAGACATGAGGGAAGAGATAGGTAGAAGGGGGGCCATGTGGTCCAGGATGAGACTGTTAGACAAGACATCGACCAAGGACGGAGGCTTGGGCGACAATTCGATTTTCTCTTCCTGCGGAGAAATTGGACCGTCATCCTGAGTGTCATTGACTTGGTGTACCGTCACCAAACCCAAGTCCTTGGGAGTAAGACGGCGGTGGCTGTAAAAGAAGTCATGGTTATATCGGATAAGATTTTTCTTGTATGCTGCCATGGCGCCAGCAGTGACGTCTTCGCCGAGCGCCATCACAGTAGCGGCATTGGGCTGGATCTCCTCGAGAGTGGTTCTGGCTTTCGCCAGTTCCGTCTCCAGCAGGTCAACGGTGGACTGGACAACGACAGGCATGATGGAGATAAACCCGGGCAGCAGTCACAACTTTGCTAGAGGCGTCTTCTTTCTTCTGCTCCCAGGCAAAGAGTGGTTTTGTTTTTGTAGTAGGAAATCAGCAGTGCAATATAGGATCCAAACTGGGAAAAGAAATCGTATATATACAGATAGACCCAAAAGGGGAAAAAAGACAGGGGAGCAAGAGGGAGAAAAAAAATATAGAGAGAGCGCGTGATAGCAGAGCGATAGCTCCACGGTGGAGCCAAGATAGCCGCGACCAGATCACTAGACGCCGGGGTGGGTTCGGTGGGTTCTGGAAGGAAGCCGATCGGGAACGGGCAACAAAAATAGGCGGATGCAAAAATAGTTAGTTTGTCGAGCTGGAGACGGAAGGACCAAAAGAGCAAGTCCGGAGGTCCCGCCAGCTTCCAGAATCGAGGGCCAGGCAACGTGCGTGTGGAGCAGGTGGCCAGGGCAAAGGTCCAGGCGTGTGGTAAGTTAATAATCATCAGAAGAATTAAAAAAAAAGAACGTTGAGAGTGGAGAACCCTCCCAGAGTCAATATTCAGATTCAACCATAGAGAGTGACTCAGTGCTCCGTAGAGAAGCCCTTAGTATAATAGATATACAGAAGCGTGCCGTGGCAACAGATGACGGGAGATGAAGTAGTCTATGTATAAGAGAAGAGACGCGTGGATACGACAGATGAGCGCGGAACGCGGCGGATGGTGGGAATAAATATGCCAGCGTATAACAAGGGAGTTACATTACATATTTAGTCAGCCTCTGCTACATCTTGCCCAAGAATGAATTGCATGGCAAAGAATCGTGGTTCGAATGCAATGGGGATTGGGGGTGCACGGGTATAACTTGACCGAGAAAGCGGTCTGCAATGCAGATCGGCCAAGATTTGGGGAGATCGCCTGTCTTGCTGCAAGATTCCAACAGTCCAACTTGGCCCAGCATGAGGAATTGATTCGTGGCGAGAAATGCAGCCAGTGAGTATCGGACAGGGCAAGACGCAGCGTGGGGGTTGCGCGGCGTACCGGGTAGGTCCCTAAAGGCAGAACACTTGGGTCTGGTTGGGGGCAAACAGAACAGCATTTCGAGATAGAAATGAATGACAATGGCATCTCCGAGCATCGGGGGCAGTTGCCACCGGGCGCTGAGCCTTGAACAGCGGCTCCTTCCCGCTGGTCACGCGCCCGAGAAGCTCTTGCTCGCCTCGCAGACACGCAAGCCATCCCGGCCCCGAGTGGGACTGCACGCATGGCCAACTGTCAGCACGCAGCACAGGCAGGGCTTCGGGAGTACTATATACAGAATAGACTCTCTGCCCAGGTGAATGGGGATGGCACTAATGCCGTGATGCCTAATCTTATTCATAGTCTAAGTGCAGGTGCCTCTCTCAACCGATAGGCACTTTGGTGGACGACGGCAAGACAGCATCGTTCATTATTTACAGAGTATGACAGGACGAACGGGCTCGATTTTGATCTTGGATGATGATTTCCATCCTGGACGCTTCTTGGTCTTGGCTCTGTGGGGTGACCGCAACAGGCGCAACTAGAGCAATACATACAGGAACAGCGCCTAGCAGACTTGGCGTTCGAACCATAATTCAATAAATAGGCTAATTGGGAGCCAGCTCATTCTTGAGCACTGAAACACCAGCAGTGCCAGCAAATCTTGGAGTATGCTCGAACGAAGATGGTTTGTCACGGATTGAGCTCTTTGAAAGACAGGTTTTAATTTAGGAATCGACAGGAGCGAATAATTAACACCCTTCGCCATCAACAACTCTGTGCTCGAGGAGAACCAGCAAGGAGTCAAGCGGTCTAGACTCTCGTCCCCTGTTGTATGTACAGTACGCACATACATACCCTCAGTTGCCAAATATTATTAAGATACTTAGGAATCCTACTATTTCCCCATCCTGACTGGCTGTCTTCCCACCATGGCAAGGTTGTCTCTTGGCCACCGATCTGCTCTCTTGGCTCCCCGAATAAAATAAAAAATTACCACATACATTGCTTTCTAAGCGTCCACTATCGTAGTAGTATGATTGGCGTACAAATACACTACTCCCTTCATAGTCATGCCCGGTAACGCTCGACACGTCTACTTCCAGACCTTGCCCAGACTGACCTCCTTGTCATCATGCTTGTTCAAGATCTTGGCTGTCGCCAAATCGAAATCTTCCTGTGTCACATGAACCCGTCGCTCCCGCAACGCGTACATGCCCGCCTCCGTGCAAACTCCCTTCAATTCGGCTCCCGAGCATCCGTTCATCTTCTCGGCGATCTTGGTCAAGTTGATCCCTCGCGTCAGGTTCATAGACCGGGAATGGATTCGCAAAATATCCGCCCGCGCTTCCACACTGCCAGGATAGCGTAGTCAGTAAAAGTCAGTAGGCAAAGCAACTGAGACAAGGTTCCACTTACGAAGGCGGGGGGAATTCAATCTTCCGGTCAATCCGTCCTGGTCGTAATAGAGCTGGGTCGAGAATGTCGAGTCGATTGGTGGCCATGATGACCTTGATGTTCTTTGTCGGTTCGAATCCATCTAATTGGTTCAGCAATTCTAACATGGTCCGCTGCACCTCCGAGTCCCCTCCGCTGCTGCCTTCAACTCGACTCGAGCCGATACTGTCGATCTCGTCCATGAAGATAATGCTAGGGGCATGTTCACGAGCCATGACAAAAAGCTCCCGCACCATCCGGCTCCCCTCACCGATATACTTTTGAACCAGTTCCGATCCGCTGACCCGGATGAACTTGCAGTCGGCGTGATGGGCGACAGCCCGGGCCAGGAGCGTCTTGCCCGTGCCTGGAGGCCCGTAGAGTAGGACACCTTTGGGTTGCGCAATACCCAGAGACTCGAACAGCTCCGGGTGTTTCAGGCCCAGCTCGATGACCTCCTTGATTTCCTTGATCTGTTGATCCAGACCACCAATCATGTCGTATGTACTATCGGGCACCTTCTCCACCATCATTAGAGATACGAGTGGATCGACAGACGAGGGCAAAATCTTTTCAAGCTTGTAGGAGTCTGATAGAAGCGATACTCGCTTGCCGACCGTCAGTTTGGAAATATCGACATTGTCAGCCACGTCCACCACTGCACAGATCGGAAATGTTAGCTGGAACGCGCAGAGACCCAGTCGATAAGACTGTTCTTGGAGCCGGACTACTCACCGTATTTGCCTTCGGGATGCACCTTCACGAGGACCTTCTTGGTGCTCATCACCTTCACCACTTCGCCGACGTAGGAACCGGGCTGTTGAAGCAAGCCAAGTTCTTCCCTCAATAGACGTACTCTCGAGTTATAGTCATTGCGCTGCGCCTCTAATCGTCTCAAAACCGCCTGACCCTTGATGATCTCGAGCTTCAGGCTCTCGATCTTATTGCGGAAATAGTTGTCAAGCGCCATGATGGGCGTATAAGGAGGCCGAATGGGAGCTTCAATCGGGAAAGAAAATGAAGAACAGCTCACGGAGAGCTGTTGAAAATAAAAAGTGCTGAATTCCTCCTAGCAAGGGCTGTTTTGGAAAAGGAAAAAACAAAGGGTCAGTTTGAACGGTGCTGGAGGAAGAAGAAGACCCTGGAGCGGTCCCGAAGCTGTTAGGCAAATGACGATGGCGTGTCGGGACGCTGTTTGGTCCAGCACCTTCGATGCCGAGCCTTGAAGCGGCGAGGCGGACACCCGCCATGCGGCCTTGTCTCCACGGCTAAGGCAGTTGCCGCTTTAAGGTACTCCAGCATAGCTCGAGCCTTGATGCCTGGGGAGCTGTGAGCCACACAGCAGCCTCCAGCAAGTCACTGCACTGGCCAGAAGATGCTAGATAAGTCCATTATTGTACTTCTTCCATGATTCGTGGCTGTGGTGTTTGTGCATGACTTGACTGCATGACCATTCTATCACGTGCGACGGGCCTGAGGCATGGTGATGATTATTAGACTTGACCATTCCATGGGCCGCTTGCGACGTCCTGCCGCCAGAGCCTACTTGGCGATTGGGCAGATGTTTACACTCCCCAACGACTGTCGACCCTCCCGAGTTCCACCTCATCTCATTTAACAGGTCTCTTGGAGCTGCAGGTGATTGCGGAGATCGAGCTCCCGCCTGATCTGCCGCGTGGGCGATGCAGTGCTGGCTGACCGACCCAAGCCTCGACATCTGACACCTGCACGCGCCGACAACCCCGTCTTTGGAGCTGCGGGGTTATCCAGCATCGTATCCCTGCAATATGTCCAACAGGTATCGACGTGACCACCCTCGTTGTCAATAGACGACATCGCCCCTATTCTCTTAGAGTTGTCCGGCTTCCCTCCCGGCTCCCTCTGCTGGGTGATCGGTTCCAGCTGAAGGCTACTTGGGAAGCATCCTCGAGAGCTCAGAGGGTAAAGAAAGCACAATGGCTGGCAATTCTGAAGCTGGCTCCTCCGACTCTCAGAGTTCGTCCACAGAGCAACTGCAGACATCTAGCTTTGTTCCTATTGTACGAACGGACGATGAACCGTCCCCCCCAGAAACAATGCGTCGGACAAAGTCTAGTCGGCAGGCAAAGGGCAACTATGGTATAGTTCAACTTTGACATGTTTTCCACCGCATTTTCTTGTATGCTTTTATTACCTACTTACATAACACTCTTTCATTTTCCAGGGACCATGGCTTCGCACGAACAAAGCTCTGCGCAGACACAGTCTGAGGATGACTCGACCCTCCGATCCCAGCTTGGTAGCACCCAGACTCCCCAGTCACCCGCTATAGCACCGCAGGCCGACAAAGCACGAAAGCCCTCCGTAATGCGGCGGATGTCATCTAAGCGTCCGACACCTCACCGGGGCCAGGAGTTCTCGGTGGATGACGATGCCGACGAAGTTGAGCAGGATAATGCCCTTCAGCAGCAGGCAGCAAACCCCGAATCTTCTCCAAGAATCCATCCATTGAGGAGGAAAAGCTCCACTTTAAGACGGAGGGCCAAAGCTCAGATGACGACCCTATCACGAAGGAGTTCGAGGACTGATGGTGATGACGAATCGAGACTTCTGGAGCCGGATTCGGAGACATCTAGAGAGTCATCTTCTCAAGACCAGGATGGAGAAAACGAAGATGGCCATGTGAGTGACGCCGAGAGCTTCACACTGAAAGATCGCCAGGAAGCGATCAACGAAACACATCCATTTGGTATCAGGATCTGGAAACCTGCTTTATACAAAAAGAACCGGTCAGTCGAGAAAACCGCGGAGGGCGACATCCACTCTTCCCCCGGCGGACGTGTGAGCAATGTACTATTCGTGGTCAATCTGATGTGGACTTTGTTTTTGGTTGGTGGCTATCGCTCGCCGCATTGATAGGTGCCGTTGCTTGTTTCCTTTGTGCATTTTCCCCGAACGCGGTGGATTATGGGAGGGTATTCTTTGGTCTGTCCCGCTATCTGTTGTACCCATTCGGTTCCTTTGTCCGATTGGAGACGGATGAGCACTATGCTGAGGAGGACGAGGGTGAGGGTCGAAGTATTAGCGAGTATGAACAATGGCAAAGTGGTGATCTCGAACATGGCCAGCTCTTCTTTGGCCCACTCAACAACCGATCACTCATTGGCCGCAGGAGGAACAGTATTGACTCGGCAGCCAGCGAGCATGACAGTCTTCTCGGACGCACTGGCAGAGGTCAATGTCATGGAGGCAATCCGCCTAAGTCTAAGCGGCGATTATTTGGTCGGGGTGAATGGAGCCTGGGCCGAGTTGTATTCTTTACGTTTTTCTACTTCCTCATCGGCCCGCTCATGCTTCTTGTATCACTGATTTGCTGGATGATGGTGTTCTGGATCCCCATGGGCCGCGTGATGAATATCCTTGTCGATCATCTACGCCGTCATCCCCTTGCTCTTTCCTTTCACTCGGATACGACATATACCCGCTTACCATCCAGCCCATCTTCGTCTATTCTCGTATGCACCTATCGTGCTGCCGGTTTGCGGTATTGGAAATACACCATTGATGGGACCAATATATTCTTCATCAATCTCCTGGGCGTCGTGGCTTTTGCCATTTTCGATTATTGGATCTTGGGTGTAACTCTTGGGATTAAATCTTGGCTGACCCATCCAGGCTTGGTTTTCACTCTTGCGCTTCTATCTATCATTCCGTTGGCATACTTTATTGGCCAGGCCGTGGCTTCGATCTCTGCGCAGTCTTCCATGGGCCTTGGTGCCGCAGTCAATGCGTTCTTCTCGACGATTGTGGAAGTCTATCTATACTGTGTTGCTCTCAGCGAGGGTAAAGCTCAACTAGTTGAAGGAAGCCTGATCGGGAGCATCTTCGCTGGTATCCTGTTTCTACCGGGATTGTCTATGTGCTTTGGTGCGATTAAGCGCAAAACGCAGAGATTCAACGTTAAATCTGCAGGTGTCACCTCAACGATGTTGCTATTTGCCGTCATCGCCGCCTTTGGACCCACTCTATTTTATCAGATCTATGGCAGTGTAAGTCCTTGCCTAGTCTGTACACCACCGAAGTCACTTTGCAGCTAACGAATGACAGCATGAGCTGAATTGTCGATCGTGTGTTCACCATTCAAATCCTGGCGATCGGGATTGCCGTCGATGTTACTTCTCTCAAGTTCCAGCCGTAAATGACAAGTTCTTCCTCAAAGCCGTGCAACCATATTCCTGGTTTGCGGCCGTGTTTCTCTTTCTGTCATACGTGATTGGACTCTGGTTCACACTCCGAACTCATGCAGCTGTTATTTGGACCACTGAGGGAGATGAGAAAAAAGCAGCACATGCTACGCATGAGTCCTCTTTGCACGACATAAGGCAATCAAACCTTGCCAACGGACCATACGTAACAGGCGCGGACATGCAAAGTCAGCGAAATTCGATTCGAGACTCGCAATTGTACAAGCGGATCTTGGGACAGTCTTTGAAGCAGGTTGGTCTGTCTGACAGCAGCTGGGAACAGGTCGAGGGCAGTTCGGTACCTGACGGCGCGACGCCCCATGTTGTTCCTCCAAGACAGAATAGCAGTGACGACCACCCCGGTCTAAATCTACGTGGACTGACGGAGGAGGATAACGAAAATCTAGCGCGGCAAGTGGCAGAAGTAGCCGCGACCGCTGCAGCGGTTGCGGCTCGCGACGCCGCACGATCACAACGCAAGTCCTCTGTCAATCCGCAGGCAACGGGACGCCAACACCATAAGACCCCTGGTGCCCGAACGGGCCCTGTTGCCGAGGATCACGATGATGCCGGAGCGCCGCTCGATAGCAGTCACTCCAGTGGCGGCCACGATGCCCCCAACTGGGGTAAGGCCAAAAGTTCAATTATCCTTCTTGTGGCGACACTGTTATACGCGGTTATCGCAGAAATGCTCGTTAATACTGTGGATGTTGTCCTGGATAATGTAGATATCGACGAGAAATTCCTCGGCATCACCTTATTTGCCCTAGTTCCAAACACTACCGAATTTCTGGTAAGCTCGCCCATTGCGATCTGTCAAAGTCGAGGATCCGCGAATCTAATATGCTATTGTGATAGAACGCCATTTCCTTTGCGATGAACGGAAATATTGCACTTTCTATGGAGATCGGTTCTGCCTATGCTTTGCAGGTTTGTCTTCTGCAGATTCCAGCTCTGGTTTTGTATAGCGCTGTCCATGCACGATTTATTGAGCCAGATGAACTTCTCAGCCATTCATTCAAGTAAGTAACCTCACTTGTCACACATATCATGTTGCTAATTTGATTTCTCGCATTAGCCTCATATTTCCTCAGTGGGACATGGTCACCGTTATTCTCTGCGTGTTTCTCCTCTCGTACGTATACAGCGAGGGCAAGAGCAATTACTTCAAGGGCTCGATCCTTGTCCTCACGTACCTTGTTGTTGTGATAGGTTACTATCTATCTGGGTATAGCAACATGGAAATCATGGGCGTGGACCGCTTTGACACGTTGGCTCTTGGTCCCATCGCTCCAGAAAGGTTCTATACCATAGGAAGAACCAGCAGTGGAGTGGCTTACCCTGCCTCCTAAAGATGAGGATTTTGGAATGTGGGAGAAGCACACCTTCGATATCCTACCTCAATGACTGAAAGATCCCTCCCCCTCCTCACATCGATTTTGCATACAGACTCAGAGTATAGGCAACGGGAAAGACAACACCAAGCTATACATGTGCTATTATTTCTTCTTTCTTTTCTGTCTGAATCTTTCTCTTATGTATGTACCATCGAGAAATGGCCTTTGTTTTGTTGTGCTTGTCGCTAGGTTAGCCAGTAGTTAAGGTGATATATCCTCAAGCATACACTCCGTGGTTCATGAGCTATTAGCTATTGTACTTATTCCCGTTCACTCGAGTGTTCAGATACGCAATCAACAACTATAATGTCTTTTTTTTTCCATTCATGATATGATTGTGATGATATTACGAAGCAGTTCCCAGTTAAGCGTGTATAGTGATTTCTGGAAAAAGTAAAGTTAAACAAAAAAAAAGTATATATGCATAATATTTCCTGAAAGAGATGACTACTGATATCATTAAAAATTCGGCCATTCAAACAACGATGACATGCATGAAAATATATATTCAATTATTTGCTATTTCATTTCATTATGAGCCTCTGGCGGCTGCTTCAAGACCAGACAGAGTTTGTTGATCTGACGAAGACGGTGGAGGAACCCGTACTTTGCCGCACATAATAACATTCTGTCCCAATGGCGTCCAAGTAACATCTCTGGGATTGAGCGCCGCTTTGGGTTTTCCGGCCTCGTCCTGCTTTGAATCCGGACTTACATCGACACCTCCCCGCCCAAGATAGGTAGGGGCAACAGTGACGATGATTGAATCAATAAAATCGGCGTACTCAGGGTTCAGCAACTCACTCAACACCGTTCCGCCGCCCTCGATCATTACGCTTTGTATCCCTTCAGCTGCCAGTGCGCGGAAGATAGCCTCCCAACGCAGCCGCCAGCTTTGATTATATTCCACAATCCGCAAGTAGTCACCTCCATAACCCTTCAGCATCAACAGCTTTTGAGGATGAATCTGCGCACCTGGCGAGACCACGATCCATGGGGCCTTGCCTTTGCCTTCCACAGCCGCTCGGAGCATTCTACACTCCGGGTGGACATTCCACCTGCCCATCGGGTCGACAACCACCGGTCTGGGCTGCCACATCCTCCCAAGACCACCAAACCCTCCAGCGCCTTCGAGCCTGCAGTTCAGCCCGGGATTATCGGCAAGAACAGTCCCAACGCCAATCAAAATGGCATCATGGCGCGAGCGTAGGTAGTGAGTCATCAGTTTCGCCTCTGGTCCTGAAAGGACAGTCTGCATACCGGGCCTCAGAGATATCTTAGAATCCATTGATGATGCGTAAGACAGTGTGACATGAGGAAAAGTGCGCTTTTCCTCGTGCCGTGGGAGATAGGGTTCTAAGAACTCCAGTGAGAATTGGGGAAACGGTAAGGTGTCTGGTGGAAGGGGCGGTTTCGCACTCGACTCAGACGTCTTTGGAGGCGAGGGATTCTCATCTGTTTTTTTGATTTTGACAATTCCATGTCCTTGCTGATATTCGTACCCGTCATGAGGTATTAGCTTGACTTCCGGATTCTGGATTCGCCATTTGGAAGAGACATTGCGGACGTCTGTAACCGTCAAGAATTTGCCACCAGCCTCGATTAGTTTCTCTGGTTCCTCTTTGAATTTGGTGAAAATAGAAGATGGGAGGTAGCCTTTGGAAGCCTCGCGGCGCGCAAATTCCATCAGGCCCGAATTTCTCTTCACTTTGTCGATATAATCGAGATCATGGGAATGGGTTCGGCTGCTCCCAGGTGTCCTCGAGATCGTTATTGTTGAGTATGCACCCTCGAAACGAACAACTTTGATCTGGAAGTTGCAGGTCCCTCCTTCTCTGACGCTCTTTTTCCTTGACTTCTTGCCTTCTGGCAACTGCCGATTCTGTTGTGGACGACAGGTCGGACGCCGAAGCCGGCACATGTAGTAGTCCGTGGTGCAATGCCCCTCTTGGCTTGAATTCGACCTCTGCTTCACCCAGACATTATCGATGAACGGCCAGTATCTCTCAAATTCCTCAGTACTTATCTCAATCGGTTCTTTACACTCGAACATTACTTGTCTAATCTTGGCAATATTCGGAGGATTGTCAAGAAGACTGTAGTTTGCTGGTTCCCTTCGGCCAGCCTGGCCGTGTTCGCCTTGCGTGACAGCGTCCTCTGGCTGCCGGGCAGTACCATTTTGCGCTCCTTCCGACTCAGCGCTCGGACGGATTGGAGGCGCGAGCGTTCCCTGATTGGCTATGTTGACCGAGGTTTGCGTCCCATGTTGCGATGGCGAATGCTGCCGTGTTGTGGTGTCTTCTTCCTTGTCCGTCTCAACTCCGGCCTCTGACGCGGTTGCCAGCTCGCCTTCTAGCCGAACAAAAGCCCCGTCTTGGACAGGGCTGTGCTTCGCATTTGACGCGGCGGACTCCGGCTCCGGTGCCGAGGCCACACTAGATGGTTCAGTCTCCATGTCGAGAGGGTGCGCCAGAAAGTCCAAATTAGCTATACATGTAGCCGTACTTGCGGAGAAGCACCGCAAGACTGCAGGAGATCAGCTTGACATGGTAGTCCGAGGATTGTCCAACCGTTGAGCAAAGGCCACAGATAATATTTTCCGGGAAAGAAAAGAAAGATACGCGCCAGACAGGACTATTGACGTTCGTTCCGATTTGATCTGCGGATATGAAATGTCGCTGCTTGCATCCGAGTAGATGAGAAGCTCTTCCGCCGCGTGGGGCTAGCCACGCCTGTCTTAGCGGATGTCACCGGCAGCTGTTCCTACAGCCTATTAATTACTATTAATTAATATTATCTACGCAGATTAAAAGAAGTCTTACACACTATATTTTTTTTTATTATCTTTTTGCTCTCTACTCATACACTTTTTTGCTCGGTAAAAAAAAAAGATTAAATCTCCTCAGAAAGTTGAACTAAAATGCCCCCACGTCGGCTCCAGCACGAGCCAGGGTCTCATACACTCTTGGCGGCAGTTTGTACTTGATCATCCCGGCAAATATCATAAGATCCTTGGCCATTACAAGCAATTCATCTGCCAAACTCTGCCGGATCTCATTTTCGTACGCACCGGAATTGAGTCTCTCTCGCTCGCGGCCTATGCAGGTGATGCTCCAGATGATCAAGTGACCAATGTTCCGTGAGATAACGCTCGGGTAGGACGGGAACGCCTGTGCGGCATTCCGAATGTAGGGAACAGAGCCTTTAGCACGTAGAGGCAGGATTTGTAGCTCATTGATGGCCTGAGACAAGCGTTGTCAGCAAAAGGGAACCAATTGAAGACAAGGAGGGAAAGGGTTACGCCAGAGCTGGTAAAGGGGATGAATAGTAAGTAACATTTGGACTTACATCGAGAGCAGGAGCCCAATTTCCAGCCTCAACTTCACTCTTTGCTTCCATGATCCGAAGCAGCAAGCCACAGGCATCGCGATTAACCTGCCGGATCCGTTGATAGTACAGCGCGTTGCTGTTGTACAGACTGATCATGTTCTTCGCCAAGACGACCGGGTCGTCTACTGTTATCAGGCTGAGACTGCTTCCCGGTTCGGATGATCCTTGCTGGGATTGCTCATCGTGGTCCACTCTTGGTCGCAGTGGCTGTAATTTCAATGCGGACTGTCCCAGCTCCACAGCCACCGCATCCGAGAGCGCTCGGTTGATGATCTCGATGACACGGTCGTAATCTTCAGCCAGATGATACAAAAGAACCGCATCTGCAGTCAGTCCCTTGTCATCCGCTACAGCAGCCGCCTGCACTGTGATAGTCCGCAGGAACTCTTCTTGGTCAACCAACTTGATCAACTTGAGACGCTGCTCAATTGCCCCCTTGATCCTCACTCCGTCCGCACGAATGTCGCCGAGTAGCTTAGCAAAATCCCGGGTCTCCAAGATAAACTCTCGTAATGCCTCATGGCAAACCGAAGCCTGTGATTTACCGAGAGCACCTGGAAGATCGGCATTGAGACAGATCAGTGCGAAATAATCGACAGCCGCCTCAACGTTGCCAGTGCGGAATTCACGCGTGTACTGTGTGATGAGGTAGGCGAAGTTGATCTGAGGGAACTGCTTGGTAGTGAATGACACTGTTTTTTTTTGGAAAGTCATTAGCAAAACCTTACATGGCAGTGTGACCGTTGGTGAACTTACAAATTTCTTCCCCGGCTGTGTAGAAGTCGGATACACGCAACAAGCCGTAATAGTCCAGAGCAATCGCAAAATGCACGGCGCTCACCGGGGCGTAAGAACCGAGATACGAAACTGCTTGTTCAAACATTCCACCGAGGATCTGAAGCAGGAAGAAGGTCCCATAACCGCCAGGTGCTTCTTGTCCCTTCGCGAATACTCGCTGGCCTATTTCTGTGATATCGGTTTGAATATCTTCAAGGCCAAAAACCTCTCCAGCAATTTCCTCAGCACGGTCATCCTCTCTAGCGAGGGCGAACTGTAACCACATCCAGTCCTCCACGCCTTGACCGATGCCATCCAAGCGTCTGCGGCCGAGGTCACAGCGCCCAATGATTTTGTAACAAGCCATCCGATAGGGATCGACGGTATTCTCAGGCGCATTCCGCAAACGTTGCTGATACTCCCCATTGATTTTCTGTTGAAGATCCCTTGGTAACCTTCTACTCTGGGCGTAGGTGGTCATGTATGTGACGAATTTGTGGTCGAGGGACCTAAAACCAGGATCCTGACTCACGTATTCTGCGGCCTCGGTAATGAACCCGCAGCGGAGAAGATAGAAGATCAGAATCCAACAGTAATCGTCACCAACTGTTTGGAGTTCTGTCCCATCTGGAGCAAGATCCTTTCTCGCAGCCCGAAGTCGGATGTAAGCACGGATCTTGTTGATGGTCGAGGGAATTCCCCCTAGTTGGGCTTCGCGGGGATTCTTGGCTATTGCGGCCTCAATTTCAGCAAAGGAGAGCTTCTCTAGGAAGCTTCTTGAACCGTCGACTATCCTCTTCCTAAGAGCGGTGGCCCCCTTTGAATTCGATGCTTCATTCAAGTAATCGTCCGCAAACTGTCGTTCCTTAATAGCGCCAGGATCTGACAAGTTCGTTACGCTTGGATCTTCTCCCGTTATGGAGATCAGTGCACGATACGCTTCTGATAGCTGTCGAGGAACCTGCAATCATTTAGCCAAGAACCAAATCTAAGGACTAGCACACCTACATCGCCTCCAGCATGCTCTTCCACCTCCGCAAATTCGTGAAGTACTGGGAAAGGCCTTTCTTCGAGCCTGGCTCCGTTCAAACGCCGCACTTTATCCGCAAAGTAGCCCATCTTTTCCCGCAAAAAGCGGCTGTCCGGTGACTGAATATTTGTACCGTCATTTCGTTCGCTCGGATCCAAAAAGAGCTGGGAACTGGCCAGCGGATTCCCAGGTGGTCCAATGACAGATTTTTCGAGGGCAGATCGCCCAAAGACACTTCGACTACCTTCTCGCGGTGTGAAAGTGCCTGGTGGTTTCGTTTGCCTTGATGTTCGACCGAATGAACCTCTGGAAGCCGCATGATCGTCTCCCACAGCATCTTTCGGAGAGAGTCCGAAGTGTTGAAATATTTTCCGACGTTGCTCGTCCCAGTTGAGGTTTACCTTTTCCTCTAGAAAGGCATCGAAATCCCGATGGACACGGGCCAAACTCTCAGCAACCATCGCTTGCCGTCCTCGCTGCTGAAGGTTTCTCATGAATTTCTCGTTGTCCGGATCAAAGCTGTCGGTTTGCTTGAATGGACTGGCGGCGGCTGTTTGGGAGTCTAGAGCCTTCAGGTCACGCAAAGCATGCCCTGGAGAGATACCCGACGCGGCGAGCAAGTAATGACTTCAAAACACAAAAGCCATGAGCATATACAATATACGGATTCGAATTGGTGAAAGAAATCAGTACTCACGCTTTACTGTCTCGGCCAGCTTGGTGTGATGCCTTTGGGCCGCCAGCCCCAAGCTCTCTCGCTTTTCTACGGATATCGTCAAGTCCCAATTGAAGACTAGGTAATTCTCCGAAATTGGCATCTTGTGCCGTCGCAGAGAATGGCCTTTTTTTCCCTCTCTCTAGCAAACTGTTAAAGAAGGCGGGTTGTGTGCTTTGAGACGTTGACATGGATTGTCCCGAAGGCGGCTGTTGGTTTTGCCCAAGCATCTGGGATTGTTGTGGCTGTTGTTGCTGTTGAGATTGTTGCCCTAGAATCGAGAAGCTAGATGGAGCTTGGCCGGTTGTTGTGGTGGTTGTGTTTCCGAACGCGCTGGGTGCATTACTCGACGAGAAGATGCTGGCTGTTGGCTGCTGTGCTCCTGTAGATGGTGCCGAGCTGCTTCCCCCAAACAAGGAGCCAGAGAACGCGCTGGGAGCCATGGGCTTAGATTGTTTCAATAGCCAAGTGAACTGCTTGTCTTTGTAGCAAAGCTTCTGGGCGGACCTTGGGCAAAACGGAGATGTAACGTTATGTCCGCTACGGAACGGGATATAAAAAGAAAGAAAAAGAGAGAAATAGGCGCGGACCACCCAAGATTCAGCGTCTGAAATTTGGGGACCGCCTTTTATGAGTTGTGGCCGCCTTGCTGCATGTGGTGTTGTCAAGACTCGCTTTTCTCATCGCAGATCAACAAATACTTTGTTTAATCTCTCCACACGGATTATCTATTTACCGAGACCAAGTCCCTCTTCTCACGGATGGATATAATGAGCAGGAGCAGGCTTGAAGCTTCGGGTCCATGACGCTCTTTTACACGGGAGGAGTTTTTCGGCTCAAGCTTTCTTCATATACCGGTTGGATGGTTTTTAGGGATACTACGACCTCAGTGAAAGGGGCTTTTTTGCGGTGATCATGCCTGTGTTCCCGTCTAAGCCATTCCGCCGCACCCCGACAGCGTCGTCATCGCTGGGGGAACGATTAGGTGCCCTTTACAGAGCCAATTTACCAAAACACCCATTCCTTCTTTTCGGTCTCCCGTTCATCACGATTATGGTAGCGGGATCCTTTGTTCTTACTCCGGCCACTGCCCTAAGATACGAACGGTATGATCGAAAGGTCCGACAACTGAGCCAAGAGGAAGCCCTGGAGCTAGGACTCAAGGGCGAAGACGGAGAAGAAGGGATAAAGAGGAATCCAAGAAGGCATGTGATTGGCAGTGAGAAGGACGAATACTATGTACGGCTTTCTTTCCCTTCGATGCGGTAATTTGTGAAATGCGACGCTGACCCGTGTGCCGCTCTGCCAGAGACTCATGGCTAAGGATCTTGATAACTGGGAACAAAAGCGAGTCCAACGATTTAAAGGAGAGCCAGACGGGAGATTATGATGATATCTGGACCATTGAAATGAGCGCCAGGGAACTTTTGTCTTTATCTTTTTCCTCTTTGCATCAGCTTGGAAAGAAAGCAGATATGAGGTCGGCATCGGACATATGGGATTGAATGCGACGGGTTTTCGCATCTCTGGCGCTGGTAGGGTATGCAATGTGTGTCTATATGATTAAGCAGTGTATTATATTCAAAAGCATCATTATAGTTGAGAACAAAGCTTTTCATGCAGTCTGTTCTAACTGACCGCATCTTCAAAGAGCAACGTTTTCTTTGAAATTGCACTTCTAAGGGGCATTGAATCTTTTTACTCTTCCCCCCCCCCTCCCCCCCCCAACGTACTCTTCGATAGTGAGAAGATATTTTCTAGCCAGTCTGCCATTCCCTTGCGCCGATAATATTGTTTTGTTTTAGTCCCTAGCTGCAGCGAGGCGGGAGAAGACGCACTGACGGTGGTTTCTAATTGGATACTCGATGCATTGTCTACTCCAGATTGCAGGGATTGTAAAATGACAATTTTGCTCAAGAGAAATCATGACTTTTGTGCCCCTTGGTTACGTACCTGTAGTAACGTGGGCGCCTATTGAAGATGTCCTAGCGTGGCTCCTAGCGACTTGCCACCCGTGGCACTGGCGGCGATTGGAGTTCCAGAACGGCCATTTCTGGCCAAGCCACCCACGCGCACCCCCGATAACGTCATAGCGAACAACGTTTCTCCGGCCCCGTCAACCCTTGAGGCCTCCACCCATCCACCGCAGAGCGCTGATTAGGCGCGCCCTTCGCTTGCTTGTAGATCAGTGATATCAGTCCCTCGACTCCCTCCACCCTGCACCTCCAGAATTCGGCCCACCCAGCGACTTCGTCCCCAGCTGCGAATTTTATCGCTCCTTGCCCTTGGCCTTCCTTCTGCTCTGCGCTCCTATTATATTTTATATTGAGATACTGACCAGGTAAAACCCAAATCTGGCCAATCTCAGAATGCCAGCGCCTCGGTGATTGGCTGCACTCGTTCTCTCGGATGTGTCTCTTCTCGCTCGACTTCAATCTCTGCTAGGCTTCTAATTCGCCTCTCAGCGTGCATCGCAGTGTCCCTCGTTGCTGGGAATTTTCACATTGGGCCGGCGCGTACCGTTCATTCACTTTAAGAGGGACATGGCACGATTTGCTTCAATGCTGTCCCAGAATTGGTGAAGCTCCAAAGCTGGATATTGGTTCCAAAATGGATTGTTCCCCTCAACTTCTATCTGGCCCCGAGACTCGATTATAGACCTCGCCGTTGTGGGGTTCCCAGCTGTGAAGCCCATCATGCGCGGCACGGCGGCCTCTCAGCAGTCGCCCCCCTCTTGGGGTGCGGATATTTGTCCACATCAGCATGTCAATGTCTCAAACACACCTGCCGGATTACCTGCCCAACTATCCTCCCTGAGCGGCTCTTTTCCATCTCCGTTCTTGTACCCTGGCTATTCTGATGCAACATCCGCAGCCCCCGTCTCGAGTCCTAACTACTTTGGCATCGTGGTCGACAACTCCATTAATCCTCCCGATTCAAGTCCGGGCCCCTACACGAAGAAGAACTGGGATGCTCTTTCACAGACACACTCCTCGGTCCCAAGCCCGAGGCATCAAACTCAGTCTCCAAACCCTGTGTTGAAGCAGATTCTTCAACCGAAACGATCTGATTCCCGGTCCATAGACAAGAGCTCCGAAGAGAACCCAAATATCGCCCCTCAGAATCTGGCTCTGGACAAGGAAGCTCGAGACCCGACATTGCAAGATGACGGTGACTCCTCAGTTCCTCCATGCATGACGAGTATGCCAACAGAGTTATCAGCACAGGCTGGCGGGGACAAAGACAGTCCCCATGTTGCAGACGACCCAATGCTTGCATTTACGAGAGGAACAAGTCCTCAACAGATTCAAAATCCAAGGAAATTTTCGCCTGACAGTTATCGGTCTCTATCGCATCCAAGTTCTGGGATGACGCACTCTTCAGGCGCGGCTGGGCGAAATCCCAGCCTGTCACTGCCTTTACGCATCGCTCAACCATCTGGTTCAATTTCCCCAACACCTCGACGCGCAGAAACTCTACCTGTTTCTCTTGATCGTGAACCCGTCAACTTTATATCCGCTGAGAAATGCGCAGAATTGCTTGAGACTGTTTCCGAACAGGTCTTACTGCTGGACATAAGACCCTACCCTCAGTTTTCCCAAGCGAATATCCACGGATCCCTGAACCTCTGTATTCCAACGACGCTTTTGAAACGCCCGTCATTCAACACCGAGAAGCTGAAGGATACTTTCGTTGGCGAGTCGGAGAAGCAGAAATTTGCTTCCTGGAGGCAGAGTACCTACATCATTGTTTACGATTCAAACACAGAACACCCGCGAGACGCGGCGCTATTGACCAATGTCCTGAAGAAATTCACTGCAGAAGGTTGGCATGGCCAGGCATTGATTCTTCGTGGCGGTTTCGCCACTTTCGCCAGCCGTTTTCCAAATCGTATCCGAAAGCAGCAAGACGTGAAAGAGGCAAATTCAACCAAGCAGCCACGGTCTATGAGTTTGAGTCTGCCATCAGTCGCTCCCGTTGCTGGAGGTTGCTCGTTACCGGACTCTTCAGCAACGGCTCCTTTCTTTAGCAATATCCGTCAGAATATGGATCTGATGGGTGGCGTTGGTCAGATACCAGTGAAGCTTCCGGGGGCCTTGACCGAATCCAAGAGAGAACTGTTGCCTTCCTGGCTGCGCATTGCCTCTGACTCGAAAGATCGAGGCCAGACCGTCTCGGAGAGGTTCCTGAAAATCGAAGAGAGGGAATTAGAACGCATGCGAGAAGCCCTTTCCCCCGACGTCAGCTATGATAAGACGGGGTCGAATACTCCATCCAAGAAGTTCCGAGTGGCCGGAATCGAAAAGGGATCCAAAAATAGATATAATGACATATATCCTTTTGATCATTCCAGAGTACGGCTTCAGGATGTTCCCTTGGGTGGTTGTGATTACGTGAACGCAAACCATATCAAAGCAGAATACACAAATAAGAGTTACATAGCCACTCAGGCCCCTATCCCTGACACATTTACTGTGAGTATCGACTCTGCCTGGAAGCTTTGGGTTATTCTAATCATTCTTTCAGGATTTCTGGCGCGTGGTCTGGGAACAAGACGTCAGAGTGATCGTAGCCCTCACCGCCGAAGTCGAGAGAGGGCAAGTCAAATGCCACCAGTACTGGAACTCTGGAGACTACGGGCCTTTCAAGCTTAAGATCCTTGCAGAGAGACGGGTGTTCATGGATGCAACAACGGCCGACGATGAGCACTCGGAACTGACTCACCCTCAATCCACACAATCAGCTACCGCTGAAGAAAAGACACCCACACAAGAGCTTTATCAGACCGGCGATGAGGCTCCTTTCATTCTTATTCGACATTTCAGCCTCTCACACTCTGCCTTTCCTTTCCAACCCATTCGAGAGATAACGCAACTGCAATACGCGCACTGGCCAGACTTTGGAACTACTTCCCAGCCAACTCACCTCCTCAAATTGGTAGAACAGTGCAACAAAATAACGAGGACGAGCAGCAGTTGCAACATTAGTAATCATGAAGCCGAACCCGCAGGCCAAAGACCCATACTCGTTCATTGTAGCGCAGGGTGCGGCCGGACAGGCACTTTCTGTACGGTTGACAGTGTATTGGACATGTTGAAGCGACAACGCATGGAAATGTCGAAGTCTGTCTCAGGGAAAAATGCTGATACGAATCAAAACAGTCACCCTGGCGACTGGGTTTATGATGACAATTTAGATCTAGTCGCTAAGACTGTTGAAGATTTTCGAACACAGCGGCCGAGTATGGTGCAGAATCTCAGTCAGTTCGTGCTCTGTTATGAGAGTATTCTGGAGTGGGTTGTTTCACAATTGGGCGATGGAGGAAAGTTCTGAAGATCGTGAAATCTGATGCTAGGAGATACCCGTATATTGTAAAGCGTTCTCAAATGGGGGAAGGAGAGGGGCATGGCGTTAGGAAGCCTGGCATTCTAAGTTTCCCGGCGTGTTGGGGTTTCAATTGAAGTGCATTTATTTTCTCATCTGGAAAAGCTTACGGGATCATCGTTTATAGCATGGCTGGCGTCTTATGTTGGGATTTCGAGTCCATATTTGGAATGTTAGCCTAGAGGGTGGCTGATATAGAGAAAGTAAGACGATTCGCCTTCCGCCCAATGGTTTTAGACAAATATTTCCCACCATTGTGTTCTTTTTATATAGAAGTAGTCGGTGATTTATTGCGATAAGTTGGTGTTTCCCCCTTTACCCCCGCCTTTCTTTCTTGCCTTAATATTAATACTTGGGAGTTTGATTTAGTTGGAGGCGGATACCACACGGATTGCTCGTATTTCCCGTGAGCAACCAATTGACTTTCACTAATTTTGTGTACTCTCACAATACCCCAGTTTCAACGAGCTCTGCCTGAACTTAGTCCCTTCTGCCTACTCCTTACGACCACGCTTGCAACAATGCTAAAAAGTATTCAGATCTGGGCAATTATCTAGGCAACAGCAGTGGGTCTAGAGCTCATTCTGGCTTCAAAACGGCTCTACATACATAAGTATAAAATGGATTCGTTTCTGCCCGATTTTCCTTCGAGTGCACCTCATGTTCAATCACCGTGTCTCCAACTTTACCTAACTGTTTAAACTCCTCCGAGTCACATTCATCTGGACATCTTCTGAGCCTTCACTCCATGACTTAGGTGAAGCTTAAAAAGAAAACACAATGCTCTTAAACCTTCCCACAGAGCTTATCCAGCTCATTCTACAATATGCCACTACACCCAGTTATTTACATGCAGCTTTATCTTGTCGTACTCTGTTCCATATTGCTTCCACTTATCGGGACCTCGTCCTCCATCACTTGAACCAGACTCCCGGACTGAAATCTGAGCTTGAACAGCGTGAAACGAAGGACCTCTTCCTTCTGCTTCGAAGGCGTGCGGTGAAACACCTACATGGTGCTAATTTCTATGCTGATCGCATTCTATACAATTTCAATGGAAAGAGTATCGACGTGGGGGCCTCCTCAATCGCCGACAATGGCTGTTCCCCTAACCTCGCCTTGGTCCTAAGAGACGATGAGCTTGTTTACCTCTTTCACGCCGGTGTCAATGGATCAATTTCTCTAAAACGATCGCTGAAGTTTCCTTATGAACAACCTGGAACCGTCAAAATACTCAAAACGGCCTTTACCGGGGACAATGCCATCTCCACCCTCGTACGGTTTACCCCAACGATTGCGGATGAAGATGCCGATACGTCACATCCCTTTGTCAAACAAGCTCTAGAGTCTCGCCTGAATGGCGAGATTATTCTTCTCCATTACCCTCTTATCGATTCCAACAACTCTATGGCTGTCTGCAACTTCCCGGACCACAGCGACTATGAACCCCTAGCCCTAGCTGTCATGAGCAGGAACCAATTTGCGATCTCCTGGCAGCACGTGCATGATCATCACCACCATGAAGTGATTCTTTATGATGCCTCGGTCGACTGCCATGACGATTCGACATCAATAAGTTGTCTGTGAGACCTGTTTGTTGTCTGTTGCAAAGTACTGACATTGCTTAGATCTCAAGTACAGAGCCGCTATGGTTGTGGATGAGCGGGGTCTCTGGCCGCAGCGCGCAGAAGGCCAGGGCAGATTGGCTCTAGGGGAACCCTATTCAGAACTGGGGCCTGTAACAAGGCTTGCTTTCAATGACAGGGGCTCTCAGTTACTCTACTACTATCGTGGCTCGACGCTCTACAGATGCTACCAAAATATCCAGACGGGGAATCCCTTACAACTGCCTGGTGCATCAGCGTCGCATCTTAATTATTGCAGAGTGCAGTTCTCAGATTCGCTAGTCCTTCCTTTCTCTGTTGCCATACCATTCTTTGGCACACATAACACGTACCGTACGGAGCACAATCATGAGGTGTGTCGTTGGAGATACCTCAGTTTTGGGACCGCGACACATATTGAAGAAAACTGGACGGTGGCATGCTTGCTAAAATCAGAAGCTCACTGTCAGGCCAGAAACTGCGGGCATGAGCTAAATCGAGAACGTGGACGACGTCTGAATATGTGGACTATCGTCGCCCGTCTTTGGGGATATCAAAAACCGACCAACTCGTTAGGCTGCATTATCGCAACAGCAGAAACTGGGACCCGAATTGCCATAGCAAATTGGAATTTGATTTATGTTTGGGCTCTTAATCCCCATGAGCTCATCGAAGAAAATACAAGTGATTTCTATCCGGAGTCATGGCGATCTGGGAATCCCAACGTCGTGGAGCTGCGGCCCATTGTACTCCGTTTGGAGGCCGTTTGTTTTAAACTCAATTTCACCGAAAACGAGAACGAACTCGTAGCATTGACAGACCGAGGATTGATGGTGTGGAATCTCGGCCCACGAGGAACAGGGGCGCGGCATACGCGAATACTTGATGTTCATTAGGAACAAACGTTAAATTGGCAATAATAGCGCCAGTTCCATGTGCATTCTCTATGGAAAATAAAAATGATAAAAAAAAATTCAGAAGTAAGGCATGAACGGGGGAATACTCAAACGCCGTGAAGGGTCGGACAAAGAAATGATTGCATAAGGTGGCACTCGGCGATTTTCAGCCCATGCAGCGATCTGTTTATGCAGATTTCAATGATGTATAATCCGTTATCTAGCAAGTACATGTTTCAGGAGTGAAATACGAACCAATCAAGTGGCATTCCAGAGTACTTTCTCTGTCAGTTCCTTTAGACGACTCAGGCAGTGACCCAGGCAATCCAAAGGCGTCTCGATATCCAATGCCATCTGACCAGGCGTTTCCGAAAAAGACCTTACTGAGCATGAGTGACCCAGATGAAACATTAAGTACTGAATAACAGAGCAAATGGAGGAGCACTTCGATAGAGTTCCTTTCTCCACATGGAAGCGGTATTTTGCCTGCGAATTGGGAATTTTGGACCGCACCCTGTGACAATTTCATGCCACAAATTCTCAAAGACCATCTAGGGAACCTGTTCAACATTCGTAGTTATTTTGCCTACTCCGTATGACCCACACGTACAGAGTACACATATTTGACACGCTGGGGAGGACAAGACATATTGCTTTATGTATTTCACTCTATTGATCACTATTGATCAGGCAGCAAGAGTGTTTCTTTAAATCGGTCTATTCGTGCGATTGAAAAACCCACTGCAGTCCTAAAGTACACATTTACCTTTGCTCTTCTCCTCCCCCAGAAAGAGCAAGAAATGTGACAATAAGAAACACCCACCAGTACCTGAACAAATTGAAACGAGTCAGCATCCATTAGATACAAGGCAAGCCAAGGAGGAAAGGCGCAGAGGCGCACGACTGTACACCTGGTGGACCCGGAGGCCTGATATCGAGGACAACTTACTTCTGGAAAAATGTCTTCTCGGCGACTTCCTCCTTATCCTTTCCATCCGGACCAAGAACCACGGGTTTATTCAGGTGAGGACGCGGGCCAGCATCGGCGTGGACCAGATCGACATCCAACATTGAGGAAGAGTGGTTCGAGGGCAACGTGAATGAGACGTGGTAGAGCTCATTGGCGGGACTGAGATGAAGCAGGAGTTTCGGGCGGCTTTGATCATCTGTGATCACCTCTCCGGCCAGCGAAGACCGTGATATCAGACTGCCGACCCATTGCTTCGAGTTGGAGGGGGTGGGAACGAAAAAACCGATGCGGATGAGGTTTTCTGCTCCACCGTCGCCCCCGACAGGAGTCCGGTTTGCATCCTCGGGAGGATTGTATGACAGGACGCTTGTCTCAAGTGTTGAGGGATCGTATGCTACCTGGGCAAGGAGTGACGGTTGAGGAGATGCGACGGGCCAGAAGAAGACATCTGCCGAAGCCGGTAACGTCGTGGATTGGGCGACGGCTGCGGTTATGGAAAGAAGGGAGGAGAATATGAAGACGGAGAAACGCATCCTGAGCGGGATGCGACCAAGTGCTTTCTACTCTGTAGCCTTGTTGTCTTATTTCCTTTTCCTCTGGTGGCCTGGAAGACGGAGAGGCGGAGGCGGAGCGGCTTTCCAGCACCGCAACTTTGCGGCTGGGCCGTATCGTAGACACGCTGCCGTGACCGGGGGTCATCAAGTACTGTACAGTACGGAGTACATACACATAACTTTCGCTGCAACAGAACGATCTAAACAATACCATTCATGTGTGTATACTTAGTTACTACCAGAAGAAATCACCAGTCTCAGGTTTCCCCAAATTTTCGAGAGTAGCGGCTCTATGAACATGTACCACCGGTAATTATCCTGTATGCTGTACATTGTACTTCAAGATACTGCTGGAGTAATATATCGAGGCTGCGCAGGAGCTATTCTTGACGGCCAATGGAAAGATGGGCTGAGATATGCAATAAAGCAGAGAAAGAATAATAGAAGCAGTCTCTGGAAGAGTAAAAGTATTGGAAATAATTTCATGATTCTTAGGAGCTCTAAATTTGCTCAACCATCATGCTCCACACAATGTAATTCTTCCAGATGTGTTTAATTCAAAGTTCAAAAGAGCACGGTTTTGTGAGATGCATGAACAGGCATGTGACGTGAGCTTGAAACACAGAATACCCTATCTATGCCACTGGATCTCCAATTCAGGTATTCCGGATGGGACTTACACACCACCCACAGAGTCTGATTGTGGGCTGCACGGACTACAGTGCTCCGGCAAGAGGGCATGGTTCCAGGTCCCTCCGCAGAGCTTCCGGAAGAGATCCAGCCAGCGATCTATGACTAAATTAGTCCATCCTAAATGCATGGACAGTACGGAGTACAGAGTATACATCTTTGACCCCTGAGGAGACGTCTATATAATGAACCATTATATTGTGCTGCCATGTATAATTCAATTCAAAAACAGCGTTCTTGCACAGAACACATGTCGCTACCCTGGACTCCATCTAGCTACGAGTGGGGACGGGGTGCATGCAGTGACAAGGGTAGCTACTATTAGCTACTACTACTAGGTACCAATACTAAGATTACTAGGAAGTAAGCTACCACGTCGACAAAGCAAAATGCCCAACGATAGCAACGACAGCTTTCGCAATCCCCACTGGCCACGCCCGGTGAAACGATTCTCGATTGCCACTCCCGAGTCCAGACAACCCGCAGTCCTCGGAGGGGCGCCGGTCGCCGGATAGCACAGGACCGACAGGACTGCCATCAGCAGACGCCGTTCCACCTCGCTTACTCGGGCCCCAACACCTGTGATTCTGTCTTGTTCTCCAAATTTCGAAGTTGATACCGTTAAAGATTGAATCCTGCTTCTCTGGCATTCTCTGTTCCAGCTGTCAGCGAACCTGGGCACAGTCGTCCGCGAACATTGCCTGGATCCAGTGGGGTTCCGAAGCTTCATTGTTTCCCCGCATTCCAAGCGGATTGTCCGTACATACTGTTCCAGCCTCGAGTTCTTCGAAGTTCTTCGAATTCTCCGATTTTTGCCAAGGTGCTCCTGTGTTCTTCTGCAGTGACGCCCGCTGCCACCGTTCTGTGGCACCTCAGGAGTGGCTGTCCCGTTCCATCAATTGCCCCAACCGGTATCGAGGTGTCACAGGACTTTATAAGCCATGTCTTCTTTACCATACCGCCGTCTGCCGTCGCATCAGACATCAAGACAGGCTTCGACGGATGATCGAAACGGCATCCAAGTCCAAATGGATTACTACATCGGCATTGATGTCGGGACTGGTAGTGCCCGCGCTTGTATTATTGACAACAAGGGCGATATTGTTGGCTTAGCCTCGGAGAACATCGGTCTGTGGCAGCCACAGCAAGGTTACTATGTAGGCTGCCTCTAAATCGTCACGCTTTGGAGACTCCTCGCCGTTGCCAGCCCTCTCACTAACGCCTCCTGCTCCTGTAGGAACAATCCACCTCCGATATCTGGCGGTGCATCTGTATTTCTGTTCAACGCGCCATCAGCCAGCATAACATCAACCCATCCTGGATTCGGGGCATTGGTTTTGATGCTACCTGCTCTCTGGCTGTCTTTTCTAACGACACTGATGAGCCGGTTTCCGTGACGGGTCCTAATTTCGACACTGACCGTAATGTCATCCTATGGTTGGACCACCGGCCAGTTGAAGAGACTGAGAAGATCAATGCGACTAATCACAACTTGCTCCGCTATGTTGGTGGAAAAATGTCCATCGAGATGGAGATTCCAAAAATCCTGTGGCTGAAGAACAACATGCCTAAGGAACTCTTCGACAGATGCAAGTTTTACGACTTAGCCGACGCCCTCACGCACATTGCGACTGGAAACGAGAAGCGAAGCTTCTGCAGTGTCGTCTGTAAACAGGGATATGTCCCAGTCGGAGTCGACGGAAGTGTCAAAGGTTGGCAGGAAGATTTCCTGAAGGAAATCGGTCTAGAGGACCTTACAAAAGACAATTTCAAGCGAATTGGAGGAGTCAACGGGGTGGTGAGCCTTTTTCTTTTCTTCCCCTCCTTTCCTGGAATCACTACACCGTGTTATTTCCCCTCATATTGTGATTCTGGACACTGTTGATTTGTGAGTATCCTTTCTAACTGGCATCCTTCTTAGAATGGCGAATATCTCAGTGCTGGTGAACTGGTGGGTACGCTGTGTGAAAAGGCCGCAGCTGAACTTGGCCTGCCGCCTGGAATCGCAATAGGCAGTGGTGTCATCGATGCCTATGCAGGATGGATTGGCACTGTCGGCGCCAAGGTGAACCTGGAAGGCGACGAACTAGATTCAGAGGTCGCCTCAAATGACCGAACCCAAGCGTTCACTCGCCTGGCCGCCGTGGCGGGCACTTCGACCTGTCATCTGGCCATGTCTCCTAACCCGGTCTTCGTCCCTGGTGTGTGGGGGCCTTACCGAGACACCATCCTCCCTGGATACTGGATGGCGGAGGGTGGTCAGTCTGCCACAGGAGAGCTCCTGAGGCATATCATTGAAACCCATCCGGCGTTCAACCAGGCGCTATCAATTGCAGAGTCCTACCACACAAACATTTATGACTATCTCAATGAGCACCTGAAGGAGATGGTTCAAGAGCAACAAGCTCCCAGTATCTCGTACTTGGGGCGCCACTTTTTCTTCTATGGAGATCTTTTTGGAAATCGCTCTCCTATCGCGGATTCCCGTATGACCGGCTCCGTTATCGGCCTGACCAGTGATAAATCGGTCGATAGCCTTTCCATTTACTACTACGCAACCTTGGAGTTTATTGCTCTGCAGACCAAGCAAATCGTCGAGACCTTGAACAAGGCTGGCCACAACATCAACTCGATCTTCATGTCAGGGTCCCAATGCCAGAATGAAATCTTGGTGAAGCTGATTGCTTCTGCTTGCAATGTTCCCGTCCTCATCCCACGTTACGTTCACGCAGCTGTGTGCCATGGCGCTGCCATGCTCGGTGCCAAAGCGGCTAGCGCTGACAGTGAGGGAAAGACAGAAGATCTCTGGGAGATTATGGACAGGATGAGCAAACCCGGAAGGAAAGTTCTCCCTACAACCGACCCTCACGAAAAGGCGCTACTGGATGTCAAATACCGTGTCTTCCTTGAGCAATGCTATAAACAGCAGGAATATAGGAACCTCGTCGATCAGGCCATAGGCTCGTGGGAGAAGACCAAATAAGAACGCCTCAACTAGGAATTCCAGTTTCAAAGGAGACCCATAATCGACGTATACGAGGGAGGGGCATTGTTTGGAAGCTGGGCTTATTGTTCGCCTCTAATACAAAGATAGACCGAGTTGCGACGCTACTAGGTTAGGTAAAGTACAGTGTTGTAGAAAGCGGTTTGATGCATATACGTATATATAATTTTTTTTGTCGATCTTTCTTTCGAAAACGCCAAAAGTCTCCACTGTAAGCGACAATACACAGAAACAAATAAATCGTATATACACTCTCGTTTCTTTGTTGTTAGGGTTGGAAGAGGGTGAGCAAAGATTAAAGCGTAAAAAACTTGTGTTGGTTGCAATTTGTTTCAGGAAAACAGTCAACGAACAAGCCTTACAGGTTCCACTTCGCAGAGTGGTATGAAGAAAAAAATACGTGGTTTTTATTATCGACTTTCCAGGCAGGTTTAACATCCATATTCCTTGCTATTTTTTTTTGCCTGCCATAATTTCTCGTTGTACCCCTCACTAATATGCGGTATGTTTACCTAATTTTGCAAAAACAGTACAAAAATGTTCTTATAATAAAGTTTGAAAAGTACCTTTTCATTTTCCGAAAAGATACGTTGGTGACGAAATACTGTCATCCGCAGCAATTTACTCAAACTATTCTCTAGCTGTCATAAGTTTTGTTGCGTGAGAGTACCTAGAAGCCTGGTATTTCCTGAGGGGATGCCTTTTTGACATCGACATCAAATGTCCACCCAATTTGGTAAGGATTCCCTTACTCTAACTTCGAGACACCTCGTGTACTCGGTAATGATAAATTTCACCGACAACTTTCCTCAGCCATCCATGGGAATGACCCCAGAGAGAGCTACCAAGCTCTCACATGGGAGGACGGTCGCACCGGTAATTGGTGTTTTATTTATTTATTTATTTTTTTTCTCGCATCATCGGCCCTGTATTACCAGAAGGTCGTCCAAGGTGGAATCGGAGTATGAGCAGAAATCCCCGATTTAAACGGCAAAAGTCATTAAACTCTGCTGTATATATTGGTGCCGGCCTGGTGTGGATGCTCTCGCTAGAACACTCAGTCAGCATGCCAGGCAAAGAAACAAGGACAAGGAATAGCAATTACCGAGTCCGCGTGACTGTTGTGATGAAGGGCTCACTTGGTTCATAAACATGCCAAGTTCGATGGTTTGTTAATTCAGTGATCTGTATCAAGGATGGGACTAGTCTCCATGTTTGCTAATTCGGGTGGTATAGAATTTACATCTCCCTCCGAGCGGTCTTCTATTCCGTTTGTCGCAGGTTCGATGGTGGTGTCTGATACATTCCCTACCGGTCTACTTTCCTCGATCCACTCCCTTCGCATAACTTGGATTCGCTTGGAATGTCCCAGCTTCTCGATCATAGCAAGGCCATCAGTGAATTTGGCGCGAGGAAACAAATCATCAAGCCAGAGCTGATAGAAGTTCAGTAGATGCGCCATATCCGAGAACTGAAGCACTAGCATTAGCAGAGGCAACGCGTATCTCGTGCCAGTATCCCGTTGAGGCTTACTTCGTGTCCCTTTCCTTTGAACTTGAGTTTGGATTTCGCTGTCCTGCGCAGTTTTGGAATACCATTTTTTGACAGCAAGCTTGGACAAAGACAAATATTAGCACATGGGGGCTGTGATAATATTATTCATAGCCTAATAATAGTGACTTACCGAGTTTCGTCAAGCTTCGCGATAGGATGCCTCTTTTTGGAAACTTTCACCTCCTCATCAAGGCCTAATGACGGCCCTGAGCTAGCTGATGTCGTAAACTCCTTAGTAGTATTTGCGCCAGCTCTGTTGGGCTCTGTAGAAATGCTGTTTAGGACCTCATCAAGGCCAACATCATAGTCGAAAAGGTCATCAATGTCGTCGGCAGAATGAACTTCGGATTGTGCCCGGTGATTCTGTGGGAGAGCTTGGTCGTGATCAGACATGCTGCTCGATAGGGGTAATGTCAATTGAGCTGAAATAATTTCATTGAGATCCAAACAACTGTAACATACATCTTATATTTGCATAACCTCACTTGCATACACGCATTGGTTTACCAATAATGACCGCGTCTCCTACGCGACAGAATGACGCGACGGTCACGTTCCGATGAATCTAACCCGTTTTGGAGCTACATCCAACAATGGTTAGCTCCGCACTAGCCTTTGTCATAACCGGCACCAGAGATGATCCGGTTAATCCAACCCCGAGAGTCCGACATCCCATCCGCCGTGGGCTCCAACTTTACCTAGAGAACTTCTAGAGTCCGAGTTGGGTCCTCTTTGGGTATCAATTGCTCGATACCATGGCCAGCGATCAACAAAAGGTTCTTGTGCCCCCCAAAAGGGTCAACACTGACTATCCGGTAAGCTGATTTTCCCCACTGCCTCGACGATGTATTTGCTAACAATGTCTACAGTTGATCGACTCTGATCCGTATTTCGCACCTAATGGCCCAATTTCACTCGAAGCTATCTGACTGCGTACAGGCACATCACACGAGTAATAAGATATGCCAGACCTTCCGACTATGCAGTGGCTGGCGGCATGGCTGCTGTGTCCCCAATTGCTTTCTGGGTTATGGAAAGAGTCAGTCCGTCTCATGTAGGCAAGGGAGGATTTGCCCCGGTGATGCGACTAGCTACTGTGATCGGGCTTCTTGGAGGATTTCACATATTCTACCAGAGATCCGTCAGTACGTTATGATAGACAGCCCGGGAGTCCAATTGTCGTGACAATTCCACTGATTTGTGATCAGACCGTTTCTATGGCTTTACCGAGAACTCCCGAGAGGTTGAAATGGATATGAGAGAAATGGTGGACAAAGTTAAGAAGGGCGAGCCCCTCTATGGAACCTCGAAAGTTTCAGAATACCTCCAAGGTGTGGCGGCCAGGAACTCACGATACTCGGGGTTATTTGTGCATATCCTCCCTTGGTTCAATTTTGTCAATCACAATCAGGTGAGTCCATATTGACCAAGCATTCCTGTGAGCTACGTCTCACTTCTATGAAACTAGCACGGTGTCGATACGGCCAAGTACTATCAGCAAGCAGAAAGGGAGCTTGAGGCAGAGCGCTTGGCTAGAGAAGGTTCATCATGAGGCTATCAAGACCGAATATTACGTATCAGTCAGCAGCTTTTTCTTATTCTAGATTTATAAACAAGAACTTGCGAGGCAAGATCGCGTCAAACATCGCCCAGCTTGGTTTGTCATGTATTTATATTCCCGAAATAGGACACTTGAGTTTACCAGAAAGAAGACCCTGACTTCACCGTTCTTTTTGTAGAGTACTTTCCGTTATGTTGAAAGATTGGTCAACATTCTCTGGCAGGAGTTTCGGGGCAGAGGGGCCATTGGCAAATTCATGCTGCTTAGTCAAATTCTGTGTTCAGTTCCCGGTTTTTCTTCGAACGAGGGTTGGGTGCTATGAGTCACAAAATAGTTAGGAGAATGAAGCCATAATAGTCTCTTTTGGAGTTCACCTTTTTCGTTCTCTTGGATATAGAAACGTCGAAGCAACATGATCGCTTCCTTACGGAAAACACCGCCATATACAGTGTAAGGCGGATCTATTCCAGAGCTTCAACGAATTGGTCAGTATTTGTCTGGAGGGTTACAAGGTGGAGCTTTAGGACTGACTCAGAATGCAATGACAATACACTCCCTGTGCCACCAAATCTGTCGTTGGGGCAGCCAAAGAATACGCGTCTGATTTCGTACTGCCTGAGGGTAGATGCACACATAACGCACGGTTCAACCGTGACATAGAGATCAGCTTGTCGAAATATCGACCTCGGATGACTCCGGAGGGCTTCTTCAATGGCCAGAAACTCAGCATGTCTCGTGCCCTGATTGAGATGATCAGATCAGCTCGGATCAAACATGATATTAAGACTTGCTTCGGGCATGACAGGCGACTTCACATATGCGCAGCAAGTTGTGCCCGGTAATGACACTCACATTCATTGACCTATTGGTGTCGTTCATTCCAGTGCCGATAATTTTCCCCTCGTGTACAAGGACGCAGCCCACTGGAGTCTCTCCCTTCGCCAACGCCTTCTCTCCCTAAATTTCAACGTCAGCTGGATCACTTGAATGGTTGGTTAACGTACCATCATAAGTGCCTGTTTCATAAAATATCTTTGCTCTTCTTCATCGTCCACGAATGTCTCAGGGCTCTGTTGGAGGCTCTGACACGATCGCATATTTTTTATATTATATTAGGCGTATGTTCTTATGTCTAAACGGGATTTATGAAATGAACAATATGCAACACCTATCCACTATCCACCGAGAAAGTGCATAGTCGAGAATCATGTCCTGTACTGTAGAACTTTAATTTCCACAGTAGATACGATTGCTAGGAAAAGAAGTCTAAATCAGTCCTCGGGTAGTCGCTTAGGGGCAAAGAATTAAATATCAATAATAAGTACCTAACTATTTACCTGTTAATCGGTCCGGAGTATTACTGGGTAGCGCTGGAAGGGATGGCCGCCGGCAGCCGTATGACGATTTGGGATGACGTGAACGTACCGAATAATTGCAGATAAAGAATTTTTCAGTTAAGCGTATCGGATATCTGAGAATCTTGTATCGCTCTGATACAGAAGACACAACGTCTCTCCTTTTCCTAATGTACTGAAGATGAGAAATGATGTATGACGAGTATACCGAGGCCTATTGTGTAGTTGAGTATTAGTTCGATGTTCCTTCAATGAAGACTTCCATTAACAGGTTAGTAGCAAGGACCGAGAGAACAGACACGTCTTCCAAAGTTCAAATACTTGGTAAGATTACTGTGGTTAGTATTTTAATTGTGGGTACTCCATTGGTACCTATTAGGTAGCGGGGATGACCCCTCATGATCCAATCGGAGTGAGGCAGTGTTGATTACTCTTCCGACGCCCATAGGAACCGTGTACCTAATATAAATAATACATCAATCCAGGCTTGCCTTTTATTTTGCCTCGACAAGCCTTGCAAACAGACAAGCGAGCAGATGTGGGCAAATCTCCATGGACCTAATGCAGATTGACCCATGGCCGCTCGAGATGGATCAAGGTCTCGAAACCCGGGAGCTGGAAGCTCCAAATCCGAACCGACCTCTTCCATATTCAACGCGCAGTTCCAGCCACGCTTATCGTCCGAAGCACATGGGACGTTCTCACAGCTGCGAAAGCTCATTGAGGGGAGACACAGCACTCAGCTTCGCTTAGGTGATAGCGTCAAAAATGTTCACACATTGATATGCCTTTCCCTGAAAGTCGGTCTTGAAAATGAAGCTAAGAAGGATATTATTGAGACTGACAAAGAACGGCACATCTTAGACTGTTTGGATGTTATACAAATGGTCATTGAGACGGCATGCCAAGCCTTGGTTGAGAAATTGGATCCAGAGCTCCTAGAACAAGACATACATGTGCCATTGTATGCTTGGCTAATCATCCAGTTAATTGACCTGAACAGCAAATCGCGGCTAAGGAGCGTAGAGGAGAAGATTCACAGCCTCCTCTCAAGCATTGTTCGCTGCCAACATGAAGTGTCTCACTTGTGCTATTCTCGCTACTACTTTTCTGCATTTCTAGGTGCTTTGGCTACTGGTATGTGATAAGTCACCATATACTGGATGGAAGTTGACTGAGGTGACGCTTCCCAGATATCCTAGCATCGCTGGAAACTCTAGATTTGCCAGATCTAGGAGAGTCCAACATCGTGGTACCTGGTCCCGGAGGGTCACTTGTTACAGATTTAGACAGGTTGGGATTACCTCGCGACCTCTTCCGGAATAAGCTTCGTCTTGGGCTATTCCCTCAAGCAACATTTTCGCTTCTTCAACTATTGCATTCGATGATGCCGAAGTTCATGAACAGCTCCCAGAGTTTCCCGACATCTGCCATTCAACAGGATTTGGCTTGGATTCTGAACTTATATCAACGACTGTGGAGAGTCATTCTCCGGTGGATTCGCGCCTTCGGAGCGAGTTTTCACCAGACCATGGTTGAGATAGTGGTACAGTTCCTTACATGTATTCAGAGATGTACTGAGAACTCCTCGGCCATAACCAGGATGATATCACTGGACGCCAAAGCCAGTAGCATTTGGCTTCAAAGTTTGGCGGACATCTTTTCTATTCAAACATTCTGCCAAGATTCTGTCATTCAGCTTACCTTGACTCAGTGTCTCGAAAACGTCTTGGAATTTGTCCGGCGCTCGCCAGCGGTCAGAATATGCATGGAAAATATTCTCTTACCAACGCTTTTAAATCTGCGGCGTGACGAAGCACTGTTTCGGAAGAATCGAGAATCATTCCAGGCAAGTCACCGGCGTACGAGGTTCCCTTTCCAGCAGCCGTACTGATACACTTTTTCTAGGAGGCCATTACTAAGGTATTGGACGAACATGCTCACTATGCCTCCCATCAAACCAAGATCTGGAGTTCCAATGGTACAAATGAGCTCAGCTACCTGGTGGAAAAGAGAATCAGACTAATGTCCGGGATTATTTAGATTTCGAGCCAGAAAACCGAGCAAGGAAACGCATCCGCCTTTCGCGAAGTCAGATTGATTCCTGTGGCACCAGTCTTTTCCAAAAGCTTGTGAACAAGGCTTGCAAGCTTATAGGTAACGAAACGCCAATGGATTTACATGGATTAAGTGGTTCTGTATTGTAAGGTCCCCCAAATTATATTACTAGCGATAGTACTAAAGGTTGCATCTAAAGTGAAGTTTTCCCGAATCTCTCTGATGAGAATAAATGCGACTTTCTCAGAACTATTGGGAAAATTCCCTGCGCCGCAGTCGGTCTCTTGTCGGAGTCATATTCCGACAACGACGAGGAAATAGAAACCTTTCATTGTCGCATCTGCGACGCTGGGCGAGCTGATTCAGATCTTGTGCTACCTTGGCATAGCCCAAAATTTGACGAAATACGGCAGACATTATGGGATTTAATGCCAACTCTTGCACGCACTTCGACCCTCAGAATAGCATCAATGCTTACCATACGCAGACTTCTAAATCATGAGCCGGAGTATGGCCGCTTGTCGATCAAGTCTTCGGCCTTCGGCGAAGTGTGTCTTCATTCCCTGAAAAGCTCATCTAGAGAACTTCGATTAGTCTCTGGGTATGACTAACTTTCGTATGGGCGATTCCGGGTGCTGACAACTTTTCAGGAACATTCTTCCTTGTTTTGTGCGCAGATGCGTGGATCTCGAGCTCCGTCGGCGCAACTTTGTTATAATTTTTGAGTGCCTGAAGAATCTTTCTGAAAAGAAGGACGTTCCTTATCAGGAGACTTGTATTATAACTCTTTGCCGATTAGCTGAGTAAGCGCTCGTGTCTTACTGTAGAATGATATTAAAGAAGCTGACGGTTGTAGGGTTTCGGGAGATGAAGAATTAAACATTATTCTCCTTCGTCTGCTGGAATACTTCGGGCACACAAATCCATATGTTTGTGCGGTAGCGTACACAGAAGTAAGTAGGGTAGAACGTTTGTTGACATTGGACACTTCCACTAATAAGTAACAATAGCTCGCAAAGCTCGCACAGCTCCTTTCGACGACTCCTGCAAGTCTCCTTCGTCCTTTCTGGAGGTCTTTGTCGATCACAGTTGTCAAGAACCTACAAACTCGCCCACATATGGCAGAACAGCTTTGCGATCTCTTGGGAATGGGAGTGGATGATCTTCTCAGATTGACCGAGGTTCATATTCTACCGTATCTGGTGCTAACGCGTAAACGGGATATTATTGCGAGAATCGGGGCAAGCTACCAGACGGCAAAGTCTCCGTTTGAACTGTGCACGGAGAAAAATAACTTGGCTTCGATCCTTGCCTTTTTATTGAGCCAACCTTCATCGGATCCTGAAGGAATGATTCTTTCACTTTTCGCAGATGTAGATCCGGAATTCCAAAACCGCTCGCTCGCAGCGTTCCTCAGAACGGAGCCCATTCTCATTGCTCGTGATCTTTTGAAGTATCTTGGCGATGCCGGAGAGGACAAAGAGTCGAGGGTAAGGTGAATTGTCTGACTTATTTAACTTGTTCTGACCTCTTGCATCTCATAGATTCATCGGGCTCTTCATCTATTAGCGAGTTATGTGCCAAGGAAATCGGCCCCAGGTCCTGCGACTTCGAAGCATCCGAACGTATTGGGAAATTTCATAGAGGAGCACATACTAGGGATCATCACTGAATTTGCAGATGCTATTAATGACGCACAAGTCCGACTGCCGATCATGGAGAAGAAGCGCAACATTCTAGCAATTGGAGAAATGATTAAAATTGCAAGAGGTCACATAAACAGCGCGTTGCCACAGGTTTGTCACTCTACATCACTGGTTCAAGAACTCTGGAGAGCTAATGGCCTTGATCAGATTTGTGCTTGCCTTAGATCTGCCCTTGATATTGAGGAACTCTGTGACCATGCCTTTGGAGCTTGGTGCATTCTCATTACTTCCCTTGATGAAGAGGAAGTTGTACCACTTATTGATCAAACTTTCGCAATCATTATTCGATATTGGCAGAATTTCCAAGATGGAGGTAAGCAGGGGGCAATCACACTTGTGGACCACATATTGCGGAACCATAGCCGCCTGGTGCGTGATATCTTTAATACCATGCCATCGCTTTCATCAATCCCTGGGATGGCACAGTTCGAAAAGCAAATTGGCGAATTGAAAGGGCAAATGGATGTTCGGAATCATTTCATTGCGTTCAGCCGTCGCTGCCAAAGTGAGAATGCCGCGGTTGTCGAACAAGCTTTGAAAGAGCTCGTCCCCTTTATCAGAGAGAATGAGGATTTTCTGCATGAATCCGCTCTTAATGAACAGCCTGACAGCGTTGTTGCGCTGCTGACTCGTTCCTTACTTGATTGCTGCGTCAAATTCAAAGGCAGCTCGGATACCATCACTATTCTCTCAGCCCAGTGTCTGGGTCTGGTCGGCTGTCCAGACCCAAATAGGGTTGAATCAGTCCGAGAGAAAAAGGACATTCTTGTTCTCTCTAACTTTAGTCGAAAGGATGAAATTTTCGACTTCGTTTTGTTCTTCCTCCAGCACGTGCTCGTGGAAGCATTCCTATCGGCGTCTAATACTCGGGCGCAAGGCTTTCTTGCCTATGCTATGCAGGCCCTAATGAAGGCGAGCAAAATCGACCCAAGCATCACTATTCCGTCCCGTAATATCGAATTGAACGAAAGACATTGTCGCTGGCAGGCTCTCCCTGAGACTGTGCGCAACATTCTGACTCCATTTCTCACATCGAAGTACACAGTAACGGTTGGCGCGATTAAAACAAATTGCAGCTACCCATTATTCTCTCCCACCATGAGCCATGGAGAATGGCTTCGGAGATTTGTACTAGATCTATTACAGAAGGGGACCAATGAAAATGTGCGGGCGATTTTCGCGATCTGCAGCAGAATTATCCGAGGCCAAGATATCTCTATATCCTCTTTCCTTCTCCCATTTGCGGTTCTGAATGTCGCAGTAGACGGCACAGAAGTTCAGCAGAGGGAGGTACGAGATGAAATGACGAGAGTTCTCTCGCATCCTCTTCCGGACAACAATACTCGAATGAGAGAGAACATCATATTTTGCAGCGAGGTAAGTGACTATCCGTTCCCAGTGCCGTTCGTTGCGCTGAAAGCTGTGAAAAATCGCAGAGTATCTTCAGCGTACTTGACTATCTCTCAAGATGGCTTCAGGGAAAGAAAAAGCAAAACGCTACAGTCACAAACCATGTGTCAGGCAGTCGAGTTCACAAGGATACAACACTCGACACGTCATCTGCCCAAATTAAAAGTGTCGAACAACTCTTATCATCAATTCCCCCTGAAGTCATTTCTAGGAGAGCTGTGGAATGTAAATCGTTCTCAAGGGCACTTTTCCATTGGGAGCAGTACATCCGACAGTGTAAAAGCCGCCTAGATAAACAGAATCATGCTGAGCTTGAGCCACTTTATCAACGCCTTCAAGATATCTACACGCAAATAGACGAACCTGACGGTATTGAAGGCATATCTGCACATTTACATGTGCTGAATATCGATCAGCAGGTTCTCGAGCATCGCAAAACAGGAAGATGGGTTGCAGCTCAAAGTTGGTATGAATTGCAGCTAGAAACAGACCCAGAAAATAGTGACGCTCAGTGGAACTTGCTTACCTGCCTCAAAGAATCTGGACAACAAGGTAGTTATCCCAACGGAAAACACCTTTCACTGGTATTCATGTTAACTTCTACAGATGCCCTTCTCAACCAGTTCGAAGTATTCAGACAAACCGAAGCACCCTTGTCTAAACTTCTGCCACTCGCTGTGGAAGCTTCCATAATGACAGGAAAATGGAGTAAACTAAGTGAGTATCTGCAAATGTGTTCTCAGGAGAATACTGGAGATTTCAACATTGGCATCGGATCTGCTCTCGATGCTCTTCGTCACAACAACAAGGCCGCGTTTCAAGAAATCATCAATAACCTGCGGCACACTACCGCGAAGTCTCTAACTGCAAATTCGGTAACCTCTCTGCAGTCATGCCATGGTAGCCTTCTTCAACTGCATGCTTTGGCCGAAGTAGAAGCGATTGCGAATGCGGGCCTAGAAGGGTACCCTTCACGATCTAAAGTCCTCGATACTTTGGATCGTCGCTTGGACGTTATAGGGGTTTATATCCCGGAGAAACAATACCTCCTGGGATTACGACGAGCCGCTATGGAGCTTTCGTGAGTATTACATATAAGCCCATGAGTGGTGGAAGTTCTTTTTTTGCTGAAACAGTAAATAGGAATGGATTTTCCGAATCTGATATAGCTGCAGCATGGCTTATGAGTGCACGTCTGTCTCGAAAGAATGACTGTACTGGTCAGGCATATCACTACGTGCTGCACGCAGCGCAGCTGAAAGATAAATCAGCCACGATTGAACACGCTCGACTGCTCTGGAAAGATGGTCATCATAGGAAAGCGATTCAGACTTTGAAGGGGGCAATAGCGGCCAACGCTTTTGTTTCCCATGACTATGCACCCATGGAGACTGATTCTGTTTCCATTACTTCGAACCGGGAACAACATCAAAACATGCTTGCTGCAACGGTACGTCAACTGGAAAATGGGTGTTATGTTTTCTTCACCCCGGTCCTCTTTCATAAGGTCATCTATATACTTACTTTTTCCAAGGCCCACCTACTACTGGCCAAATGGACCGACCGAGCAGGTCAAACTCAGTCGGATGTCATTGTCCAGAGATACCGTGAAGCTATCAAACTCCACACTAGGTAAGAAGAATATAAAGATCTAACCCACTTTACTTATAATGACATCTTGGACCAGGTGGGAAAAGGCACATTACTACCTTGGTAAACATTACAACAAAATCCTGGAGTCCGAGAAGGCGAAGCCTCTGGGTAAAGAAGCTCAAATTTAGTAAGTCTAGGTATCCCATTTTTCTAGCGAGTATCTCACTGATATACTCTCAAGTCTGAGCGGGGAAGCTTCGAAACTCGTAATAGATAACTACCTCCGTTCGCTTGCCCACGGAAACAAATATGTGTTCCAGACATTACCCAAGGTTCTGACCCTATGGTTGGAGCATGCATCCGTTGTTGACCAGCCATTTGATCCAAAACGTGGAGACAATGTGTAAGTAGTGATCTTTTCCTGATATTAGAGCATTGCTGATAGACATCCAGAGAATTTCAGAAACATAGCATGGCTCAACGGAAAAAGAGCTTGGACGATATGCATTCCCAGCTGAAAAAATATTTGAACCGAATGCCTGCTGCACTGGTAAGTTTGCGTTGCCTTTGATCTTTGATATAGGTAGATGCAGCTGACATATGTAGTTGTTTACTATCCTTAATCAAGTTGTTGCTCGAATTTGCCATGCGAATCACACAGTCTACGATCTTTTAACAAGAATTGTGGTGAAGACGGTCAGCGCTTTCCCACAACAAGGCCTATGGACTGTCTTGGCTCTGGTTAAATCTTCGTCCAAAGAGCGTGCTTCCAGAGGCATCACATGTCTTCAAAAAATAACCGTGTGTCTCTCTACCTTCTGCTGTTTCGACATTGAACATATATAACAGGAGGAATGCTAACTGTAACAGGAAGCAACGAAAAAGTCAAAAACGGAGGCGTCGGCAGCTGATATGAGGTCGATGATTAACCAAGGACAGAAATTTTCCGAGGAACTACTTAGGTTGTGTGTTGCTCGTGTCGAAGAAAAAGTATCAAAAATAAGTCTGGCGCGGCACCTTGGCTTTAACCACAAAGTGGCTCCTTGTCGGATGGTGATACCTTTCCAGACAATGTTAACTCCGAGTCTACCGGCCACTCATGACTCAGATTATCTGAAGAGCTTCAGAGCCTTCCCGCGTGACGCTGTCACTATTGAAAGTGAGTTGCAGAAAGGGGGAAAGAAAAGAAACGTTCAGCGAAGGGTTGAGCTGACTTTATCAGCTGTCCTCGATGATGCGCAGGTCCTTAGTTCTCTGCAAAAGCCCCGGAAGATCAGCATCAGAGGCTCCGATGGGAAAGTCTATAATCTCCTTTGCAAACCCAAGGACGATCTTCGCAAAGACCAGAGACTTATGGAATTCAATAACATGATCAATAGATTCCTGAAAAAAGATGTAGAATCGACAAAGCGGCGCCTGTGTAAGTATTCTTCCTCAGCATTGTTCAGAGCTAGATCGTAACTTTAATAGACATCAAAACCTATGCCGTTACGCCCCTGAACGAAGAATGCGGGCTGATTGAATGGGTGGACAATTTACGAACTCTGCGAGAGATAGTCATCAGACTTCTCCGAGAAAGAGGCATCGTCCCGAATGTTAGCACTCTCATATTCTGTCTTCCTTTTCATTGAATCTAACGTTTTCACAGTATAATGAAATCAAGCATTACCTGAACGAAGCTTGCTCTGATATCTCAAAGCTCCCATTGTTCACAACGAAAGTCTTGGCAAGGTAGCAAATGTCATGTCTTATTCTACGTGGAAGTTGAGAGCTGACAAAAGGGGTGGAATAGGTTTCCTCCAGTCCTTCATGAATGGTTCGTAGAGATGTTTCCAGACACTGGAGCCTGGTTTGCGGCAAGGTTGAGATATACACGCTCTTGCGCTGTCATGTCCATGGTCGGATACGTCCTTGGGTCAGTTTCCCTGTGAACTGTTAGCTATATTTTTTTTTCTGACAAATTCATGTTCTTTGCAGGCTTGGGGACAGGCACGGCGAGAACATACTCTTCGAGGAAGGTTCCGGAGGTATCTTGCATGTAGACTTCAATTGCCTTTTTGACAAGGTAGGTGACCAAAAGGCCAAGGTGGTTGAGCTCGCTAATGGCGTAGGGATTGACGTTTGATAAACCGGAATTGGTGCCATTCCGGCTTACTCACAACATGATCGATGCTTTTGGTGCTTATGGTTATAATGGTATGTATTTTATCTAGCTTCGAATCTCCCTCCCAACCAAAACGCTGGGGCTAAGGATAGAACTAGGGCCATTTCGGCGAACTTGCGAAATCACACTCAGCCTACTAAGGCAAAACGAAGATGCTCTTATGACTATACTGGAAACCTTCCTTTATGATCCTACAACGGACTTCATTGGTAAGAAGGTGAGTTTTACACTAATACCAAGGACCTAAAAGGATGAATTTCTTGATGCTGATTAGCCGGGGAATATCAAGCGGAGGACGCATGTAAACGTGCCTGAGACACCCGAGGGTGTTCTAGAATGCGTGAGGAACAAACTCAGAGGGTTGCTACCTGGCGAATCTGTTCCATTATCCGTGGACGGTCATGTGGATGAACTAATTATGCAAGCTACCGACAAGAAGAATTTGGCAGCTATGTACATTGGGTGGTGTGCATTTTTCTAGTTCATGTATACCTAAATCGAAGTTTTCGTTGTCGCTAGAGGATAGAAGTGAATTATCCGTGATGAATTGAGTACATGCCATGAGAAACCTCTTGTCAAACTAGACAGATTATATGTAAGGAAATATAACCTCTGTAACAGAAAGTGTTGACCATCAACATAACCAATTATAAATAAAACGCGCGCCAAGCGAGCAATAACTCCGAAGTCCCGTTAAGATGGAAACTCTTTGTAGACACTTTAATCAACCCTCTCATATCATCATCAAATTTATCGTTTTCAACCCTATGATAAAGTTCGATTTGAATAAGCATAATGATCCCGTGTAGTTGATAATTCTGTTACATATGGTACATGTGAAATTGAATGTCGCTAGCCAAGTTCAGGAATGTGGCGCATTCCCATCACCTTCTTCTGCTACCAACCCTATAAGCTCTGCTCCTGCTCGGGCTACGACTCCTGTCACTGTAGCTGCTGTAGCTGTTCACAGAGCTGTAGCTGCTATAGCTCGGGCTACGGCGTCTACGGCGCCTTGGGCTATCTCTGCGAGGGGAGTCTCTCCTTCTTGGAGGAGGCGACGCTGACATGGATCGTAATGACCAAGAGCGAGAACGACGAGGGGATCTAGAACGTGACAAGGACCGTGGGCGGTATAGATCATGTCTGTCCATCGCACGACCGGTGCCATACCTTCTCGGTGACCTGCGTCGAGGCGGAGACGTACGAAAAGTGCCCGAAGACTGACGGCCACTATTTAACACTTCTCTGCCATGTGCAGAATGAGAACCTTCCATCCCAGTGCGCCGCGCAGGCGGAGGAGACCGCGAGAATGTTCGCCGGGGCAGAACAATAGAGACCTTCAAGACAGCTCCGTCGAGCTGGGCTTCATGCATATGAGAGATAGCTGCTTCTGCATCGGCAACATCATAGTACACAATGTATGCGGTGCCTCTGTTGGTCATAACTAGAATATTTTGTCAACAAAATGAGTGAGAGACCTAAGTATGGTCCACTTACATGCTCTGTTCATGGGCAAATCAAGGCTCTGGATCTCACCGAAGCTTCCAAATATTTCATAAAGATGATCCTCCGTAACGTTCTTCGTCAACTTCTCGACAACAATCTAAAGACAAGCAAGTTAGAAGCCGGACTTAAGCCAAATACGCTAGATTTCTAACTCCAGTATATGGGCAGAACACTATGGGCATCGAACCTTTGAACTCCTTCGAGGGGGACTTCTGGGACTGGGGCTCCTGGTATAGCTTCTATCCCGGGGCCACCGTCCGCCTCTAGTTCTACTGGGACTTCGGGAGTATTCTCTGTTTCGTGACATAGAGCGACTCCAGCTCCTTCCTCGGTGTCCGTTGCGACGATCAAATTGCCGTTGTTGAGATGGACTCCGGCTCGTAGTTCGGTGTCTTGATACGGAGCGAGGCGAGATAGAGCGACGAAAAGAACCAGAGGGTGACCTGTCTGTATGAGAAGACAACGCTGGAGACCGAGTTCGAGATCGTCCCCGGGAGAGTGACCTCGTCGACATCTTTTCAGTGCTGAGCTTTGCGAGGATAACAGATTGATGTTGTTCCGTAGAGACTTTCCCGGAAAAGCCTAATTAAATCAATTCGCGTAGGAAATATTTGTTTGAGAGAGCGACTGTGAGGCGTGTAGAGCACCCCGTGTATCCTGCGAGTGGGAAGTTCTGCGCTGTCTGCATGACAGTAAAGAGCCAACAGGATTCAACCTTGATGTCCAGAACATCCTTATTTCTGGTTAGATCATGTTACCGCTGTTGGTCCATACCTATGGACTTAAGGCTAGGTACGGAGTAGGCACGTGCTTTGGACTAACCTAGATAGGTAGTTTTAACTTAAACTAGCACTAACCAGCCCTGCGGGTGGGCCTTCAGTGTACTCCGTAGATTACCTCTTATCAGGAGTCGCCTATAATTAATTACGGAGTACGGAGTATAGAAGGTAAGTGGACCTATCACCTACCTACATGTATCTAGATAAGTAGGTAAAAGCTTTCAAAGTTTGCTCCTTGAAAGCTTGCGAGGTACGTAGATATCCCCCTAGATTGTATATTTTTGTGATTGGTGAATATTCCATTATATATGGATGGTAATCAAGAATACAAAGAGAGGGGAGAGCGGGAGGCATGGACAGTCCATCTGGTAGTATCAACTACAGGTGTAGTAAAAGTCGGTTCCGTCTGCTTTACGCCAGTTACCAAACCTAAAAAATAAAGGGCGAGACTGCAACCTCAGTACCTAATAAAACACACACATTTCCATCACAAGGACACAAGGGAAAGGACTTAAATCCATTGTTTTTAGAACGCTGACAACTTGCTCCATTGTTCATATTCCTGAATAATAGCGCTGGTAAGTTGCCTTTTCACTTGTTTGAAAGCAAGCTCAAAATGATGCCACATAATTTCCTTCGGCTGGTTTGTTTCTTCCTCTTCATCTAAAGCTGCTTCGCCTGCAGTCTCACATAAGCTCACGATTTCTGCACCAGAATAACCCTCGGTCTTTGCCGCCAACTCATCAATATTTACCTCGGAGCTGACAACTGACTTCCTGAACCATATTTCGATGATCTCCTTACGCGCGTCGAAATCCGGTGGTCCGATGTAAATAATATTGTCCAGACGACCTGGACGCATCAGTGCGGGGTCCAGCACATCGGGTTTGTTGGTCGCCGCAACAACAAGGACGTTTCTCAATTCCTCAATACCGTCCATCTCATTCAGCAGAGTAGTAAGGACGTTGACACCTCCATGTGAAGTACTACTGCGTTTGGAGGCAATGGCATCGATCTCATCAAAAAAGATTATGCTAGGCCGAGCCGCCCGTGCTTTTTGGAATATTTCACGAAGGGCGCGTTCTGATTCTCCAACATACATACTGAGGATCTCAGCGCCTTTCACAGCTAGGAAATTAAGACCTGCTTCTGTTGCCAGGGCTTTGACAGTCAATGTCTTCGAGCAGCCTGGAGGTCCGTAAAGTAAGATTCCTTTCTTGCTTCGAATATTGAGCCTTTGCATCCGGTCCGGAAACTATGGTGCCGTCAGAGACGTTCAAGATACAACAGCTTCGAAACAACCCCTTACCTTAAGAGGCCTTTCAACTACTTTCTGGAGATGTCTCTTTATAGAATGTTGTCCTCCAATATCCGACCATCTGACTTTTGGGGTTTCCAGGAAAACCTCTTTCATAGCAGTAGGACGGACTTCTTGCATAGCTTGAATAACGTCGATCTCACATATGGTTAGAGGAACACCCGAATTATCTTCACCTGGAAGATCAGCCCGGGGAACTGCGATATCAGAAACGTCGCCATCGATGTCATTATGAATGCTGCCCGCCATTATCAGCCGATCTCGAGCCTTGCGGCACGATAGTTGGAGTAGAGCAAAAAGATCAGCACCGACATAACCGTGTGTTTTTTCAGCCATAAACTCTATGAGACTATCGCTCGGCTCAGTAGATTCACCTCGCATTGCACGCAGCATATGTGCCCTGGCCGCTGCTGTGGGCACTGATAGCTCAATCTCTATTGCCAGTCGATGTGGTGTTCTCAAGGAATCGTCGACGTCATTCGGATGTCGTGTTGCCGCTACCACAAGAACCTTAGCACTTCTTAGTGCGTCTATGCTTTCACACAGGACATATGCTAATGAAGAAGAATCATGGGACGTGCGCTTTGGAGCGATGAATTCCACCTGGTCAATAATAATGACACTGGGCTGCGAGAGAAGAGCGTCGTGGAAAATCTTGCGTAACTTCGCCTCCCCATCACCCACACTTCGGCTTAGTGTGGATGATCCAATTACGAATGATTTCTCCCAACCCGCAGCTTCAATCTTCTGTAGCAGGGCAGTTTTACCGGTTCCTTTAGGGCCATAAATGAGCAATCCTCGACTGAGTTTGTAAAAAGGGGGCATCGACACAGGATGCATCTCCGACCTGAAGTCCACGAGAATTTGATTTATCCTCTTGATCTGGTCAGAAATGCCACCTAATCCAGATTCTCGGACTTCAAGCTTAGCGACCCTGGCCATTTTCTGTTTGTCATCCCCAATCTTGACGGTAGAAGCCTTGGTAAATCGAAATATCGTTTTTGCAGAGCTGCTTTGTGCCCATAATTCCGCCACCTTAAAGCTTCTACGTTGGCCCTTGAGTTCCATATCGAAAACCAGGCCAACTGAAAGAATCTCGCATTTTGACAAAGGGTACTCCAAAGCCCACTCCCAGTGCTGCTTGTCTGCATCAAGCAGCGATCCATAGTTCGCAAGCTTGTCAGAATCCGTGCACTCCTCTAGAAGCACTGTGGCGACCTCGTCCAACGAATCGTCCAATCTAGTAATCGTAAGTTTGTCGCCCAGCTTTATTCCATAACAATCCTGCAACACCTTTGAAGTCTGGACAACAGTATTCTGTATATTCTCAAGAGCTGTCCAGGCAATTGCTGTCTTCGGCGGACCTTCGCTTTGTTGCAGAAAACATAGGTCACCCGCACGCAATTTAAGGAATGTCAGGGACGACGGCGATAAGTAAATGCGAAACCAATCTCGGAGATCATTTTTCGGCTGTTTAGAGAGAGGTCGAACAGTGAATAATCGAGACTCGGACATCTTTGCAGTCACAGAGCTTCAGCTACTGCAAAATAAAGGGATCTGCCATCAAGTGATCAGACTGTTGTCCGTAACATAGAAACTGGCAAATGAGAGGAAATAAGTATCGCTGAAAATCTTAGACATTTGCAAATTCGCCCGTTAGCTGGTTATATTTGGGGCCACAGCCTGCAAAACATGATAATTTTCCTCACATCAAACGACCGTAAGTTGCATCCCCTCTGAATATGGTTTTTTGCAAGCGTTGCTTAATAATATTAAGTGGTTTCCGGTTGTGCTATTGGTCAAAGTGCATAGCCAGACCCCGATGCCAAATTTACGTAAGCATGCCACACAGAATCTGCCTACCTGGCTCTCTGCCTTAGGTGTCTAATCTGACCAGAAAGCCTGCAGTGCCAAGTGGCCTATATGGGATAACAAGCCTTTGATCCCTCGCTTCGCTCGGGCGGCTTGAAGGGGAACCAATTACATTACAGGTGTCATGTGACTATAAACTATAGCCTGGGAATATTAATAAAATCACTACAGCTAATAATAGGGAATAATAACTATAAGGTGACTATATTATATAATTAAATTCACTATAATTTATAGTCTATAGTAAATAATAGACTATAGAGCCTATATAAAAACCTCAGATCTATAGATTTTATAAAATTTTATAATCTAATACCCTCTTAAGTAGACTATATAAACTATTCTATAGGTAATTTTTTTAATATAAACTATTTCTTAAGTTTAAATATTAAAAATGCCACCTTTTATCCTAATTAATCTGACCCCTAGGCAGGAAGGTAGGCTCTAGATATATATATTTTATATATTTCGATTTGGTAATTGCTCGATATTGGGGTCAGATATCAATAATAGGCAGGTAGTCAGTAGGTAGTAAAAATTTTTCATAAGAGTAGAATAGGTCAAAACTTCAACAAATCTGGCCCAAAAAACTCCCAGAAAAAGAATGTGAGCTCCTCTTGGCTTCATCAGCTTTGTAAGACTGACTACTAGTCTCAGTCACCACATAGAGGTGAGAGCTTGTCTACTGAGTGGCTTATAAAAAGCTTCAGATTCAGACTCTAGATCTGTGGATCTTCTCTGAGTCAGGCTGCCCTAAAGGCTCTAAAGAAGGGAGACCCTAAGACTAGTCAAGCTCTATATAGAGATATCTATAACTGGGCTCAGAAAATCAGTGAAAAAGGGGTTCAAATCCACCTAGCTTGGGTCCCTGGTCATATGGGCATATATGGGAATGCTAAAGCTGATGAATGTGCTAAATATGGAGCTGATTGGTCAGAAAAAGACCCTAAGACCTTCCTATCTATTAGCTTCTTAAAAAGAAGCTAAGATCAAAGGCCTTAGAAGAATGGCAAGATATATGGGGCAAAGCCAAGATTAGTGACCACTATAAGCAATTTAAAATGCAGCCTAGTGTTACGCGCTGGGTCCAACCGTAGTCGTCGATACTTAACAATGGTGGTTAGGGAAGGATCAAGGAGTCTTCCTGACTCTATGTCGTTCACGAGCACGCGACGATCTAACTGATCCGGGTCTCTTGTCCTGAGACAACGGCCTA